TTTCAAACGAAGAGAAAAAACAGTGTTTTGAATACAACCCGTAGCTCCTTATTCTTGTACTCAAATCATAACAGAACACATATTTCCCCGAAGCGATTGCTTCATTCTTCGAGCAAGTCAATTTTAACGCTAAATATAGCGAGGACAATCGTTTGATCAAATATCAAACAAGATCGAATTATGTTTTTTGCTCTTTTCATTTTTTTCAGAAAAAGTATTTTTGTTCGTTTTGAACCAAAACATCACTTCACGCTATTTCCGGAAGAGACACCTCTAATTAGCCATCAATAGAATGCCGGGTGTCAACAAGGTCCCTCCACGTAGAACGGGGTTAACGTTTTCGTCAATAATCATAATATTTTTAAACTCAAAAATTGACACCTTAAAATATTTATAGAAGAAGAGTGAAAAAGATGAGCTCTTATTCGTCGAAAAAATTGGGCTTCTAGTAGACTTTACTGGCGCTTTCGTGAAAATAGACCATTTCAAAATAGAATATTTGGTCATTTTTTTCCAATAACAAAATGTCTGCCAGACAATACTAACCGATCGCTAGTTATTAATTACTGATAAGATTTACTGATAAGATCCACTGATAAGAATCACAATAATAATAAGAAGCCATAATATTTTTTACTTTGATTTTTTAAATAAAAAAATATAATTAAAAACAATAAAATTTTATGTTTTTTTAAAAGTCAATTTTGAAGCTATATTTTTAAAATGATAAAAATTCCTAAGAACTATTTATGAATCATAACATTTGATTATTGAAACTCACGTACAAAGAATAATTCTTTTTTCTTTTTCTCCGAAAAATCTCTTTATTTCCCTTCTTTCTTCTATTAAAAAAGTACAATAAAAAGTAATTTTTTAGTTACAATCAAGAGCAAGTTCCTTCTCGAGGTTGAAGAGCGTAGCGGAGGCGGAGATTCCAACCGTGTCCTCGTCTCAGAAGGCCGCGGCGCACGACTCAGGAGCGCCCTCCGAGCTTTCAAGATTCTTCTTTTTTTGTGTCTACTGATAAGCTTTTTTTCTCGTCATGCTTACTAATGTTCTATCAAATTGGTTTAATATAAATGATTATGAACAAAAGAAAAAGTATTTTTTAAAATTTAGCCTATTAATAAGATCTTTTAAATAAAGAATTTCACTTCAGATGGGAAAATATTTTCTAAGAATAACGACCTTCTTTCACCCTCTGAAATATCAATCTTTCAAAAACGGAAATGCCAAAATGCCAAAAAAAAAAACTTACGAAAAGAACTCATGAGGGCGTTTGACTATTTAGAGTTTTTTTGCAAAATCGTTTTTTTTTTGGAAAATGAAAGTCAGAAACTCGAGCGTAAAAGTGAAAAACACTAGAAAAGAGGGTCGAATTAATTTTGATTTTAGTGCATGGACTGCAATTGTATCGGGCTGCTGAGAATTGTTGATGGAAAAGTTTTTCTTGTGCCACGGAGCTCGAGAATTCTAGCGCCCGAAAAAAAATAATTTTTTTGGATTGAAAAAACAGTAGGACATTTAAAAATAAAACTGCTTTGGAAATTTTTCAGTGGTTTCGGAACAACAAAACAAAAGTATGGCTACCTCTCCATTGGTTTTACTTTTTGGATGACAATAGTTCTGATCGCCAATTACGAAGGGCTCAAAGATCTTGCTCCAAAATACACTTTCAAGACGCTTAACTGCGGTCGGAATTTTAAGCTCTGTCTACGAGACTTTCCTTACGAAGATTGTTACAAGAGTTTCTCGACTTGTTTGCGCGAAGAGGGAAAATTTTATTTTCCAAAGAAAATTATCAATGTTGTTGAAGAACAGAAAAAGCCTCGAAAGGAACAATTTTTTACGAGAAAAGAGCAAGAAATTAATTTGAAACGCTGCAAAAGGCTGAATTTCTTCGGTAAAAATTCAGAAAGAGAGCTTTCTTGATGTCTTTTAGATCGTGAAATCTGCAAGGGACTTTGCCCAAAAATTCACGAAGAGGATCATCTTTTGTGTCGAAAAATTTGCGAATCGCATTTGAGCGACGAAGGAGAACTCGACGACATCTGTCCTTTTCAAAAACAATGTCCGTTCGGATGCCCATGTCCTTTTTATCACTGCGAGAATGTCGACACTAAGAAATCCCCACTTGCCTGGTTCTTTGAAGAAGGAAATTTCTTGTTCGAAACAGAGGGAGAATACAGTGATCCGTCGATGAATTTTCTTACCGCGAGTTCTGATTTTCCCGCGCCGAAAGCAAGAAAAACTTTTTCAAGAATTGCATCTATAAATTCGACAAGCCTCGAAGTTCAAACTGTTTACAACAGAATAGTCTTCTTGAAGATTCAATATATGAACAAAGAACTGCTGCCAGAAGCTTTGAAAAGCTTCCGTTCAGATTTCATCAAATATTACAATGGAAAACCGATGGCACCGCTTTATTTTAAGGGGAGGCACTATCTTGTATCCCCGGAATTCACGACTTATGTTCTGGACGATGAGAGCAACGAAGTAACGGATATTGGCGTCGATGCGAAATTGCTAGAATCTCGTTATGGAAAGACAAATTATTTGTTGTTCAACGGATATTTTAGTGTTGCCGCGGTTTTTGAGGAGAGGTTTTATCTTTGCTCTACAGAAGGGTTGAAAATCCTTGAGTTTTTAGGTGAATCTTTTTATTTTCAACCAAATTCAAGTGAAATACTGGGGTTATTGCTTTTATTTCGACCCAGAGAAAAAAGGCAAGAAGGAAATCTTAGAAGCTCGTGGGAGAATAAAAACTGATGTGACGGCAATAAATCGTCGACACTCATTTGTGGCTGATGGCAAATTGCATATTGTCGGTGTGAATTCTCTTATGGCGCATAATATCAGAATTCAAACAATGAACAATAAAAATGAAGATTGGAGCATGATTCATTACGAAGATCCGCGCTGGAATAAAGACTTTAAAAACGACTCTTTTGGAGGGTTGTATGCAAATAGCCCACTGATTGAAGTCCCTTATGATACGAAAATTCAAGACTTTTATCCTCTTCCAGACAGAAAGGGAGTCCTTTTCGTCGCAACATTTCGCCGGCGAGAGTTCAAAAATCTTCCTTTTGCGCCTTCTTCGATGTTTGGATTCGTCGATAATTTACTTTTCACAAAAGCTGAATACTTCATCATTTTGTACAGACATTTATCTGGACGGTTTATCCGTGTGGCGAATGTTGAAACGAACTTCAGAAATGGGGGAAATCTATTTTTTCCTTTTTACAAGGATATTAATGCCTTTGAAACGGGTTTCGAAAAAATATATTAAAAAAAACAAAGAAATTTCGGACTAAACCAAAAAATGGAAGGGGAGGTTTCTAGAACCGACAAAAAATTTCGACAAAGTTTCAACCAATCAGAAGCCTGTATTCGGCAAACCGGCCAATCAGCAGCCGAGTAGCCCCCACGCAAAATTTGTCAAAATTTTTTTGTCGGTTCCAGACACCATCCCAAATGGAAGTGCATTTTTGGATAACCAATAAGATCGCTGTATTTGGACAATCAGCCAATCAAAACCCTGATCTGGAAAATCACTTCCATTTTTCGGTTCTGCCCGAAATTTGAATACTTTGAAAACCAATGAGAGAATTAAATGGCGACATCATGATATTTGGCAATTCAGAGGAAGATTCCTTCAAGCTCGTCTTTGACTCGGAAGATGAGGTTCACCTCGAAACAATCAAAACACCTGGCCTTCATTTCGTTTGCACTTGAATTTAATATTTTATTTTTTATTTATTTCCTGACAAAATTTTTTGTTCACTGAAAAGTTTTTTTCTGAAACAAATTTTTTGAAAAATAAAAAACTTTCTAAAAAGAAAATTTGGAAGGAATTGCAAATCACGAAGGGAACTTTCTCAAGCCGGATAAGTCCACTTTGTATGGATGACTAGCAAGCATGCGCTCGTGAACCGCAAAGCTAAGAAAATCGGTACCTGTGGGCTAAACATTTGTAAATAGAGTTCATTGTAACTAGCCTCATTTACGTCGAATTAAATACTGTTTTTCATCGTTCAATACGGGAGAGACGATTATTTGGGGTAATAAATGATCTTTTTAGAGCCCCAAAACCTAGACATTTTCGTTTTTATCATGTGTCGATATTGAATCTTATAAAAATCAGCCAAGCGCGAGTCTGCTTCCGGAAACATTCCTACAAATTCACAATTCCCGAAAAATCATTTGTTATTTGAAATTTCCATAGCGACATTTTGAGCTGCCAAGATACGGAACTTTCAGTCGTCATTTCATCATTATCCTACCTTTCCTACCTTTTTAATGCAATTTGTCATAAAAGAATAAATAAAATTTTCAGAGCATTATTCATTATTATCTGAAGAATGACAAATCGCCATAAATGAAGATTTACGTTGTGCGTCAGAACGTAAAATCTGGACATGAGCCGTAATAAAAAATCGGAGAATGAGCAATTTAGATGATCTATTTTCCATTTTTCCCACGACAAAGCAAATTTACAAAAATAAATAAATATATGAAAATTTCTCTTCTATATCTTCATTTTTACGAATTTATAAGTCTTCAAAAAGGGCTTTTTTATGTAATTATGAAAATAAAGCTTCAATGAAAAACTGGCATAAATGAAGAAAAATATCGAAAAAGCCATGAGACCGTTTCGAGACAAAACTTTTCTCGTCGAGGGATCATGTGATTAGATGGGTTGTATTGTGATTCTAGTCGGAGGGGATAAGTTTGGACGATGCGTAAAAAGCGCGGCCGATTTTTATTTACGACGAGTTACTAGCGACTAGCGCCAAATTAGAAGATTGTTGACGTCGATTCCTCGCGCTCATTATTCAGCACGACTCTCAAGAATCGTGAATAACCTTTTACCTTAAAAATTCCAGAGGAAGGTCAAATACTATTCATTACTTAAAAAATCGACAGAGAAAAAGAGAGAAAAAAGGAAGAAAAAAAAGAAAAACAAGAATTTTTTGATCAAAAAAGGCGCTAATCAAGATATGGTCAAAGTAAGTTCCCCCCAATTAAGGGTGTCCCCCTTATTCAACGCAATTTTCAGTACATTGTCGCTGGCTATCACAAGACAGGAACAAAATCACTCTCTGCCGCTTTCCGCTCCCTCGGTCTTCGGGTCTACGATGCTCCCGGTAACTCCCCTCCCTTTTCCCCCTCAACTTTCTCCCTAGAAATTCATCTGTACATGAGAACGACTTGGATCGACTTCCTCGCGGGAAAAATCACCATTGAAGATGTAGCAGACGAGTACGAGAACCAAAACGTCGATGTCATTGTCGACTCTCCCGGCTTCTTCTTCTGGAAAGAGTTCCACAGAATTTGGCCGAAGGCAAAAGTGATTTTGACGGAGCGAGATAGTACTGAAATTTGGTGGAGGAGCGCAAAGAGCTTTTTCAACAATTTGAATCAATGGGCGCCCTGCAAATACGGCTGGTTTTTCAACTATCTTTCTCCGACTGCCTACTCTACGCTGGTGGGTCTTACTTATCCGATGATGTTGATGATTCATGGAACGCTGAAGATGTACGTCCAGCACGCGGATTTGGACAATCCGTCTGTTATGAACATCATGATGTAAGTTTCCAAAGAGATTGGTCGATAAATGACTAGGGTTAGGGTTAGGGTTAGGGTTTTCTTTTATCCAATTTAGAGCACGATACGAAGCCCACAATGCATACGTCAAATCCGAAGCCGACGAGCGCTTCCTCATCTACAACGTCAAACAAGGCTGGGGACCACTTTGCGAGTTTATGGGGATCCCAAAAATCGCCGGTCCAATTCCTCACCACAACCAGTCCAAAACCAAAAACGATACGAGAGAGTTCATGGATGATATGATGACGCCTTTCGTGAATCAATGCAAAAAAGAGGTCGGGAAACATGTGATCATTTTCATTTTTCTTAACTTGTGTGTAGATCTACATAACTCTGACGGCGATCGTGATTGGCCTAATTGGCATGGGCGTCGCAATTGCCTTCATCGTTAAACATCAAACGTAATTTATGAACCCATTGACCCTGTTCATCAATCAGCTGACCGAAGAAATGACGAATTCGATGCTTTATTCTGAATCTTCAAAAATGACGCTGTCTCAACTTCTTTCATTTTTTCTTCAATACAGTTTATTTTCTTTGTTGTAATTCAAAGTTAATGCCCGAAAAATAAACAAACTAGGACATCAGTAAGTCAAGAAATATAAAAATTAACTCGTCAAATTGATGCTTCTGATTTGTGATAGAGAGAATATATATTTGAAGACTCGGATAAATGGCAGTAAATGACAGTGAAATCATATTATTCTTCTTTCGACTTATTAGTCCTCGTTCTCGATGGCTTTTCCGAAGACGAATTCAACGTCGTCGAGGTTGGCTAAATTCATTTTTAACAATTTTTTGATGCGAGAGTTCTTACGTTTGTCGTCGATGTCGAAGAACTCGTCGAGCATTTCTTCGTAATCGTCATCTGAAGACATGAATGAAGAGTTTTTTCAAAGAAAATCTTACCGTAGTCATCATCATCATCGTCTTCTTCGTCATCATAGTCGTCGATGTCGTCGATATCGTCGTAGTCTTCATAATCGTCGTAGTCATCTTCATCGTCTTCGATCAAATCCATGTCGAAGATGTCATCGTAGTCCTCGTCGTCGTCAGCATCATAATCGTCGTCGTCGTAGTCGTCAATGTCTCGTCGAGCTCGAGTTTTTGCTTCAACAGCTCCTTAATAAGAAGTTCTTATATTTATTTCTTGCGCAATTTCTAGAGATCAAAGCTCAAAATCATTTGATTTTTGAACAAATATCGGTCTACTAGAGTTCTTACCGGTCTCTGAGACAGCTAAGGCGCAAGCTGAAGCGACGAAAAATGCGAGGATTGAAGTAAGAAGCTTCATCTTTTGTCTTTTCTGAAGTTGAAAATCTCTTTGGAGCCCAGTTTTCTGATCTGAGCAAATTCTACAAAAGAAGGAACAACAAAAGCGCTGCTCTAGAAAGTTTCCAGTGATTATCAAAATTTTCCGTTTCCATTTATTTCAAAATATATTTTTAAAAAAGATAAGCATTTGAGTCGAGTTCTTGCATCTTGATCGCTGTCAGATTCTTCAGAAGAGCAGCAGCGTATCTTGTTCCATCAAACATATTCTGAAAAAAACTCTTGTGAATAATTATTATTGTCAATAATTTATTGAGGACTTTCAAACCTGGACGATGAATTTTTGCGTTTTCTTGTCATTTGTATCTTCATAAAACAAGTCCTGTTGAATGAGTTTTCCGATAACTTTCATGTTGTTTGCTTGATCCACGACTGTGACTCCGTAGTCTCTTAAGAATTCTTGAAAGTGGTGTACTCTTGGTTGTTGAGAAACTGAAAGGTCGGAGTCATTGACTTTTGGCCGATCCGCTCAAAGTTGCAAATTTGCTGAGCTGAGTGAGCTGAGCTGGCTGAGTGATTTTGGAAAATTATTTGATCTACTCAGCTCAGCTCAGAAAATTTTCACTCAGCTCAGCTCAGCTCAGCTCAGCTCAGCTCAGCTCAGCTTAATTATTTTCGAACATGATCTGTTCTGCTAAGCTCAGCTCAGACAATTATCACTTAGCTCAGCTCAGCTCAGCTCGATGATTTGAATACAATTTTACTACGAAAAACAGTAAAAAACAGCTCAGCTCAATCAGCTCAGCTCAGCTAAGCTCTCATTAGAGTCCGCTCAGCTCAGCTCAGCTCAACTCTTTTAGACATAAGGTCTGCTCAGCTAAGTTCCGCTCAATGACCTCTGAAAAAGGCCAGCTCAGCTCAGAAACCTCCAAAATAGGCCAGCTCAGCTCAGCTCAGCTCAGCTCAGAAAAATTAATCAAAATTTGCAACTCTGGATCCGTTGGGTTTTGGGCGATTCTCGAGGAATGAGTTGTATTGATAATGTTTAGCTGCATGATTCTCGCTGAAAAATTATTTTCTGTCATATTAGGGGTTTCTTTTCAAACCTGTTTTGAGTCTCTCACGGGGATTCGAACTTGAAAAAGGTAGCATAATGAAGATATTCTCAGTTTGTAACAAACACTAATGAAATCAGCGGAATCTTGAAAGTTTATACGACTCTTAGTTGGCCCGGTAGATTATAACGACTTGAGAAAGTATTTTATTAGTGTTGCCGAAAACACGAAAACCTCAATAAAAAATAACTGAATTTTTGGGAGTTCAGTTAATAGCGCCGCTTTGCGCCGCCCAGTTCCGCTTGATATTGCTCATCTCGAAGATTTTTGGCATTTTAATGATGATTTTTTTGTTATCGAATCAAAATGTTTATTCTCGTATATGACCACCAGAAAAATGAAAACTCATAATTTAGGGTGTTAGTAGTGGGAGTCTAAATTATCTCCAGATTTTGGCATAAAATCATCAATTTATTAAGCACGCGACGGGCCAGAGGTCCTTACGCGCGCATTATCTGGTAGAGAACTCATGTGGTTGGCGGGGCCCAACTCTCGCTCTTGTTCCGATCACTTAGTTTGGTCAGGATTTGGTCAGACGAGACCCGGTTTGTACCTTACCGGGCGGCGCAAGGCGGCGCAAGGCGGCGCAAGGCGGCGCTATTCAGTACCCCCGAATTTTTATATTTCATGGAAAACAGTAATTTTATTTTTTTCATTAATTAACTTGTAAAGACACAGAAACAAATACAAGTAAATACTGTAAGTTGCAGTCATCGAGTGGAAAAACGATATATTTTAACAAACCACGGTCAGATTCTTGGTCTTGTTTCAAAAACGAAATGTTTTTACTTCTGTTTTCCGTTTCAAGACCATTTTTAAAAAAGGCGGGCATCAGAATCCACAACTTCCATTTTGATCCCCGTCAGATTTTTGAGAAGAGCAGCTGAGTACCTTGTCCCATCAAACATGTTCTATTTATAAAATTCTTAACCGAATCAATTCTTTAATTTTTACCTGAATGATGTATTTTTGCGTTTTTTTCTGCTCCGACTCTTCATAGAATTTGTCCTGCTTGATAAGTTTTCCGATGACTTTCATGTTGTTCGCTTGATCCTGCGCCGTCCTTCCATAATCTCTGAGGTATTCTTTCAAGTGATGGACTTTTAAGTCTTGAGAATATTCGATGTCAGAATCGTTGACTTTCGGCCGATCTGTTGGATTTTGAGCGATTCTCGACGAGTAGGTTGTATTGATGACATTTCGCTGCATAATTCTCGCTGAAAAGAGGTTTTTCTGTGAATTTATATTTTTTAAAATTACCTGTGTTTAGTCTCTCACGGGGATTCGAAGAAGAAAATCTCATAATTCTGCTCTTAAAATACCAATATTTCTTTTTTTAAAATAATGTAATGTAAAAGAAAGAAAACTAAGCGTTAAAAAAGTCCGTTTCTATGCCAAAAACCAGTCAAAATACATAGAGACGTCGCTTGGCCAATTTTTTTTCCACGAATCAATGACGTCCGCGTCTATTAGCTTTCCCTTTTGAAGGGAAATCATGCTGACTTGAAGAACAGCGCCGGTCTATCAGTAACAAATGAAAATCGTGAAAATCAGTCTCTGATTTCCTATAATGAATCCGTTTTCTTTGACAACTAACTTTATAATCATTTTCTATATCTTTAATTTTATCAAATAAATTAGATTCCAATTCTTAGAAAAGCGCTTATTCTTAAAAATGATTATGTAAACTCGATTATTTATAAAGAAAATTTGCTGAATAGACAAAATAAAAAAGATGGCATGAGTAGAGGCTCGTTTTCATTAAACTTGGCGGAACAATGCCTGTGATGCTTGCTGCTCATTCTTTGCCAGAGCTGCTCCCGTCGCCGAAAAGAAAACACTCAGCAGCACTCTTGAGTTGTCACTCGTTTTTGCTCTTTTCGAAGAAATCCAAAGATAGAAATATATATAAAGAGGTAAGTAACCAAATTTCTTTATCGGGAAGCCTTCAGATCCATGATAACCTGTGTCAAAACCTGAGTCAGGGTTTAACACAGGTCGCCGATCTTTAGAGACGGTTTTTGAAGGAGAGAATCTGATCTTTTTCTAGAATAATCTTAGAGTTCATGCCCTGGTACTTTTCTGCCGGTAAATTAAGACCCTCTCCCTTGAGAGACTAGAAAGTTCTTTGCGGCTTTCATTGTCAATGGGCCTAATTTCCTCATTTATGAAAATGCTCTGGTCTGAATCCGCTGTGACGAAGACGTTATGCTTTGCAACCACTAATGGATATATTTACGGCGCATTCATCCATGAACGAGACTGAGATATAAAGTTCTCTCTTTTAGCTTCAGAGAGCGAAGAGTTTAACTCAAAACTGCTTCTAGGAAAAAATTGAAAACGGGAAATTTTAAGTGATTTGGGAGACATAAAAGAGAATGAAGATTTTAGCAGCACTTGGAGTTGGCGTTTTGAGTCAAAAGAATGATGGTACTACTACCACATCAGGTAAAATCTATTGATTTTCAGTATGAATTTAACAAGATGACACCCTTAGCGGATTTTTTTCAAAACCGTTTTTTAGCAATGCCTTCAACGAAAACAACGACTCGAAGACCAACAAAACCGCCAATGACAACCACCCCATTCGACATGGAACCAAGTGGAGAGTATGAGGAAGACATGGGCGACTTCAACTACACTGACAAACCAGACTACGAAGATGACGATCATCATGACGATCATCATGATGACTTCGAAAAACCCGCGGAAGGCGAATGCAGTAGGGAAGCAATGAAAGACTGGAGGCATGCGATGGAGAAGTGGCAAAAGAGCTACAAAGGTAAGAATCGTAAAAAGAACGAAATAATCACAGAAACAGATTGGGAAGAGATGATGGAGCATCATAAGCACGATATGGGCGGATCTTACAAGCCGGATGGAGAAGGATCTGGCTGGTTTGACTGGATGGGCGACTGGGGAATTGGATCAGGTACGTTTCCGAAATGGTTTTTTGTCGTAGTCAACCAAATCATTCAGGTTCTAACGATAACTACGACCACGACGACAACTACTACGGATCAGGAGACGACTACTACGGCGGATCGGGAGATATGGGCATGGATTACGGCGATGACTCAGGCTTCTGGTCTCAAATGGGCGAGTTCTTAGAATTCCTTGGCACTGAGGGTAATTACCGTGCCAAAAATGGATCCGGTTGATTGGGTATTTTAAGAGTTCTGTCATCTGCTGCCACTGGCTGTTCCGGACTATTTGGAGCCGGAAATGTGGAGGGATCAGTGCTTGTATCAACAAAAAACGTGAGAATATGGGGAGGAGTTAAATGTGGTTATGGTTTTTTTAAAGGCAAATGGCGTACAATAATTTGATCAATGAATTGATGGCTGGGATGATCTCCCCCTCTGAGGCCTCGTCTGGAATCTGTGGCCTGATAGCTGGCGAAGTCGAATACATGCATAAAAATGAGCCCGATTTTATGATGTACGCTTCGCCGATTTTGAAACACTTCGAAGGCTCGTGCAAATGCGCGGTGAAGAACATCATCAACTTGTGTAAGTTCATCGATGAGCAGAAAGTGAAAAACGTCAGAATTAAAACCTGCGAAGTAGTCATTGTTGCACTTTTGTTCGTAAAGCTCAAGGTGTTTTACGAAACAAAAAGGGAATTCAGCAGGTTAAAGCCGCTGAGAATTGACCTGCCTTTTAACTTGGGAGAAGTTAATTATCCATTGTTTCGGTCTACCGGACTCGGAAATAATCAATTTTTAGTCTCTGATGATTTGAGCCCAATGTCTGCCCTAACCTGCATCGCTGAAATCGCCCAAGCGGTGAATGAGTTCGACATGTATTCAATGGAATATCCCGATATCAGCGGCGGATATGTCAACTCGACGGTACCAGAGTGGATGTACAACACGACTATCGACCAATTCCGTTAGTAGAATGTCCTCTTTTCGTGTAAAAAAATGATTCAGCGAATGCCACGTATTTTCTGAGCTGGTGGTTTGAAGAAGAACAGCAGATGCAAGAATTCGCCGCAGGATTTCCTTGGTCAATTGAGTACCTTTCCAAAGCAGGCAATACCAACGGTATCCGTTTTTCCCTTTCTTTTTGCCGATTTTTTTTATAGCCACTGAAATTGCCAATGCGTTCATCTATTCCGATGATCTTTCCCAACTTTACAAATACAAAATCAAAGCTCTTGGCCACGATGATCCAGAAGAATTCCGCGGTGTTTTCGCAAAAGGTAAAATTCTCGCTCTTTACTGTCCCTTTATCAAAATTCTAGAGCTGTACATGAAGTTGGGTGAAGACAAAGCAAAATACCTCCTCAACTCAAACTACTCCTTCGACTACGCCGATTTCATCAACATGAGTGGTTCGGAAGCTTTTGCCGGTGCTTTCGGATTTGATCTTCAAGGAGTTCTTAGCCTTCTTTCTATGCCATACGAGAGCTTTGATATGATGAAATGGAACATTATTACGTACTACGAAACTTATGTCAACAGTGAGACTTTTCTTTTTCGAACTAAATTCAGTTTTTCTTAGCTATGAACTCGAAATTCGGATATGTGGCCATTCCAATCAATCATTTTGAAGAATGGACTAGCCAAAAATGGTAATTACTTTTCTTTAAAATTTCTGATAAGAAATTAAAAAGGATCTACTACCACTCCGTCGAAGAAATCAACCAACCCGGATTTGCTGATGCCTTCATTGATATGCACAAAGACGAGTTCCATCAAGATCACGAAACAGGAGAAGAATATGATTCATATAATTCCGTCTAAAAGTAAGCTTGAATCCGTTCAAATCACCATGTCAAATAAAATCCTCTGAAAAATGAAATTATATTTTTCTTCGAGCAATAAAATCTGAATACATATTTCATTTGAATTTTTTTGAATTAAAAACAGTGACTGAACAATCGTAAGGACTACTTCATGTATAAATTAATGCATCAAGAAACAGCTTCTTAAAACTTCAAAGCTTGTCGAAGGCGTTTTCGCTGTTGTACTTGTCGAATCTTTCTGGAAGGAAAAAGTCGTTGATGAGCGATTCTTCTGCCTGGTCAGGGTTGGCGCGGTAGGACGAGAAGTCGGTGATGCCGTATTCTTGCTCGAGGAATTCTTGGTCGACGACGAAGTTGCCCGTGAAATCGGTTCCTAGGGGACTGTCACGGGGATGGGAGAAGAGGATGAGGGTACCTTTTGTGAGGATTCCATAAGCACAGTCGGACATAATCGTATCTAATCTGCAGCCAGCAGAAGCTTGATCGCCTCCAAGCATTTTCATAGCAGCCGTCTAAATTACCCCCTTTTTAAAAAGAATATTGAAAGAAACGTACCCAAATAGCAGTTCGTGGCCAAATGCAATTGACAGCAATGTCGCCTTCGAATTCACCGGCCATTCCGTGCGCGCAGAGAGACATGTTCATTTTTGCGATCGTGTAAGCAACATGGTTTTCGAACCACTTTCGTCGCATATCCAAGGGCTAGGAGAGAGGTTGAAGGGACGAAGAGGGAGGGAGTACTTACAGGAGAGTTGTTGAGAATATGTGGCTCGCGACCGGCATCTTTAGACTCGAGCAGATGAGGAACACATTTGTGGGAGAGCATGTAGGTTCCGCGGCCGTTGATTGAATGCATCAAATCGTACCTAAAGCGAGGTTATTCCGGGGTAAGAATGATTTGAGAACCTTTTCATGCCAGTACTCTGAGTATCAGTCAGCGAAATGGCGGAAGCATTGTTGATCAAAATGTCGATTCCTCCAAATTCTCCAACAGCGGCTGCTACTGCTTGATCCACTGATTTTTCATCGCGAACGTCGACGACCATGGGAAGAGCTCGGCCACCTGCGGCTTCGATTTCTTCCGCGGCGGTGTAGATTGTTCCTGGCAGTTTTGGATGAGGCTCGGCAGTTTTGGCGGCGACGACGATGTTTGCGCTAGAATTCGAGATATATCAGGTATAAATTCAGATTCGAAAATTTCGAAAATTCGAATATTTTGAAGGACCAATAAGATTTTGATTGAAATTTTACGCCAAAGTTTCTCAATTTACGGATTTATTTACGGAAATTTCGATTTATAGAGCCCTAACCCGAACCATCAAACAGCAACTCACCCATCGGCAGCAATTTTCTTCGCCATGGATAGACCAATGCCCCTCGAAGCTCCTGTAATGAAGACAGTATAATTCTTCAATTTTCCGATATTCGCGACTTTACTCATCTTCAATTCGATTCTCTGAAACTGTTTTGATTTTAGGAACCGGCCACGGGGCGGGTTTTTTGGGCAAATTATTTGCACTTGGCAAACGCAATTTTAAAAGTTCTTTGCAAAGGCTTCTAGAATTCTTCTCTCATTGGCCGAAACTCATAAATTCATGAACTCTGGAAAAGGGTCAAAAAACAAAGAGACGCGCCCATTTTTTCTTGCAAAAAAGTGATCCAGCGGTGGAGAGAATGACTCAGCGATGGAGCGCGCGATTTTCAAAATTTTTCATTTTTGGTCAGGACTCCTGACTCAGGACAGAGTTGCAAATATGGTGAGCTGAGCTGGCTGAGTGAGCTGAGCAGTCGCTCAGCTCAGCTCAGCTCACTGATTTTCGAAAATGAATTTATCTGCTCAGCTCAGACAATAATCATTCAGCTCAGCTCAGCTCAATTATTCTCGAACATGATCTGTTCTGCTCAGCCCAGCTCAGACAAGTATCATTCAGCTGAGCTCAGCTCAGCTCAATAATTCTAACACAATTTCACTACTAAAAAACAGTAAAAAACAGCTCAACCCAGCTCACTCAGCTCAGCTCAGCTCAAATTAGGGTCTTCTCAGCTCAGCTCAACTACCTTAAAAGAAGGTCTGCTCAGCTCAGATCAGCTCATTGAACTCCGAAAATGGCCAGCTCAGCTCAGCTCAGCTCATAGAATTTCTCACACAGGGCAGCTCAGCTCAGCTCAACAAAAATAAAGCCGAAATTGCAACTCTGACTCTGGACAAGTTTTCAAATAATTTTAACCCCCTGGCGCACTTAAAACCATAAATTTAATTTATCGATGATAAATATCGACGAATTTTCCTGTGATCTTTCAAAAAAGAAGATTGTCACTCGTGAAACACTCATAAGAATCGTGACTGAGGGGGAAGATTTCGGAATGATCAAAATTTGGTTTATAAAGAACTCTCCTCCCCTATTTTCTCAGTCGAGCGAAGAATAATTTGAAGATGGAAAACTGTAACAAAGCAAAAGAAGGGATCAGCAATCAAGAAAAGCAAATGAGAGAAGTTCAACGCCTCGATGAATTGATACAGTCGATTGTCAACGAGATGAATGAAGAGAGATCAAAGGCTGCTGAAGATTCAGGCATCCAAACGACCATGCAACCGAAAGAAGAAAACGGACAACACTTCCAATGGCCATGACTATCAGGTTTAAATAAAGAAATTCTAATTTTCTACTCAAGTATTTTAGGTCTTCCTTGAAGAATTAATGGCTAAACATCCATTTCCCTAATTTTAACAATAAAATTGTGCATGATCCTGTTGACCTTATTCTAAAAAATAAATTGAAGAGCATTGAAACGTATTATTCATTCTTCCGTTACTTGAGTACCGTAGTACAGACCAGATGTAGTGATTATACACTACAAAGTGATTTTTATCTGAGATGTTTATTCCAGAAAAATGAAAAGTAGAATGATGCAGTAGAAAAGGTGCACTCGTTTTTATAGTTGGTTTCGTGTTCATGGACTGATTCCGTGGACTCGGATTTTACGAGTTCACGAGCACGAGAATTTGGAGTTCACGAAAATGAAAATAATGAGCACTAGAACAGCTAGCGCTGAGCTGTCAGGATTGATTGATAGGAAAGGACAAATATATACATAGTGCAATACAGTATATAAACACTACATATTCCTCCCTCATTATTTGAAGCGAAGCGTAGGGAAAATAGAAATTTCTAACAGATATATCAATTAAAAATTTCACTGAGATTTTCAGGGAAAGATGATTGGTCGTAGTTGATCGGCGAGTTTTTTCGTATTTCGCCTTGATTGATTCTGCTTCTGCTTGCTCGTTTTAGATCATTTCGCGTGTTCTCTTCAAATTCTCTATGTAAGCGATGGGTAGAAAATCAACTGGAATGATGATGTTGAAGATCGCTGGTACTAAAAAGCGTTGCACGATCCTTTTCGGGCGAGCGGGGAAAAATAAAGATATCATTTTCAAGATTTTTCATTTTTGGATTTTTCTCGTTTTTACGATTCTAGCGCTGCTAGCCAGGTACCAGTCGGGACTCGGGCGCGACCGGGATAATTGCTGAGGGCGCTCAGCCGTGACGCGCTCCAATTCTGTTCCAACGCGAGGCGAATTTTGTGCTGGAATTTTTCTCGGGCATAATAAGGCATTATTTTGATTCTTCGCTGAAGAATGAATCGATACATCATTAAGTCGCATGACAAAGAGTCATCCTCCAAATAATTTTGCTTGTTTATCTTCGCTGAAGATAATAATTCTTTGATTTTTGACAAAATACGCGCAGATTTATAAAACGCACAATTCATTGCTAGATCAATTTGCGTGCGGCGCTTTTGGAGAAGTTGACGGCGTTTTCAGTAAGCTGTGATGTTTTCGCTGAAGACTATCACATAAACCGCTCCTAACGAGCTGGAGGCGGTTTCAATTATTGGTGAAAATCTTCGCTGAAGATTTGTCGAGTTGTCGTTGATTTCTTGTTAGTTGATTTTGAATTTAACTTCGCTGAAGTTTGAGTTGATACTGTCGCATGACGTGTTTAAGTTGAGCTGATATTTCCTTCGCTGAAGATATCAGTGCAAATGCCGCTATTCTCGCTAAGAATATTCGAAGTTTTCGATTTTAGAAAGGTTAATGATATGTGCCAATTGGAAAGGTAGCATTTTGTTGTTTCCACAGCCGTGCTCGAAATGAACATATCAGAACTTAAGGTCTTCTGTTCGATTGTGGCCACGTGAACAGCTGACGTAAGAAAAGATAGCGGAACATCTCAAAGGCTGGCCATCTTTGACTTGTTGGTTTTGCGGCGGTCATTCAATGGGGTTTTTAACGACGATTTATCAGTTTATGTTGAGGTCCCTTCTCTGTGAGCTACCATTGAATTTTGTGTAAGTCGGACGTCCATGGTCTTTAAATATTGGCAACCACATACGCTGTATGCGGATTTAAGACAAGGGTTGTGAAGATCCATCCTCCCCCTTTTTATTTATTTTATCGCTTTCGCAGATGCAAATGCTTTATTTTGCATTTAGTTTACGTCGTAGTTGAACGTTGTCTCCGGCGACATCATTCACGCATTGTGGGAATCGGCTGATTTCTTCTGCTAGAAGATTTTGCATTGTTTGAATTGCGGTACAATTTTGTATAATGATAACATATCATATTGGAAGATCTCTGTGATTAATGGTTGAATGAAGCTCTGCTGAGTTCGATGTCCGCAAGACCATTTGTTTAAAGGCATGTCAGAAGTTAACGGGTCGCATTTTAGACTGGTCGCGCTGCAAACCAGTTTTTTGTTATCATTCTTTTTAATGGACAAAATTTTGGATTTGATCGCTGATCTGGCTAGGATTAGCCATTTGGTGAGGCAAGCGTCGTTTTCGTTTCAGTGCGTATATTCGGTATCCATTTTGGAGCAAGAAAAGAACGGTTTGTAATGCAGGTGTTCATTTTCGAATTGATCTTTCTAGCTCGTTTGCTCTCTTGATGATCGTTTTGATATTCAGCTTGTCTTTTTCCCGCAGAAGAAGTTCTTTCATTTTACCATTTTGACACTGACAGAATCTCTCGACAAGCAGTTCTTCGTCAATTTTACGAAGATCTGCGACATTATAACCTTGCTTGAAGTAGGAACAGAGTTTAGCCATCGCGACACCAAAAGCATCGGATCCTTTTTCGTAGTTCTCGAACTGAAACTTGTAGTAGTCTCTCGTTTTTCCAAGGCAGTCGAGCATTTTTGTTTTGAAGGAGTTCCAATCTTTCAATTCACTAAGTGAAAGTGATGACGCAATGTGGCTGCCATCGTCATTTGCTAGCAAGCTGGTCAAAGCTACAGTGATTAGCTCTTCATCATTAAGGGCAGAGACTTTGCCGAAAATTTCCAGGCTTTTGATCCATGAGCTGATGGGTAGAGTCGAGTCATATTTTGGAGTTTTGACATTCACGTTTTTCATAGCGCGCGTCGGAATAACTCGAGTAGTTGGCGGTGCTGGATTCTGGTTTTCAAGCTTAGGGATGTTTACATCCTTGTCGCTTTCTCGAAATGCAGCCAGCAACATTTTGATTTCACTGACGCTTATTTCTCCGGAATCAACAAATATTGCAAGCTCTTTTATTGCAGGATCATTTTCGACGTGATCATTCTTGGGTTTTTGTGTTTTGTTGTCTCTGATATGTCTGTTTGACATTTTTAGTGGATATCTCTTTCGGGGGTAGGGAAATTAAAATACTCAGTCACCAATTTGTAGTGATTATACACTACAAAGTGATTTTTATCTGAGATGTTTATTCCAGAAAAATGAAAAGTAGAATGATGCAGTAGAAAAGGTGCACTCGTTTTTATAGTTGGTTTCGTGTTCATGGACTGATTCCGTGGACTCGGATTTTACGAGTTCACGAGCACGAGAATTTGGAGTTCACGAAAATGAAAATAATGAGCACTAGAACAGCTAGCGCTGAGCTGTCAGGATTGATTGATAGGAAAGGACAAATATATACATAGTGCAATACAGTATATAAACACTACACAGAGTTGCAAATTTAGTGAGCTGAGTGAGCTGAGCTGGCTGAGTGAGCTGAGCAGTCGCTCAGCTCAGCTCAGCTCACTGATTTTCGAAAATGAATTTATCTGCTCAGCTCAGCTCAGCTCAGACAATAATCACTCAGCTCAGCTCAGCTCAATGATTCTAACCCAGTTTCACTACTAAAAAACAGTAAAAAACAGCTCAACCCAGCTCACTCAGCTCAGCTCAGCTCAAATTAGGGTCTGCTCTGCTCAGCTCAGCTCAGCTCAAATACCTTAAAATGAGGTCTGCTCAGCTCAATGGCCAGCTCAGCTCAGTGAGCTCCGAAATAGGTCAGCTCAGCTCAGCTCAGAGAATTTCTCACATAGGGCAGCTCAGCTCAACGAAAATATAGCCAAATTTGCAACTCTGGTACAGACAACCCCTACAGAAGGAGATCTCAGTGGCGATTCACCTGTTTCCTCTCCTGGATTACCCTCGTCGCTGGCGGGGATGAGCCCTCGTCGGTCCGGGATTTCAGGGTCGCGATTCGTCTTCTTTTGTGGGCGGCTCGACACTTATTTTCGTTTTATATGCGTGTTTTAGTTTCTTAAAACTTCCAAGACAACACTCTGTCGCAGTCTGGATTTGAGATTTCGAGCAAAAAGAAAGAAGGATGAAAGACATTAAAATGCTTATAGAGGCGTTTTTTATGTTTGATCAAGATGGAGGTAAGAAAATAATTAAAATAGCAAGTTTATACTACACTAGTATCACTCTTTGTTAACTAAGAGCTTTGCTCGGTAACATGTGTAGAAAACCTGAGTCAGGGTTTTTCTTAAAATGTTATCAGAACCCTGACTCAGGTTTTCTAGGGCGTTTAAAAATATAGACCGATTTTTTTCTAAAAAAAGATTACCTTATGTTTTCCTAGTTTACCAAGTGATACCCTTATTTACCGCCTGAGCTCGGCATCCAGAGTAAAAAGCTTGAGTCAGGGTTTTTTCTTCAAATGTTTTAAGAACTCTGACTCAGGTTTTTTTCCCTGGATGCCGAGCTCAGGCGGTAAATAAGGGTATCACTTGGTAAACTAAAACAATATAAGGTAACCTTCTTTTAGAAAAACTTCGGTCTTTATTTCTATATTTTTAAACGCCCTAGAAAAGTGACGTGTTGTTTGAAAATTCTTGACATTTTTTTTCATTCAGACGGGACCATAACTGTCAAAGAAGTCGACAACGTTTTCAAACAATTGGGCGAATCGCGCGAGAGCGCTCAACAATTCATGTTTGCTACTAGCGGTCTTGTTTTTGGGAATAATTCAAAATAATTATAGAAACGCGATAGATTTGGACGGCGATGGTACTATTGATATGATAGAGTTTATCACGTTTTTGGTCGAAAGGGAAAACGGGTTCAAAACAGGACTTTTTAATGAAAATATACAGTGGTGAACCCTTAAAAGCTCAACGAATTTACAGGAGTTCGAAGCGTCTAATTTCAGCGAGGTATTTTCAATCTTTGATGCGGATAAGGATGGGCTCATCTCGGCATGCGATTTAAGGTATCCAATTCAGTCGATTTACTCTGTAGAAAGTTCATAATGGAAGATTTCTTGATAGATGTATTATATAAACAAAAAGGACGAAAAATCACCTGAATTTTTGAGAAAGTTTTTTTCTGAAATCTGATTGGCCATCTGGCCGAACTCGTTCATCTGGTTGGTCAAAAATTCGACCAAAATTTTGGTCAAAATTAACGGAATTTTTTGTAAAAGAACACCTTATTGGTCAATCTGTCTTCATTAGTTTTTGAGTACAAACTGCATTACCTGTTCTGTCTTCCAGACATTCTTTTTTGCGAAAGCTTTTTTTAAACGATGTCTGTTTGATATTTTAATACTACAGTCGAGCGTGCCTAAAATTACTTTTACCATGTCATATTTGGCGGTGAGACAATTTTCGTTTTCTCACTAAATTCCGCGGTTTGAGACCCATCTTTTTAGAATCGCACTGGCAAAACTCGGCTTTGAGATTTCTTCAGAAGATGCTGCCAACATGATTCAAGTGGAAACCCACAACGGAAGCGATTATCTGACGTACTTAGGCAGCAGGTGGAAACAGCGATTCTGTTCTGTTTGAAAAATAAGCAAGTCTACAAGCCAACTTCAAATTAAAACTCATTATCTTCGAGTGAAAACAGAGGACACAGGTTCTTTTTCATGGCGTCATTATATTTTTTGGTGATGATAAAGTACTCTTTGGCTTTTAGGTCAAAAGTGATGTTTACAGTTCTATGTAACAGTCTATTTTCCCCTGTTTTTTCCATAACATAATTCGAAGCACTAAGAAGGTACTGAGTGGTACTGATAAGAGCGTTATCTCGGGTATTTAGGAAATACTTTGCATTTTGAGGAGCAGTCTTTTCTTTTAGAGAATTTCTATTTCCAAATGATTCTTGGAAGAGCTCTAACCCTAACCCTAATCCAGGGTTCCAATTTTGCTGAGCGATGGAGTGGATTTTGAGCGGAGTGGAGTGGAGCGTGAGCGGAGTGGATCCACTCCACTCCACTCGCTCAGCCTATATTTTTAGTATCCACTCATTCGCTCCACTCCACTCCAACCTGTAAAATCTACTTTGGAGTGGATTTTGAGTGGATGGAGTGGATTTTGAGTGGATGGAGTGGATTTTGAGCGGATGGAGTGGATTTTTGTCTTTAGCGCCGCTTTTCTCGTATTCTGATTGGAGAGCGAGTTTGGTCTATTTTTAAATGAAGAATCAAATTCTCTAAGGGGATAATCAAGAGAATAAATCACTGACATAATATCAGGATCAACCTTTAATTTAGGACCAACTTCTTGATAAAAGTTTGATGATCAGACCCCCTCTAAAACCCTTTTTATCTCGAAAAATGAAAGGCTTGCTCACGGCGTGCAAAGAAGACTTTGGTTTCTGTCTGCTCGTGGGGGTCGAACCTTTTTCAACCTCTCTTCTTTACCCCCTCTTTCTCTTCTCTTCACCCCCATTTTCTGAAAACCCCTATTTTTCAGAAAAGGAAAGGCTTGCTCACGGCGTGCAAAGATGACTTCGGTTTCTGTCTGCTCGTGGGGGTCGAACCTTTTTGTTCCCCTGCTCTCTTTAAACCTTTTTGATAACTAAACCCTCCCCCCCAACGACCCATTATAATCGATTTAAGAATGAAACGACCCTGTTTGTTCCTCAGTACCTCATGAACTTCAAGGTTGCTAAGAATATATCTTCCATTAGTCAATGCTTCCGAGAATATAATTGTAAATTGCCTAAAAATATGAGAATAAAATCGTTTAAAAAAAACGGCCTCTCGACCCTTTTTTGAGTGTATTGTAAGGTGCATGAAATGCAAAAAAAAATTTTTTTTTTAATCGCTCAAACTTCCCTAAAAATCCGCTCAAAATCCACTCAAAATCCACTCCGCTCACCCACTCCACTCGCTCAACCATTTTTTTCATCCACTCACCGCTCCACTCCGCTCAAAAAATTTTTTGGGCTATCCACTCATCTCTCCACTCCACTCCAAAATTTTTCGGCCAAAATTGGAACCCTGCCCTAATCAAACCAATGCCTCTTGTTTCCCCAATATCAGAATTCTTCAAAATCATCCAGGGCAAAAATTTTAATAACTTCGCGAAGAAAATCGATATGAGAAAATCAGTTTGACTGTATGAAAACACCATCATTCTGTACAAAGCTTTTTGATACGACTAATAAACATTTTTCTTTCTGCTTTCGAACGTTCACCTTCGTCTTCCACCGACTTTTTGTGGCAAATGTGGATTTGAATAATCGCAGATTCCTCGACGTGGAGTCTGAGCAGCGCAAACGTAGGCACGCGGTAGAGAGCACCACCGCCGCCACCAACCATCCTGGCGATTACCAACCGCCCGCTCAGTTCCCTCTCAACTCTCCCAACGAAAAGAAATAAGCTTTTCGTAAGAGAAACCCAAAATGAAGATTTTTGCGCCGCTCCTTGGGGTGACGCTCGGCAATCAAGAGATGGACGATAGGTACGTTTTCTGATGATATTTTTTAGGCATTTCTCGTGACATCCTTATTTTAAATTTATAGTTTTTGCTTATTTTTTCGTTTATTAGTCCATTTTTTTCTTATTTCTGAAATTTTATTATTCTTATTATTTATTAATTATATTATATAAGACTATCATATTATATATAATATTATATAATAATAATATTTCAAAAATAAAAAGGATAAAAAAAAATTTGATGACTCATTTTACTGAAAAATCGTCGGTAATCGTCAATTTTTTAAATTTTGAATTCAAAATTTTCTGATCAAAAAATTTCGCGAAGTCATTCGATCAGTAAAAACCTTGACGCAACACGTGCTGGCGATATTAGAGGGTTGTTAAAATTGGTAAAGTACAACGTGCGAGAGCGCCCGCGGTCAGAGCCTCTCTCCAAAAGCCCTCTCTTTGATCCGCCGATCCTCGACTTCCTCTTCTATGATGGACTGACGCTGCACAGATACGCAGCACTAGAACTTGAAGAATCGATGCTTCGTTTCGAACTTGTTTTTGGACAAAATAGGGTTTTGGTGTTTTTGGCATAATAGAAGTTGGAGGACCGGGCAGTAATTGTCAGCCATTTATTTGACAGTAAATAGAACGCGTTGTTGCTCCGTGGAACTTACGAGATCCGGAGTAATGGAACATTCTTTTATTTTCCATACAGTAAGGACGACGCAAGTCAATTTCGAAAGGAAGGGTTTTTCTTGTTGAAATTTTGTCGCGCTTAGCAAAATTTGCAACTCGATCCTAAAATTGCTCTTTTCTAGTCCAGCTCTTCAACGTGCCGCCTCATTCGCCGGTGGGCGCGATCGAGTATGTGGATCGTACCGATCGATGCACAACGGAACTATTGCCGAAACCGTCGAACTTGGGCCAGAAGAAACTTGCATCTTCCGATTCAAGGCCGACAACGAACATCTTCTCGAGATCATCAAGCTGCAGTTGGATGTCGACTGTGACGCTGGTGAGATGTGGCTCTTTACTGACAATGAACAGATGGGACCCTTCTGTAACGACAGCAAGCGAAAGCGACGATCTATCCACGAGCACGGTAATTTTGACAATACCTTTACCCCCCAGACGACTAAACGAACAACTACTCGTCGACCAACCACGACGAGAAGAACCACGACTAGACGAACAACTAGGGCACCTCAGCCACAAACCACTAAGGCGACAACACAAGCCCAAGTGGATAATGAAGGCAGAGTTTGAAACTTTCTCACATTATATGTAGTGAGCGAAGTCACTCAGCTTTCATCACTTTAGCACTGACCAAATTCTTTTGTCGGGTTGACACTCATATTTTGCGGGATGCAGATTGTGGGAGGCCCTGTGGTTTAACTCTTTTTGCTTCGATTTGGTGAATAGCTGTTTTAAACTTTGACAAGAACCAGAAGAGGAAACCACTTCTAATGTCGATCCAGGAACCCCTAGCACCTTCGAATTCTCCAATTCAGATGCGTCCATGCTCGAGGGATCATCTTACGACTCCTCCGAAGTCGATATGGTCATGAAGAACGGCCAGCGCATCAAGTTCTCATTTGGCTTCAATTTCAACTTTGAGCTCCTTCCCGGTCTTCCTACTGCTGGCAGTGGACTTTGCGGCTGGAAGAACATCAAGGCCTCCAACTCTGCCTTTTACGCTATCAAGGATCAAGCTTCTGATCCAGAACAAGCTATGGCTGTCTATGCTGATCTCACCGAGAGCATGTACGAGTTCAACTGCTACTTCGATAAATTCAGAAGCGAATGCGGTGGCTCCTCTCCCGTCAAAGTCCAATGCCATCACACCAAATGGGGCAACTCCGAGAAGCCCCTCCTCAAAAGCGTCGAAGCCATCATCGATGCCCAATGCGCTGACTGCTCTGCCAACGGAATCTGCTCCGACTGGTACAGCAAGCTCGGTCTCCTCCAAGGATTGATGGGCGACGGCGGCAGCTATGAACCATACAATGTCGTTACCGAGGCTCCAGAGCCAGAGTGCGATTATGGCCAGCAGTACAACGGTCAATATTGCGAAAACATCTGCGCCGACGGCGAGGAATATGGCGAAGATGGCTGCTACACTCCTTGTGATGAAGACCAGTGTGCTGCTGACAACGCTTGCCCCAACAACTCCATCTGCACTGATTTGTGCGAAGGCTACGAGTGCACTTGCGAGGAGGGCTACCACAATCACGACGGCAAGTGCTGCCACGATGATCGATGCGCCACCGTCGAGTGCCCAGCTAACTCATCCTGCCAGAATAATGGATGCACCAAGTACAAGTGCGTCTGCGATGACGGCTACGTTAAGGACGCCTATGGCGAGTGCGTCGAAGAATGCGATGTTGATCCTTGCGCCGGAAACCCCTGCGGAGCCAATGCCAAGTGCAACGCTCAATGCAAGGGATACGAATGCACCTGCAAAAACGGCTACTCCGGTGAGGACTGCACTCCAGATGACCTTTGCGATTCGTACTACAAGCCAAACTGCAAATCTTGCGAAAGATGCAACAACGGCGAGTGTACACTCAAGGGCGGTTGGTACATCGACGCCTACGGCAACTGCCAGAAAAAGGAGAACGAATGTATGCTCAACACGGACAACTGTGGTGACTATGCCAACTGCGTCGACACCCTTGACGGTTACGAGTGCCATTGTGCCGATGGATACGTTGATGTGAACGGAGACGGTACCGAATGTACCCATCCTTACTACACCGAGACCGGAGAATGCAACCTCGCCGAGTACTCCGCCTTTACCGACAAGAAATTTGAAGCTGTTTCCTTCAAGACTTCGTACGATCATCAAACTGCCATCCATTACTGGAATGAGATCACCGCTCAGCTTTCCAAGCTTGGTGAAGCTGCTCGAGCCATCAGCTGCGCACCAGAAGCTGGTATCATCGGATGCAAGTGGATCGATTACACCAAGGATGCCACTGCTTGCGAATGGGTCCACACACTCGAAACTGTCATCGATCAAGTCAAGCCCAACTGCAACAACGAATGGTCCGAGTTCTACCTTGGCAAACTTGACAAACTTCGAGAAGCAACTTGCGACGAGCCAAACGACTGTGAGGATGGCAACCACAACTGCCACCCTAACGCTGACTGCATCGCCAAGGCTGCCGTCTACGGTCAGACTTACTCCGGATTCAAGTGCAAGTGCAAGGAAGGCTTCTACGGAAATGGTAAAAAGTGCGAGCCAGAAATCAACGAATGTGACGAGGGTATGCACAAGTGCCACCAACACGCTGATTGTGTCGATATCCAGGCTGGTTACAAGTGCGTCTGCAAGGATGACTACGTCGGAAACGGATACAAATGCTCAATCCCAGTCAACGAGTGCGTTGAAGGAACTCACGAGTGCCACGACTACGCCGATTGCTTTGACACTGACAATGGCTACTACTGCAAGTGCCGTGGTAAAGAAGGATACGTCGGCGACGGAAAACAATGCACGGGACCTGAAGACGAGTGCGCCACTGGAACTCACACTTGCCACGAAGAAACCACTATCTGCGTCAACACCTACGCTGGATTCACCTGCAAATGCAAGGATGGCTACAGCGGCGACGCAATGAAAATGTGCTGGCCACCACTTACCTGTCCAGATGGATTCTTCGATGATACCTACCCTGGAGACTTCGACAACGGATTGTGCTCAATGAAATACACTAAACCATGCTGGGCCGATTTGTACTCCACCATCTACGCCGCTGGTGTCAAGGTCTGCAAGAAGAACGATGCTGCTACTCGATTCGCCCAGTTCTCCAAGGAAATGTTCGCCCTCGGTAAGGCGTACGAGAAAAAATTCGGTTCTGCTACCAGCCACTTCCCAACTTCTGAACGATACGGCGCTGAATGCGCTGTTGAGGCCGGTGCTGTCCCATGTGAACTCCTCAACTTCAACGACATTGTTGACGCACAGGACCTGTACAACCGAGTCGAGAGACTTTTCAACCACGTGTTCGACCAATGCGATCCCGTTTACAAGGCCAAGTGGGAGCAGTGGCTCGCTTACTACCATAACGTAAGAAATATATTGACACTTACCAAATATATCTTGAAAAACGTTCCATATTTTTGGCAAAAAAAACTTATCATTTTTTAGGCTCTTATCTGCCCAGTCAACGAATGCAAGGACCCCAACCTTTACGAATGTCACGAACACGCCACTTGCGTCGATCGAGCTGTTGGATACGAATGCGTCTGTAACAAACACTACTACGGCGATGGAAAAGACAGCTGCGAGATGATCGACTATTGCTCTGATTCAGGACTTTGCCCAGCTTACTCTACTTGCACCAACCTCAGCCCAGGATACGAATGCAGCTGCATGGACGGATACATTAAGAGAGGCGTAAGTGACATTATTTCGATTCTAGAGTAGTATGTGAATTCATTTTCTAGAGCAAATGCGTCCAAGTCGACCCCTGCACCATCAACCGAGGAGGTTGCCACGACCATGCTACTTGCCACTCCACCCTCGTCGGCTCCGTCTACAACCACGTCTGCAAGTGCAAGGCTGGATACACTGGTAATGGCTTCGAATGTACCCCTATTGATGCTTGCGCCGAGCACAACTGCGATGATAATGCTTCCTGTGTTCCATACAAGCAAGTCACCAGCGAACAAGATTACGACTGCGTTTGCAACGGTAAAATAAAAATTACAATTTACGAATTTTCAATTTGATTCTCAAGAGGGTTTCACTGGTAATGGTTTCCGATGTGACGTCTACGTCGATCCATGTGTTGATATCACTTGCCCCGAAAACGCTGAGAAATTCGCCTACCAGGATGCTTACGGGTAATTAAAGAAATTGGATAATAAAAACTAAAATGTGTTTTTCAGAAACGAGCAGTGCCAGTGCAAGTGCAAGAACGGCTTCAAGATGGTTGGCGACAAGTGCGAATCTACTGATAAGTGCTACAATGTCCAATGCGGTGAGGGTCAAAGCTGTTACAATGGAATCTGCAGTGACAATACCGTTATTGAGAACCCATGTGGAAACTGTCACAAGCACGCCTACTGTATCACAAATACTTATACCAGTAAGTTGATTTTTCTTTTTCTCACACACTTTCACTTTTTCAATGAAAATGAATTTTTTTGCTTATTATTTTCTAGACACTCACAAATGCGCTTGCGCCAAGGGCTACGAAGGTGACGGATTCTACTGCAAGGAAGCCGCCAAATGTAACACCTACTGCGCACAAGGAGCCGAATGCCGAGGAGGTGTGTGCGTCTGCCCAGTCGGCTTCTGGTACGATACACGAACCAAGAAGTGCGTCGACGTTGACGAGTGCAGTCCAAACAAGAAGGGCGAGACCAAGAACAACTGCAACCCACAGGCTTCATGCAAAAACACCAACGGCGGCTTCAAGTGCACTTGCAATGACGGCTACTTTGGAGACGGTGTCACTTGCCAGAAACAGGGCGGTGGCGGCAATTCCGCTTACTCCGAGTCTGGAACCAGCAGCTACACTAGCCATCGAGAGCCAGTCGAGAGGTTAGATTTTTATAACAAAAATAAACCATTTTAACACAATCCTAGTTCCTTCTACAACTACCAAGGAACGGACACCAGTCTCTACACAAGCCTCGGCGATGGCGAATGCTCGTTGATGGGATTCGAGTGGGGTAACCTTGAAAGGCTCATGTCCCAACAGCAATGGACTTCAAATCCAGGTGTCGCCCAGAACTACATGTCTCAGATCGTCACCGGTAGGATGAATATTGAAAGATTGTCATTTTAACTCTTTTCAAGAATTCCAATATCTCGGTCAACAAGTCCTCGCCCGTAACAGCGCTCAATGCGACCTCAACAAGGCTGGCGCTGTCAAATGCTCACTTCTGTACTTCCCCCACACTGAACACAGGTAATTGCTCTGTCCGAAAGAAGCTTGAGAATAATCGTGGGTAATTATTTAGATGTCAGCTCGTCCAGCGACTCGCGGCGATCTACGAGGATGTCGCTGCGAACTGTAACATGGCCTGGGAGCGCAAATACGGTGACATGATGAACTACCTTCTCGCTAACAACCAAGACGGTAGAAAGGGTGCCGCCTGCGATCCTGTCGAGTATCTGCCTTAAACTTAATTTCCTTCATTTCACTTCTTGTCCAACTTTGCTTTACTAAATAAATTACCAGTAGCAGCGCCTAAGATTGAAATCAAGGAAGAGTCTCCTTTAAAAAGCATATTTATTCATGAGTCGAAGGAAAAAAAGACAGAACTAGAAAAAGTAATCAGAAGCGGCCGGAGCATCTTCTCCATAATACTCGCTATACCACTGTGGCCCGACACCACCAAGGACGGTCATTTCGCGCTTGTTCATCACATTGTGAGGTTTGTGAAATTGGGGAAATAGCGAGGCGGCGGAAGCGTTAAGAATTAAGGTTGCAAGGACAACTGCGCCACTGAAATTTATTTTAACGTTTTGCTCCAAAAGGAAGGTACAATATCAGCCTCACGAACTTGTGTATAAAACCTGAGTCAGTATCCTGAAGCTGGGACCCTGACTCAGGTTTTCTACACAGTCTGTTGAGCCCAGATCTTAACCTTTTAAAATTCATCTTTCAACTCTTTTCTATTTCCTGCGAATTCAAAAGAAGGTCTCTACTAACTGCTTCCCAGTACAATTTCTTATACTTGAAATTACATGCCCGATGTCCTTTTTAACTGTCCTGCGCTGAATTATTAACCTTTTGAAGAGTGCGCTGGCTTTAGCTAACGCGTGAATTGGAAAATTCATTTTGGATGTAGTAACAATAGCTACTATTTTTGAAACTGGAATGGGTTAATTTTCAATACGTTTTTTAGCTTTTAAACTACAATAAGCCTTGCTCTGTATTACAGAACCTGTAAGTAGACTGTTAATACAGGCGAAAAGGAAAGTCTTGTGTTGGATAGGTTTGAAGAAAATTTGTGAGACGGTAGCAGTGTTGGAATCGATTCTTCCTCAGCGGGAAACTTCGAACTTCTGGAACTAAATTTCAAGCTAACTTTCGTCAGAGACTGAGTTGTCAGAATTGACTGTTGAAAGAGAAGATTTCTGGATAGCTATAGAACGAGTTGTTTCAACAACTTGTCGGTAAGCTGCCATCGTGTCCATGACATCAACAGAGTCCGTTGAACAGACAGTAAGTTGGAATCTTATCAAGCCTAGAGACTAACCTACCTTCAAGAAAGTACAAGTGAAACAATGAACTCTATTCAATGACAATTTTCTATCTAGAGTTCACTCCACTAGCTATAGAATGTACTGTGTATATTAATAATTGTCGATTCTGATTGACAAATGTGACATTTGAAATGTCGAATAGGATCTGATTTTTAATGAGGTTATCATTAAATGGTCATTCAGACTGATCATTCAAACAGGAAAAAGGTCTTTACCTCAAATTAGCCAGCTTGGCTCCCCAGTTTCATATCCCCGTCGGTCTGAAAAAGTAATGCGAGATAAGATCAAAGAATAAAAGATTGAGAGGGAAGCGCGGATCGCGTGTAGCCCTGATGACTGTATTAATTTTCTATGTTAACCTAAGGTGCTCTCTCCTTACTCTAAAGTCAAGTACCTCAATCATGGAGCTCGAGGACTGAGTTGTTTCTGGAACGTGCTTTGCGTTGTACTCATCAGTGGTTTTTCTGTACTGCTCGCGCTCTTCTTTGTTCAAGCCGAACCAGATTTGCTCGATCAGATGATGATTTTCTTCGAGGGCTGATGATTTCTCCTTTCTACAATTGAACTAGCGATCCGTTGACATTCTGTTCAAGCGAATGATTAGCCCTTTCCTGGATTCAGTTCAGCTATTTTCTCTTCCTTGAAGATTGCAAATCCTGTTTTTGATCCATCAACTTTCGTCTTTATTGCTAAAAATTATTTTACTAATCAAGGTTAACAATTTTTAGTGGGGAGAAATTTTCCTTCTTTTTTTGCTACCCGTTCCGGTAAGAATCTTGAAAAAAGGTCAAAACATCCAGTTTAAGATGAATAAGTGTCAAAATCGGGGCCTTGAAATTACAAAAAGGTCTCAAAGAAGCTTTTAACAGGATTGATTAAGGATCTAGGACCCTGTTCTAATTAAAAGAGCCTTATTTTGACCCTGAGTTCTTGAAAGAACAGGATAACGTCTTGAAATTTTCAAAAGAATCAGACTTTCTAAGCGAAATTCAGACTCAACGACTTGCAAAACTAACTCGATAGAACATGTGAACAAGTTTCAATAAATAATCGGTGGAATGAAGGGTTTTAAGGACCTTCGAAAGGAAATCCTTTCAGTACCTTTTGGCTTCTTATTCTCCTTCTCAGGCATTTGAGAAGTTGCATCTTTTGGCGCGACTCTGGAATGGATGATCTTCTTGCTGGCGACTTTGAGCGCACACTTGTTGCATTTGATTTCGAAGCGGTCTTCATTCTCGCGGATGTGCATCTTGAAATGGCCGACTTGGCAGCGGCCGCACTTGACCAGCTCGAAAAGGGTGTTCAACTTTGACATTTGGAATGTGATGATTGTTTCGTCTGGCAGATCTAAAAGAAGGGGTTTCCAATGGTCAGATAACAGAGTTAAAAAAACTTGAGCTTTTTTCTTGCACGCGACTTCTCGACTTAGAATAATTTTCAATATGAAATGAGCCGCGAGTATATCCCGTTTTCGGTCCCGAAAACTTACTGAGAAGCGTTTCTCTCTTCAAAAACCGCTGAGAATACCCCTTTTCTCCGTTTCCTTCCGTCGATTTTGAAGAAGTCGCGTGACCACTGCTACTGCTGGCTGCTGGAATTCTCGTTGATTTACGGCGGTCAATTTCAGGTTGCACATCAGGCTCGTCACCGGTTATTTCTTCTTTTATGTCTTTTGTGGGATTCGAAAGGATGTCGCTAGAATCTTTTTTAGTTAATCATCAATCAATCCATTTTCCTATTTCTTCAATAAAATCGTCGTCGTTATTTTCCCCGAGGTAAAAGTCATCTTCGTCTTCGAATTCGTCGACGGCCTCTTCTTTTATTTCCAGCTCATTTTCGTTCTCGATGACCTCGACTTTAATAGCCTCCTCCTCATCATCGTCAACTTGGCCCAGTAAACCGACAAGAGGAAGATCGTCGTCGAGCTCCTCTTCTATGCGTTTTGGAGGGCGAGGTCGTTTGCTTCGATTTGGAGAGGATTCTTCAGGATTGTCCAAAGTTCGCTTCGACAACATTTCTATGAAGAAAGATATTGTTACTTTTGATAAGATATCCTAGCGGTTTTAATGGGTTTCTCCCTTCGTGGGCCTGAGTAAACACCTGAGTCAGGGTCCTAAAAGAGCTTTCCTGAAAATTTTTCTTATTGGGACTGTACTCAGGGTTAAACAAAGGTTACTGAGGCCAGCCCTTAGATTCTTTGGCTTAGAAAGTTTCCTTTGAGAGTACAAAAAATGCGCATAATTGGATGTGGAGCTACTATTTTGCGAATCAATATTTTATTAAGAAAAAGTCACAAGAGTGCGTTAAATTGCTTTCATTCTCGGAGAGAATCGAATTCGAAAAAAAATAAACCAAAGAACTTCAATTTGAAAATGTCGTCAAAAGTCGTTGTGCTCACAACTGGTGGGACAATCGACAAGGAATACCCTCGTTCTTTGGGTGGATACGGTAAATTGATGCAGATGTGGGCTCGGTAACTCTGTAGAAACCTGAGTCAGGGTTCACACAATGCAAGACGACAAGAATACCCACCTTTTTCTTGAAGCTATTTGGTGACCCTGACTCAGGTTTCTACACAGTCTTCAAAGCCCAAATTACGCTAAAATTATTCTAGCCTTCGAATTCGGGATTGAAACCGCTGCCGAGAGAATCGCGAAACGAGCAAAAGCAAAACTCAACGTAGAAAAAGTCTGCGCCCTGGACTCACAGGACGTGACCGATTCTGAGCGAGAAATTCTCTTGTCAAAGATTCTTCAGTCAGAAAACACTAACTTTGTCATCACTCATGGGACCGATACACTCATTGAAACTGCTCAATTCTTGAAGAAACATGTTCCTTCTGGAACTATCGTTCTCATTGGCGCGAAACTTCCTGAAGTCTTCAAGGTACAGTCCCTTTCAGAATTTGTAACTCAAATGATTCAGGATTCCGATGCAGATTTCAACCTTGGATTTGCAATCGGCTACGCTCAAGCCTCGCCCTCAAAGTGCCCAGCCCAAGTGAGAATCGCCTTCAACGGGGAAACCTTCGATCCCGAACAAGTTTGCCGAAGCGATGACGGGAGTTTCTGTATGAGTGTTTAAACAACAGAAATCAACGGCTATTCAAGGAGAGCCTAAAAACTGCGTCAATAAAAGAGTCGCGCAATCTGTGATCATGTCTCAAAAATACGAGTTAATATCGAGCATCGTTCTTTATATAAAATGAGCCGCAGTTTATTGACTTTTGAAAAGTATAAAACTCGGTCAGTCAGATGTCTTCAATAATCTATTACAGCTTTTCAAAGCTCCCTTTCAGAAAATTGACCTATTTCTTTATCTAAAAGCTGTTGGATTCATACAGAATTCATTCCATCGGAATTAACTTCTTGGCGAAGGTCAAATGGAAGATTTAATTGATCAGTGATCAGTTGAAGGAGACCGAGATACTAATTAATTTTTAATTTCATAGCTACGGAACGTTACTTCGACAATCCAAGAAGCTTCACTTTTGAAATGAGATCTTTGATGAATACAACATTTTTGTTTGCTTTTATCGTTTCTTCAACTTGTCTTGTGGAAGGCAGTAAGTTCTATCGAAGTTTTTTATAGAGAAAATTCGGGCCCAAATCCGTGAAGCTCATTTTTCTTTATTATCAATAACGAATAAAGAAGAGGTTACAATTTCATTTTCTAGGGCACACATGGACCCACCCGTTCTTTATGCGAAGTCAACGGGGCTTCCCAGCTCACGATTTCGCGAACTACGCATCCGATCCAGAAGCTTTCTGGGCGCTTGGTGCCTCGCCAAATTACCTTGATATCCCGGACTACAAGAAGTAGAACCAGCATCTAATAAATTACAAGTAAAATAAAATTGACGAGCGAAAATTCTTGAAATTAAATGAAGCGTTTTATTTTTTCTTGAATTACATGTTTTTTGAAGGAAGGGTTAGTTGAGGCTGGGTGATTACAAGTTATTGCTATCTGAAAGAAGTAACTGGGAATTGCAAGAATCGAACGAAGGTAAATATAGACAGAGAAGTGATAAATGGAACTACAAGGCAGAGAAGCAGATTCTATAGAATGTCAGTAGGCAAGGTGATATTTCAGCAGAGGATTATCCCCTTTCGAAGTATTTTACAGGGTGTACTCAACATTTACCCTTTCTACCGGAAAACCGAAAGAGTTGACGGCATACAACTGTATATTTTCCGGTAGATCAAGCCTTATTTTCGATATTTTGAGAGTTTTATGCCATTTTACAAGGCCGCATAACTTCAAATGACTCACAAAAGAACGCTGAGGTCATTTTTAGCCTCACTTAGTGATTTTGACAAGTCGTTTGGGGTCATGTGTCCTTGAAAAGATATAAAATGCTCAAAATATCACGCACGAATGTCTGTTCTATCGAAAATAAACAGTTATTATAGGATTACTCTTGTTGTTTCAACGGTAGATCGGGTGAAAATGTCGGCTGTTTTTACTTTGACAATTTTGTTCGTTGACAAAAGGGATTTTGAGCGTTGGTTTCATTTTTTAGGCTTGATTGCATTAAAAAACGAACGAATTCATTCACTTTAGACGTTGATTTTGAGTTCTTGTGGCGTCTCTGGCTCATAAAGCTGTTCATTGGAAACGAGGGCCGCATTGTCATGCTCTGGCAAGTGACTGTAGTTGACTGTTTGATCTTGAGCGGGCGAAGAAGGCGCTTGGACTGGAACGAAAGAACGGAGTTTTCGTAGAATCATTTCGCGATTCGTATAGATCGCGTAGAAAAGCGCGGAGAAGATGAAGAGCCAGAAGAGTTTCGCAAAGTAGCCGCTCTCGTTGGCGTTATCAATTTCGACCTGAAAATGGTCGGTGAAATAAGATTTGGGAGGCATTTGTAGCGGCTGAAGCTGGTTTATGTTGATGGATCCCATTTAGTAAAGAATAAAAAAATGAGAAAAGACGCGCTTGAGCAGATACCGCTTACGAAAGGATCGATAATTCAAATCACGAGTTAAAGTGCTCAAGGAGAAAAAACATCACGTAGCTACTAGCTAACCTAAGCTTAATATTTGAGTGGATTAGGAAGCCGCTTGCGGCTTTTTGCAAAAATGGCCAAGAAGCCGCGGCCTTTCGTTTCTATGACTTTGTGCGCGGGTTTTGACATATTTTTTCTTGAAGCCGCCTTAAATAAAGGCGTAAAGAGCCTTCCTTACCGAGAATTGATCGTGGATCGGATCAGAAAACTGCGCGAGCGTTGAAGTGACTGTAACAATAACAGTAAGTTGCTGGATAGTGTGGTCGAGGACACGAATGGAATGTTTGATTGCAGGGCCGTTGTGAGCTTCGTCCAGGTTTTCCATCAGAAGGGGTGTTTGCTCGAAATCGTCGATTTGGACACTGTGATTCTGAAAAATAAGTGCATCGCTCGATAAAGATGTCTTCTTATTCCAACTTACCGATGCATCTCGAACAATAAATTCAACCATCGGCGGGGAGCACCATCTACCGTCACCCAGACCATTTCTTCCTCGCCCTTTTCCACCTTCACTTTCCCTTCCGATTTCGCTAGAATCCTAGGCGGCTGACAAATGAACCCTTCAACATCAGTCGTCGTCAGGTCTTCGAACTTCTTCCCCCTCAGCGTGTGCGGATACTGACAAGAGCCAAGAGACACGTATCCTTCGTCGCGGCTGTATTTGTCGTGGAAGAACTCATTGTCGATTTGAAAGTTGTGGAAATCGGTAGAGGAGCAATCGCAGACCCACGGATTGGGATCGAGGAAGATTTGGCCGTGCTCTTCTCTCGTCCAGCGAGTGTGGAAGTTTTCGAACCATTCTTTGTGGATCGTCGTCAGGTTATTGTGGTCCAGGTATAACATCGAGAGCTTGCCAACATCTGAAAGAGAGAATTATGAGTAAGGCCCTGAAATCAATATCAAGGCTCACCTTTGAAAGCTTGCTGATGCAAATTCTGAATATAATTGTGCGAGAGTCTCAAATCGACGAGGTTGAGAAGATTGTAGAAAATGCCATCGCCCAGCGAGTGGATTTTGTTGTTCATGAGGTAAATAGTTTGCAAATCGACATTTTGTTCGAACAGTTTTCCGGGCAGCGATTCTAGCTCGTTGTTTTCGAGACGAATTTGTTGAAGTTTCTGAAGGAAAAAGTTAACTACCAAAACGTCGAGGAACATCGAGGGACATCTGGATACATCTAGGGACATTCGCAAACATCTTGAGACATCTAGGGACAACTGGAGACATCGGGGTAAAAGCATAATGGCCCGACCTACATCCGCAAGAGGGCGCGCGGAAAAAGAGGTGGAAGAGCGGAAAAGAGGTTGAAGAGCGCTCTGAGCATGGCGCCGGAGGAGAGTGCGCAGAGGAGCGCAGAGGGAGAACCTCCATGAATTACTCAGCGGGTGGGCAAGTAAGGAAGGGAGCGCGAAGCCGCCTAATCCCAGCGTGAAGTGTGTCAATTTCTATTCAAACACCGCCATCATTTCTGACTGCGTAGTACCCCCGTAGGAGCTAAATTTCGCTAGACTGATTTTTCGCGCACATTTTTATGAAACTATTTATAAACTAGAAAAACTTTTCTAGAGTGAAATTTTGCGCTGAATCTAAATAAAGAGTCAAAAACGATTACTTTCGATGATAAAATTCATAATTTGCAACATAATTTGCGGAATTTTGGATTTTATGAGCGACCGAATAATACTCCTTGCGTCACAAACTTGCAGTTGAGCATCTTCTTTGGATCAAGGACTTGAAGTTTAACTCTTCCTTTACATTTAGTGCCCTTGTTTCTTGAATGATTGCACTCGAGAATGCAGCCCTCGGAGTTTGCTTGCCTTATTCGCATCCGGAACCTTTGGTATTTTCCTTTAATCTTCTCTCCGTACTGCAGATAAAAAGCGTAGCTTTCTGGTTTCGCTCCTGGGCCGATGTGAGAAATGATAGGTTTATCTTTGGTTCCCGCACAGGGTTCGAAATGTAGCAGTGTAGTAATGTAGCAATGTAGCAATTGCTACATTTTTGCTACATGCTGATGTAGCAGGTGTAGCATGTAGCAGCGTTCGAAAAACGTGTAGCAAAGGGTAGCTTGCTACATTGCTACATTTTTCTGGGGGTGAAGATTTTTGTTCGCTTAAAGAAAATTCTAGAGCAGATTTCTTATTATCGACTCCGAAATTCAGCAGAAAATTTTCGTGAGAAAGCAACAATTTTGTTCTAGAATGCAATATTTCAAAAAAAAAACATGACAAGAATACATTTTACAGTAATATCTGTCGTAAGAGACGATTTATCAGCCTCATACTATTTTCAACGTCTCTTTTGATACCTAACAGTGTTTAGTAGCTAAGAAGTAATCTAGTTTGACTTTAAAAATTTCGCGAAAAAATATTTTTTATGTAGCAAGTGTAGCATGTAGCAGCGATTTTTCTGAGGGGATGTAGCACATGTAGCATGTAGCAGGGAATTTTTTTGAGGGATGTAGCACGTGTAGCATGTAGCAGCATTATATTGCTACATTTTGAACCCTGTTCCCGCATCTTCAGGAATACGATCAACTTTGTCTATATATAATATATGATATATATATAATATATATGTCCCATAGAAACAGCACCATCACTCCTACTCACCTCTAGAATTGATACTAAAGTTGATACTAGCATAGGTAGAACAAAAATATCCCGTCCGCCCCTGCTGCGCTCACTCCCAGGTGTAACGCTCGCTTAGTGTATTTAGGGTTTATCGCCAACTCATCAGTTCTCCCTGGACTCGCGAAGTTCGGAGGACTCAGTGTCCTCCGCGCACCCTGCGCCCTCATGCGGCAGTAGGTCGGGCCATTGTGCTCGACATCCGAGACATCTAGGGACATCCAAAGACATTGAAACTTACATTTAGGTGAAGAAAGGCTTTTTCGTGAATTTTCTTTAGACCATTGTTTTGCATTGATAAAAATCGCAAATAGCCTGAAAAACTTCTCAACAACCCGCAAGAAAATTCAATTTACCTTTTTCTTTGAACGTATATTCTGTAATTTCTTCAATATTATTCGAGTCCAGGTACAAATCGGTGATATCCTGGCAGCTTGGGCCGATTTTGGCGACATCCGATTCCGTGAATTTTCGCTCGGCGCAATTGCAACTGACTTGGGAGAAGAGCTCGTAGTTTTCTTCTGAATCGCATTTGGCGCTTTCGTAAAATGTATCTAAATTTCACCTTTTTTGAAGTAAAAACAATAAGTGTGAGTTTTTTCAAATAAATAAGTACCCTCCGGAAAGGCTCAAACTTGAGAAATTTAACTTACGAACAGACGGCGATCCAATATCGCAACTTTCACACGCAGTCTTGAGTTCAGCCATGTCTTCTTTACTTCTGGTACTTCTTTTCTTTCTCATTGCCCGTTTCTCCGTCTTTCTCGATTTTACAGCTGTCGATCACTCATCTCTCTTTTTTATTCACCGCGATTGAGCCACAGCGCGCGCATCCAATCAGCCCGCGCATTTTGAACAAAAGGGATTTTCCGGAAAATGGATGATTATGGTGCCCGCATGTAAAAATTGCCAACTTCAAGTTGGTGGTCTCAAAAATGAAATTTTGTGAAAAAATTTGTAGAAAGTTCAAAATCGATTCTGATTGGACAATTGGGAAATCGACAATTTCGGACCCCATTTCCTCGGTTCAATGGGCAATCTTGGACGTCAAGAATATGGGTTTCAATTTCATTGTCCACATGCGAACTCGAACATCGAAAAGCCTCGCCCCTTTGGGGGTTCAATTATTTTGCGTTCTAATATGCGAAATTTATCGGCCTCTCTTCGCGAGACTCTCGGAGGCTCCGACATTTGATAACCGCGGAACACGATTTCGGAGATACGTGTCCCTTCATTTATATCTGACGAATTGGAAATCATTGATCATTGCATATCGAAAAACTTCGAATAATGAAGCTTTTCGCCGCAACCGCTGCTGCTGTAAGATTCAGAGAGCGAAAAAAAGAGAATAAACTTTCATTTAGGTCGCCGCTAGAAAAGGAAACTGGGAGCCGAAGGTTCCCGTTACTGTGCCAGACTGGCATGGTGGTAGACATGGTGATATGGTCGTCCAGACTTGGCAGGTCGCTGAGTTTGAAAAGCTCGGCTACAATAAGGACAGGGCTCTGAAATCCGTGCTTTTTCGTGTAATTATGCGGAAAGAAGGTCAATTTTAGATTAAAATATATGATATGAAGAGCCAAAACTAGGACGAAATGATGATTGATCAGGGAACACCGACCAATGCCCCCAATTCTCGAGGTCTTGTGACCTGGGCTAGTCTCTGGCGATATGCTGAGGATGACACTGGCAGATACGTCGTCCCCTACGCCATCCAGGACACCGTTCCCGCCGAGCACTGGCAGCAAATCCACGATGAGCTCGATGACTTCACCAAGGCTATGGGATGCGTCCGATTCGTCTACGATCCCAACTTCACCTACCCCCACGGTGTTCACATCGCCGGTGAGACATCAGGAGGCAGCGGCTGCTGGTCCTACGTTGGTCGATGCAATGGTTGCACCAATGGTCTCAGCGGAATCCAGGCTGGATGGCAAGCACTCCGACTTCCCAACTGGTGCATCGGTGTTGGCGGCATTCATCACGAGTTCCTCCACGCTGTTGGATACATGCACGAGCAGGATCGACCCGACTGGGCCGACTGGATCACTGGAGGCGAAGTCGGTGACATCGACGCCGCCAGCTGGATTAACACTGGACATCCCTTTGAACCAGCATCGAACGTCATGTACAGCGGATTCACCCTCGTCAACGGCCGAAGCTACAATCCCCACCCACTTCTCACCACAACCGATGCTGAGCAAGGTTACGAGCTCTACTGCGACGCCAAGCGAGATACTCATCCAATGGAGCCAAGATCGATGTGCCTCCAATACGATCACGTCGATGTCCTCCGACCTGTCTTCCAGCACAAGTTCTGTGACGGATTCAAGGATTGCTTGGACGGTGAGGACGAAGACGGTCGACTTGCTACTTGCTCCACTGGCGAAACAACCGACCTTGGCTGTTGCAAAGTGATTAACATGGGCTGGGGCGGTTCAACTTGCACTGCTTCCGGAGAAATCGTCAATGGCAAGGATCAATACCTTTGCGAGGGAGGCTGGGGTGCAGAACTCCGATGGACTAACAACTACGGTTGGTTCCTGGCAACTGAAGTCGGTGGTGGCGCTTACTACGCTAATGGTAACTCGGCTCATGATGGCACATGTCTCGGTGACTTTGGCGAATTCCAGAGTGACTACGTCTGGAACAACTACCAGTTAGACCTTTCATGCCAGCCTGGTGTTGGGCCAGCTGTTCCAACTCCTTGCGCCAATCACAACTGCGAGGACAATTACTATTGCCAGAATACCGCAGACCTCCAGGGCTTCGAGTGCATCTGCCGAGTCGAGGGAACTTGTGATCCAACCGAACCACCAACTGAGCCACCAACGGATCCTCCAACTGAGCCACCAACTGAGCCTCCAACTGAACCACCAACTGAACCACCAACGGAGCCCCCAACGGTTCCTCCAGTTTGCGGCTGTGATCCCGCCTGCACAGACGGATTCACCTGCATCGATGGAGAGTGTGTTGATTTCGACGAGTGCGATGCCGGCGCCCACAACTGCCACAGCTTCGAAGTCTGCGTCAACACCAACGGCAACTTCCGATGTGATCCCGACGACAATCAGCTTGCAATGTGTGAAAACTGGACTCCTCAGTGGAAGGGGGTAAGTTTTACTAATTTTTTTTTCAAATTTATTCTATAATTTAAGCGAAAAACCACCAAATACGTCTACAAAGGTGAAGACTCCGTCATTCTCTCCACCAAGTTCCGAGTCAAGAACGCCCCTGTCAATCCCCGAACCGACCGCTACCAAGGTTTCATCGTCTGGACCAAGGATGTCTGTGGTGCTGACTTCCTCAAGAAGATTCGATCTGGCGAAGTTGGAGTCTCACTCGTCGATACTGAGGATATTTACAGATTGAACTTCCCGTACTTCAAGAACGACGGAAAATACACCATGGGAGGCTTTTCTTTCGAATTGACTCAAGTTGTCACCAAGGATACTCCATGGGCCTTCAAGCAAGGTGATTTTCTTTTACTAATTTTTGCCTTATTTTTCAGGTGTTCCCACAAAGAACATGGGCTCCGATGATGTCCAAATCGTCTTGACTGGTCTCGACAAGGTCCAATTTTTGGACGCCAAGGGACAAGACTGGTGCCTCCTCACCGCTGCCAACGCAATCATGGCCGCCGATGCATACCCATACTATCTCACCATGTGCGTCTTTGAAAACAAAAAATTCTGGAAAACACCAGCTGATCCAAATGCATAATTTTCAAAATCTTGCTAAATAAATAAAAGTAGAACTTCCCGAAAAGAATTATATCTGACAACGTTTAAAAAAGTGAATATTCTGGCATTGAGCCCCTATCCCAATTTTACACAGGGGCTTTAGAAAGTTCGATTAGAAAGTGAACACGGGGGCACGTGTAATCGATCTTTTGGATTAGGTCTGACCTTCAAGAGGTTTGATGATTCCGCAAGATGATCCTCGTATTGAGAAATCCTATCCTATTCCCGGATGAATGATATGACTGGAGTGAACCGTTTTTTTCCTGAATTAGATCATTTCATTTTAGATTCTTTGACTTTCAAAGCCATTTCTGGAAAAAATCTGAGGAAGATTATCTTAGAAAATTTGACTTTCCATTATTTTCTTACGTAAGGTACGTAAAAATACGAGCAGCGCTGAAAAAACACTTGGCTCACAAATCTACTTTCTTGTGATAAACTATCGTATCTATCCTGCGAAAAAGAACGATTATTTTGTCGAGAAAATTGCCGCAAATTTTGGTAGAACAGAATACCAGGAAGAAATTCAGAGTGTGAAAAAAGAACTCAGTTGAGCTCTTTGAGAGAGGCAAAAAATAGAGAAACCTATTCTGAATATGGTCAGGCTAACGATAAAATTTCCAACAAAAAATCAGGTTTCTGAGTGGGCAAATCGTCGCCGATATGTGGCGCTGTTTCAATTTCCTCGACAATGAATCAAATTTTTATCACAAAAATTTAGATTAAGGGATCCCCCCCCGATTTCGCCAACTTTGACCTCTATCTACTTTTTTTTGAGCTTACGTAGGAGGCTGGTTTTGGGCGCATTAGAAAGCCCGCATCGAAATGAGCAAACTCTGGTAGAATCAGCTTGCTAACAAAAGATTCGCTTATGCATTACAGGCCGTCAAAGTGATTAACATTTTGAAAAATGGCCATTTTAGGTCATTTTCAAATCGTATCTACTTTTTTGTGGCCTTTTTAATTACAGATCTTTTAGCTGGAGAAGCAAGTTTGGACCCTAAACTTATTATTCTGGTAGAACCAGCATAATCTGATGAGCGAAACAAAATTTAGATAGTTGTAATACTTTTTGAAGCGATTTTCGGCATTTTTTGGTATTCAATTGCTCTTCAGCGCCAGCAAATGGCCAAAAATTCTAATGCGGTTCTTATATTCTTAATCTACAGATTCTAAGCTTTCGATAAACCCCTTATCTGTCCTCTTTTGATGACATTGAAAAATAGAAAAAATTAGCGATTTTTACGCTAAGTACAATTTACATGCATTTTCCCGAACTTTGCAAGGCGAAATTTTGGGGATGCATTCATGTAAAAGAGTAGTATAATATATCAAAATGATCCTTAGAACACGAGGAATCTAATTATAGGCGATAATGATCCGCGCCAAAGGTTTGAAAAATCGGGGGGTGATCCCTTAAAGAAAATAAGAAGAAGAAGAAGAAGAAGAAGAAGAGAGGTCGGCAGAAACGTGACTTTGATTTTACAGCGGCGTAAATTTTAAATCAAGAAAACCTGAATTTCATGGTTGACGAAAAATACGAATTTATTCCACTCTCCAATTATGACGATCATCGCAGGTTTTCGCTTTTCAGCCGACAATTTCAAAAGCACACTATATAAATCGAATTCGCTTCGGTTGATTTCGTTAATCCGAAAATCGGAGCTCGCAGCGCCGCCACCACCGCCATAAAAACGAGGCTCCACGGTGCGTTGACTTCATCCTGAGATCTTGTACCGAATTTCGTGTGCAGATCGAAGAGTTATCAAATACTTTTGAAGATGAAACTTTCCATCGGATTTTTTGGCCTCTCAACGGCGATTGTCGACCCAGAGTTGGGAAAGGAGATGAATATGTGCGCGTAAGTTGAGAAAATTTTTGACGCTATGAATCGAAACAGACCGAAAAACTGACGGAGGGAAAAATAAATTTTCCAATTTTTAGTGCCTCCCCTCAACTCCGAGTCAACGACGCTTCGGACTTCTCCCCCTGGCAGAAGTACAAAACTTCAACCTTGGTCCCAAACACCATCATCCCATTCGTCCTCAACAGCAGCTCCCGAACCAGCATGTGCAACGATCACTGGGCTGGCGAATTCTCCGACATTGCCGCAAAACGAAGTGCCTCTGAGACCGTTCCTGACTGGGCTGGCGTGCAGTGCAACGATTACGAATTTGGTGCCAACGACACAATTACTGGCTGTAACGAGTGGGAATTGACAATTTGCTGCGAGAGCCAGCACTTTATTTTCGACGGAGAGAATAACCTCGTCAACACCAACTGGAAGGGAGGAAGCCAAATGGTCTGTTCCACGGACAGCCGTGAACCCAGCACCGACGGATTTGTGACAGGTTGGATTATCAGCGATGGAGTCAATGGTATGCCAGATCAGGATGTCATCAGCGAAGATGCTATGCGCGACGAGTGCTTCTTCCAAATGGACGGAATCAACGCGAGAAGACGAAAGAAGCAGGCCGCTGCTTCTGGGCCAACAGATGACGATTTGGTCCTCCCAGGATATGTGACGATTGAATGTCATGAATATGCTGAAGATGATGAGAATTTCTGCGTCAAATTCAAGGTTCGTTCATTCTATCCAAAAAAGCCATCTTAAAATGATCTTTAGACAAGCTACTGCTGTGACGCCTCACTTTTTGTTACGACCACTCCTGAAGTGCCCACAACTATGGAACCTACCACTGAGGCGCCAATCGATCCATATGATGTCGACAAGGACGCAGTTTGCGAATCAGCGTTCGTTCTTGATCGTGCCACGACTTTTATCGATGCTGTCAATTTCCCTGTCACTGTCTGGGAAGCTTACTTCACCCCTTTTCAGAGTAACGATGGTACTAACGTCAATCTTATGCTTGCAACTGAGTAAGATATTTTTGCAATTTTATTTTTTTTTATTTAAAATTAAGCGAAACAAGAACGTCAATCTGTCAGTCTTTGGATGCAGAAGAGAACAGATTCACCGTGGCTCGATCTTCTCCTCCAAGCTGGTTTGGAATCCAAACCGGACCTGACGGAACAAAATACACAAACTACTGCTGCGAGCCAAGAGTAAGCAAGCCTCAAGTTTTTCTCCCTTCAAACTCTTTTTAGAAAATGCTCACGAATCATGCTGGTGAAGAACTCGACCCCCGATGGAACACCCCTGTCGAATCCGTCTGCGATTCCGACTCGTCCATTCCGACCGAGTTCAGAGAATTCAAATCGAGCTGGTTTGCCATGGACCACGTCGACCATCAACCTGTCTTTGAAGATTTCAGCACAGACAGAAGAGCTGAGGTCTGTGACACCGCTCTCATCCTCGGAAAAGAAGCAAGCGAAGGCCTTATCCCTGATTATGTTGACGTCAAGTGCGCTTCTCGACAGACAGATGGTGCTGGTGTAAGTCGATGTACTAAGTTCAAGTACAGATTCTGCTGCCCTGCGGTAAATCCAACAACAACAACTACTACCACTACTTCAACAACCACAACTACAACTACAACTACAACCACAACCACAACGACTACTACTACTACGACAACCACGACGACGACAACAACTACAACAACAACTACTACTACAACTACCACAACCACAACTACTACCACCAGCACCACTACCACCACCACCACCACTACCACCACCACTACCACCACCACTACAACGAAAACAACAACCACGACAACCACGACCACGACCACAACCACTACAACAACAACTACGACTACGACCACGACAGAACAACCAACCACGACAGAAGAGCCAACCACACCAGAGCCAACTACGACATCGTTCTACACAAGCTCTACATCTGAACAAACCTCAACCACAACTGAAGAAAGTACAACTTCAACTGATTACTCGACCACAACTACAACTTCCACAACAACCACCACAACCACTACAACAACCACCACCGAAGCCGACCTCACTTTCGGCGAAGACGCTGTCGAGGACGTTATTGACATCATCGATGATCTCTTGATTTCCGCCAACATCACTGATGTTCCAAAGAACGTTTCCAAGTCTAACAAGAACCTCAAGAAACTCGTCAAGAAAATCACACAGCACAGTGAGAAATTAGCCAGCAAAAATGGCTGCACCTTTGAGGCTCCCGATCTTGTCCCAGTTGGGTAAGTTTTGAATAATATTTTCGAGATTTTCAATTGTTTAAAGCGATGCTTGCGATGGTCTCTCGAGCTCTGAAACCAACCTTGCTTCCTGGGCCCGAGCTTTTGGCAAACACTGCGAAAAGGACAACAACAGTTTCGTCGAGCGATTGATCAAGAAGTACCTTACCAAGTCTTTCGATACAATCGGCGAATTCGTCGGATGCTAACTTTCCACTGCTCCCTTTTCTTGTCATACAATAACATGAAAATAAATGAGTATTTGACAGGAAAAAACCCTGATTCCTAGCGTCAACTATTTTGCTATGAATTAACGACGGAAAATTTCCGTAATTGACTCATTGTTTATATAAATGAGAGCAGAACGCGTCGGTGAATCGATACTATCCACTTCCCTTTCGCTTGTGTTGGAGCGTGAATTTTCATATTTTCCCGCCTTCGGGCCATTTTTGTCTTTAGAATATAAACTCAACGCTTTTCACGCTCGAGCAACAAAAGACTTTCTCTGAGGTCAATTAAATCAAGAATTTTTATTTACACTTATCCTTTGTCTTCTGACAGACGTTTCTGGATTTTAAAAGTTAAGAGCAACGAAATCACTTTTGCAACTGAAAGAAAAAGAGAGAGAAAATGGAGGTTGTCTACAAATGCTTTGGATGGACCCCAACAAATAAGAGAACAATGAGAGAAAAGGATTTCTTCAGACAATACTCGACCAGATCAATTGTAGACTCAAGCAGGTAAGGGACCTGGACTCCATCATTGAACGATGTTAATTAAACGATAGGTGATTGTCTACGAGACAGTGTCTAGCAGACAAAGGAATTTTTTTATCATTTTTCATTAAAATTTTAAGGATCACCGTTCAGAGGGAAACCGCATCCGGCAGTTTTGGTAAAATCTACAAAGGAACAGTCTCTCCTAAGAACATTTCCGTCGCCCTAAAGATTTCCTACTGCGAAGATTCAAATAAGCGAAGAGACTCGGCAATTCATGAAAGTACGTTTCTTTGTGACGTTTTTATGGACCTTTCGCATCGATCCAAGGTAAAACCCGTATTCAGATCTGCTGCACATCGAAGCGGAAAGTATGATGGACATCGACCACTCCAACATCGTAAAAACATATGGCGTCTCTTTCATTCAAAACAACTTCGCCATCGTTTTGGAGTGGATGGATGGTGGCTCCTTGAAAAATCTACTTTTGAAAAACGATCTTTCTCAGAAGCGACAGATTGAAGTGCTCTGCGATGCTGCCAAAGGAATGCATCATTTGACGAGACAGAATATTGTTCACCGAGACTTGGCGGCGAGGAACTGTCTGCTAGACGGAAATGGAACGGTGAAGATTGCAGATTTTGGGCTATCGAGGGTTAATTCAACGAGGTGAGACAAATAGTAAATTCTTTGGTAGATGAGTAATAAAATTCAGGAATGGCCATTTCTCCCGCAAAAAATCCTTCATCCGCCAAATTCCCATCCCGATGAGATGGATGCCAAAAGAATCAGTAGACATGCACTTTTTCGACGAATTGACTGATGTTTGGAGCTTCGGCGTTCTGATTTACGAAGTTCTTTCAAAAGGTAAGAACCCTGGATTTGACCCTGTCTCAACTCCAATCGAGGTATGCTTCCGTACAAAAAGCAGCAGTTTCGATCGGTTACTGACTACGTTGCCGCGCTTCGAAACCCAAAAATTTCAATCGGAGAAATGGTTGATCCAGAACCAATACTGCTAAAATTGATGAAGCAATGCAGATCGCTAGAAAGAAAAGATCGACCAAGATTCAGATTCATCAAAGAAACACTCATTCTAGCGTCTCAACAGCTAGAATGAGGCGTTTTTAAAGATTCCTGTACATAATTTATTGAAATAAAAAGACAACGAAAAGGATAAAATGCAAGAAAAATGCATAAAAAGTGTCAAGGAAAGCAGAAAAGTAACCTCTGACAGTCGCGTAATCGCCTGGATATCCAGCCCTCCGTGGCGGTGGTGTTCGATTTCGATTTAGAAAAGAAGCTTTTTTAATCTTGCGCCTCGACCTCGTGTTCACAAATCGAAATCTTTCAAAAGAAAAAGAGAATTATGAAGAAGTTTTTCCAAAATATATTGATCGCAAGTAGCGTAAATGCAATTTGTCCGATCAATCAGATGCACGAGAAGATGGTTTTTGGACGAACAGGAAGCGATAGATGCTCAAGTATGCAATAAAATTCAGTGAATTTTTTCTTCGAAACTTCGAATTTCGACTCCCACAGATTCTAAAAAAGGGTTCAAAGTTTCCGTAGAAAAAATAAAATAAGGGAGTCAATATATAAAATTTCGTACAAAAATCATCTTGAAAACTACCATTCACGATGTCTAGCCCCTTAAACAAAACCCTTCATTACATTGATAAAAATGTACTAGAATAGCCAGTTTGACGAAAACCTAACACTCTTTCAAGAGCGATATCTTGATGTCTGCTCCGGTCAAATCCCCACCGACGGAATCTGCAGCCGCTCGGAACAGAAAGGAACGTGGTACGAAGCTCAAAGTCCGGATCAAAAGACCTTTTTTATCCTCTTATTTTAACACCTATTTGAAATCAGCAGCTTTTTGTGATCCTTCGATAAGCTACTGCTCACAGTTAGGTGGAAGCTTATTTTCTCCAAAGGACGCAGAAGACGAATTATTTCTCCGGGAGAATTTGGGATCAAGCGGTTGGATAGGAGTGGAATTCACAAATGAAGCGTGGCGATTTTCTGATGAAAAAGATGAAGTGCCGGAAGAAAAGGATGAAATGTGGGTGTATGGAAGACCACCGACACTGAGAAAGAAATTCAGAAGAATTGGCGAGAAGTCAGAAAATTTCAACAGAGGTACGGTTTTATTTGAAAGGAAAAACGAAGCGATTCTAAAGAATAGTGAAAAATCCTGGTCTTCGATGGTATTTTACTTCATTCATCTTTATGGGGCCCATAAATAACATAAAAGATAGAAAGTCTTGTCGAAAATTTTCAAGAAAAGCTCTGGTAGACCTTATTTTTTCGTTGATGGCCCGGTCCTGTTTTTGAAGATTTCGAAGTCTCAAAATCTTCATTTGATCTTCTGGGGTCGTTTCGAAGAAAGACCAGGCTGCGGCAAATTGTACAAAAATCAAACCGATTTTCATGTTCATTTTATTTCTAAAATGTGGCAAATGAGCATCTTTTAAGCTTTCATGGTGTAAATATTAAAAGCGCATTAGTAATTTGACAAAAGATTCATTATTACCGACTCCCTGATTACTTGCAATAATAATGCGAGCCTTCATGCGGTTTGAAAAAAGGCGCTGAATGAAAGGACCATACTAGCTGTAAATAACTCGTCTTCTCGCCAAAACGAAAATATTGAAACGATAATTGTCTATGTATCCCTGTCAAAAAGTTTCTCTAAAAACAAAAAGGCTTGAAGATAGATTTTATCTGATTTTATTGAAGAAAGATGAATAATCAATTATTTTGCAGAGAAAAAAACGGGTCTTTGATGATAAGAATTAAGCTTTTTTGGGAGGAATGATTACTTTTAACGAAAGAAAAAGATTTTTAACAATTTTTTCTGTCAAATTCCGCCCGTTCCTTATCAGCAAGGTTTTGAAGCTTCTGAAGCTTTTGCTGTGTCTCTGGTTCAGTTTCGAACATGGACCATCCGGCCAAATGAGCTACCAAAACGTTCGTAAATTTCATCTTGTTTTTTTCTTTGAAAATTTCTGAACGAAGGTCACTGTTTATAAAGCATCTGGAATGATATCAATATTGAATATCCTATTTCGACGTACTTAACCATTCTTGTAGTTCAAGACCGCACTTGCGTGAAGTGGGAGAATGGATTGTGGAGGGAACAGGACTGTTTAATGCAGGAGCAATTTATTTGCAAGCTGCCAGATATTGATTGCGACGATGTTGACACCGACATTGGTTTCTACACAAGGAAGGACATTGACTTTTGCGGCGAAGCTGGTGAATGTGTCCTTTCGGAGTCCTTCCCGTTCTATAGCTGTGTTGAAAGAACAACGGAAGAAATGACTACCCCAACAACCTTCACTTCCACATTCACATCAACAACGATGACATCAACATCATCAACAACTATGAGTTCAACAATAACAACTTCTTCGACATCTACAGTGACGACTTCCAGAGCAGAAATAAATGACTCTGGGGAGCATAAATTGGGCGAGAAGAAATGCCCTGATTGTTTTCTTGAAAATGACGGTAAATACAAATTCAGAGACAGGAAAGAAGAAAGAATATATTTCAGATGGAAGCTGTTTCCCAAACTTTTATCTTATCGAACTGACATGTTCTCCACACCAAATCGGACTTCGGGCACCAAAATGCTTGTTTACCAACCAAGAAGCTCCGAAAATCAGCTCTTGCGCCTCGGCTGAAGCTGATGAGGATGGAGATACCTTTTCTTTTGCTTTTAAACTTGATGGATGCGAAACGCAAGTGGCTTCGGAAGGGAACGACCTTGTCTTTAGGTACTTTTCAACCGAAAAAACACAGGAGAATCATCATTATTTCAGCAATAAACTGCGTGCTGAGGGAAGAAGAAATGGTTTCATTCAAATCGCGCCTAATTTTGAACACAGCTTCGAATGCAAATTCCCCAGATTTGTCGACGACATTCATGCCAAAACAACAGTTCATGATCCGTAAGAGAGAAAAAACGGCCCTCGCCACCTTTTCCATTTTAATGTCATTAAATTAATGATTTTGTTTAGCGACTTTGATGCTGGAGCCAACGGAGAGGGAGAGCTGGAATTCTCCTTGACAACTTATCAAGATGAAAAATTCACAGAAGAAGCCACTGAAAACGACGTCGTGGCGATCGGCGACCGGGTCTTTGTCGGCTTGGAAATGATCGACCCAATTTCGACCCTCGATTTCAAAATCACCAACTGTACTGTTTCCGATACAGCACTTGGGCTGCAATTCAATGTGATCGAAAACACCTGCCCAGACTCGTTCGTCAAGACTGAAATTTTCCGGGAAAGACAAGAGAAGATCAACTTTAGCTACACGAGCTTCCAGTTTAGGGCTCAAGAAGATGATTTGACAACTCAGCAATTATCTTGCTCGGTAGGAAAAATCTTCCGAAAAAAATTCCGCGATTCTCAATAATTTTTTAGGTGGAAGTCTGCGCTGGTGAATGCTCAAAAGGACCTGGCTGCTAGAAGTTATTTCTTTGCTACCTGTACAAAATTAATCAATAAAAAGAACACCGCTTTTTTGATAAAATCGTATGAGAATTTTTATTCTGCCCAGTGAGTACAGTTGATGACAGTAAATGACAGCATGATTACTAAAAAAATTCCTAGAGCTCAATTTCTTTTTTTCCAATTGATTGATTTGAGTCTTGATTATCTAACGCGATCGTGAGCGGCGTCTGAAAAAGGGATGGTTGAGGAGTTGAGCTCGATTTTGAGTGGTAAATTACCTGGAATTGGATCTTGATCGTCTTTCAGAGCGAGAGCGGCTACGCTTGTTGGATCTCGAGCGTCGACGGGAGTCAGATCGTCTTCTCAGGTTCGAATTTGGATAATTTCGGGTAAAAAGGACTGCGAAAAGAAATGTCCAAAAGCTACTATAAGATATAAATCTACGGTATCCCGATTGTATTCCAGTAAAAAGGCCCAAGAAAGTCGCTAAAGGTTCGAAAATTGAGCCCGAAGTCGTCGATTTTATTGAAAAAGCGACCGAGAGGGTCACGCCCATCAATTTATCGACTATTTTCGACTTGACCTTCGAAGCTTTAGCGACTATCTTGGACCTCTTTAGGGGAATTCTTGCGGTAGATCTCAGCTTCTCGCCTTCGATAATCTACCGCAGTTGGCAATCGGTATAAATAGACAAAGAAATCGCATTTGAACCGTTCCTAGAGCGGCTTCGTCTATCCGCTCGTCTTCGAGAGCCAGATCGGGATCTATTTCGACGAGATCGATCTCGAGAATCCGATCGTCGTCGAGGAGAACGCGATCGTCTTCGTCGTGGTGAGCGAGAACGCCGTCTAAATTCACGGTTAAATGAAGGAATCGCTGTAAAAGGGGGACTTTGACACTCTTTTAGAGTTCCGCATCTCATTTTTTTCATTCGCGCTTTTTCGATCGCTCGTTTCGTGCGGTTAAGGGGTGTCAAGAATCGTAAGCCGAAATAATAACTGGCTTGTTTATCGTTTCGCTCGTTTTTTTCGAGTCGGGAAAGCGCAAATTTAGAACTACTGTGACTGTAACAGTATCGCTCTCGTAAGGGCTAATCGTAGGATCGCGTAATCGTAAACTCGCTTTCTTAATATTTCGCTTTCAATTGAAAGTTTTGAAAGTTTTCCATTTCGCATCAAATGTCTTGTGCGTTCCATTTCACTACTTAAAGCCTAGGCGACTTGATCTTACCTTGCTTTGCCGCTGGGTTTGGCCAGTTCTGCGCGAAGACGAGTGGACCAGATCGACAAGTTGTTCAGTTTTCGTGCAGCGTAGCGGGCATCTTGACTGAAGAAAGAGGGTTACATTAATGTAGAAAAGAGCCTGTAGCTTCTGCCTTGAATCGGGACCCTGTGTAGAAAACCTGACACAGGGTCTGATTGATCTCTTATGTAAACAGGTCCGATTTCCTTCTTTACCGCTCGAAAAGGGGCCCTTTTTAGTGTATTTTTTGGAACTACCGTCCTTCAGTACCTGTATTTGTAGACAATGAAGCAAATAGTCGGCTGCCGTCGAATGAGAATCAAATCGATGATTTTGCCGTAGCGGTCGAATTCTTTTTCCAGCTCATACTTCGAAATGCGAGTGTTCAAATCGGCAACTTTCACTCGATAACCCTAAATTGATTGTCAATATCACAGCTTTTCCTACTGTTGCTACACGTACCCGGAAAGCAGGATCGTAGCCGTCGATGTGGCCAAGGACGGATCTAGAGCGAGATCGAGAATCTCGACGGGATCGGCTGCGACTTCGGCTAAGAGTTAATTTGAATTCAAGAATTTATATAATGAAAATTCAAAAGAATTTACTCCGTGAAGACTCAAATTTTCTTGTTTTACCTGGATCGATCCTTTGAAGCACTTCGACCTCTAGAACTTCTCGATCCAGATCGAGAACGACTGCGAGAATAGCTTCGACCCATTCTTTGATTAAAACGTAAAGAATTTAAATGAATTAAAATAAACAGTTCATGAAAGATGAGTAAATTACTGATTATCAGTTCAATTGAATTTTTTCTCTTCCAGCAAGAAAGATAAGAAGTCCTCCGGGAAAGAGAAGTGAAAGTTTTTCTGGATTTCTTATTTCGCGCTGCTCCTCCGCTCCAACGCCCACGCGTCACGGCGCTGCAAGAAACACGCCGCTCATTGGCTGAAAAGTTCCTGACTCGCGCTACTCTCGCAGAAGAATTTTATTTCTTCAATTTCTTCACTTATCCTCTGCTTTTTTAACAATTTCACAACAGAGAACTCTTCTAGAGAAATAGTCAATTTGAAATTTTAGCCAGAATCACTTTTTTTGTCTCCTTTATAATTATAAATGAAGATTGTATTCAAAAATATAGAATCAATTATGTCGAATCTTTATAAAATGTGATCTTAATGGAGCCGCTCTGCGGCTTCGCACTCGAAAAAGCCGTCACGCGGCTTTTCCTCGTGTCTTGTGTTTTCCTGATTTCAATCTTTGACAAAGCTCTATTCTGTCTTTTAGTCTAATCAAGAGCACTTTTCTATCAACCCGTTTCTTCAGACTTTGAATCGGCTTTGAAAAATGGCCAAAGCACCACAGAAGTCGAAGGAAGCCAAGGCGAAGGCTGCCTCCGGAGGAGGAAAGAAGTCCAAGAAGAAGTGGTCTAAGGGAAAGGTAAGATCGAAACCACCGAGACTCATTTTCACCAATTCATTTCCAGGTCCGAGATAAGCTCGCCAACGCTTGCGTCTTCGATCAGGCCACCTACGACAAGGTCATGAAGGAAGTGCCCAACTACAAGGTCATCACCCCCTCCATCGTCTCCGATCGAATGAAGATCCGTGGCTCCCTCGCCCGAACTGCCATCAAGGTGACTAAACAACCCTTCTTCTTCCATTTTCTAACCCTATCCTTTCAGAACCTCTTCGCCGCTGGCAAGATCAAGTGCCTGATCCAGCACGGTTCCCAGATGGTCTACACCCGGGCCATCAACCCCGAGGAGTAACTTCCCCATTCTCTGCCTTCTTCTGAAAACCTAGAACACGAGGATGAAACTGTAACTAGCTGGGTTTGTGTCTAATCTCAACCCGGGCCCTTATCTGCGAGCCTCTTTATCATTTCTGATTGGCTGAGACCGGATAATGCGCCTTGGGCGTTCGTTATTAACGTTTTTCCATTTCAGACCTTAACGGACTTGTAAAAATGGCCAAAAAGTCGAAGAAGGACGGATCTTCGATCAACAGCCGACTCGCCCTTGTCATCAAGTCCGGCAAGTACAACATGGGCTACAAGGAGACCATCAAGCAGCTCCGAGGCGGCAAGGCCAAGTTGGTCATCCTCGCTAACAACACCCCCATCTTCGACGATCCGAGATCGAGTACTACGCCATGTTGGCCAAGACCGGTGTCCACCACTACAACGGCTCCAACATCGAACTTGGAACTGCCTGTGGTAAGAAATTGATTTCATTCTGAAAACTTGAGGCGCTTGCGGCTCTTTCATAAACGAAGCCGCTGAGCGGCTTCCACACTAAGTTTCAAACCCTCCTTTCACCCAGGTAGGGCGAAAAGAACCCTCTAGTCGGAGCAAAGTCCCACGCAAAGATGACTAGTAGTTCTAGCGCTCACCTTTTCCATTCAGGTAAATACTTCCGAGTTGGCTGCCTCACCGTCACCGACCCTGGAGATTCCGACATCATCAAGACCCACCAGGCCGGTGCCGCCAAGGCCGAGTAAATTCGGGAAAAAATTGTCGATCTGATCTTTTGAAATACTGCCCTTCTAATTTTGCTTAGAAAAAGTTAATAAAAGAAAGATTGACTAAAACTCGCTTATATGTACTTCTCGACTTTTATTCAAATTCTTAAAATTATGGGCAAAGCAATCTGGGTAAGTGTTCCAAAGAGGGTTGAATGAAAAGCCGCGAAGCGGCTTTATACAGGCGAGAGTTGCAAAGCGGCAATGTCTATTACTTCGGATATTTCCTTGGTTGCTTTGCCCCAAATATAAGAGTTAAAATTTAACAATTTCGTTTTTTTAGAAAAATTTGAGCTCAATCATCGGCCACCAATCGTATTTTCCTGTAATGAGTGTTGGTGGACGCGGGATATCGTCCACCAGGGCTGATTCAAATTGGGGTGGCTGATGAAGAATGAGAAATGCGTTGCGGATGGATGGGATTAGGAAGACCATCCATCAACGAGTGAGAATCCTAGCGATAGTCTCGAGACGAGGATTCTCAAGAAGATCAACTAGAGCCGACAACAGGAGATCGAGGTAAACTGAACATTTTTGAATCCCTTTTTACTAATTTTTCTTAGCTAAATGGCCGACTGCCTGAGGACGTCTGGACGAGGAGCGAGCATCGCATCTGGATAAAGTGGAGAGCATAAGCTCCTCCTGATTCGCAATTTGATGAGTGAAAACTCCAAGGCAACCTTTACACTACCAGAACACCTGTTTTACATTTTCTCCTTCACCTATGAAAACAATAAATTTTAAAAATTACTCAAAATCCGCAAGTGATTTCAATGTTCAAGAAAACTTACGCAGGCGCATGATTTACACCCATTCAATTATTTATTCAATTTAATTGTTATCTAAAAAGCAAGTTTTCGCCATTATTTTCGTTTGAATAATCCGCATTAGTGTCTGTCGTCTTTCTTCCTTCGTGTTTTCATGAAAAAGCCGCACGCGGCTTATTTCTAATTTAACTAAAACAGATCTTTTTCAGATATGCTCAGGCGTAGGGCCTGTTTCTGTCTGTTCCCGAGCAGGTTAAAATATGGAAATCGTACTCTTTCATCTAACCTAAACGTTTGTCAAAAAGGTAACCTTCAATGCTCACAGATACATTCTGAAAGTTTCTTGAAGATAAATATTTCGAAAAGAGCGATGTTGCGAGAAAAATAAATGACACAAAAGATGAAATATTCGAAGCGCTCAAAAAAGAAGAGCTAGAATTTAAACTAAAAAATTTAAAAGATCAAAAGGCGAGGGAAACTTTCAACAGAATTCAGGAAGAATTTCGGGAAAAACAGCGGCAAAGAGTCGACCTTTTGAGGTAAAATTTGTTGACGAGAATCAGAATTGGTGAGTTTCAAAAAAGGCTTATTTAGGCATGATATTCAAGATAGAAAGGAAGTTTACAGGGAAAAAATCAAGGAGAAGACTTTAGGAAATTGTCCAGAACTATCAATAGAATATTTTCAATAATGAACTTTTATTATGAATACTGATTCTTGACAAGTGAATAGAGCAGCGCGATAAGCTCCGAGAAAAATCTCTGGAACAACGAGAGAAGTTCCGGGAAAAGTCTATTGAGCAGCGCGAAAAATTGAGGGAGAAGTCAATCGAGCAACGAGAGAAACTTCGCGAAAAATCGCTGGAGCAGCAGGAAAAATTGAGAGAAAAAAGGAGGGAGATACGCGAACGAGCAGTGAGAGAAAATTGGTACACGATTCCGAATGCCATTAGTTTTGGGAGAATTGTTATTGGTAAGAAAATGAGTGGGGAATGATGATGAATGTCAATTCTAGCCCCTGTGACTGGCTACTGTATCACGCACGGTCATTACGAAGCGGCTCTTTATTTGAATGTTGTTTCGATGATTTCTGATTTTCTCGATGGGAAAATCGCTCGAACTTGGCCCTCTCAAGCTAGCACTCTCGGAACAGCGCTCGATCCTCTCGGTAATGCTCTTTGCAACTTCTCGTTCTCGTAAAACTCCTCGTCTAGCTGATAAAATAACGATGCTGGCAGTCTACTCGGCATTTGCTATCGCAGGGGATATTCCTCTCTGGCTCTTTGGAACGATTATTGGACGAGATGTGGCTCTTGTTTTAGGCACTTCCGTTATTCGCTACCAAACGCTGCCGCCGCCAAAAACGCTGAAAAGATACTTCGATTTCGGACTCGTTTCGGTCAAATTGAATCCGACTTGGATCTCAAAAGTAAGTTTTTTCACATTTTCCCTTGCCCAAACCCCCTTCCTCTCTTTCTTTCCCTTACGATCTGTTTTCAGACAAATACAGTTCTTCAATTTCTCCTTCCTGTCTGGCTTCTCACCCAATCTTCCGGCTTCCTATCAAGCTACGACTTTTTAACGATGCCGTTTTGCTACCTGACGTTCTCGACGACTTTCGTTTCTACTCTAGAATACTTCGTATTCAGAAGAGATCTCCTGACGCGCAAGAAAGTCATCACGAAAGTTGCCAATTAGTAAATCACTGTTCAAAGCAATGTTTGATTCATATTCATCAAAAGTTCATTCTCTATTTTTGATTCTGCTATTGTTACACAGGAACATAAAATATTCTTCAAATTTTAATTTTCGTTTTGATCTGAAATGATGATCTTACAGGGTTTCGGTCATCGCTGGAGATGTCGAAGATATTTATGCATGTCTTTAGATGTCTGTAGATATTGCTGATGTTTTGAAACATCTAATAATGTCTATTAATATGTTTAGATCGAAAATGGGCACAGATAACCAGCCCGTAAATTATGAGAACACAAAGTCATTCCTCGCCACTCCGCAAATCCAATTCACCAACAAAAACTCACTGAGCTCGTCAAAACCGTCAGTCTAGCCGCCCCACAGCCCGAAATTACAAATGCCCACAGAGAAGAATTCTTCCGAAAGTTCTGGTTTCGATCGGGGCTTTTCAAGTTTCAAGAAAATCCAGTTCTCTTGGATCCAGTTTTGCCAGCGATTTTCGAAACGCTATTTACGAATTTGACGAGTTTTAAAATGGATGAAGAAGGGGAATTTGTAAATGTCGATGGGTATCTTTTGCAAGGTACATAAATCTTTCTTATCGTGCCAGGACCCTGACTCCGCATCATTAAATCCTTTCCTTACATATAAATTCTAGCGCGATATGTTGTCTACCTAATGCACACGCGAAAATGCAAGAAAGTCGACAAGTACTTCCCGCACGAGGTTCACCATCTTCGCCTCATCCTCTCCCACTTTGACGCCCTAAAGAAGTTCGAGAAGAAATTCACCAAATTTGTCGCTGACGCTGAATATACAAGAGAGCAATCGCCAGATTTTACGAGAAAAGGAATTCACGATTCGTATCTTGTCATTGTTGCTTGGCTCTCGTCTCTGATGCGAATTCCGTTTTCGTTCGAAAAGATCAGCCCGGGTTTCAGAGGAAAAGTGATCGATATCTGCAAGGAATTCATCACTCATACTGGCACGACTGGAGATATGGCCTGTATGTGTCTTGCCCGGTACTACAGTCGCTCTGATAGTGACCTCAGCGACGGACACATCAACGAAATCCTCGAAAACATCTCCTCTTCCATCGACGACGGAGAATACGCTGTCAAACGGGTCTACACAGTCGTCGGAAGCTTGAAATTCCTCTGTTATTTGTACAAAGTTGGGCCGAAAGAAAAACTCCGAAGCTTGAACGAGCAGGTTTTCGAGGTCGTGCAAAAAGTCGCCGAGATTTACGAAGGAATTTATGACGAGAAGCTGAAAGATTCGACGGTCCAACGTTTTCTTTCGAAACTAGCAGGGAGAATAGCGCTGACAGAACTGAAAGCTCGCCAGGCAAAGTGGAAGTACAACCGTGGAAGTCGGATACTAGGAGTTCAACGAGTTCAAGCACTTGAAGACATTCAGGATGTGGAAATCAAGGAAGAGGAAGAAGAAGATAATGAAATCTCCGAAACAGTCGAAGCCGTTCTGTCTCTACTGATCAATTGCCTCTCAGACAGCTCAACAATGGTTCGCTGGAACGCTGCAAAGCACCTCGGCCGAGTTACAGAACGCCTCGATGCTGATAATGCCTCCATCATCCTCGGTGAAATCATCAACTTGTTGGACGAAACAAACGCGGAAGCAAGCTGGCATGGCGGCTGCTCGGCGCTTGCGGAGTTTTCTCGACGAAATATGATCACGCAAGAACACATAGAAATCAGCATCACGAAGATCAAAGAAGGGCTTTGCTACGATAAGCGAAGAGGAGAAGGATCTGTTGGTTCGAATGTCCGAGACGCGGCTTGTTACGCTTCTTGGACCTTTGCTCGTGGCTTCCATCCGGCGCATCTGAAAGACTTCATTCAAGATTCCGTCAAGACTTTGATAACCACAGCATGTTTCGACAAAGAAGTGAGTTGTAGAAAAGCGGCTCAAGCAGCGCTACAAGAAAACATCGGCCGGTTGCCGCTCGATTTTATCCCCAACGCTCTGGATTTGAATCAACTCCTGAACTTTCAAACGATCGCGCAATTGGCTTCCGCCGCTCAAGTGGGAGCGCAAATTGCGATTGATTTCCCAGAATATAGAGCGGGTATTATCGAGTATCTCGCGACAAACAGAGCTGTTCACTGGGAGCTAGAAGTTCGCCAAGCTGCCGCGAAGAGCATCGCGACTACTCTTAACCATCCTGATTGCCTGAACCTTTTCAGGAAGCATCTTCCACAGCTTCTGGAACAGGGGCTGACGAAGAACAACGATTTCATCCTCCACGGCGCTGTTATGACCCTCTCCACAACCTTCGACTTTTTCATCTCCCACGAGCCGGATTCGATGCTCAAGATTCAAAAAATCCTCGACAATCTTATCCATTCCCGGCATTTCTCCGATCCAGCGAGCTTTAGCTACATCCTCCGACCTTCCATTCTCGATTTACTTAAAGTTTATGCAGCGGAATCCAAGAAGACACAGAATTACGACAAGTTTGTCGAGTGGATTGACTCGATTCAAGATAGCGTTATGAAAATGGGACAGCTTCCTGATGCGCTTGTTGAGCTGGGATTGAGGGGTCTCTGTCAGAGTATTACGCCGGCGATTGAAGTTTTGATTTGCGCGCTTCCGGAGAAGGAACAAGTGTAAGTAAATACTTCTTTAGGACGTCTAGTGGTACTCTTAAGTTGGGGGCGCCCTGGGAATGTCTCCGAATGTCTCCAAAAATAACAAAAATGTTCTAGAAACTACGAATATCCGAATTTTGTCCGGACGATAGGAGGCGTGTAAATGAAAGTGTAACCTACCCGATCAATGAGTTTTCTACCACAAATTGCGCGGAGCGCTTAATTCTACCAGATTTTCAAAAAGAAAATCATTTTTACAGTATCTGACATTATTTTTTAGCTTATTTTTATTTTTTGCGTATTTTCGAAAAAATCTCTAGAACATGTTTATTTTCCAAATTTCGGAGACATTCGGAGACATTCCCTTAAGTTGTTGCTTTTAAAGAGAAATTTCTATCGAGCCTATTTAATTGATATTATTAGGGCGATTTGCGAGAGACTGATCTCCCAAATCATCTCAAACAAAGCGACAATCTTGGAAAGCGCTAGAATCTGCGCTTGCTATCTTCTGAAATCATACAATGTCGTGAAGCAGTCTCAAATTTTCGAGCTATTCCACCTTGTAACTGAAGGAGTTCGATTAGGAACCGGTTTTTGTATAGCCAAAGACCCTCTTTCTATCTCTTATGACTCATCCCCGGCCCTAAGTTATGAGGATATCTCATGTAGAAACCGGTCTCAGATGCGAAGAAAAATCCAACGCGTCATTACTTTGTCGATCTTCGTGCTGAGCTGATGCAGTACTCCCTCGACATTCTTCTCCAAAACCCTACGCAAGAAACACTCGACAAAATCGGGAATACGCTCGTTTTATCGCTCGACGATTACACTCGAAATCAGAGAGGTGATATCGGCAGTCACGTGCGTCTCGCTGCTCTCAAAGGCATCCAACAACTGGTCGATTCCTTCCCCCAGCTAAAGATGGAAACTGTTTTGCTGCTTGTCGGAAAGACGCTCCAACAGGGCGCGGAAAAGATCCTTCGAGTTCGAGAAGAAGCGGCAAAGACTCTCATCGCTCTCCAGCCTCATTCCAAGCTTCATCCTGACATTGAGGAGCTCTTTAAAATCATGATTTCAAAGAACAACGGACTCGGCAAATTCAATCAAATCTGGGTCTCATTCTGGGGCGCAGAAAAGATGTTTTCTCTTTATTCAAAATTGCTGAAAATCAAATCCTTTCAGCGCCAAATTTTACAGGGACTGATCGTTTCTGCTGGTGATCTGACGCAGTCCTTGTCGCAAAATGCCTTCAAAGCGGCTAATTACTTCATGGATGATTGTCAAGAAGAGGAGCTGGAAGAGGTTCTAGAGCATATTTGCTACTTGTGGAATGAAAAACCGACGCTGCTAGGACGGTTGAAGATCTGTCTACCTACTCCCAAGCTTTTACAGCTTTATTACTGTAATTAACTTCCTATAATCGACCAGATCTTCAACCAAACATCAGGAAAGCCAGTTTTGAAAGTCCTCGAAGAATTTCTTTCCCGAGAATACTTTGAAGACATCGAAGAGAGCAAAAAACTCGAGAAAGTATTCGAGCTTTGCATCAAGTATACAAAAGCAAAGGACAGTCAAAACGCAATCAACGCGATCAGCTGCTTGAATGGACTTGCCAGGATGGATGTTTTCTACGAACGAGCATTCGCGAGATTCAGACAACTTTTGTACAATAAGAAGCCGTTTATCCGATACCAGGTAAAATGTCTATCAGTTTCTGCTTTTATTAAATGCTACTGTTTATTAAGACGGCTGAAAAACTGCTTCAAAACTACGAAATCCTGTCAATCACTCGCGACATCCCGAATTCCGTAACTCAAACTCTCCGCGAAACCGACTGGGTTGACGATTCGAAAGACATCGAATTCTTCAAGGAAATGTCTAAAAGCATTGTCGACCAATTTCTTCAAGCTGCTTAGAATCTATTTTCTGATTCCTATCATTCATTATTCGTCCAAGTAGATGTAGTGTTACTATTTTTCTTTCTTCATTTATCTTCAAATCACTGAAAATGCCTTTACAGACAAAGAATAAACATAATATTTATTTTCTCAACCCTTATTTTAATCAATTAAATAGACGAATCGAGCAGTCGGTGTCCGGTACCGCTCGTTGGATCGGAATTTTGTGATTTCCGGAATTGTCTCGGAATGTCGGCCGTAGCAGCTGAAGAAGCTCAGGAACCTGAAAAAGAGTCTATCCCTGATCAGGATGTTCCAAGATGCTACGTCTGCCTAAGCAAGAACCCACGATACAAGTGTCCAGGATGTCAGAACAGAGTAAGAACCCCCTTTTCGACCGTTTCTCAACTTTTCTGTTAGACCTGTTCTCTGCAGTGCGTCCAGCAACATAAAGAGGAGCTAAACTGCTCTGGAAAACGAGACCCAACCGAGTTCGTCTTCAAGAAAACGATGAACAACCGACTTCTTCTCCGAGACTATCGTTTTCTCGAGGATGCAAGTCGACGAACCTTTACTTGGGAGCGAATTCTCCGGGACTACGGGCCAGAAGGGATGAAATCGCCAGGTTATGAAGGAAGAGAGGCGCTTACAAGATATGTGAGTATTTCAACGCTGTTCTCAGGTTCTAAATGTGATTCTAGGCCATCTCGAAAGGCTTCGTAATCTGGCAACAACCAGCCGGCTTCTCCCGCGCCTCAATCAACCGGACGGTCTACTCCGAGTACGGGGAACGCAAAGGACCAGGAAAGTACGTTGCTGATAGCACAACAGACAAAATGACGAAATCAAAATTAAGAGCCAAGAAGTGTTTCAAATTTCATGTACGGTGGACTTTTCATCTTTCTGATAGAAAGATATCAAGGGATGAGACTGATATATATGAGATTTGGAATTTAGGCCGCATTGTTCAAGGAGTCATTGATAAGGAGCGAGTTTGAGTAGTTTAAATTGAAGTTTTCAGATGAAGAATTTCATTTTTTGCAAAGAAAATAGTTTCAATTAAATTCAACTCGTAAAAAGATCGACTCCGAAGCTGCTTCTGAATTTTCCGGATCTGATGTAAGGCTGTTTTCTTGCAACCCATTTTCTCATCAATTTTTTCGTAGATTAAAGTCGAAGTCAAAGAGGAACCCTTCGAAGAAGAGCCAGAAACAATCGAATCCGACGAAACCGCCTCCTCTATCGAATGTCACCGCCTGCCAGGAAAGAAGAGTGCTGAAATGGAACGACCGCTGGAAATGGCGGAGAAAAAGTACAACTACGAAGTGTTCATGCGAAGAATTGTCGGGCAAGAGCTTTACTATCATCTCGACAAAGAAAAGACGCTCCTTGAGAATTTGAAAGGGAAGATTTTGCTAGAATTCCCGGAGTTTATTGTCACAACGACGGAGAAAGCCCAGGTAAAGCAAATGCTTGATAATTATCATCTCTTTCTTTTCCTTATCCCTTTTCAGTACTTCAAAGACCGAGGGACTGCCCATCATGATTACGTCAAAGGCCAGCCTCCACCGCAACCTCTCCACCAAGCCTCAAAAAGAAAGGAAGCCAAGCGACCTAGGAAGGAAAAGGAACAACCACCAAACCAAGAGAAAAGGTAAAAAAATCCTCCTTGATTTTGAGATCCTAACCTGTTTTCAGCGAAGCAAAATATGGCGCCCCAACTGGAAATGCCCAGACTTCTCATCCTGTTTTGGATCAGTTGGTGAACCGCGACAATCCGAATCCATACGACATGCCGAGGTCTGCTCCGTTCATTCTCTCCGCTCCGCAAAGTTCCAAACCAGCTCATCAGTCGTCCTCACGAGTCCAGATCAAGGAACAGCCGGTGCAAGTCAATTCGCTCCACCCAGGTACCAGACACGCCTTTCTTCCCTTTCTATTCTATCTCAGGCTTCCAATCGTTACTTGGTACATCGCCAAAGAAACAGGAGAAACCCGCGCACACCAAATCAGCTCGAAAGGCTTCCAAACCTGCGAATCATACGCGGCATCATCCTTATGCGAAATCTTTCAACAAAACCGAGCAACGGGAAATATCCAGCTCTTATGGAGAGCAATGGAACGAGCCCTTGACGCATTGGAATTTTAGTGAAGGAAAGGTTTATCTTTTCCTCCCTCTTTCAATTCCTGAGTCGAAAAAGAAAACCCGATCTAAGACACGAAAAACGAGGATGAGAAACAGAAGGATGTTGAATATGTTGGCTTCGACACAAGAAAAGCGGCGGAAGAGATCGAGACACCAGGTTTTTCTCACTCTTTGAGCATTTATTAACATCTTCATAGATCCTGGATCAGAGTCCCCACGACTCATGATCGACGAAAGTGAAATCAAGGATGAAGTCGAGGTCAAAGAAGAGCCCGAAGAGCTTCCAGAACCCGCTGAACCCGACCCGACCCCGAAAGAACAACCGAAAGCATTAACGAAGGAGCAAATAGAGCTGCAAGAAGCGCTCTTGTTGATGGAACAGGAAGATTACTCAGAAGGAAGTGACGTAGAAGATTACTACTAAAAAGTTATTTGACCAAAGAAAAACCCTCCACCTCAAGAATTCCTCTTTTCAACGGCATTTTTTCTCTCTTTTACTATATTTTCTGGAGCGATCAGGAGCTCGGAAAGCCGCAATTTCTTTATTCAAAGTTTTGACTATTTTACAATTTTGTTCGCGATTTTACATCGTCTTACGCTCGTTTGGAATTAGGAAGGAACTGGGGTGGAGAGCAATTATTGGCTGCACTTATTTTTCATTTACCAATTTGCTATTGAATTTCTTGAAGAAATAAACTTTAATAATATATTTTTTGCGCTCATTTGAGAAGGTGATTTTTATTTTTCTTCTCTCTGGCCCATGGTCGCACTTCTATTTTTCCAAAAGCAAGGAAAAAACCAAGAAAAATGGTGAACAGACCAACCGGGATCGCAAAAACCCGGTTCCAGTTTGCAGGATCGCCTTTTTAAGAGAATATTTTAATGTTTATCATAATTTCTACCTTGATTTTTATCCTTGAGCAGGTAAACCATGAGTGAAGTGGTAGCAAATCCAGCAAAATTGCCAAAAGCACCAGCAAAACCAGTCACGATCGGGCCATAATTTGCAGATAGCTCTGCGGCGATAGGGATGATCCCAGATACTTTTACAATAACAGTTTTCGAGGTCAAAAATTATGAACATACTTGCACTAGCACTTGCAGAAATGGTAAAAATAGCAAAAAGGATGCAAACTACTACGTAATTACAGCCAAAGAATTCCATCGAACAGACAGACGGGAGCATCAACAAACACAAGAACAGAACTAGCGATTTTCTAACAAAAGTCGTGCTGAACTTTCTTCTTAGTTTGTCAACTTCAGGTCATATTAATTGATAGACCGACTGTTTTCTTACCGATAAGAGCACAAGAAACATTCGCAATCAAGCATCCAAGAGCAACGGCTCCAAAAACGTACGTTATTGTCCGAATCGGCAACCCAAATGCCCGTTTCAAATAAGTAGGGGTGTTAGTCATGCTGCTCAGCAGAATTAAGTCGACCGAAAAAACGCCCCAGACAGCGAGAAGAACTTGAGGGTCGGTCAGAATTGATTTGAATGGAACATTTCGGAGTTTTGTCGTCGTTATCGAGGGAGGGCGCGCAGATGTAATCTGTTTTTGGACAAGAAAATGAACTTAGAAAAGCCTTACTCTATTTTCTCTTTCCGTTCCCGAGTTTTTTCTTCTTTCGACATTCTGCTAGAAATCTTCAGTTTTTGAATTCCACAAAAACCAAATTCACCCCTTTCTATCTCCGGCTTTGGATCTACCAGAATCGCCCAAAGAATACCAACCAATATCTGGCAAGTTCCGGCGATGTAATAGCAATATTCCCAGCCAAATGAATTTATCACCATTCCATTTCCAACCGAGCCCAGAACATTTCCGATCGTCACACCTCCCGTTTGAATCGCTATATTCGTCGTTATTTCGCTGGGAATGCCCCACCAGTACCACGATCCTTGCAAAGCGGGAACATAGGGACCAGAAAAAACTCCCTGGAGAACTCTCAAAAGAAATCCCAAGTTAAAAGATCTCCTGATGACGTAAGGAAAGAAAAGTGTTGTGGTTGCGCTCCCGAAGCATAAAATCTTAATAAGCGGGTAAAATCCAAATTTTTGCACGGCAAAAGCAGACGCTGCTGTAGAAATAGAATAGCCGATGAAATACGCTCCAAGAATATTTCCATATTGCTCGTTTGTCCAGGCTAGCTCGCTCTTTCCGGTCTGCTCGACATTTGTTTCAGCTGCTGATTGATTTAAAATACAGATAGACTGGACATTTTCGCCATCTTGAGCAGTAGATATGACTGTAATTGTAAATGGCAGTGTGAGCTGCGATATGTAGTGAAAAATCGTAACCAAAGAAGTTAAAAATGTAAATTCAAGCCTTTTTCTTCCCGGCATTTTTTTCTCTTTTTCCTGTGACAAAAGACTTTCTTGTTGACTTTATTTATTTCAAGAAAGGAAGCAGTATTAAAAAATGAATCATCATAATCGTAATATATTGATTGTTAATCATGAGTTACAGTTATCGACAAATACTCGAGAGAGTTGAGGAAATCTTCGAAAAGGAGCTGATTGTAATGAAACATTTTCATGAATTTGCCGCAGTCGTTTTGAACGGCGTTGAAGGCCTTAATTTTTTTCTTGATGAAAAAGTGATCAGAGAACCTACTTTGTAAATATTCCTTCTCAAGGTCAAACTCAGCGAGTCTTCAAAAATCGGAAAAGGGTCAAATTTAGCGCTGTCGAGTTTCAAAAACAAAAGCGCGTCCTTGATTTCATTTTGATAATTCATCTGAAGATCTTCGTATTTGATGATTTTGATGCTTTTTGAGAAGCTTTCCTGCGTCAGATCGTAGAGTCGCGACCAGTTGTCGACCATTGAATCGCAGTACTTGACGATTTCGTCGGCGTATTCCATGATGTCGTTTTTCTGGTCTTTGTATTTTTGAAGAAGGAGGACTCGGGGATCTCGGACGACTATCAGCGACTAGGAAAATTTAGGAGAAATTTTGATTCTCGAGAATTACCCGAAAACTAGCACCGATCCCATTTTGAACAAATTTGAGCCATCTGACATCCGCTAGCGATCCAAAGTACTCGTCAAAACTTTGAGTCACAACCCGGCATGATTTTTCTGCGCAAGATCGTCGCTCAGTAACTGCTCCTCCAGATATCGCTTCATTTTCTTTTGAAAGAGCATCAAAAAATCGCTCGAATTTCGGCGAAATACTTGAGCAAAGTAAGATTCATCAACTTGAAAGCTCACCTAAAGACGCGATAAATGTATTTGAATCGGCAGGAAAGAAGTTCGATGATGTATTTTTGAATCTCTCGAAGGTCGCTTTTTCCATAGGGCGAAAATCTAAGTGGCTCGTGGAAATAATGACATCCTTCGAGGCGCAAGATGTCGACTATTGGTCTTAGTTCGCTTATTTTGGTTTTCAAACTTTGCTATCGGAAAAGAGTAATCGGTAAAAACCTATTCTATGGGAAAATCCTAGTAGTACAATCCCCTGTTGCTCCGCTGACAGTCTTTTTCCATGATAGAATTCATCAACTGCTGATTGATCTTCTAATTTTCTGTCTCTTCTATGTCTTCAAGTCGGATAATTAAAAATTAGCTCAATTCATCCTTATGATTTTTCTGTGATCCGACGCCTCAAGATTTTGATAATCAAAAACAATAAAAACAGCTGGAATATTCTTGTTCTCAAAATAAATTTTGTTTCTCTATTTATTATCCTCATTTTTTTCGATTGCTTTTGTTTTCTCACATTCCCGGTGAGTTATGCAAGTGAAAAGGTCAAGGGAGATTCGACGCTTGGAGCAATTTTTTATTGGTAAAGATTGAGAGTGAACTCGTCAGTGAAATGTTCAAATCTTGAAGTTGCGAATTTGTGCTTCTTTTCGCCGTTTTTGAAGAAAATGAAGCACGGATATTGCGAGATGCCGTAAAGAGATTTTACTAAAAAAGGACTTCAAGATTTTCGAAGTGGAAAATACTACCTTCCACGATTTGATCAGCGTCAATTACTGTGTATTGGACGTTCTCTTCCTTGTTTTCTTCCGAAAATGCCTTCAGTTTCTTGGCCATCATTTTGCAGGAACCACACCATGGAACAGTAAACAATGCCACAGTATATTCAATACTCTTAACGTCTGTTTTCCTTTAGAATAAAATGCTATTATCTGACATTCTTCAAAAAGTTCTCCCACTCTTCAAAAGTTTCGATTATTTCAAACATCTCTACTAGAGATTCTCTAGCTCTTGATTCCTGAGACTGTCCCAATTCTACCGGCTTATTATGGATCATTAAATTCATTGTTTCCAGCAAATTCAAACAAGATCACATTCAATTGAGCTCAAATTAAAATCTGTCGAGCACGGCTTTTTCAGATTCAACAGACGAAGAATATACGAACAAAGATAAATTACCGTTTTGCAGGCACTTTCGATTATAATTTATAATTCATCGACGATCATCGATGATCTTGAAAATTGAGAATACTGTATCAAGGATTGCATTTATCGTTGAAAATATTTTTCTTGAGAAAAAAAATGGAAGATTTTCATGTCTACCCCGAGGGAATCAGGCAACTTCAGAGAGCTGTTCTTGTTATTTTCGTTCTAATTGCTATTGTTCTTGTAAGTTTTGACTGTAATCCCGTCGATCAAAAATTAAGTCATTTCTCTACCGAGAAAAACTAGTCCACGAGCAGCATTTAAAAGCTCAGCAACACATGGCCCTTGTCGAAATGGCTTGGAAACTGCACTGGAAAGAAGGAAATCACGACGAAGATCACGAAAAATAGTGTTTTCTGATATTTATTTACATTTTAAATTGGTAAATAGTGATAGTAGTAAAGGCAGCATTTTGACGATCTTCCAATTTTTTTTATTAGAGAAGCTTCGGGTTTTTTGGGAAGAAGTTGAGGTAGATTTGAAGATTTTTTTAATAATAAAATAAAAAAGTCGATTCTTCATTAAATTCATTCGAATCTACACTTCAACAACTCCGCCATGAGCCGGCTCCAAATAGGTCAAATCGGATCCGCAAGAAGTTTCGCCAAGACTGCCATCGCCAGTGCTACTGTAAGTTCCTTCTTGACTCTCCTTCGTGATTGGTACTTTTCCAATGGGAGTGCCGATTGGGTGCAAAACTGATTGTCCAAGACCAGGTTGATAAAGCGTCGAAAGCGGTCGGGGCTGGTTCGAAGCGAGGCGGCCGTTTTCGTAAGGATAGTGAGAGCCGGCCGGGACGAGGGTCAAATGGACTTGGGAGGAGGCGGGGCGGGGTTTGGGGATGTAGAGGGCCTTGGTGATGTCGCCGCGGCGGGAGTGCCAGCGATAGCCGAAGATGAAGAGGATGATGAGGAGGATGACGGTCAGGGCGCCGATGACGATTCCAATAGTAAAACCTGAAGAGTTTTCGATGATTGTCATGATCAAAAAACTTCTTTCGGAGGGAAAATGTCGATTTCGGCTCAAAAAGTGCCAAAATTATGCTGATTTTTAATTTTTACTCGATTTTCGAGTTGTTTTTTTCTCCTTATTTTCGATTTTTTACCTGTTGTTTTGACGAGTTCAACTTCATCTTTTTCCAACTCAATCAATTCATCTAAAAAGAAACGTCAGAGTTTTGGTTTCTTGAGAGAAAAATCTGCTTACCTATGGAGGCCACTTGAGATTTGGAAAGTGATCTGACGCGACTGCGGCTGCTCTCCATGCGCACTGTCTCTTCTTCTAAAAGAAACGTAAAAATCTTATCTGATCCATTTTCAAGCGTAAATTCGTTTATAAAAAAGCCGCTACGCGGCTTTATGAAAATTTCATAAATTTTCTTCAAAACCTGACTCAAGTTTCTTCTTATCAAAAATCGACATCAAAATTTCGCAGTCGCGTCTCGAAATACGGAACGGGCCGGAAGTAAAAGGAATAAATCGAATTTGCGACTCGAAAGGTCGGACCAAAAGGTTGGATCGAACATGTGACCTGAAATGCGCTTTTTGGAGAGAATGTGGCATTTTGAACTGAGTGAGTTGGTTCCGACGGATTCGGAATAGTTTTCAATACACAAGAATCGAAAAAATGCTTTTTTGGTTGAATTTCGAAATAATGAGATTTCATGATTTTGGAAAATTTTTTTCGAAAAAACGTGAGCAACAGTCGCGTTATGCGTTATTTTCAAAAACCATCAACACAACTCCTTCGGTTAGTTGAACGAGTTGATGTGGCTTAATCGCGCCTGCTTGTTGAGCGATAAAAAATATTTAGCACAGCAGGAGCAGGTTTTCTTATCAGGCTGTTCCTTACCTGCTGAGTCGAGGCCGACTGAGATTTTCATCCGGAGCTGTTTTGAGTCGCACGATGAGAGGGATTGCCGCTCCAGGTCTTCTTTTGAGTAGCCAGATAGCGCTAGAAAATTGAATAAATTTTGATTCAATGAAATTATTATGATTTTTTTCGGACGAATCAAATTGCTCAAAAAAGGCTCTTGGCCAATCAGAATCCTCGATTTTTCAACGAAAAAGGAGCATAACCGGGGCTCACGGAAGCGCTGTAAAATTGCCGATCAAGAGGCAACTGTCAAACTAAAAGGCTATCTTTGACATGGTCTTGTTTGTCTCGCAGCTAAACGAATTTGTCTTTCCCATCCGCCCGGTGGCACTATCGCGCATTCACGACAATTCAGGGCGATTGATTTCGCCGAAATAGAAATGACCAACTAATATTTCGGAAAAAATGGCGAGGGAGAAAATTTTGTAATTGAAAAAGTTAAGCAACAGCCCTTTTTCGAGAGAAGATCTCGTCATCGATGCAACTCGCGCACTTGATTCGGAACTGTCATTTCCGCTCGAGCACTTGTCTCGATCAATTCCATCAAGTGCTCAACTCGAGTATTGACACCTCCTCCCTCTTCATTTCCCCTGTTTATCTTATCCCTGATTGAGAACATTCCTTGCCGCTATCTTCGAGTTCTCATGTCCAAATGAACTCAAATAGCAAATAGCAAATGAATTGAAAATGCAGAATTGAAAAATTATCATTTTAGTTTTTTTCTTTTTCTACTTTTTTTATCTTTGTTGATGAAACAACTCAAATCAGTCGAATTCGAAATTACGCTTCGCTAGAATCGTTTCATTTTTCGACAAAACTTTCTAACTTTACATTTCGAAAGATATTTGCACAATACAGCGATTGTTGTGGATATAGAAAAACGAGAGATATTCATGCTTGCTGGTAAATAGCTTGCTCATTTGCGTCTTGCAAGATATAGAGCTTGAGAAGTTCTTGTAACGTGCGTAACATAATTACACGCATGCGCGGGGCATATTTTTTTTAGTGAGAGTGATGTTCGATCTTGATTTTAATCAAATAAAAATTCGGTCCAAAATAAGGTTTTAAGAGGCTCGAAAACCCCAAAATTGGGGGTTGGTGTCTGGAACCGACAAAAAATTTCGACAAATTTTGCGTTGGCGGCTACTCGGCTTCTGATTGGCCGGTTTGTTGAGTCCAGGCTTCTGATTGGTTAAAAATTACCACGCAAAATCTGACGAAATTTTTTGTCGGTTCCAGACACCTCCCAAAAATTGGTGCTGCATTTGATTATGAGTCAGAAATCGAGTTACCCAAAAAAGTACTTTTCGAGTCGAAAGAGTGTTCCAACACAAAAGTTCGCGCAGCTTGTGGCCACAGCTCTCGGCGAGTCGGCTGATCCGGGCGCGACCTTTGCCGAGCGTCGTGTAATCTCCGTTTTGGCGATTCTAGCATCGCCGAGCGCGAGAAGGTCGTTTAGACACTTCCGAGGAATCCCAAATGGATTCACTAATGACATCTCCGAGGAGAGGCACAGTTCAACTTCTAGCGCTTTTTTTCGGGGGAGACCCGCGGCTGCGTCATGAGGGGTTAATGACTGGTTAAACGGGCGGGATTTTTTGTGAACCTTACGTAGCAGAGGGTTAATTACAGAGAATATAAAATCAGGTGTCAAAATCGGGTTTTTTAGTCAAAAAAACTGTGAAAAATATATTTGCAAAAGCATTTTAAAGCAATAACTTTTACATTTTAGAGTCTTTTTTTTGCAGGCCACTCTTTAAATCGCACCTTCTTGAGAGAAAGATGGGAGATATTTATGAAAAAACTTTTGAAAAAATCAACCAAGATTTTCAAAATTTTAAAAAGGAAACAGAAGAAAAAATAAGTTATAAATTGACTGCAGTGGAAGCGAAGAACAGCGAGATGCCCCTCGTTGAGCGAGAAATAGAGTCGATCCAAAAAGATCTAGTGTCGCTAGAAGAAGAAAGGCAACAGTGTGAGGAAGAAATGCGACCTTTGAAGTCAAAATACGAAGCTCTTGTTCAAAGAATAAAAATGAAAGAGCTTGTTATGAAAGAACAAAAGACACGATTGAAGAATTTGAGCATCGAAATAATCAATTTGAAGAAAGAAGTTGAGGATATTCGGAAAATGAAGTGTGGAAAACTTAATTCATTTTCAATCCATGAGTTAGACGTCTGTCCAATTTGCATGGAAGAATACAATACAAACGACCATATTCAGAGCTGTTTGAAAGTATGCGGACACAGATTTGGAAAGAATTGCATAGAAAAAACCCTTGGATATCGCGTAGGTTCTCGTGCTATGTATGGAAAATGCCCTAACTGTAACAAAGAGTTTACAGCTGCAAGCATTCTCCGTCTTTACTGAAAATAAAATTCGAAACCCTTATTTACAGTCGGAACAAGCCCAGGTGCTCAAAATTCGACGTGTAATTCGTTTGGGAAAGTAACCTTTTCTAGAGCTGTTGTGCCGTCCAAATTGAATAGAAAAGGACGAGTAATTGAGCGCGGCTAGGTGGATTTATTTGCTCGGAAAAAGGCAACTGTTCTAAATCGTGCTCGCTCGTATAAATACACTCTTTAGACATTTTTTATTCGATTATGTAGTTGGCAAAATAATTTGATGAAATATCATGGAAGTCGTTTTATGTTGCGAGAGTACGGTCTTAGTTTGATCAAATAATAGAGATATTTTTGATTCGAATATTTGCAACAAAAGCCATGAGTATATGATGTATGAAATGTATATCCTTAGCCCTCCAAACACCCTTAAACTCTAGCCAGATCTGCCTAAGTCGCGCAACTGCTTCCCGCATAACTTTCAAACAAGACACTTGAAAAGTACTTACAAATAAGGAAGTAATCGCTTCCCCGCGAAAACACGGGCGAAAAGGGGTTCGGGTTGATTTCTTGAAACAGTAGCGTGTGCTTTCGTTCTCGCTCAGGAGTCAGACAGGAAAACAAGCGGCTAGAAGAGGTCACTTGGCGGCAGTATTTGACATCTTCGGCGGAGACGAGAAAAACCTGAAAAAAAAGATGGTGACGTGGGTGGAGCGAGAGGAGGGGTAATTAGATTTTTCTAATAATAGCGGGACATCAATTTCTACATCTTGTAAGTATTTTTAAACGAATGAGCTTTTTGGGCTTTGTTATGCGTTTTATGAATTTTTACTGTTATAATTACTGAAAGAGACTCATCAAAAAGTTCATTAAATAAAGCATATTTATGAAAAAAATTATCATGGTGATACCCTTATTTTCTCCTGTAAGAATGCTAAAAATGATTCAAACCACTTTTAGAGGAAAAATAAGGGTGTCACTATGTTTTTCTCTAAAGAAATGAGGGTCGACTTTATAGCTTTTTAAGAGGCTAACCCCTTAAGGAAAAAGAATATGTCAAGAAAAAGCTTTTGACCTCTTGAAAATTTGAAAAGGCGATCAACGCGTGAACTGTACCCCCTTAATCTGTGCGCATAATTTAGCGTTTTGCGGAAAGGAGTGTTTGTCTACGACACAGAAAAACGTGCCGCCGACCGGATAAGCCCTCGGCGGGTCATCCCTCCTTTTTAGAAACACTTGCATTTTTTCGATTTTGCAAATTTTCAAATGTCCAAATTTGACAGTAAAAAAAGCTTTTTTTTACTTTTCGCGAAAACTTAATAACAAGAAAAGCAAATTTTTGCGGCTGTTGTTAGTATTCAACTCGCGAATTCTGAATTCCGCTCAAAGAAAAATAAATTGAGTTGGTAGTTCCGAGGCGGCGTAACTCGGTTTGCATTTTCGTTCGACATGCAGCAAAAGCCAAATCAGGGGACAGGTGCATGTTCCACCCTGATGAATAATCCCCTTTTTACGCCGGAAAACAGGCATCGCCCGTTTTTCACGTTTGCATTTTTTTTTGAATCAGTGGTTTTCGGTTAGTTTAAAAGTTTATTTAAAATATATAATATGTTAGGCATATAGCTATCTTAGGCATATATAAGTTGCTGCTTATTTTAGGCTACTTTCCGAATAGTCATCAAATTTTTTATGATCTACGTGTATGTTTTCATTGGAGCTTCTGGTGTTTGCTTGTTTTTTTTCTAGAAAATATTTGATCAAAAAAGCGCTTTTGGTCGGTATTCAATCATACTTTTTATATTTTTTTGAAAAAATAGTTGATTTTCATTAGTATTTTTCTTGCTCTTATTTTCTCAATTAGAAGAACCAGTATTCTCTTGACAGAATGCATACAGTTAGATATATGGTGAGCCTAAAAACACGAAATAATTATTCGTAAACAGCGACAAATCATCCTTTTTTTGCTACCTGGTATTTATGTTCAATCGAATCTTTCTCGGACCATATTTTTTTGACATAAAAATGACTGGCAGGGCTGATAAAAGGACATTTCCTCACGCCAATCAGTAAAATGATTGTATTCCACGTTAGATATTGTGAGAAAAACGTGAAAAAAACTGCTACGTTACGAAAAAGCGCTTCTGTAATTTTCGAGTTGAAGGTGTTGGATTGTAATTTCACTTGTAGAAGGTGGCACTTAGTCGGAGGGATGATCCAAGCGCGTTTCTGGTGAGAACTCGCCACTTTCTTTTACAAGTGTTATTACAGATCATCTCAAAATAATCTCCTCTCCACAACTATCCAACTCGTCATAGCAAAAAACGACCGACCCCATATGGCGCTTTTTCAATAATTGCCAAGTCAATCATTGATTTTCTGTCCTGTTAATTTCATTATAAATGTTCTTTCAAAACTTCGTCTCGAGCGTTATTAATTTTTCTTTCTTACTTTCATGAAGAGCAGATCGTTAACTTCGGCGTGCTGCGCCAGGGGACAGTAGATGTCCATTTTCTCGCCGACGCGGACCGAGAGGCCGGATTTTGATGACGACGCATTGTCGAAGCTGAAATATTGGATTAATAAAAATATAAAAAATATGTTGATAATTCACCAAATCAATCTTTATTCAGCGATTTAACAAAAAAAAACCATAAAAAAATATTTTTTTAAGAAAAAAAATTCGATAAATCTTGTATTTTTATGAAAGAAAAATCCGAAATTCTCAAAATTACTGTATAAAGGCGATTTAATTTCAATATTTATTTTAATTTTTTAATTTTTTTAAATTTTATGAAGAAAAATCGAAGAAAATGGCAAAATTCTTGTTTTAAAATTGTAAAAACCATTGATTTTTTTGTGTTTTTGTCCAAAAAACAAGCTTATTTGACAGTAATAGCTAGAATGATTGTAGTAGGAAAATAATTACAGTAAGACCAGCGCGTCACAAGTTGAAAAATTGATGAAAAGTTTAGTATTCAGTTGTGAATATTTAACTACAGTAATGCTTTTAATCTGACTAAATGGTCGACCCTGGTCCGACAGTTCGATCAATTATGCATTGTAATCTCTAAGCTTTTCAAACAGTGTTAATTATTTACAGTAAGATCACAACTGCTGAGCTGCTCTTGCTGTTTTCGGTTGTTTTCCTTGCAAGAAATTTCGAAAATTAAATTTCAAAAAATTAAAATTTCTATTTGGGCCGGATTTTTGGCCATTAGTGAGCACTAGATCGGGTACTCGACGTGCGATAAAGTTTCGCCCCTCGAAGAAGGGATGAACGATGCTCGAGCAAAAACAAACTTTCCTTTGAAGTGAACTCGAGTGGACGGCCACTCGTTAAGACTCTGGAAAATGATATGTCCACTTACAAATCATCCCCTAATCCCTTCCAAAGAATTTACCGATATTTTTCGCCTCGACTCGAAAAATTCATGTTCAAAAGAGAACGAAAAATGAAGCTCAAATACTCTGAGACGGCTCAAAATGATTTGAGCTTGCTCAGATTATTGACAGCCGACTCAAATATACTTGAGCTCAAAAAAACTTTACTAAAGCGGGCTCAAATTCAGCTGAGCGGGCTCAAAATTGATCTGAGCCGGCTCAACTTGGTCTTAAAAATGATTTGAGCTGGCTCAGATTGATTTCGAGCCCGTTCAGCTAAAGTTGAGCCCGCTCTGGAAAAGTTTTTTGAGCTGGCTCAAATTGAATTGAGCGAGCTAAAAATTAACCGCCCTGGCTCATGATCTGAGCCGTCTCAAATTCACATTAGCTTTTTTGAGCTAAGCTTGGCTTTCCAGAAGCGGATTGGATAAATCAAAAGTTGAGGTCAAGAGGTTAATTTTTCGCTTTCATTATTGCCCATTTTTTGATAAGAAAAAAATTCGTAGCGGTCTCCTTTTTCGTAAAATGGTGGATCTATATAGGAGTACGCTGATGCCGCAAATTGCCTGCTTCCTGTGATTTTACAACTGATTGTGGTCACTTGAGTGCGATAACCAACGGGCGCATAATTTCAATTTTCTGACTTTAGACACACTTCTAAAACGAAAATCGACCAGTACTTATCAAACTCTTATCATTAAAACGAGCAGCAAAAAAGCCAAGAGCCCTTTTTTGGCCACTTTTCTTCAGGCCGCGAAAAATATATATTTTTATTCCGCGGCCCCTCTTTGTGCTTTTAACTTTAATAATCAAATCAGTCAAAAAGTTGTCTTTAAAAATTGATATCGCGTCCCTGAACCACTTATGCTCTCCGTCACATGTTGAGGATTTTTAAGGACTCACTCTCTAATCAAATTGACTTGAATCAATTTTGATTGAGCTCTCTTCTTAATATTTTTGTTTTATTCAGATTTGAGCATCTTCAAAGCGCTCTCTTTCTGCTGAGAGGAAATGCTATTTTATTGATTATCACGATTTTCATTTTAAAAATCTATGTTCGCTAGAATTTTGATCCAAATGGCGGCTTAAAATCGAGAAGCCGCTTGCGGCTTCGAGTCAATTTACAAGAAATAGCCGCGCTTCGCGCGGCTAGAACTTTTTTTAGTCTCGAAGCCGCAAGCGGCTTCTTGATTTTCAGCCGCCATTTCAATCAATATTCTAGCGAAAATGAATCATGAAATGAAAAAAGGGATTTTTCCCTGGAAATATTTGATATTTGAACTTTTTTTTTGCCCTATTTTGACCAACGCAACTCGATGAAATTTATATCTCCTTGATTTCGATCCCAATTTGTAATTTTCCACCTGTGAGGTCAAAAATGCCGTTTCTAAAATTCGGGCGTCATTTGGAATGATGCAAAAAGCGTAATGCGATTTGCGATGATTTATGAGCCGCCCTGATTCAACCGACAACAAATCTTTTTCTCCCAGCGCACGTAACGTAAAATTGACGGAAACGGAGGATTATCATTAAATAATCATCTCGGCGGGGAATAACAAAAATAAGCGATGATTATTTTCAGTAATTATTTTCGGCTCGAAAAGTTTATGCAAGAAGAAGTAACTACAGCTTCTCAATTTCTAGAGGATCAATAAAGAATTTTTTTTAATGATTTTTTTTTACAAATTTTTCATTGTGACACCCTTAATTTTTTGATCCTTGTTTGTAAACAAGTGTTAAAAACCTGAGTCAGGCTCCAATAATCGTTATTTTAAAAGTTGGTTCAGTAGAACTTATTTGATTGTCTCAGTATGATATTGAGGCGAAGCTGCTCCGCGGCTTTGGTTGAAGAAAAGCCGCTACGCGGCTATATTTCAGAGCCTTTTGATGGGGCAAAAGATAAGCATCAGAAGAAGAACCGCTTCATCTGCAGATTTCATGATTAAAAAAGCGGAAGGTTTTCGGAATCTCTCAGCTGGAAGCAATTAAGAAACTGGATATAAAAGTAGGATGGGGAGAGAAATTGATCATTCTGAAATACAGTCATAAAATGAAGCTGCTAAGCAGAAGAAGAAGCAATATTTTGAGATGAATTTCAAAGTACTGTTTCGTTTTTTGTTTTAACCTGTTTATTTTAAAAACGGAAAGAAGAATCAAAAAAGATAAAAAAGCATAAACATCTATTTCGTCGTTTTTTTAATAAAAATTAAAAAGATTCTTCAGTCAATTGCTACGAATTATTTGGATAATTTGGCTCGATTCCTGGAGTTACCAGGAAACCGCCTTGAAAAAATATACATTTGAAATATCTCCCCTAAGTGCCCTGCAAAGTGTTATCATCAATTTTTCTTTTTAGGGCTAGGTCTGGTCGCCGCCGCAAAGCGCCCAGATAACGCGAAAAATTGGAACTGTTTTGAAACAAACCCAGCTCTCGTCATCTACGCTGAATTCACTCAATTGGGACGCTATTTACGCTAAACAAATCTCCCACTACATTTCCGAATTAATTGTCTTTTCTTTGGAGGAATTCAAGCGCAATCAGTTTTCCGGAAAGTCCATCAATAGCACCATCAAAAGAAGGGCAATTGTCACTAGAATTTCTAACCGATCTAATGACCCTTCTAAAATACAGTAAGAGGAGAAACATCTTCCTCCGGTGTTGAATTCTTGCGACAAGCGTGAAGACAGCTCGGTGTTTCGCGTAAATTAGCACCTTTGTAAAGCATTTTGCTCGTGAATATCTCACACTACTCAAAACAATTTTCCCAAAAATTTGTCAACACGCGCCTCGCCGCATTTTAGCTCACGTTTTACATATTCAAGCATACTGTATATAGACAACAAGGCAGCGCTTCTCTCTCTTTTATATAAGATCACAACCGCGGTCAAATAGGTCCTAATTGACCGCAAAATGAACGGCTTTCGATCCTTGGCACAAGCTCAAACCAGAACTCAAAATAGACAACAAAAACGGCGAATGACTGTAAATGATAGTAGGCTATCATTGCTAGCAGTTGACTGTACTTCTAGGGTTAGGGTTAGCCCTCCTGATTCAGCGGGTAAGAGCGGGGCTCGAGAACCTGCGTAGGAAACCTGAGTCAGGGTCTTCGAAATGGCTTTTGATAAACGATTTTTAAGACCCTGACTCATGTTTCTTAGACAGGTTTCTGAGCCCAGGTTTAGGATACCATGTTTAGGGCGTGCTCGGCAACCTGTGTAGAAAACCTGAGTCAGGGTCTGAAAAATCATTTATCAAAAGCTGCTTTGGAGACTCTGACTCAGGTTTTCTACACAGATTTCTGAGCCCAGGTTAAGGATACCAGATTTATAGCTTGGTTCGACAACCTGTGTAGAAAACCTGAGTCAGGGTCTCCGAAGCAGCTTTTGATAAAAGATTTTTCAGACCCTGACTCAGGTTTTCTACACAGGTTGCCGAGCCGAGAGTCAGGATAACATGACTTTGTTGAACTCTTTCAAAAACTACCTCTTAGTACGGAAATGCATGAAAATACAAGAATTTCTCGCTCGTCCAAAAAAAGAATTTCGCGCCTCTTAGTTTCCAGCTTCCTCGAAGCCCTTCAATTGGGGGGATGAAAGGCGGAAAGCGCCAGAGGTACCGATTACTGGATCAAGAAGAAGATCTCGTTTTTCGAGTGGCTTGATTTTTGACTTGCTTTTTTTGGACTACTGGTAAGAAGCTCAATGTATAGGTACAGAAGGGAAGGAGAAGGCGGAATTTTTGAGATGGCCATGGGAAGATTTTGGGAAGAAAAAAGGGAAGGAGGAAATTCTAGAGAAATTCCTTCCCGTTGTGTTTTTTGAAAGGCGATTTGAGATTGAAAAGAAAGGGAAAATGAGATAGTTGAACTCGTTTTCTTTATCTTTTATCTGGAAATAAGAAGCCCGCTCAATAAATGTAAATGCTCTTAGCGGAGAAAGTTAAACATGTGTACCGGGGCTGAGCCCGTTCAAGACAGCAGGTGATAGATTCCTGCCCCGCGTACAAAAGTTTGCGGTCGCCCGCCGATTCGAGAGAAATGGGATGAGCTGATATGTATTCGACGAGAACAACGATTTCGCGGTTCGAAATTTTAATCAAAAAAATCCGGAAAACAATGCTTTTTTTCTCTCTAAATCATTAATAATCCTGTTCTTTTAAAACTCTTACACTTCGATTAAGGGTATCACATCATTAAAAATTTGATCGAATATGATAGTGACGCCCTTAAATTCATGAATGAAGAAAATATGACTTTTGACTTTAAAACTGCTTTGGATCTTTCTTAAGGGTATCAACTCCTTTAAAGATTTATCAAAATTGACGATGACACCCTTAGGACCAATTAATAAATAGAAATGTTTTTCTGTCAAGACTTGACCTTGAGAAAAACTCAATTTGAATAGGCAAAGAAAAGGGCAAATCAATAAAATTAGCAAAAAAAGAAGGGTTGAAATTGAAATTGAGTAATCCTCTGATGACACTGGATCATCCCCTGGCGATTGCCCCTGTCGTGGGCCTTCGGCTTAGGCGCATTTAAATTTCGACAAAATTCGATTCAAGTATCCTCTCCCACCGAGTTTTCAATCGATCACCCAGCTGGGGATGGTCTTTCGAAAAAAAATATATTCACGGCGCTTTTTTTCACGTGATTTTCTGAATTTCGGAGTTTCAGCGAAAAAAGAGTGGTTATGTGAGCAAAAGTAAGCCTCGCGCACTTAGTCAAACAGTAAACGGGGTAAGAGATTCTGGCTCTTTTTTTCGCATAACCGGTTAAATATGCAGAAAAGGGGTTAAACGGAATATTTCCTTCCTGCTTAAAATTTCCAGTGCATTTTTCAATGTTTTTATTTTTTGATTCGAAACACCAGAATTTTAGTTTTTCAATGATTTTTAAGGATTTTATTAGATGACAAAATGTTGAAAATCTTCTTCAAATGCTCGAAAAAAACTTACAGCCAATAAAAATATATTATTTTCTATCAAAAATTCTTCCGAAAAGAGCAAGAAATTGATCCTAATCCCTCCCATCTGTCGTCCAAATCCCCCTTTTCAAGCTCCATTTCAACCCCATTGTCTTTTTTCTTTCCTTTCAAAAGCTGGGAAAACTCTTCTTTTCGCGGCCAAGAGTGGCTTAACACTCACTCTTCTTCCGGAAATGTTATTCTTAGCTGGAGGAATCAATTCCGTTCAGCGCAATCGAGCGGAAACCCTTTTTTTTATTGTCTCACGTGGGCATCTTTTTAGGGCGAATTTTATGGTGGCTGAAAAGGAAAAGCCTGGGAAATGAATGAGGAGGAATACGAAAGTGGTAAAAATTATACAACCGAGAATTATAGGAACCGGTTGTTTTGGGTTAAATGTAAACAATTATTCCCCTCTTTTATTATCTTAGTGGAAGATGTGATTTTTCGAGTTTATCACGATGAGAGCCTTAATTTTAAGGGTGAATTTTCCATTGATTGACACCCTTATTTTTAATCAAATAAGGGTGAAATCCCTAAAATTAAGGCTCTCATCATGATAAACTCAATAGAATAATACCCTCTTTTGATAAAAATTAAGGGTGTCACTCAGTAAAAAATTAATCTTGAAAGATCATAGAAAGTTTCTAACATACCTAACACCCTTAAAATAGAGCGGAAAGGAGCAGATGTTTCTTCAATCAAAAATAACCAAAAACCGTGTTTTCAGGAGACCCAAAAATGACTGATTTGGACAGCAAAATAAGGAGTTGTCGCAAATTGTTCGCAAAAGAAAAATGATTTGAGACACGAGTTTGCGCTAATAATTCATCGCCCGGAAAGACACTCGTTCATTACTAATTCAGCCATCTTCTGAAGTGGATATTGACAGACTTACTGTAAGATCAAGACTGTAAGACGCGTGGCCAAAAAAGGTCAGCTGTGTCGCAATTCCCAGCAGAGGGATGAGAATGGCGACCTTCACGAGCTAATCAAAATTAATCGCCATTTTGAGCGAGATTGATCATCCTTGTATAATAATTAGACAGGTGCCATTTTTAGCCACTAAATCTTTATTGTCTTATAATCAATTTTTGTGATTTCTTTCGAAGAAAAAATGTCACGCGAAGAAGTGACTTTAGGGAGGGGAAGAGAAGAGGGATTAGAGTCAAAAGTTCTTGAGTGGCGTTTGTCCGAATTTCGACCTCGAAAATCAAAGATTCGCGACATTTTCGCTGCCAAAAATCAAGTTTTGGCGAAAAGGATTTATACAGATGGATCAAGATATAACGAATTTGTTCGAAAGGGCTTTTTATTGGCTTGTATACAAATACTTGTCGGGCATTAGAAAGGCTCTGCGGATCAATGCGCACTTTGTTGTTGGTTTGAGGAAATTTCGAATCAGCCTGAAGATTGCCAACGAAGGTCAATTCAATTTAAAAGATCCTTTTTATAATGATCTCCTAGAAATATCCGAGAAATTTGCCATCAATTAGGCTCTCCAGATGAGCCAATCGTCCAGTTTGAATCAGTCTTATTGCGGATTATAATTTGTACAAATTCATATTCATTGGATACATGAAAATGAGTTTTTCGGAACAAAATTCTACCCCCCATGTTTCTTGTGCTCATCTGAAAGAGCGACTCCTGAGGAGTCGATTCATATAGTTTTGACGGTCTGAGTCATCATAAATGACGTCATAGGCTCCCCTAAAGAAAAAATCCTTTGACGCCCTCTATCTCCGAAAATTTTCGAAAAAAGTTTGGAGATTATGGTACCATTCGAAAGCCCAGCTCAAACTGTGGTTGCGCACTCGTTTTGCAGCCGAAAATTCGAAGCAAAAGAATATATTTTTAAGCGTGAACTTTTTAGTAAAAATTTTTTTTCGTCGTTTTCTCTTGCGCACCAACTGCGCAACCACAATTTTGGCTGGGCTTTCGAATGATACCCATATCTCCATACTTTTTCCGAAGATTTTTGGAGATACAGGGCGTCAAAACTTGCCATTTTCAGGTTCTTGAAGCGCTAGAATCGGATATTTTTCAAAGCTTTGGACCATAAAAATCGTACCATTCGACTCCTCAGAACCTGCGCTACAAGATGAGCACAAAAAATATTGAGGTCCCGATTTTGCTCCGCAAAAGTCATTTTCATCTATCATTGTGTATTTATCAAAATCTCGTACATTTTTGTATTTCATCGTCGAAATAAATTATCCAAATGTCCAGTTTACGTCAAATTATCTCTCTAAGGGGGGTACCGGATGTTGATTTTATCTGAGATACAGGGCAGTTTACGCTATTGATCCGCCGCACTTGCTCGCATCTGCACGGTCCCGAGACAACGAGGTGATACCACCTGCATATTTGGACTCCTCACCTTCCAAGACCCCATATCATGATCTATCTGTAGAAATCACTCTTAGCCAATCAAAAGCTCTGATTGAACATTTAGAAAAGCTTTTCTGCCACAATTTTCGATTGCTTCTAAAATGGCCAAACCTTCTTTCTTTCCTTCCCATAACGAATCATTTTTCATTTGGTGCAAGTGGATGTCCGGCACAGCGATAAGTCGGAAGTTTATGTTATCTTCAAAACAAACACCACTAAAGCGCCTCCTGCAGCCGGCCAAATGGAAACATGTTCCTCCTTTTTTCACAAAAGAAAAAGAAAATAAATTAAGGCGCTTACACACACTCACATCTTTCAAGCGCTAGAATCGAGGGTAATCATGTGGAAAAAGTGACATGGGGCGGCTGTTTCATCCCCTTTTTTCCTGCTTGTTTGGTTTTGCTCAAGCGGAAATTGGAGAAAATGGAAGAAAAGGGAGCTTCTTTAAGGGACCTGGGCGAGCAGCGCGGAGCCGAACTTCACGGGCTCGCAGCTTATCTTAGAAGTGAGATTTTTAAGAATTTCTTTTTGCAAATCATATCTGCAAACATTCAGCTTTCTCTACCTATTTTCAGAATTTTTCTATCATTACCGGTTGATGAACTAGAGAGAAAAAGAGAAGAGCAACTTCAAAAGGCATCAAGTCCTGCAAACTAAATTTTATCTTCCTGAAACTAGCACCATTAAAAAGCCCGTTTAATTCTGCACAGATTCCACCTAATGCGCAAAGCTAAATACGTACTTATCGCCAAGTAACGCCAAATAAACAAAGTTACTTAGCGCGCTCAGCTGGTCGCGGCGCAGTAGGACGCTCTGATGAAGCTATTTTGGCCTTCCGGGACATGATTCCCGCTGAGTGCGCGCTCAGTTATCTTGTTTATCAAGCCTCTATCGCCAATAGGTACTGTCCCGTATTTGCGCATTAGGTGGAATCTGTGCAGAATTAAACGGGCTTTTCAATGGTGCTAGTTTCAGGAAGATAAAATTTAGTTTGCAGGACTTGATGCCTTTTGAAGTTGCTCTTCTCTTTTTCTCTCTAGTTCATCAACCGGTAATGATAGAGAAATTCTGAAAAAAGGTAGAGAAAGCTGAATGTTTGTAGATATGATTTGCAAAAAGAAATTCTTAAAAATCTTACTTCTAAGATAAGCTACGAGCCCGTGAAGTTTGGCTCCGCGCTGCTCGCCCAGGTCCCTTAATATTCTAGTGAAGAATGAAAATAAATTACGAAAGAAAAAATGAAGTATTTTTGTTAAGGGAAGGGCACAGTGTATGGGCGAAAGCAAAAATAAACGATTTTTACAAAGGAAACGGGAGCGCTAGAACTTTTTTGCAGCATATTATTTCGTTCAGACTTCAACATTTTGCATAAAAATCATAAATTTTATTGAAAAAAAATTTTTAAAAAGCAATTTTTAATTTAAAATTTTACAAAAAATAAGGGAAAAGCCTTCTGAATTGATAATAAATATAATTTTTGCAATAAAAAAAAATCAAAATTTCATCTTGAAAAACTTACACTGGATTAGTCGTATTCCAATAAAGAGGCTCAATTTGCACTGAGCCAAAGACGACTCCAAAAAGCAGCGAAATCTTCATTTGATATTCTTCTTTTTTTTCTTCGTTTTTAACGATCTCTCTGGTTTTTCCGAAATAATTTTATTAACAAAAGTTTCTCTTGTTTTAATTAATAACTACAATTACAGATTTTTCAAATTTTCCTTCAATTTTCTCGTCGCGGAGGAGTCCGCAAAGAAGCGCTGAACCTCGGCAGCTCAGGCGCGCCATCGTTCGAAGACTCTGAGCGCGCGCTTTTCTTTCAGCGCCGCGCGGATTGAGCCGTGGGAAAAGCGGAAAAGAGGGTTGAAGAGTACGGGTAAACTGGGGTCAAGCGAAAGGAAATATTGATTACAAATAATTGTCATTCAATTCGTTTTCAAAAAAGGCATTTGTATCTAGGAATCGATCATCTCTTAGAGCGAAAGGATGAGATTTAGCAGTTTAGACAGGGGATAATGATCTGATCCTTAGGATCAGGATTTTTCCACCATGGACCGTGGTGAACATACTGATGCCCTTATTTGATATTCCCAATGGAAAGTCAAACCAAGCCTTGAATAAAGGTTTGAATTTTCTTTTGGCAATTTCAATTAAGGGTGTCAATATGTTAACTTCGGCTTGAATTTCCGCCAGTTGCAATCTGAATGTTCATAGAGTTGAGATTTTTCGAAGAAAAATTCATCTTATTTGTCAAGTTTTCAAGATTCTCGTAGCCTAGTCCTGCCGAGATTTCCAAATAAATAAATCTAAGGAAAAGGATTTAACGAATTTTCAAAAACAATCAATTCAGAAAACGATGAATTTTCGTCTAATTTTCTTACCCTAACCATAACCTCAACCCAAACCCAAGACTTCGTTAATCTGGTTCAAAAACTCGTCAAACCCTAACCCTAAAAATATTTTAGGGTTAACCCTATCTCGCCCAGCCCTAACTTCAACCCTAACCCTAACTCTGAAGATGATTTCACTATGATCAATCGTAATCGGCTCACTATCAAAAACAAACAAGAAAATCGTTTTAATAATTAATAAAAACGTGAACATCGTGAAAACATGCCGAAAACATGTTCAAACAAAAATTGCTATTTCTAACAGTTTGAATATTATTTAAAAACAGTATGATTGCACTTCCCAAAATTGACACTCCACAAGTCAACGAGATTAGCCACCGCTCTTAGCGCAATTTAGGACGTTGCTCGGTCAGATGCGCGCTAATTCAGGCGGATTTTTAGTTTCGTTTTATTTTCACCTCTGCGGGAGGAGAGCTTCAAACGCCAGTGCGCTCAGCTAAGCTGGATTTTTTGACGCGCTTTTGAGACCCTTGATGTGCGCATTGCCGCAGAATCCTCAGTTTCGGGCTTTTTGATGAGCAATTTGAATAGCTGTAAATATATCTTACAGTCAATTTATTATCGACAATTATTTATTTTGATCTTACAAAAATTTTTCGAAACTCAAAAAATTTTGACAAAAACACTGTTTTTCAGGTCGAAATCCGGAGAAAAAGGGTGAAAACCAATTTATTGAAGTGCAATTTCGGATAACCAATAAGATTGCTCTATTTGGCCTACCGGCCAATCAAAACCCTGATTCATAAAATCACTTCCATAAATTGTTTTTACCGAGAGAAATTCAATTTTTCAGCTAAAAATCTATTTTTCAGTCGAAAATTATCAATGAAATCCAAAATAATTAGCAGTTATGAATATCACCCGCCATTTGGAAAAAAAGATTGGGCCGCGTTCAAAGTGGGAACCTGAGAGTTTGAAGCTTTGGATGCGGCTGTCCTCAGCTCGTCTCCTCTTTCTCCACAAGACAAGCCGCAAACAGCTCACGTCGGGTACCACACATTTTCTTACTTTACAGGTGATTTATGTTTTCAATCAAAACACGCTTTGAAATAGAAGTTTTAAAAAACTTATAAGTTTGCTATTTTTGAGCCGAAAATTTTTTTTCAATATTTTTTATTCTTTTGAAAGCCCTGAAAATTGTTAAAAAAAATTGAAAATATTATGATTCTAGGATAGCAAGCCGGGAGATCTACGGCGGCTGAGCTCGTTCAGAAAGAACAACATTTTGAGAAGGGTGGCCTCTGCGCGGCTGCGGCAGCGGATCACTGCGGTGCTTACCATTTGCTCACTTCCTTCCACTGCAGCTTCCGAACGACTTTTTTATGAAAACAATTACAGAAATGAAAACTTATGTAAATTTTATATTTCAAATTTTTTCTCTTTTTTTACATTTTCTTGAATATAAAAAAGTTGAAACAAGTTCTCACATTTTTTCTCCAACAGAAACAGTATTATTATCGCACAGTACTGTTCGTTCTGTCAGACAGACTTGGATGCACTTTTGCATTAACACTGATTATTCATATCGGCTGTTAAATCCTTCTATATCGGTAAGATGTCAATTCGAGCTTTATATATATCGCATTTGTTTAAAATCGAGCGCACTTCTTAGAGAATGAATCTTTTGCCCTTATTTTTCGCCTTTTTCGCAGAAACGTCCGCCATCAGCGCTGATAAGAAGCTTCTCCAAATGCTCGGCCGCCTTGGTAAAATTTAAAATATCGAGAGTTTTGGGCTTAAGGACCCCTCCGTCATCTGATAATGACTTTTTCAAACACGGTTTTCGGGTTGATCCCCTTAAGATTTTTGAAATATTTTTGAATTATTTTGTAGCCCGATAGTTGCTCTAGGGCACCAGAAGGAAAACAAGCTTATAGGCCTCTTAAGGGTGTCGCAACGATAAGTTAAAGTGAAAATATTTTTCAAACAGTGATATCATTGTGATCACCTTAACTGATCAAAATTTTTTTATGTTAAAAATTTAGCTGAGACCCTTGTTGAGGGCACCGCATCAAGTTTATGATGATATCTTAAGGGTTTCACTAAAGAAAAAGTGTTTGAAGGTTGGTGATCGGCCGTAAAATGGGCAAATTTAGCTAAAAAAGCCCGAAAATCATGATTTTCAAAGTCGATTTTGAGGGTCAAAAAGTCGAAATAGAATTTTACGACAATAGAGAAAAATGATCCTCAGAACTCAGAGAATCAATTCCTAAAAATCGTCAAACATGACGGGGGGGTCCTTAATTATCTTTAAGAGCATCAAGATCAACAACCAAATGATCTGGATTCGTTTCACAAGCGAATGCGAGATATTCCCGAAATTTGAACTCTTCTTAAATGTAAAAATAAAGGGAAAACTGTTAGTTTCCGACATTCACTCAGTCTTTTTCCTAGGAACTAGTAAAAGGTCAGGAATTTTCATGAGAGAAAAGGGAAAACCGGCTTTACAAATAACATGGCAATGATCGTGTTCTTTATTTGTTTGATAAGGGAAAGTACTTGCCATAAGGCAGAGAAAAGATTTATGGCTGCAGAGAGACAATGAGCGATGAATTGTCGAAGGAGGAACTTCTCCGGATTAATTTAGAGCTTGTGAAGCAAAACAACCGATTAAGCCATGAAAACAAGATTCAAAAACAAACAATTGAAGAGTACAAGAAAAGTAACCGAGATCTTGTGGTTTCCAGCCAGCAAATCATCCGACAAGGCAGAGCAGCTCAGGTAAATAAGCTTGAGCACTTTTAATATTTCGTCGAATATTCAGTCGAAAAGCCAAATGGCGCAAGAAATGCTGAGGCACGAGGAGAAAAAATCTGAAAAGTTCGCTACGGAAAATAAAAAGCTGATCCACGATATGGCAAAGGTACGGTTCTTTTGACAATTAGCAAAAAAAGAATCTTAAGGACCCCCCCCCCGTCAACAATTTTCGAAAAATCTATTTTCAGAATTTCAAAATTTTGACCCCCTCATGTTTTGGGGGTCTATCTCGACTCCTTCACCCTCAAAATCGCGTTTGAAAATTGGACTTTTTGACGAAAAATGACGAAAAAGTCCCAATTTTACCTTAAATTTTAGATTTTTATTGGCCAAAAAGTGGTCCTTACAAGTTTTTATGATAAATTAAGCTTCCAGGCACACTCAAAAGCCAGAATATGGCTGTTTTGAAATTTTCGATTTATTGAGGAAAATTGTTGACGGGGGGTCCTTAAGCAACATAAAACACAGTCTGGGCGAATCATCGATCTGGAGCAAATGCTGAATCTTCACCTTGTTGACTCAATGACAGTAAGCGCTTCTTTCTCTTTTCCGTTTTCTAGTATTTGATGGAGCCAGACGAAAAGTCAAAGAAAATAACGGCGCTGATGAAGGAGCTGGCCGAGAAGGAGAATCAGCTGGAACTGGAAAAGCAAAAGTCGGAGAAGGAAGTCAAAGAAAAAGAAGAGTTAAAACGAAGACTTGATGCGGTGAAATCGGCGATTGGGATGGACAATGGAAGCGACGCGAGTTCATCTTGCTTCGAATCCGAATTTTCTCTTCCATAATCGCGACCGGCACAAGAGGTTTGATGTTTTCTCAGAAAATGGTGGCTTTTTAGAATGAATAGGAGCAGGAGTTCTTTATGTTTGTGACAAGTCTTGGTCTTCAGGAACAAATCTTTGGGAACTTCGCCTTCTTTCCAGGCAGAAAATCCGATCTTGATTGTTTTGAAAAATTATTGATCAAAAATTTTAATAAAGTTTTATGAGAAAAAATCGATGAAAAGATGATCTCGTGATGCAAATTTTTTGCGCTCGATCGCCTCGACAACCGCACGTTCATGTTCCAATCAAAGGCGAAATTTCCAGAGCGAAAATTATCTTCGCTGTTCAATTTAAAAAAGACCGGTCGTGGGAAAAAATCCTTAATTTTTTGCGTTCTTGAATAATTCTTGAAAGAGCATCTGGAACGCAATTTGGACTGACGACGTGATGGAATTTGCGCCGCTTGTCGGGAAAGTAAATATTTGTCGCTAAAGGCGACCAGAAGCCGGAAATCCCAACCGGTCAGATTGAGTCGCCTTCCGGTAAGAAAATGCTGTTATGTCAGAGTGTCGTTATATTTCAAGGGTAAATAAAGGTTTTGGGGCGAGTGTTTTTCTTCGTTTGGGCTTGAGGTTTTGATCGAAATTGAGTTGTGTCAGGCATTTTCGGATTGATGTTCGGAGGCTTTTTAACTGGTTTAACTCGTATTCGTTTTAAAGAAGCAGAAATATCTATTTCAAAATGGGTTCTGTAGAATCAATGAGAATTCTCATAGTTTTCTGCTTTTGTGAAAGAAATCTCAGGACCATAAGTTTGAAAAAAATGATACCAAGTTGTAGTATCTGTATGAATTTTTGCTTTGGCGATTAAAATTAAGGTAGTTTCGAGTTTACTTCATATGCTGTTTGAAAACCAATTCCCTATTCTCTTCTATGTCTTCAAAAAACCCAGACTCGAAGCTCTCCAACTTTCCTTTCTTCTTCAAATCTAAAAACATCAAATTATCTCTCCTACCTTTGTCAGTCCTCGTTGCTATCGTATTCGACCGATTTACTTTCGCAAATTTCAGAAGACCTGAATTCCTCTGATCCAAAGCTCTCTCTTGAAGCCGCAATCTTTCCGACATTTTCAGCCCTATTTCCCTTATTTCCTCCAACCGAGCTAAAAGATGAAATTTTCAGGGTGAAAAATTTTGCTACCTTCAAGCCTCGAGGCCATTTTTTCTTCGATTCTATTCTCTCTTATCGAAAAAATTCTTTTATAATTTTCTTCATTTTTCTCTTAAAAAACCCAAAAAATGAAGAAAAAAACGTTTAAAATGAACGTTGCTGGCTGAAGGAACCTTGCAAGATGGTCAGGAAATGTCAAGACCACCGCAGCATGACGAAGTGACATGTTGTGGGGAACATTAAATGTCGCTTCTGGCGCTAATTTTCATATGTCTGTATTACGACTTTCAGTTTGATTGAGTTTGATATGCAAGAAAATTTATTGAAAGAATTGACTGACTGACAGGAAATAAAAGGAGTTTTGCTGATGTACACATATTTACAGAACACAAGAATTAGAGAATTAATTCTTGAGCAGTGTGGTTTTCAACGAGTGAAGTCAGGGCTTTTATAAAGAGCCAAAAAGACCTGACGATACTCTTGAAGAGAAAAAGTCAAAATCGACGGGTGGTCGACTTAGATGGCGGGAGCGATAACGACAGTAGAGCAGCACTGGGAGAACTTGAATGGTTCCCAGCCATCTCCATCGCCGAGGTCGGAGCCGGGTCCTTCCTTGGGGGCCTGAAAAGAGAGGGTTTGGGTTTGAATGAGGATAAGAAAATAGTACCTTGTCCCATTCAACATGCTCTCGGATGTTGTTGGCGTTGTCCAAGGGCTCGAAAAGAGCAGCGGCAATGAGTCCATCAACAGAGGGATCGAAGGCTGGATCGTGCATGGTTGGGTAGTCGTTCCATCCAAGTCCGTTACCGCCGACCTTGTCGCACATGGTCATCGCAATGTGTGGGTTCTGCTTGAGCTGGTCCTTGACGTCTCTGTACCACATCTGTTGCATGACATCGGCCTTTCCACATGGGTTGCCCTTCTGGCAATAGCTGGTGAAGTCGGTAACGAGCTGACCGTTCCAGTTGCAAGTGGAGCCGTTGCAAGAGTTGCAAGACTGCTTGCCGCTGCAGCATCGGTTCTCGCTTGGGTTGCAGCATCCTGGGTGGGGAGAGTAGTCGAACATGGGCTGCTCGTGGGAGATGTCCCACTTTGTATGGTAGTAGTCGGGGTTGGCGTAGATCGAAATGGAGTTGTCGACCTCGATTCCTCGCATGATCATACCCTTGCCGTTGCAGGCCTTGACGTTGCCCCAGTTGGCGTCGACGACGTAGTAAGGCTTGTCAGAGCCGCCGTTGGCTGGATCATCCCATCCATCGTACCACCAGACGTTGCCGTTGATGTCGGGCTTGTTGTCCTCTGGCTCAGCGCACCAGCCCACAGTGACGTAAGTGTTGGTGTAATCGTCCTGGATGTACTTTCGGAAGTAGTTTTCCATCGATCCGACGCACTTGGTCAAGGTGTCGCAAAGACCAGTGGTGTCCTTCATAACAGTGGTGGCATAGGCCTTGAATTTTTTTAATCGATTTCTCTTGCGAAGTCGCTTACCTTGAATCCATCTTGCCAGCCGGCTCTGACGGAAGGCTCCTCAGCGGCGGCGAGTGCAAAAAGTCCGAGTCGCAACATTAGAAAAATTGAACTGTCGCTCTTTTTTCAATTAAAATTTTCCTGCCTGCTAGCAGAAGGCTTTTTCCCAAGACAAAAAGTTGACATATGACGTTTTTCCCAGTATTGTATTTTACAGTAATCTAATAATGAAGGTAGATTTAGGTAAGAAAAGTGATATTCCAGCGAATGTAGCTTCCTTTTCCGGTTTTTCTGAATTTGACCTTGTGCCAATCTCCATCGCGGACACTTTCCAGGCCTCTTGCGGATGCATAGACAGTTCCGCTGCCAGAGCCTATTTCATCGACATCTGCTCTAAATCTTCCAGGCACAACTTATTTTCAGATGAATTCGACTCTCCGTTCAAACTTACCTGGGCTTTTGATAGACAAGATCCAATGAACATCATCTCCTCCCAAATTTTCGTGCAAATACGAAGCCGACCGCCATGTTTGATGCTTCAATTTCCATTCCTCAAATTCAGCTGTTACGTTCTCACTGGAGAAGAATTTCAGATTGACTTCGCGCTGCCCAAATGAAGCTAGCTTCAATATTCTTTCAACTTCAGCAGCTTTATGTGCACTTCTTGGTCCCCCGTAGCCTTTTGCTTTGTCTGGACCGAAGTAATGACCTAAGTTAGAAGTTACAGTCAGATCTGGGCTCGGAAAGCTTTGCAGAAAACCTGAGTCAGGGTCTTGGAAAATCACTTTTTTTGTGGAAATGGAAATTTTATTAATATTTTTTCAGGACCCTGACTCAGGCTTTCGACACAGATTGCCGACTCCTGCGTCAGATCATTATAAAGAAATATTGATTCTGATAATTTGAATTACCGATTCCGAATAATGGTGTTAATGACCTCTTTTCTTTCTCTAAAATTTCTTTTCTCAATTCGTTTTCTAGTCCATTTGATTGAGCACCCCCATTCATTTCACCATTGAATTAAGTCTAGCCCTCGCTAGGACCAAGTGCCCAAAATGGCGAGAAAATTGAGCGCTATCGATTGAAATTCTTGAAATTCGCTGAAATAATCGTCTAAGTCTTACGCCAATGAGAAATGCTGAGACTGAAAATACGTCACATTTTTTCCTGCTCAGTAAAATTCTGAGTAAAATGTCTCAAATCATAACTGATCAAGACTTTTCAAACTCCAAGAAACATGCGGAAATTATGCCTTTTGACAAGATCCGCTTCCAGGATTTTTCAGCTTGGATCTCAATTTCTCAAGAAGAGCGTCAAAAGCGCCAACAAACAGCGTTTTTCTTCGTTTTATTCCTACTCTCATTTTTTTCGAATTTGATGAGATGGCTCGACGAATGATTATCAGACGGCAGCGGCGATCGCCTCGACTTACCGGGTAAAACTTGCACTACTGTAGAACTTCTATCTTAGGCTTTTTTAGTTTACGTAGAGAGGAGATCAACCAGCTGGAGAAAAAAATCTTCAGAGTTTTGAGATCGAACAAAGAAAGCAAGTGCCCGATCTGCTTGGAAGAATTCAAGTCTGGAGACGAGGTGAATTTTTAAAAAGAGAAAAAAAAGGGAGTTAATCATGTTCAGATTTTCCGACTCCCGATTTGCAAGCACGACTTTCACAGGAACTGCATTCGACCTTGGCTCAAAAAGCGTCGAACTTGTCCAAGTAAGAATTTTTGGGAGTTCTTTCGTTTGCTTTTCATACTTTTCAGTCTGCCGATCGGATGTTCTTCAGTCCAAGATCAAAGAAATCAACAATAACAACAACAACAACAACAATAATGATGAAGATGACGAAAACAACTACGAATACGTTATAATCCCGATCTACTAAAACGACTCGGAAGATATCGCCAAGAAAAATAAACAGTTCTGAAGTGCACTTTCTCTATTTTTATTAAATTGCTTGTAAAATAAAAAATAAAATTCCTGATGAACCGCGTCGTCTCACTACAGTTTTGGCAATGCGGATGCAAGTGGTTATCACCTCGCAGCGTGAAACAATTGGCCTTGGCTTGTGTGGCCCTTTTTTGCGCCGCGAAAAGCTGAGACGAGTTCGAGCGCGCTGATTAGCTCCAGCTACTCACCTCGGCCATTATCATCCTCCCTTTTTTCAGCCAAAAATCACTTTCGATTTTGAGCCCTCAGTTTTTGAAGAGATAATAACATGGAGTAAAGGAACGACAAGAGATTTGATAAGAAGGTACGAGAAAGAGAGAAAGAAGAAGAAGAAGGATGAAGCTTGCTGGATTTTTGATTTTAAACAGGAAAGTTTGAAAAAATTCTGAATTAAATTTTCAACTATGGTTTCTAATGGATTCTTTCTATAATTTCTGGAAAGAATTTTTCTTTATAAAGAATATTTCTTCTTTGTAAATTCATCCCTTTTTTCAACTCATTACAGTCATTTCTCCGCCGCTTTCAATTACGAAAAAGACTGGGCAATTACTGAGCGCGGGCCCTCGGGCTCCAACTTCGGCTACTCTCTTGACTTCGATGAGGATTCAATCTTCGTCGGGGCGCCAACTCTAGAATCGAAAAAGAATGGCAAAACCGGCGGAGTCTTCAAATGTTCTTTCGAGAAAGAATCGACTTCTTGTGCCCCGCTCTTTGATGATCAGCTAACTAAAGAGTACAACAACTCGATGTTCGGAATGACCCTTTCTTCCGACAATGGATTCTTGGTTTCTTGCGCGCCAAAATTTTACAAGGAATTTCCCAGTTTTACAAATCTCAATGGAGAAAGAATTGAAAATCCGATTCAATCATTGACTGGAAGTTGCCTAGCGAGCAAGAGCGTCAACTGGCGGCTGAGAAGCGACCTCAAGAATCCAGTCAATGAACTTGGCAAGAAATACAAGTAAGAAAATCGCGGAAAAACTCTCTTACTCTTTTAGAATCCGAAAACATACATTCTGGTACGCCAAATCGCAAATCGGCTCTTCCGCCTTTGTCGACCGCGAAAATCTGATTCTAGGCGCTCCTGGTGCTTTTGCCTGGTCCGGACTCGTCGCCGCAGCTGATCTTTCCCGAGAAGATTCGCTTGTTTTTTCAGAACTTTGTCAAGAAGAAGTTGGAAAGGCAGGCAAAAATCACTGGTGCAGAGAACTCAATCAACCGAAAGATTCTTACTCTGGCTCTTCTGTTCTCATTCTTCGGAATGTCCGGGGCTTTCCTGGAGAAGCACTGTATGTTACTGGCCTTCCAGGAGAGAATTACTATGGCGCCGTGAGATTTTATCGAAATGATGGGCGAAATCTTCGAGAAATTGAGGAATTGTTCATTGATGGAAGAGAACATTTTCTTGATTTTTTCAAACGACCGACTGGTTTGACGAGTTCTTTTGGCTACAGGCTGGGCTCTAGAATTTCACTCGGGACCTTAAAAAAAGCTTGAAAATAGAGCCTTCTTATAGTATGACGAGCTTGGACTTTGATGGAGACGGATTCGACGATCTCGTCATTGGCGCTCCTCAATTTTTCGACAAAGGATCGGACGGAAACGACATCGGTGGCGCTGTTTTTGTTTTCCTCTCCTCCCAGAATTCTGATCAAAAACCCTTCGAAAAGGCTTCTGTTCTCGTCGGCTCCGCAGGCAGCAGCTTTGGCAAAAGCTTGACGAATGGAAAAGACGCGAATATCGATGGTTTCGAAGAACTCATCATCGGCGCTCCAGCAGCAGGAAAAGTCTTTATTTACAATGGAGGAAAAAGTCTTTCAAAAAATCCGACTCAAGTGCTTTCTGGAGAAGATTTTGACATCGATGCTTTTGGAATGTCGGTTTCTGGTGGGCAAGATTTCGACAAGAATGGACATCCTGACTTGCTCGTTGGAGGAAAAGATGCGATTGTGGCAATTCCGACGAGACCGGTGATTTCGATCTCTTCCTTGATTTCAATGACGGATTTTGATGGAGAGGAGATTCAGTCGATTGATCTAGATGGTAAGAGTCCAGAAGAACTTAAGTACCATTATTGCTGCTCTTTATTAATAGTCAAACAAACCGACGATTAAAAGAGAGCAGTTGCTTCATTGAGATTGAATTTTATGGTATTTGATTCAGAACCAAAACAATGCGACGAAAACGGCGAAAAATACACCTGCTTCAATGTCAAAGTCTGCTACAAATTCGACCACGCTTCGATCGACAAAATCCAAGGAAATAAAATGCTCAACTATCGAGTCATCATCGATTCTCTTTCCGAAGAAGGTGAGCTTTTTCAAAATTTTCGAGGTTGAAAATTCGTTTAGAAAATAAAACTCCTCGGGGAAGAATCGGAGGATGGAAGGATTTCACGAATTCTGTCAAGGCGAAAACTCAGATTGAAATTGAAGCTGATAAGCTGGAGTGTTTTGATGAGCTCAAGGTCTTTTTGCAAGGAGAGATGAGTGACAAACTGAGTCCGATCGACATAAGCCTTGAATTTTCGCTTGAAGATACTGAGCTCACCAGGAGGTTTATCGCTTTTCTTCGGCTTTTTCTTCACCCATTTTTCTAGCGACTTGGCGGATATCAACGAGTACCCAATTATCCGAACAAATGGTCAAGATCGAGAGTCGAAATTCCTTCAGATCAAGAACAACTGCGCTGATCCTCATTTTTGCCAAGATAATTTGAAGGCGGCCGAGCAAATTCTAGAGGTGCAAGATGCTAAAGGAAACTGGCAAAAGATGACGGCCGGAAGTGGCAAGGAAGTTGTCTTTGGATCATCGAATTTGCCCAAAGCAAGGTTGTTTTTTTACTCAAAAAAAGAGGGAACCCTTATTTTTTCAGATGGTCGGTTGTCCTGACAAATGACGGGGAAGACGCCCACCAAGCCGGTTTCACCGCATATTTCCGATCCTTCATCAAATTGGCCGACTTCTCTATCAAATTTCTTTCGGGCAAAAAATCAGAGTCCGAGTTTTCCTGCTTCGAAGAAATCACCGTCAAATTCAATAAAATCACCTGCAAAGTCGGAAATCCATTTTTGACTGGAAGCAAAGCGAAAGTCGAGTTGGATTTGGACATTATCTATGTTCGCGAAAATGTGAGCCCGAGCTTCGACTTGAAAATGGAGGTTTGGAGCCACAAGACGAAGAATCCGAGGAGGGATGAGCTTTCTAGATCTTCTAGAGGACCTTCGGTAGGTTTTGGTAAAAGACCATGTTGATGATAGTTTCGAAAAGAATTAAACTTTTATGCTTTTTATCATATCGAAATTAGATAAACAATATTATCATCAACGTTAAAATGAGTGTGAATGCAGATTTATACAATAATTCTAGAGCTGGGGATACGGCGGATCCGATGAAGCTACCATCCACACTTTCGGCGACTTGAAATTCGAGGCTGATGTTGAACTTGTCACCGCTACTCGTCCTGAATTCATCCCAATCAAGTATTCCCCCAGTCAGATTCGAAGGTAACAAGATCTTAAATTTCTCATTGATGAGATCAATTTAGAGATAGAGGGGCGAGCACTGGTAACATCGGCGATTTTGGCGATCGAGTCGAGTCTGTTTTGGTTGTCAAGAATCGAGGAGCGACACCGGCGAATGATTTGGTTGTTTCTGTCAAGATTCCTTTGGTAAACTCATTTTAGTGGCTATTTAAAAAGTTGCTCTAGAAACTGAAAAACGGAGATTTTCTAATGTATCCGATGGATTCAGTGGTTATCAAAGACATCGACCTCAAGAGCCGATGCCACCTGGCCGAGGGATTTAATCCTGACAAGTTTGATTTCGTCAATACTTACAAGGTAAGACACATGACAAATTTCCAGCTCTAGAATTTTCCTTCCTTAGGAGCTGATTCCTCAAAGATCAAAAAGATCCAGCGTCCTTGATTTTGTAGAAGACGAAACTCATCGAATGATCAAACTTCAGGTTCGAAGAAACTACTCCCCGAAATCTTATCAATCTTTTTCTAGAGCCACACCCTTAATTGCGACTCAGACTTGATCGAGTGCTCCGAAGTCGTCTGCAACATCGAATCCTTGAATGCAAATGACAACGCTTGGATTCGAATCCAAACTGCGATTTCTCATCGAGCTCTTCAAAAACATTTTGAAGGTTAAATTTCAACGAAGAAAATTTTTTTCATTCAAAATTTAGGTTCGAATATTTTCGATATCGAGTGGAATGCTGAAATCAACTCTGAAAACTCGATGCTCAAGGGAGAACTTGCCAGTAAAAATGTTTTCAGAGTCGATCAGGTTTGATTCTTCAGAAAAAAATTTTCCCCAATTTTTTCGTTTTAGGAAATTTTGGTGCAAGCATACGGACCGAGTATGGAATGGTGGCTGATTGCCTTGATCGTTGCCGCTATTTTCATCAGTTTTTTCACGATGCTGATCATTTTGTGGAGATGCGGATTTTTCCAACGAAGAAAATTGCCTGTTCACAGAAGATTTCACTAAAAAATAAACTTTCTGTATAAAAAAAGTAATAAAAAAGCTTGAATCAATAATTATTTCGTAACAAAACAGCAGGTTTAGAACCACCCAGGTCTCTAAAAAGACACACTTTGACGAATTCTAGCGAACTCGATCTCGCTCGCGGGCGCCACCTGAGCGTTCACGAAAAGGTAATAAACGAGCGTCGACGCTTGTCAAGCATACTTTTTTCAAGTGCACGAGAGAAAAAATGAAACTTTCGTCGGCATTTTTGATTTCTCAGGCGGCTGCGTCTACTGTCGGTAAGAAAAGAGAGATTTTTTTTCAAAATTTTTCAGAAGATAACAAAGAGATTCTTTTCATAAAAACCTCCCCTGAAATATCATTTTTCTGAAGATCATTCTTAGGATGCGACATCTCGCACCTCCTCTCCAATTCCACCCTCCTCCTCCGCGGAGCTATAAAGGGCCAAACCTTGACCAACAAGGGCAAGATCCGAAAGCAAGCTCAAATCCTCCTCCATGAATCTGGAACCTTCTCCGATTGGTTCGTCAGCTGCTCGGCCGACAAGAAGCAATTTGGTACGATCAAGTGCTACTCTGATGGCAGTTTGGTCGAAGACGTCCCAGAATGTATCGAAAAAGGATGCAATCCGGCTGACTTGGGAATTTGGAATACGAAGACGTACACGAGATCTGATGGTTGCAAAAGAGGATATACAGTTTTTTATGGAATTTGTGGACATTTTTTGTCCCCTAGTTTTCTGAAAAATGTCCACAAATTTGATACAGAGCCTCGAAAAAAATGTCCCAACGAACTTGTTTAAATTTTTTCCTAGAAAGAAAATTTGATGATTTTTCTCAAAAAATAATGAGAAAAAGAATACAAGATTGAATCTAAAGACGTAAATCTAAACAAAAATTAAGATTTTTGACGAAAAACAGTTCTTTGCAGATAAAATTGGCTTCAATTACGAAAGTACGACTATAAATTTAGAAGTAAAAGATATCAATTGACAAAAAATGTCCACAAATTTGATACCCTCTTTTTTAGAATGTGTCCCAAGAAAACCCCTTATAATCTGAAAAATGTCCACAAATTTGATGTCCACAAATTCCATAAAAAACTGTACAGCAAGCGGGCTTGAGGCAGAGAACAACGTCTGCTTCAGAGAATGCAATCAGGTCTGTGGTAATTTAAGGGTATCCCGTCGTTAAAGAAAATGACCACGTTTTTCGTCGATTTTTGACGACAGCTTTTAAAATCATTTTTTAAGCCGAATGGAACAAAACTCACATCGAACAAAAAACTCAAATGCGTGTGTGATGGCAGCAACTGCAACTACTTTTTCAATTTCCGAGGAAGCATCGCAAGGAAAATGTTGCATCATTGTTGGAATCATTATAGAATCTACAATCTCGATCCCAAAATATCATCTAATCTAGCTTCCTGCGTTTAGTTAAAAACATGGAGATAAACTCGTTAAACTAAATGATCGCTCCAGCAGGACGTGTATTTTTGATAAAACAAATTAAAGCATCAACCATACCAAATGGAATGGGGTTCCTTATGTAACCCCGTGTGATGTTGCTACAACAACAACGTCGACAACGACATCAACAACTACTCCAATCACGACCACGCCTTCTACAACTTCTTCAACCGCATCTTCTACAACAACCTCCACCACCACCACTTCCACCACGACCTCCACCACCACCACAACCACGACCACAACAACGAGCACCACTCCTGCTCCCCCAGCCGATTGGCACTGCCCCTCCGTCATCCCAATTTCCGACTACGAAATCGCCCTCGGCATCTCTCCCTCCGACATGCTCTGGGATTGCACCGATTCCAACGCCGACCAATCTCTTTGCGAAAAATCCTGTCCACCTGGCTTCGTCATCCGAGGAAGAAAGACGACAAAGAATTGCGACTGCCGAAACGCAACACGATGTCAGTGGAAGACAAACCTGGCCAACTGCGAGCCAGCTATTTGCTTCCCGAATCCCGAGCGATACTGGCCCGATAACTTGGACGGGAACGAAATGGACTGCAAGACAGCTGATGGCGTCCAAATCGACTACGCCCAAGCCATGGTCGATGGCTTTCCTCAGGGAGCAGTTTGTCAAGCTAAATGCCAGGAAACAGAAATTTACGGCACGTGGTTTTCGAAAACTTCGACCTGTGAGTGCAATGAGCTTGGACGATGCGTTTTCAGCGAGAATAAAATCCAACGATGCGAGGTCGCTGCTTGCTCGCCGAATATTGATGACTTGATCGGAACATTTTCCGAAGGCTTTGAAGATCCTAACTGGATCGATGGCAACCCAGAGGCGGAATTCCAGGAGCTGGATTGCGACGAATACTGGCCAGAAGACCACGAAGATGAGCGAGTCCGGGGCAAGGTGAAATATGGATCCAAGGTAAATTCTAAACACGAGTCCGCGGTGAATTTTAAATTGAAATTCTAGTGCCGAATCAAGTGCAAGGACGGGTATCACCTTGCGGACGAGCTAGTTGGCGAGAGCCAGCTGGAAATCACGTGCTCGAATCACCACATTTTCAAAACTTCTTACAATATAATCCACGATGTGATGGACTACTATGGCGAGTGCGGAGTAGAGTGGTGGTCGGATTGTGGGGACTTTCCTTCCTGCGCCGCGAATAACTGATTTTTTCTTTGAGAAAACTGCTCGTTTGAGGAAAATGTAAATAAATGATTCATGAAAATTACTCTACTATTATTTTATCTTACCAGCTGATCAGATTCTGCTGATGAAACCGTTTCACACCTGTCTGTCGCTCTGAAAGTTCAGACCGTTGCGCTAAATACTATTCACACCAGCACAAATTTTGGCTGACATTTTGATGGGATGTCTCCGCTTGGCATTATTTTCAGCAATAAAGTAACGTCTCCTCTTAAAATTTTTCAAAACTGAAACCGGAAAAAATGAATTCCGCTCAAGTTCCAGTAGAGGTGCGTAAAACTAGCTTGATTAGAGATTGAAAATTCTAGTGCTTGGAATGCCATTGCGTTGGGTTGGTAAGAAAGGTGAAAGATAAAGTTGTTCTGGTACCAAGGCAATGGAAACACCTCCATGATTTCAAAACGGATCGGTCCTTTGGTCTGAGATCTCAGTTTGTATCAAAACTTAAATTATAAAATAATCATTTCTTAGCGGTTCTTCTACTGATAAACAAAAATGGGCCTATGTTATATGCGGTTTTCTTTTCTGGCAAAGCATTATTCTTGGTACAAACTTTGCTAGCGTCAAAAATCTCGCGCCAAAATATACCTTCAAAACTCTCAATTGCGGGAGAAATTTCAAGAACTGCCTTTCAAACTTTCCATACGAAGATTGCTATTCGAGTTTTTCGACTTGCATGAGAGAAAATGAAGAGTTTATCTACCCTCGCCCAATTTTGACTGTGGCGAAATCTGCACAAACGGTTCGAGCTGATAATTTTACTGAAGAAGAACAAGAAATCAACCTAAAAAGATGCAAGCGGCTAAATTTCTACGGTACCTTTATGCAGTAAAACGCCGTTTTCAGCCCTTTTTAGATTTGAAAATGTGCGAAAAACTCTGCTCGAAGATCGACAGCGCTGATGCTGTAGTTTGTAAGCAAATCTGCAAATCTCATTTGAGCGAAAAAGGAGAAGCCGACGATATTTGCCCGTTTGAACCGCTCTGTTCCTCCGGATGCCCGTGCGTTTATTATCAATGCGAACATATTGATCCAAAAAACGCCCCTCTTGCCTGGTTCTATGAAAAAGGGCATCCTCTTTTTACGAAAAAGATCACAAAAAGATCAGTCTATTATTTTGATTATTATATCGAACATGCTCCAGCGCCCAAAATCAATGATCTTTTCTCCCGCCTTGCCACAGTCGACCCAAAAAATTTCAAAAAGAAAGAAATATTTGACAGAATAGGCAAGTTTTTAATCTTTTCTTCACTTCAATATGGGCCATATTATATGGCCCTTTTCTAGTTTATCTGAAATTCGGCGAGGACAGAAAACTGAGGACTTTGAAGAGCTATCGTTCCGATTTTATCAAATACTGTAAGAGCAATTTATTTTTAAAGAAACTTCATTTTTTTCAAGATGACGAGCTTCCACTGGCGCCGCTTTTTCTCGAAGGAAGGCATTATTTGGTCGATTCTCATCTCAAAACTTATCTTCTCGACGAACAAACTGCTGAGATAACGGATATTGGAGTCGAATCAGAGTTGATGCTTTCAAGATACGGGCGAAATAACATTTTCCTGTTTTCAGGACATTTTAGCATTGCTGCTGTTTACAATGGCTTGTTTTACTTTTGCTCGACGATGAAATATTTTGAACACTGTTTCTTTTTCAATCCGCTGAAAAATGGGCGCAAAAGCGTTCTTGAGATTCCAGCTCGATTGAAAACGTCTGAATTAGACAGTCGCCGGCACGCTTTTGTGTTCAATGGAGAACTGAGTGTTGTAAATGTGAATGCGTACACTTCACATGACATAAAAATTCAAACTCTTCGAGACAAAAATCGCGAATGGACCGAGCTTATTTATGAAGATCCTTTTTGGAGCAGAAACTTTACGAATTCTTCTCATGTTTCTGACGATTTTCTTGGAATAACAGTTCCTTATGACACCCAAATCAACGATTTTTGCCCTTTTCCGGACAGAAAAGGGGTCCTTTTTATCGCAACATTTCGCTGGCGAGAATTTCAAAGACCAGAAGAACGAAACATTTATACAAAATCGGAGTATTTTATCATTCTTTATAGGTATTATAGCGGGCGATTTCTTCGTATTGGTCAAATGGAAACGAATTTTAATCACGGGGGATATTTATCTCACCCCTTTTTCAAGGATATAAATGTCTTTGTCTCGGGTTTTTAAGAGCGATCTCACAATGAAGCGTATAATGCTTTAAAAACTCGAGAAAAGAAAACTATGGCGAGATATTTATTTATGCAAATTCAGAAATGGACTCCTTCAAACTGATTTTTGATAAAAAAGACGATGAGTTTTATTTGGAGAGAATTAAAACCCCGGGACTTCATTTCATCAGCCTCTGATATCCGGTATTTTGATTATTATTTCTGAAGAATAAATTTATTAATATTGTATTTTTGAAGAAAACGCTCTGAGTTTCTATGCTTTGATTCTTCTTGGCGCAACAGATTTTCTAGTTGAATATCGACCAAGATCTTTAAAGACACTTTTTGTTGTTTCTCTTCGTTTTAATTCATCAGCATCGCTTTTCTCTTTGAAGTAAGCATTGAAAGCCTGTCGTTTTCGGAAATTTGCAATGCATTTCTTTGATTGGTTTTCGCTTGAAAATAACAAAGATTAATATAATATTTTTGTTAGAATTATTTCATAAACCATTCCTGGCGCAAGCGTAATCTTTCACCAATAACAGGAAGTTTCTTGAAGATCCAAACTTTCACCAAGCAAAAAGTCGCCAAGACCCATTGAATGAGCGGCATTCCAAAGACGAAAAAATAGAAAACATGGAGATGTGCGGCCGGATGTTCAATCGGGACACTAAAAATATCTGAAAGAGTTGAAGAATGAGATCTTACGCGAGAGCTTGAGGAGGTTCGTCGACCATATCATTGAGAATTCCATGAACGACAAGATTGCCAGTAATTGTTGCTGCCCAAGCGCCGCAAAATGTTACTGAAATTTAATCATGACTGTACATTTTTCTTATTTACCCATAGTATCGAACCAAAGCAACTCGGTAAGCATGAAAACGGTCGGTGCAAATTCTTTATTGAAAAGAACAAAAACTGGCAAATCCGCGGGTCTAGACCAGGGTTCTAAATCGACTAGTCGAGTTTCGACTAAAGTCGAAGTCGAGTCGAGTCTAAGTCGAAAAGACTAGCTCGACTCGACTAGACTGGTTGGGAAAATAAGTCGACTCGACTCGACTCGACTTGACCCTAGGAGTCAACTAGATTGTCGACTAGTCGAAAAAGTCGAGAGCAATGTTAAGGAGAAAGTCGAAAAATCTAGTCGAATAAGTCGAAAATCTAGTCGAATAAGTCGAAAATCTAGTCGAAAAAGTCGAAAATAATCACTATTTTGCTTTCGACTTTTCGACTTTTCTTTCGACTTTCGACTAAATTTCGACTTTTCGACTTATTTTCGACTTTTTCGACTAAATTTATATATTTTTCCAGTTTTCGACTTTTCGACTAATAAGTCGATTAAGTCGACTCGACTCGACTCGACTCGACTAGCGATTTTCAAAAACGCTTTCGACTCGACTCGACTTGGGATTTTCAGATAGCCTTTCGACTCGACTCGACTCGACTTCTGATTTTCAGCTCAGATTTAGAACCCTGGTCTAGACATTTCTCGATATCTAGCGATTCCGAACCATTTTGTCCACCAACTAATTGCAATGAAGAGTCTTAGTGGGGCCTTAATGAATTGACAGAATCAGGGTATTTACAATAGAATTTACCGTGCAGTTGAATAGCCATGAGATGATTTTGTTGACAGTTTGAACTTTAGAACCGAATCCTTCGACAATGAGTTCGCGGTTGAAATTGACGTAGATTGTGATGATTGTCGCTAAATATTTTTAAAAAAAACATTCAAAAAATATACAGTTATTTTCCTTTTTTGTGGAAATTTTTTGTCCCAAATTTTCATAAAAATGTCCACAAAAGTGGGCAACAGTATTCCAAAAAATGTCCCGCCATAGGGGCTTAAAATTTTTTCTTCGATAAATTTTTCTTCGAAAATTGGCAAATTTCATCATCGAAACGCATTTTTTTGCCTTTTTTTTACCATTTTTGGTCAATTAAACAGTAAAAGCCATTGATTTCTTATCAAAAAAATTCTAATTTTTGAAAAAATCACCCTATTTTTTCCTCTTAATTTTTTTCGGCTGGACAAATGTCCACAAAAGTGGAACATTATCCTTGCAAAAGTGTCCCACGAAAACCCCTTAAAATGAAGAAAATGTCCACAAAAATAGGGTCCACAAAAGAAGAAAAAAACTGTACCAGTTGGATAATACGTAGCAAAAAATGGCGTCCGCAAGCCTTCAGGAGCAGCAGCTGTCAAAAATAATGACCAAAGGGCGAGAATCATCCGAAGAATAATGTAAACTCTATCGTTCGTTATAAGGGTGGAAGAGATGAAATTCATCGCAGGTTCTTGGCCAAGCTTACAAGCTTGAGCATATCTTTCGATTCTTGTTAGGGGTTCATCTCCGATTTTCTTCAGAGGAGAGAGGTTCTTTCGAATCCACCATGTGAAAACATAATTGAAAACCGAAATCGCAATTAAGCAAAGTGCAACTAAAAGGCATTTGTCTTATCTTTTCTTCGACAAACTTACTGATTCTGACGACAATGTACCATTTTTCAATAGTTTCTGCATCCATTCCTTTGTCTAACCAATACTGTGGAATTTCTTGGTTCCAATTTGGGCGCACACCCTGCATTTTCCCCGTTTTTTGAGGGTGCGGGGCGTTCTTTTTCTTTAAAAACTGAAACTGATAGTAATGGTTGCATAACAAGTAAAAAGTAAATCAAGTTCTAGAGACTGCTGCAATCTTTTTGGAACCGATGTTTTCGAAATTCATTCATTTTGCATTTTTTTTTTTGAAATTTTATTCTTCAGAATCAAGTTCTTTGAGCAGTTTCGCCATTCCGGCGAGAAGTTTGTCTCTTCTTGCCCTTCGTTTTGCCATTTGGTCGAGCGGAATTTTCGCCTCAATCATGTCGCAGATTTTTTCCAGCGCTTCTCCACTGTAATCAGGGGTCGGGCCAAAAGTGGCAGAGACTCGTTTTATTGAACTCGCGAATTTCTCCATGTACTCCCTTGAAAACCGTGATTTATTCGTTTCTAGAGCCTGATTTGGTTACCTGACTCCTTCGGCATTGAGATGAATTGTCTCGAAAGGTCCAATTGTTGCGTATCTCATTCCAAGACCGGCTGATCAAAAATTTTAACACCAAAATTTTTTCAGAGAAAGAAACCTGTAAGAACAGTATCGACATCTTCAGGAGACATGATTCCATCCTGAACGAGTCTCCAGCTTTCGTTGATCACGGAGTACTGGATTCTATTCAGGGCAAAGCCATCAATGGCTCGATTCAGGAGGACGGGTTTTTGACCAACTTCGGCCATGATTTCTCGAGTACGTTTTCTGATATCCTGAAATCAAATGTAATCGGGCTTCGGACCCAGTTTTCTGACCTGTGTAGTTTCATCGTGAGGAATAATCTCGACCATCGGAGCGTAATAAGGAGGATTGACCGGGTGGCAAATGATCGACTGGCTTTTTCTAGCGCTGTCGCTGAAAATTATATCTGGCATCAAACAAGAAGTTGAAGAAGAAATGATAACATCATCTTTTTCCACCAATTCAGCGATGTTCTTGAAGACCTTTTTCTTCAAATCGGGGTTTTCTGGAATCGCGCTTTGGATGAAAAACGCGTCTTTGATGCATTCCTCGAGGGAAGTGGTTCCGGTGATGAGGTCTTTTTGCTCTTTTGGCGAAAGGGATCCTCGAAGAAGCTGAGATTTTTCTAGAGCCAAGAGTTGAGCCTCGATATCGACTGAAAAATGATAACGAAAAATTTGATAAGAAGGCTTTACCGAGTGCATTTTGAACAGCTTCATTGTTGATGTCATACATCGTGACATTGTACCCAGCCGAAGCAAAAATCATCGCCCAGGATTTTCCTACCAATCCGGACCCCACAATCCCCACTTTTCCTTTTCCCATATTTTCTCTTCTCTTTTTGCTCTTTTCGATTTTCGAAAATGGAAAGAGTGGATCGAAAAACTTCAGGAAGTAATGAGACCACGCCCAATATTGAATATTTGATCAATTTTGATTTCATTTCTAATTTTTCTGCGGTTTTTCGAAAATTGATTTGCATGTTCGGTTAGAGTTTATTGAGATTTGAACTGAGCAGATAAAAGTTTTCTTTTTTCTTCGACATCTTTTATTTCTATCAAAAGAGTAAATCCGCATATAAAAAAGTAACCCCACCTGGGAATCTTTTTGAAGGTGGAATATACTTTTCTGTATCTTCAATTTTGTACTCCTCAAGTCTCATTTTCGCCAAAAGTTTCTCATGAGGATCTTCGATGACATAAACAAATGCTTCGACAGTTTTCTCTTCATAACAAATTTTCATTGTTTTCCTTGTATAAACAACTGGATGGCCTTCTAGCGCATCGACATCGTCTATTTTATAATCTGAGACGGAGTAGAGCTCGCCTTGGACTTTCTTTGCTTCTGGGTCGAAAAACAGAGCAGGAATATTGAAGTCTGTTCCAATAACTAGCCCATATTTCTAGAGAAGCAGAATTGACGGCGTTTTTATTACGATAAAATACCTCCTGGGTCCTAGCTTCAGAGATAAATTCCGCTCCGACGGAAAGGAGCATCTGGTGATTTGGAAAGTTTCTTTTCAAAGTTCCATAGGTAAACAACAACATCTGAAACAAAACCTTTTTATTTTCCGAAAAAGAACGAATCACTGATTATTTTGCTGAACAGAAAATGGCCCAATTTGCCCGTCGACAGGAAAAACTTGATTGACTTGAACAGGACTTCCTCCACCTAAAAACCAAATAAAAAACGGGCAAAATGAATAAGATTTGCCTTGAACAGGAATGGTTCGCCAAGTCGTAGCAATGGGCTGCCCATTTTTGAAGTGCACAATTTGCTCTTGACTGACGACTTGCTGGAGCGACTGAGAAGTGGCAACAACGATTTCTTGGTTGGTCTTCGGGCTGATTTTCTTGTTCTGATTTCGTTTCAACAAATTCAGGCCTGGATAAAGCTAGGAAGAGGAAAATTAGTACAGTTTTATAATATAAAAACATGAAAATTTGACCAATAAAGAGCCAAATCTTGAGATGCTCTTTTGTTTAACTGTACCTTTTTGTCCTCCCAGTATTTATTCGAGCTCTTCGTGTAACCCCTCCTGATCGTCTGCGTTGGATACACTTTATCCGGACTGGCGTTGTGCTTGTTCAAGTGTCTTCTCCAATGCTTTTGATGAATAAACTGAGTGCCGCAGAACTCGCAGGTGAATTTTCTCGGCTTGTTGTGAACGCGAACCAAATGCGTTTCCAGCGCGTCGGAGTACACGAACTTATCGTCGCAAATTTCGCATTTGATCGTTGCGTCTTGATGCCACCGCATGTGCTTTTTCAGCGCGTACGGATTCTAGAGAGAGTAATGAAATTGAGGAAGAGAAAATATTACCTTGAAAGCCTTGCCGCAAAGTTCGCAAGTGCAGGATTTCGACTCGTCATGGCTTCGGATATGCTCTCTTAGCTGGCGATTGTTGTTGAAGACCTTTCCGCAGAATTCGCAGGTTTCGCAGGCGTCGATTCGATGCATCAAACTCCAATGCTGGCCCCTCTAGAATTACATAAAAAAGACAATCGAGGTTCATCAAGATATAAGGTAGAATATTTACATTTGGGTCTGATATAATTTGATTTTTACATTTTGTCTTGTCGAAAAAGACTTGTCACAAGCTCTGCACTTGAATTTTATAAATGGATGAACTTGATCCTCGTGAGTTCTATGCGAGCCAACTGATTCGAAAAACGCAGGGCAGTGGATGCAAGGGTAGAGTTCTCCTTGCTGCAGTTTTCCCGACCGATCGAGGAGATCGTGCCATTGAAGATGCTTCCTGTAGTCGATGTCTCGCTTCAGCATAGCCGGGCATTTTGGGCATTTGTTCATCTTGACCCCATCCACTTCTCGTTTTTCCGGATTTTCGGGGTAGTTTTCGTTCAATTTTTCATGATACTCGTCTTCCTGGTAAATTTCATCCTTTATCTGGTGTTCTTCGAAGAGATGTTTCGACATGGTCGTTTCGTACGATCGCTGATCCCAGGAAGAAAGAGTTTCGGGATTCCCGCCGCAGTGAATGCAGGCTTGGCGGATGGCGACCATTTTTTCTGCGAAGGTGAGACTATCGTTTCCGGTCGGTTTTGGCTTTTTTGTTTTCTCGGCTTTCTTTCGCGAGTCTTTTTCGGTCTTCAAAGAGGGGTATCAAAAAATAACAACAATGATTGTTTTTAATTTTTTCATCCCTTTCCTTGACAGATTTCTTCGGCGGCCTGTATTCTTGTTCTTGATCATCATCCATATCTTCAATTGGCTCGTAATTCTGATCATCATCGAGCGAGTCAAACGTATCCTGGTCAATCGTTATTTCTTGCGCTTGGATTTGCGCTCTTCTCGGAGGTCTTCTTACTGGACTTGCGGTTTCGACTTTGTGGTCTTCGAAGCAGATCGATTCCGTGTTGTCGATGATGATGGTTTCTTCAAGCGGCTGGTCGGATTTGGGGTAGATGTTGATGGGATCAAAGACGTCGACTTGAGCTTCTCGGGCGAAGACTAGATATGCCTGAATCAATAACCCTGCTTTACTGGGCAACGGTGAAATCCCCTGATTCTTGAGCAACACTCCCAAGTCTTCTTCGCACACCAAAATGTCATTGAAAAGATCGATCGAAGTGACTCCCATCTCCGAAGTGGCAACCAGAGTTCCTCGATGAATTTCTCCACCGCGGTCGTACTCGATTAATTCTCCAACATCGCCAAGGCCGACTGAAGGGCTCGAAAAGTGGAGATGACGGGAGCCGTCTTCTAGCTCGATGCATCTCCAGCCACGGCTTTCTAGCGCTAGAAATTTTTCAAGATATCTTCTATTTTTGAATTCTTTCTGATATTTTACTATCAAGGCCCTACCCTTATTCTGCATCAAGTTGACGTGGAGATCCTTATTTAGGGTAAAGAAGCTTTCTCTCTATTTTTCTCTTTAGCCACCCTACACCGCGAAATCGCCCCCTCTTGGTGGCACTGCGCTACTTTCGATTGGACGCGATTCGAAGAGGAGGCGGGGTTCCTCCCAATCCGACTCGAATAACGTGACCACCCTTACCAAAACGTGCCCGGGGTAGGCTCGGAGCGATCCACTTTCGGGATTTTTAAATAAAACCGAAAATGACAGTGTGAAATTGAAATTTATTCGTAAGCTTTTGTTACATCATTTTCGAGGCAAAATTACAGTACAATCATCTTCATCATCAATTTTCTTTGCCAGCATTGAGGAAGGAGTGAGGGCAAAGGAAAGCATAAGCAGCAAAACTGACACCGGCCAAACCAGCCACCTAAAATTTCGCCATGAGTATTCACGATCATCAAATTTTACATTTAATTTTTTTTTTTGGAACTTACAGTGGTGCCGACTTTCTTGCCGTTGGAAGCCTGACGAACTGCGATTTTTGAAATGTTGGTGATGTTTTTAGCGAGCATTTCTCTTATTTTTTGTCTCTTTATTTTTGGAGATTTTGAGTTTTTACTCGGGTCGATGGAAAGCAAAATCGACGCGGCCAATAAACGCGCGCGGGAAGATTCTTCTAGAAAATTTCTTGATATGATGCAATTCGACTCAAATGTTCGATGAAAACTTCAATGAAAATACATGGTAAGATGCTTGGTACTTTATTGAAGAAAAAATTTTGAACGACTCTATTTCAAAATATTCATCGTTGATTTTCCACTTCCGGGTTCTTTGCCGATTGTCCTGAAGAAGAAATGTCCGTTGGGGTTGAAATTGTTACCCTTCATGTAATTCGGGAATATTTTCATAAAAGCATTGGAAATTGAACCGAAGAAGAAGATAACAAGCAAAAATCTCATTTTTCAACAAATATTCAGCTCTTGAGTCTTTCGGGTTAAAGCTGAACTTATCCTTTTATGAACCTTTTTGTTCATAATTAACGAACCGAATCTTTCCGTCTGAAAGGTTGAATGACCAAACCTTTCTTTCTCGATACAACAACGACTGTATTCAATGCTGAAGACTGGTGGGTTTATTTCAGAATGATCATTGATGATTTTTGACCATCAGGATCTTTTCCAAGCGGTCTGAGGTAGAAATTTCCGCGTCGGACGAGAACCATGTACTGACGCTGTTTATTCTGCTTGTAATTCGGAAATCTGAACGATTTTATAATCCAAGAAGATAGAAAGTTACAATAGGAAAAACCGAATTGGCAATCAATTAAGGGTGTCACTTTGTAATCATTTTCGAGAAAAATGAAGTATCTACCTTTTTACATGAGCAGATGAAACTGCGATCAGAAGACTGAATAGTATTACCGAAACCCTCATTATCTGTAGTACTGATTGGTATTTGCCTCGTCTGGCTCAATTTATACCCTTTCTTTATTCACGCGCCGAGAGGTTGAATGACGAAACCTATTCATCAGCGTGCATAAATAATCTTTTACAAATCTGCTATACAAATTACCACACTTCTGTTTGAAATCAAAGAAGTGACTTTTCTGAGATATATTTTTAAACAGGTCATTTCTTTCTTTATTACAGGGAATCAATAATAAGGTTCGCGAGGGTTTCGTACGGTCGAAAGTTCATTGACAAAAGATTTGATGAAATCAGCCTTCTTCTCGCTGTCAGAATCGCCAAGGAGGTAGTACATTGACATCACACCAGCTTTAGAGGGCTTTTACTGTATTTTTCGAGTTTTCCACATATTTTTTATGAAATCTGATTGGCCTACCTGCCGAATGCACAAATCTGATTGGTCTAAAACTTGGGAGGCGGCAAGAATCGACGATTTTTAGCGAAAAAAATCGGACCAATAAAATTTACCCATTCGACCAGTAGGCCAATCGCCGATCCAGGAAAACAAAGTTCCAAAAACATCCATAATGAATCATGATTTCTGCCCTTTTCCTTGAACTTGCCAGACAAATATCACAAAAACGAAAAGAAAAATCATAGAGTACGTCATTTTTTCTCTCTCTCTCTCTTATTCCAAACTCCTATTTTCTTCTGCTCTACCTGCTTTTGAATGGTTTAATTTGACACCATCTGACAAGCGCACGAGAAGATTCACTCTACTTCTCGTCTGTCGTTGACGATTCAGCAATTTTTCAGCGCTTGGGAAAAAACTCGTTTTTGTTGAATATGAAAAATTTATTTACAGAAGCTTCCTATGAAAAGGGTTTAAATAAGGTCATTGAGAATAAATTCCGCCAGTTTTTCGCGATTAACAGCTTCGACTTGCCGCGAAATCGTCAAATTTAGCGTCTTTCCAGAGTCTCTGATGACTTTTATCGCACTGGAGTACTCCATATTCTCGATGTCCTGAAAAAGAATAAAAACGAAGAAAGAAAAAAGAACACCATAAATATTCACTTTTAAACTCAAATTGATATTTTCGAGAATGGAGCAATTTATACCTAAAGTTGTACCTCGTTGATTTAGAAAACATTTTCATCAACATACACACAAACGATACACCAATATTTGAGCTCAAAGAAAGAGCATCTTTTCCCAAATAATCAAAATAATCGTTTTCAGCAAGAAAATTAAGGGTATCACTTTGAAATTCATCAAATCCGACTTACCCTGTAATTCACATTCAAAATTCTATCCCCAATCTTCATTCCCGCTTTCTCCGCCGCTCCATTTTCAACCAACGATCTGACAAACACCCCCTTTTTCTTCAACAACGTATCGAGCCCACACGTCAGCGTCAACCCTAGTTTCTGATTCTCGCTCTCCACTCTAATCGAAACTCTTTCTTCTTCTCCCCCTTCAAAGACTGGAATTTCAATCTTTGGCGTTTTCGCTCGCATTCGTTTCTTTTTCGTCACTCCTTCGGAACAAGCGGCTCTTGGTGGCCCAAATTTGTAAGTGATGATGTTTATGAAGCTCTGAATTTCGTCGGAGTCGAGGAGAGTCATGATTTGCGGCTTGTCGTGAGGAGAGAGCGAGATTTTTTGAGCTTTTGAATCGTTTTTCAATGTTGAACCGAATCGACTGATTGGTGTGGAGGCCAATTCGTTCAGCTCCTAAAGATGAGTTTTTTCCGAAAAAATGCAGAAAATTTTTACCTGCGCAATCGGTTTGACGAATTCCGTGTCCGTATCATTCAATCTCGCGAGAATCTTGGCCATCTGTCCAGCCCCCAAGTTCGGATATCTTCTCCTCAACTGCACCGCCGAGCAAATTTGGCCTAGCTGTCCCCTAGGTGTAGCGACCAAGTCCGCCGCTTCGGAAACTTTCGTATTCGCTTTTTGAAACTCTGATTCGAACCCTTTGGACGAGGCCCATTTCGCCAAGTTGTCGAGATTGCCGCGAAGGCGAACGCCAAGAGACCACTCGAGTTTGGAATACGAGGGGTTTTCAGTGAGCAGATCCATCAGCAGATTTACCACTCTTGTGAAAAGATATCTAAATGCGCTTTTGATGAGGCTTTTTGGCAGTTTTGTGTCGGTCATCGCGGTGTATGTTCCATCTGGAAGAAGAGGGTTGAAATGAGTTGGGATGATTTTGAGAAAAAAGCCCAGCTAGGGCCCGAAAATAATGAGTAAGCTTTAAATTGTTCTGTTTGGAAAATAATGCACTCGATTCAATTTCATAAAAATTCAAGCCAAAATCTCAAAAATATAAAATTATGGTTTCTTCAAAATTGCATTTTCAACCCTTTGCTAGAACGCTAATGACTCCATAAGGAACACTCATTTCAAAAGGACTCTTTGTCAGCAATTCTTCTATATGATTGACCATCGTGTCGCAAGCCAGCGAGACGCACTTCTGAACCAATCTCGTGGTCATATTCGTCAAGGGAAGAATCTCTGATTCTGGAAGCGACAGCGCTCGTTTCCAGAAAATCGAGATTTCGGCCGAATTCGACGACCAGTAAAAAAGCTCTTGCAGAACTGGAAGTCGAGCGATCATTTGTCCGATTGCTCCGGCCTCGGTTTTTTCTCCGGCTTTTTCAGTTTTGAATTTTTCGATTTTTCCGACGAGCTCTGTTTCTTTTTCTTTCAACAAGGTTTTGACTGCTTCGATGAAAATTGCCTTCTCGTCGGTTTGAAGGGACTGGCTATGGAGGAGGCAGAGATTGATGATGACCGAAGGGCTGAGTTTTTCCGGGTTTTCTTCTGGTTGGAGGCCTTTTTGGCGGGTTTTTCAAATTTTTCAAATTTTTAAAATTTTTTTTTAGAATTTTATTTTCTATTGTTCAAAATCCGCCCCTAGCAGCTCGTACAAAATATCGAACTCCTTTCCACTTTGATATTTAATCGCCCTGCTCTTCTCCGGAATCTCCTTATCCGTCAACGGAATCACCGGTCGATCAGGATTTTCAGTCTCCACTTCTTTCTTCTCGACCAGCGTTTTATTCGCATTTTCTTCCAGTCGCCGGCGCCAAAGAGTATCGGCCGCGCTCATTTTCGCGGTAATTTTCGGTTTTTCGGCGGTGTTTTTCGAGTTTTTCGAGAATTCTTCTTCGCAAGATTCGGTATTTGAGTTTTCGCAGATTTGGTTTTCTTTGATTGGATCGTAGTCGGGATTCAAATAGACCATTTTGTAGCCAGCGCATGTGATCATGTCGGAATGACGAAGAACCGCGGTCGAGGAAACTTGGACGCCATTAACAGCAACTTGGTTGTTTCCAAGTCTTCTGATGAGATCCACGCCGCAGATTTTGAAGTGCTCTTTTCCCAGGGACTCGAATTTTTCATCAGCAGATTCGCCGGAGCCAAGAGTAAAGTCTTTTCCGGACTCGAGTTGGAGAAAAGCTCGGGTTGGTTGGGGCGCTTTCAGGATAAAGATAACTGGGCCAGTGATGGAGACGGTATCTAGAAAAATAATTTTTAACGAAGTGATACCCTTATTTAGATTGTTATTTTTTTGTGAAGAAAAAAAGGCGCATCTCTTTTATTGAAAAAATATGACTTACCTTTGGTCATTTTTTTTTTCGCCTTTTTCTCAATTTTCGCAAACAAGCTCACATCGTCCTCTGAATCCTAAAGAAAACGAAATTTTTAAATTCTAATTTAAGATTGTGCAGAAAAAATTCTCAATTCAGCGCAGGCTTGAATTTGATGCGCTGGAACGCAACTTTCAAAACAAACGCCGCGAAGAATTCCTCTGAGTGAAAAAAAAAGTGAGAGGGATTAATTTACCTGCATGCCGGAGTCGGGATCCGAGTCGCTCTTGATTTCGCCAAATGAAAATGTCAAATCTAAATCGGATGCTTCGGTCTGCACATTTTGATCGCACGTGGCTTGGGATAAATGTTTGGTTTTGGGTTTTCAAAGGGGTTGATTTGAAATAAAAGTAGGGTGTCCTTGTTCGTCCTTAAATTTTTGCAAGTGAGCCCTTGTTCATCCTTTTCGCCACGTGGCCTTTCTGTTCATGAAAATTGAGCGCAGCAAATATAATAATCGAAAACTTAAAAAAATCGGGGACTCATGGAAAGGCTACGTGGCCTAAAAGATGAACAAAGGTTCACATGCATCAATTTAGAGGATGAACAAGGATACACCTTTTTTATCCTTCTGCTTTTATATTCACCTTTTGGAAGAGTCCAAGTCCCTCGATCAACAACTTCAATCTCTTCATCACTATCGAAGTCCGAGTAAAGTGACGATTCATCTCTCTCCGAAACCGTTTGCAGCGAAGAAACCGGGTCAAGACCGACCGATTTCGGTTCCGGCTCAGCAACGGATATCGTCTTTTCCAACGGCTGAAGATCCGGAGAAGTCTTCATCAACGTCGGAAGCGAAGCGTAGATTTCATTGATAAAGCGAGACTCTTTCAGTTCGAATTTTCGCTCGTAGCCGCTGACGGATCGGAGAAAAGCGGAATGGATCAAGGGTCGCTCTTCTGGATACATTCTTCGTTCCAGGACGATATTTCCGGTGGTGCCAAAAATGAGCTCCCACAGCTCGAGTTGGGAGCCGGATAATTCGTCAAACTTTTTTTTGCTCACAATTTTTTCGAAAAGATCGCCTATTTTTCTATTTGCGGGGCGATTTGATTGGATTGAGTACGATTTGAGCATGTTTCTTGAGAACAGCGCTGTGGCAAACATCTTCCGCGCTGGAATCAAACGGCAAAGCCAGTGTTTTATATTCTCTTCCATGATTTCACCTACTTTTTCTCGATCCGGAAAGCCCTTTTTTTGTGAAACCATAGCCATGAAAAGCTCAGAGGTCAACTTTATCAACCCTCTTCCAGCTGTTGACTCATTCTCGCCATAAGTAGATGTTGAAGCAGTCCGGCCAAGGCCAGAATCGAATGTTTTTGTACAAGAAGGAGCGCTAGAATTACGATTTAAGAGGGATAGAAGCAGGATTCTTACTTTTTCAGCTCGCTGGGGGTCGATTTTCTCTTCTTTAGCCACTTCATAATGGTTCAAAAAATTCGATCGTCTTTCAGATCAAAAATAGTGAAACTCGAAATCAAATTGAATGGAGAATGAAACGCTTTCCAACTGATAGGTGGCGTTATTCAAGTTAAACGCATCTTTATCAGCTCAATTCGTGTAAAACGTGATTTTTATCGAAATGTCTTCGGAGCGAATTCCACCTGACACATTTTTTTCTTCCTCTTTTTCTGGCATTGCTAAATGCGAACACGTTCTAACGAAAAAAAACTCGTTTTTAAGCCTGAGCTGGATCTTGAAGTCTAAGCGACAGGGGAGATTGGTAAGTGAGTCGTGGAATTTATTGATAAAGAGAGTTAGACGTAGCAGAAATCGTTGGAGCAAAACTGAGAGCATTGATCTGGGTCGGATTCGAAAACAATCGGACGGTAGCAGCCAACTTCGTGCGAAGAGAGGGTTTGAGAGGATGTCACGTGAGTGCCATTCCATTCGGCGCGTTCAACTTGATAATCACTTAATTTGATTAAGATAAATGTTCAATCGTGATTAATGTACCCGTAACCATCAAAAGCAATAAAATAATCATCAAACATCATCATCGACCCAAAATAAAAATTCTGAAAATAGAAAAGTTGTAAAAAATTAAAAATTACATTTTTCAATTCGCCGACAAGAGTCCATTGCTCATTCTTGAACAAATAAACAGTTTTCTTATAGCCACCGCTATAACCACCAATCGTGAGAACTCCACCATCAACTGAAGCGCATGAGAGCCCATAAAGATCTCCTTCTGGATGTTCAGCTTCTGATTGCCAGCCACTGAAAATTATTTAATTTGCTAATTTTATCTACTATCTTACCTGACGCTGAGAACCTCCGTTCCATTTGTATAACTTCCAGCAATAATCAAGGCCTGATTTTCGTAAAGCGCCATACAACTGTATTGATGTTGTTCTTTCGTCTCGCTGATGGCCAATGAAACACTTCCATCGAAGCTTTCGCAGGACTTTCCATTGTATCCTTCGCACAAAATCGTTTCCTCGTGGACCTCGGGGACCGTAACAAGCGCTCCATAATAAGAGTAAAAATTGTTTATAAGTCGTTTTCCAGTGTCGACGAGGTCGCAGCCGTCAATTCGTCCGATCTTAATTTGATTAATTCGATGAAAAAAATAATTAATTCACCTTCTTTGAGTCTTGATCTCCGCCGAAAATCATCATCTGGCCGTTGAGAAGAGCATGTCCAGCTCGATGAAGAAATGGATAGCTTCCTGTTCAAGCTTTTATCAATTAAATCAAATTATTATGAATTTTAGAAAGATAAAAGCCATTCCTTGGGGACTGTTGTAGAATCGATCTTCCTTGTAATGTCCATCCGCAGACATGACATATCCAAAATGATTCGAGCTGTACTGGCAAATAGCGGTGATGAACGGTTGACACTTGTATCCATCATCGCACGGACAGCCAAGCTCGCACTTCGCATTACAGGGACATTTTTCGCTTTCTTTCATGAAACCGGAAAAGCAATTTTCATAACAGGTCGGGCTCGCGGTGCAGTTTTTGACGCATCCAGTAAATTCAGTCGATGCCTCGTCGATGCACTGCTTGTACAGACTGTTGTTTTCTTGAGGAGAAACACAGGAACATATCGAATTGTCGCAGTCAGCACAGCCAAGAGGGCACTTGGAAAAGCAAGGGCAGACTTCATAGCAATCTATGGAAAGAAGAATTTGGAAGGGCATTTTACGAGTCAGTAAATACCGGTGTACGTAGCCAAACATTCACGTTCGCAGCCACTTGACAAGCATGAGTCCTTACATTCGACAAAGTCCTTGTAGCAATACGAATCACAAGTAAGAGCAAGGTCTTCATCCCTGAATTTTACGATCGAATTTGGACTTAAATTGAAAATTTCGTTTTATATTTTGAAATTAATTTCGAGCTATCATCTTTTCTGTTAAAATTGTCTTACGGGCAATCAGCGCGGGGCTTGGGTCGAAAAGCTTCAAAAGAAGAAATGAGCAAAATCCACGCGAAATACATCTCTAACGATCTGTGCGAATACCGCACTTGTCGGCTTATTTAACTCGCGATATTTGCTTCCCGTTAATTTTATTGAATGCAAACACCTCCTTTCCTCCGTGAACGAAAAAGCTTGCGTAACATCAAGGTCCGAAACGAATTCTTTATTACTGACAGTAATACAGTATTAATGACAGAATGAGGGTGTTTCTATTGGGGAGCCATTGGGTTGACCCATGGTTTGTCTTCGATTCGGCCTCCGTGGATGGTGATGTTTTGGCCTGTCATGCTGGGAAGAGCAGGATCGCAGCACTTCCAAATTGCCTGTTTTCAGATTTTGAATTTCCCGCCCAAAATTTTTTTCTTTCAATCGACATCAAAGATAAAAATTGTCACTTTTTTTTGCAAAATAAAGGGCAATTTTATGGACAAAAATCATCTAAGACCCCTATTTTGTTGTATCAAAAGCTGTTCCTGAGCAACTTCTTCCACAGAAAGAATCCCGTTACATGGCTGTTTTGCCGCACTCATCTGGACAAGCGCTGGAAGCATCTCCTTTGGAACACCCGAAGTTACTAACATGTCAGTTGCCACCGCGGCTGGGCGAACTGTATTTACTCGAACTCCGTCGGGGGCGTAGTTGCCCGACAAAATCAACGAGAACTGATCAAGCGCGGCCTTGGAAATCGCATACGCCAAGTAATCTCAAAAATGTTATTCAAAAAAAAATAACAAAAAAATTTTCTTACTGTTGCTTCGAATATGAGACGCGAGGGAGGAAACATTAACAATGGCCCCTCTCGATTTCTTCAAATGCGGCATCGCCGCTTTCGAAATCAAAATTGGCGCCTTGAGATTGACTCCCAAAACCATGTCCATCATCTCTCCAGTCACTTCTTCGAGATTCGTGAAGAAGCCGATTCCTGCATTGTTGACAAGAACATCCAGGCCGCCGAATGTTTCGATGGTTTCGTCGACCACTCGAGGGAGATCTAATCATAATCAGTTTATCAATAGAACGAACGACGAAGAGAGGGGCTATCATTCGAGCGGCTCGAATCGAGCCTATGATTCGAGCTATCCAAGATCTCTAGAATCTGAGCTAGTGGTTAGGGTTAGGGACTGGGAACTCTTAAGGGGGGGTCCGGGGGGCGAAGCCCCCTGGTTAAGGCCTTATGTGTGGGGTCCCGGGGGGGGGGGCGTAGCCCCCTGGGTTAGGTTTAGGGTTAGGGGCAGCTCGAATGATAACTAGGGTAAATCACTAATATTTTCCACCTTTTTTCTTGCTAAGTAGAGTAGGCATATAAATTATATGATATAATACCTTTTTATAATCCCAAGAAGCTGAGGATCATTTTGACTATTGATAGTCGGGAGTCATCTCGTACCCTGAAGGCATTCTTGTATCCCGGAATTCCCAAAATTTGGCCAACTTCGGAAATTCGAATTTTCGAGGTCGTAACTAAGCTTTTTAGACGTCTACGGCCTCGAAAATTCGAATTTCCGAAGTTGGCCACATTTTGGGACTTCCGGGTACCAGAATGCCCTCAGGGTACGAGATGACCCCCCACTATCAATTATCAAAATGATCCTCAGCTTCTGAGGATTATAAAAAGATTTTATATGCCTACTCTACTTAGCAAGAAAAAAAGTGGAAAATACTAGTGATTTACCCTAATGATAACCCCCTACTACCCGAACGAACCAGCATGGTTTGAAAGCTCAAGTTCGACGACCAAAACTCCCGCGGCTCCGGCTTTTTCGCACTCTTCCTTGATTCCTTGGAGTTTTTCCTTGTTCCGCCCTTGGAGGACGACATTGAATCCCTTCTTCGCAAATAAAATCGCTGAAGCAGCACCAATACCACGTGAGCTTCCAGTGATGATCGCAGTCTTGAATATTTTTAATAAAAAATTGTCTCTGACAAATTTATTTTTAATTCAAAAAAGCTTACTTTTGCCATTTATTATTTTTATTATCGCTCTTTTAATCTCCCTTTTGTTTGCAAAAATAAAAAAAAACAAGCAGACTCAGCAAATGAAATTAAACGTAGGCAAACATTTGCGTTTGCAAAAACTTAACAAGGATGAATCCTTGAATTCAACCAAAGTCTGAAAGAAATAAAGAATGGAAGTCTTTATTACTGTAAAATTTTTTTCTTACAGGAAAAAAATTCTTTATTGAGGGGCCATTGGGTTGACCCACGGTTTGTCTTCGATTCGGCCGCCATGGATGGTGATGTTTTGGCCTGTCATGCTGGGCAGAGCAGGATCGCAGCACATCCAAATTGCCTTCCTTCAGTTTTCAAAACTCGCGCCAAAAATTTCTACTTTTAATCGAAATTTTGGGCCAGAGATTGTCAATTATGAATGTTTTTCGCCAAAAAAAAAACTGATCCTGAGCAATTTCTTCTGCAGTAAGCATTCCAGTACATGGCTGTTTTGCCGCTTCCATCTGCACAAGCGCTGGGAGCATCTCCTTTGGAACGCCAGAAGTTTCCCAAATGTCAGTGGCCACAGCGGCCGGGCGCACTGTATTTACTCGAATTCCATCAGGGGCGTAGTTGCCTGACAAAATCAACGAGAATTGATCCAGGGCGGCTTTTGAAATTGCGTACGGGAAGAAATCTGAAAAAAAAGGATAAAAGTAGAAAAAAAAATATTATTTTTCGGTAAAAAAAATATCTTTTTTTTCCTTTGAAAATCAAGTCAGGCCTTTGAAAATTCGCTGTAACTAACTATTCGTCCTGACATGCGAAACCATCGAGGAAACATTAACAATCGCTCCTCTTGTTTTCTTCAAATGAGGCATGGCAGACTGAGTGATCAAAATCGGCGCCTTGATGTTCACATTCAAAACAGCGTCCATCATTTCTGCCGTGGTGTTTTCAAGATTGCATCCGATCGTTCCAAGGGCAGCATTGTTGACGAGAACATCAAGACCGCCGAATTTTTCGACTGTTTCGGTGACCAATCGAGGCAGATCTTAAAATAGTTCTTAAATTTAGCTCAATTTTTTATCAAAAATAATTCACCTTGGGTGTTTGAAAGCTCCATTTCTATGGCCAAAACTCCTGCCGCCCCAGCTTTGTCGCATTCTTCCTTGACTTGCTGCAATTTCTCTTTGTTTCTTCCCTGTACCACGACATTGAATCCCTTCTTTGCGAATAAAATCGCCGTCGCAGCACCAATTCCTCTCGAACTGCCGGTAATAATCACTGTTTTAGCCATTTTTCTTCGCAAAAATGATCTTTTTTCCGAAAATTGAAAAATTCCGGGGCGAACTAGTCTGTATGACAAGGGCAAACACAAAAACTACAGTTATTTGATGCAGGTCAGCAACTCGAGGTCAAAAAATACCTCGTTCTCAAGGACATATTCAAGGACATAAAAGACCAAAAATCGCTTTATAAAGGCCTGACTTGATCTTCCAAATAGTCTTTTGGCAGTTCAATACGGTAACTTACTGTTGCTTCGAACATGAGACGCGAGGGAAGAGACGTTAACAATGGCCCCTCTCGATTTCTTTAAATGCGGCATTGCTGCTTTTGAGATCAAAATTGGCGCCTTGACGTTGACGCCCAAAATCAAGTCCATCATTTCTCCAGTCACTTCTTCCAGATTGGCGAAGCAGCCCATGCCGGCATTGTTGACTAGGACATCCAGCCCGCCGAATTCGTCGATAGTTTCCTCGACCAATCGAGGAAGATCTTAACATAATCATTTTTAATCAAAAAATCAACAAACCAGCGTGATTGGAAAGCTCCAGTTCAACGACCAAAACTCCTGCAGCTCCGGCTTTTTCGCACTCTTCCTTGATTCCTTGGAGTTTTTCCTTGTTTCGGCCTTGGAGGACGACATTGAATCCTTTCTTCGCAAACAGAATCGCTGAAGCAGCACCAATACCACGAGAGCTCCCAGTGATGATCGCAGTCTTGAAAATATTTATTGAAAAATTATTGTTTCTGATAGATTTTTAGTTTAAAATTACTTACTTTTGCCATTTTCTTTCGCTTTTCTCTCTCCTTCGTTGGCAAGACTGAAAAATACGCCGATCTTAAAAACCGGCCGGAGACAACAGCAGATGTATTTTATCTTGAAACAAAATGATCGATCATCAGGGGTGGCCCCAGGGGCGATGCGGTTGGTCTGACAAGAATGATGATTTCGAAATAGAAATTCGGGATTTTTTTAAATAAAATTATGTTGTAATTGGTATTTAGGGTTGTTGCTTACGATCATATTCTTTGAAATAGAAATTAATCTATTTTCAGAGTCGGATATTGATCGAGTACCCTGGTAAAAATTTTTCCCCACTTGTCATCAATAAATCGAAATTCCAGTGCTTCCTGTCCAATTTGCTCGTATTTTCTATCTACCCAAAAGATTTTTCTCCGAGAAATAATTCTAGCTACAACATGAAAATCACAAGCTCGGAGTTTCTAGCTGCTTCAATGATAATTCCCTTTTTGTTGGTGAATTTGATGTTTTTGATGTATTTTTGGAAGCATAAATTGCCTTATTATATGAAGAGGGTTTTGATTGAGAGATACACGCTGGTCATTTGCAACCGACAAAATGTTCAGGAATCGAGATGAAAAAAGGATGAAGAAAAATATTCACCGATATCCCTCCTTAATCCTCATTTGACTCATCTCTTGACAAGTTCAGTCGTAGAACCTACAATGGCGCGGTCGTCATGTCCATCGCCTGCGGCGTCATCGGCGGCCTCTTCTTTTTCATCGACTTTTTCGAGCTCATCCCCGGCTGCCTCTGCTACCCGAGCTCGAAACTCCTCGTTGTCATCATGGTCCTCGTTCCCGTTTGTTACTTCCAAGTTTGCTACGCCATCCGGCTTTCTGCGTACTTCAACAACTTCGACCAAGAAAGAAAGGATTTTGAGGAAGAGTGCCGAAGAGGACAGGCGGAAGACATCGATAAATACAACATCGATCTTGTCAGAATTCCAATGTCGGGCAAATACTTTGCACTGCTCCCTATTCTACCAGGTAATCGGCATTCTTTGAAAGATAAGCTATTGACGCCCTTATTTTTGCAGCGCTGCTTATTCACGTGGTTCAAATGCTGAATGTCTTCCTCTGCCTCTCCCGGATCCCTGACCTCGTCGCCGGAAGCAACAGTACTCTCACAGCCCCGCGGCAATGTTTCACCAGCAAATTTCCTTCCATCGATGGCTGCGCGCCCGAGGGCGAGTGGGGCTTCTTCCGAGTTATGGAAAGCAATTTGCTGATTTACTTTTGCGTCGCGTCCGTTGTTCTTGAATTTCTCAATGTTGGACGTAAGTTGATCGTTTTTGAAACAAGAAAAGAAATTCTAGTTCTTTGCGGGACAATCTGGTTGGCTTTTCAGCGAATGGCGATTACTGGTTTTCACGAGCGAGGAATCGTCGTCATTTCGCATCTTTTTTCGCTGATGGCGACGTCGACTTGTTGCATTTTGCTGCAATTTATTCTCATCTGGCTCTTCATGAATGGATATTTGACTGTTACGCTGCTTGTTTTCCAAGTAATGTACATCCCAACCTTCTTCCTTTTCTTCGTCGAACGAACAAGTCTGAAGCGAATCGCGGATGTGACAGTAAAAGGCTTCGTCCGCCGAAAATTCGTAGAAATGAAAGCTCCACAAGCAACTCACAGCGCTGCGTTTTACGGATCCGTCCATAATCGTGGCAAAGTCAGGTTGCCGAAGAGAATTGAGGAGTTTATTCCACAAAAGAACATTGACCTTTTTTATGTGAAGAAAATGAACATTGAAAATCAACAACTTTGTCGACTTTCTGACACTTCTTATGGGTAAAATTTAAGCTTTCCCTTCTCAAAATTTTCAACCTATTTTCAGAATTCGAATCATGTCCGGCAATTTCGTCGGCCAGCCGGTTTTCTGGTCCCTAACTTGGAATGACGAAGAGAGAGATCGTATCAAACGAGATCCGGTGAATCGAATCAAGGTTTTTCATCCCTTTTCTATCTCCAAAATCATCCTTTTTAGTTGACAAAAAGCATGTTCCAGAGCGCCAAAGCTTCGCGAAACATCAACCATCGGGCATATCTCCATGTCAAGTACATTTTTATGGACGACTACGATATTCCTGTTTATGTCTATGAAGGAGAGTTTTTAAAAAACTTGACTATATTTGATTATTTTCCTAGCTAAGCAAGCTTAGCTCTGCTTAGCGCATTTCTAGGAAGACTAAGCTTATCTTAGCTTAGCCCTGGTCTTAAAGGCCAGCTTTAGAAGACAAGTTAAAAGTAGGCTCAGCTTAGCTAAGCTTTGCTAAGCTTGGTTAAGAAGAAGATAAGAAGGGCTAAGTTTTGCTTAGCAAAAAATAAATTTTGAAACTCTTCTTAGTTTACCTAAGCTTGGCTAAGCTAAACACAGAAGAAGATACTTAGAAGGGCTAAGTTTTGCTAAGGCAGGATAAAATTTTGAAACTCTGAAAAAGGCGTCGTCCAACAATCAGTTCTAAGCTACTTGGTGGACCCGAAAAATAAAGTCACCTACCGAATGGTTTTTGGATTCGTCACTGGTAATTTACAAGAGCGAGTGTTTTTGGTTGATATATTTTTAGAACTTGTTTCCGCGATGAAGGTTCTCTCGGATTACGGAATTGTCATGCGAGAATTACGATGCTTGACGCTTATGCTGACTCCTGATCTTCAGGTTTTGTTTATTTTTGGCGAATTTTTTGATGGTTTTTGAAGGTGAAAATTGCGTATATCAAGAGTATCCGCGAATTCGAATACATTCACGAACGACTCGGTGATGAATTAATCCGAGGTAAGCAAAAAAATTTTTCAATTCGACCAAAATTTTGGTCAAAATGATCAATTTCTGCCTCCTCATCCTTTTTTTCTAGACTTTATGTACTGGCTTGCTCCAGAAACGCTGAGAGCGATGGAGTTCACTTCGAATTCCGATGTCTGGTCCTTCGCTTGCACTGTTTGGGAGATGTTCACTCGAGGCCAGACTCCCTATGGCTACTGTCGCTGCTGGAATGACATTTTGACATCGATCGACAGGGGTCAGGTTCCTCCAAGACCGGAAAGTATGAGCAGACAAGGCCGGGATCTGAAAATAAGAGGCAAAATAAGGGTGTCAAAATTTTAAGAAAAAATTTTCGTTAAAAAAATATAAAAATTTTTTTTGATTTTTCCCTTATTCATTTTTTTGATCCGAAAAAGTCTACAAAGCCTTAACCCACTGCTGGAAGATCAACACAACTTACCGCGCCGAGTTCGGGCAACTCCAGAAGCTTTTAGGAACGAGATTAAATTATTCTCTTTAACTAACTCATGATCATGCGCTTCGATTGAGCGCATTTCTTGCGCAAGAATATTTTGCCAATTTATGATGAACACAAGCGAGATGCATGATTTCACCAAAAAAAGTAATGGCTTGTCCTTTTGTTGCTGCTAAACAAATGCAATTCGCGAGTTGAGCCGGCGCAACTGGGCCGTGTCTATTTTTAACCGTTCCAACTAGGGTAAATCGTGATCGTATACGTGAACGAAGTGATAATTTTAGGTGGAAGTTTTATAATCAAATTAATACTAAAAGACAACTTGGACCATGTTTTTTATCAATTAAAAATTGACAATTTTGGATTAATTAATAATCATGACCCAGTTTTTTATTGAACAATTAACTATCTCTAAACGAGGATTAAGGAACTCAAAAGTCAATTATTTGAAAATTGAATATCGGAGTGAAACCCTAAAATGACCTAAAAATGACTTAAAAATGACCGTTATTCGACTCGAATCAAGCAGAAGAGAAGAAGAGTATTTCGCGTAAGATTAGTTTTGCTGCCGCAATTTTCATTTTTCCAACAAAAATATCACTCGGATACCCTTAAGTTTTGAAATTTTTTTTAATTGAATATGCCGAGAGCAAAAGAAGATATTTTCAAATAAAAAGATAAATTATGGAAAATCTCGAAAAATCTTAAACTTATAGACTATAAGGGCCTTTTAATTATTTTAAATGTATAAAATATTCTTTTTTGTACCTCGAAAAAGTCACGTATCTGAACGAAACAATGCAGGACTTGAGCGAGGAGATTCCGATGATGCTGGACGATGATATTATTCTGCAAATATAATTTTTCCTTTTTCCTACTCTTTCTAATAAAAAGTTCATCCCTAAGTTGATACTCGGTACTTTGAACAAACGTTTTTTCTACGGAAATGAACCGGGTAGCCCTAAGAATTAAAGGCCCAGAATATCGTCATTCCAATTCTTATCATATTTACTCAAAATAATTTCGGTACTTGAGTGAAAACAAGAAAACATTTTCTCTATTTTTGCATTGCTCCATGAATTGAAAAATTGTTTTGACATAAATGACGGAAATACGGTGAAAACTCTGAGTGACCGAAAATTTAGCTTTTATGATTTGAATCTGGCATCTTGAATATGAGAGCAGTTAAATTTCGAGCTTAGCTAGCTAAGCCGCAAACTTATTCTAGCTAACATAAGAATTCAATTTATCTGGAGGACTAAGCTATTCTTAGCCAAATAGACTTAGCTTTCAAAAGAATTTGTGAGCTAAGCTGAGTAACGCTAAGCTTGATAAGGCTAAGCTCTACTGAGTATGAAATGCTTACAAATAATTCGTAAACGGAAATGAGCTCGGATTCATTTTAAACTTATCTTAGCTTGACTAAGCCAAATTGGCTGGACTCAGCTGAGCTTGGGATGGATAATAAATCTAGCTTAGCAAAGCTTAGCTCAGATTTGATAGTTTTGATTTGGCTTAGCTAGCTTATCTCATGTATAAAGAAAGAGAGCTCAGCTTTGCTTAGCTAAGTGCTCCTCTGAGCAAAGCTAGCTTAGCCTAGACTTTCCTTTAAATTTTGAATAAAAGGTTCAGTTTAATCATTCCTTACCGGCGAAATCAACTCAATCCGCACTTGGTTGAGCCTTTTGCTCGTAATCTTCGTCTTACTTGTAGCGTACATCTTTATTTATTTGGAGGTCTTTGTTTAACATGGTCTTGTTTTACCAAAGCTCCGCGAATTAAGCATGTTCTCCAATAATAGACTCGCCGAGATGAGAAAAAATTGGACTTGTTTGGAAACGAAACAAAGTAAAATCGCGTTTCGCAAGCGGCGCTAGAATTGGCGAAAAATCAGACATAAAATCGGCGGGTTTGCTAGAAATTCACTACAAAAAAAACGAAAAAAAGAAAGAGTTGGAGATAAAAAAAATATGCTTTTTAATAGTATGATGCCGATGAAAGGAGGAAGAGCCACAGATGGCATGACAGAGGAGCAAATCACGCTGCTGAGACTCCTGAAATCGACCGGACTAGATTCGAAAAGCATCAATTATGCTTATGAGAAACTCGACAGACTTGAAATGGTGAGTTTTTGATCGATTTTTACGGTTTATTATTTCTAAAGGCATTTTCGAGACGCTTAAATCTTTAATTGACTATTTTTATGCTAATTTTTGACCAATAGAAGCTCATTTTTGGCTAATTATAAAAAATAAAGCCGATTTCGGGCTTCTTATTGGTCAAAATTAGCAATTGAGAATGCCGAGCAAATATTATTTATATAATTTTGAGCGATAAAAATATTTATTTTGTTATTTTAGAGTGTACAAGGCTTCGAAAACTACAACCCAAAGATCGTGAAAGTCGGCGACAGCATGCTTTATGAGCTCTAGAATCCATCAAAATGATGATAAAGGAAAATCATGATAAGGTGTTATCTTTGCCGTGCCTGCTATACTGTATTTACTGCAACAAGTAATTATTTACTGCTTCAAAAATCTTAAATAAATCAATATGAAAATAATGATTAAAAAATGATCACTTTCTTGCTTCTCAAAAAAGAGCCCAAATGGAGGTTAAAAATAGACAGTGCGAAATAGTCGTCCGATTTTATTTTATTTCCAAGTACGAATTTAAGACCAGGCTCAATTTATGAAAAATAAAGCCATATATGTTTATAAAGTAAACAATCCAAAGGACTTCTTATATTTTTGATCCTTTGGCGCAAGGAGAAACGGAAAGACGAAAAGTTTGCATTCTCGAACTCAAAACCTCGATTTGGGCCAGTCAGGAGTTTACGGTATAAATTCAAGTATTTGTGTTTTTGGATAATTGGCTCTAGTTTCATGAGACAACAATCAAGGATCGTAGCCAAGCAGGGGTCTGGGTAAGTGGCAGAATTGCAAATTTTATGAGCTAGCTGAGTTGAGCTAGCTGAACTACAGCTCAGCTCAGCTCAGCAATTTTGAGGTGAAGGTCAGCTCAGCTAAGCTCAGCTCAGCTCAATTTTTCTGAAAAAAACCCAGCTCAGCTCAGCTCAATGGTTCTTCGAAAAGAGCCAGCTCAGCTCAGCTAGCTCAATTTCGACCTCAGCTCAGATAGCTCAGCTCAGTCTATTGAGCTAAGCAAAATCTAGCCACTTCTGATTGGTCTATTTTTTCAAAAAATCTTGCGCGGCGAATAACTAGAATAGTACGCAAGTCAAAACATGAGACGTATCAATGTTGAGATTAAATTAAGCGAATTGAATCATTTCTCTTTGAAGATTCTAGCGCTGAGTCTTTACCGTAATCAAAACTAGCCCAAAATTTGATTGATGTACAAAAGTAGACATTGCAATCTAGCATCGGTCCGTTCTATTTTATTTGATTCGAAAATAATGCATCACAAGATGACGCTTATTTATGCGGAATTATGAGGTGAACAAGACTAAGCATTTGGTTTGAGAACAAACAAGGTATAAAATGACCATCTCAGGGATAAAAATGAACACATTGAGCCTTCTTTCTTAACTTTTTTTAAGCCTACTTTTTGGCGCCTCGAGTCGAAAAACTGGAATTTTTTGACAATTTTATTGTTAATCTGATTGGCCCACCAACAAAATGCGATGATCTGATTGGTCGAAATTTTGACCAAATTTTTTTTTATTCACAACGACATGATAGATAAAATTCATAATGAAGTTGTTGAATAGCCCGGAGGTTGTCGGGAACTCAGTCTTATTATGATCAAATTAGTGGCCCCTCCTATTTTTCCTAGAAAATCACGAGTGCCAATTCATCGAGCTCAGACTTGAATTCCTTGTTTTCAACTTTTCAAATTCCTCTACGTGACAAACCGAACACAAAGAGAGACAAAGAAGAGTTCTTGTGATCCAGGTTGACATTTTCAAGCAGAAAAAAGGTTCGTTTTTTGAACAAAAAATCATTTTTATGAAGAAAAACTTTCAATCATAAATAGTGTTAACAGCCGAGAACTGACGTTAGATGCATTTGAACTTGGCAGTTTAAATCATGAGTCTGTGCGAAGCTTATCGCCCAGCATGCTTCTATCATCGCTCTTTCTCACGGGTCCATTTGCAGCAACCAATGCACAACCTTTCAGTTATTATTATTTAAGAGAGAACAGCTGTCGCCCTTTTTCCCGAATTCTTTAGAAAAATAAAAGAGGGGGATCACTTATCGGTATTTTTAAGCAAAAGTGAACTCTTAGTGTCTGAAAATCATTTTTACGATCCAATTAGTTTAAACTTGTCATTGCCGATTTATCACAATACCTGCTCTTTTTTTGGATAAAATCGACCGCGAATCGAAAAAGAAAGATCCAAAAATCTGATTTTGGGAGGCAAAAATTTAGATTTTTTCGTTCAGAGACTTTTTGAAATTCGCAGGACTTTCTGATGACTAAAGATGTGAAGAAAGAGAAGGAACTGAAAGGCTTCGACCAAATCTATAGTCGGATACCGCACTTGTCCGGCTACCAGATTTGCATTCTTCTTTTTTCGAGTTATACGATCATCTTATCAGGTAATTTTATTTTATTAAAAATAAATCTCGCGAAAATTAATACATCGGTCTAAATTTTTGAACAAAACCAAAAATTGGAGGTGGTTTTTTGAGTAGCCAATAAGATTTCTGTATTTCGCCTACCGACCAATCAAAAACCTGATCCAGAAAATCATTTCTTTTTTCTGGTTTTGCCCAGAATTTTTATTAAAAAAGATCTTGCTCAAGAAAATAAATTAATAGAACGTGGCCCTTATCATAATTAACAGAGTGATACCCTTATTTTCAAGGCGCGGTTCAAAATGCCAGTGTTATTCTCAACGCAAAACCTGAAGAATACCGCTGCATTCCAGAAGGAATCAATTCTACCGACTACGCCCTTATTGATTCTCTCAGGAAAGTTTTCGAAAGCCCTCTTTTTCACCGCAATTTTGCTTTCTGAAAACTCCCAAAAGTCCGCAAAACCCGTGCCGAGTGTACGATTTGACGAACGTGACCGACCACTGCGACGCCCTTAATGACCCGGCCAGCTGCTTGGACTTGATTGAGACGGAAAAGTGCGCAAAGTGCGAAAATGGCTTTGTGTACTCGCCGAATAATACTTTCCAGGAAACTGTGGTTTCGAGGTTAGCTCCGTTCAAATCCATCAAAACAAAATACGCTCTTCAGATTTGACTGGATTTGCGAAGAATCGCTTTTCCCCGCTTCTTCCATTTCGACCTCGCTGTTCATGCTTGGCTTGCTCGTTGGCGCCCTCGGATTTGGTCGAATTTCGGACATTATCGGACGAAAGCGAGGACTGATGCTCGCTCATTCTCTTTGTTTGGTTACGAATTTGCTGCTGTACTGGGCCGATGGACCAGTTAGCTTTACGCTGATGAGATTTTTGGCTGGAGCCTTTGCTCATGCTTGTGTGGTGGTTAGCTATGTTTATTGCATTGAACAAGTTGGGCCTAAATGGAGGTAAGTCCACTTTTTTGGTCTTCAAGATTTTCATCCTTTTTTTAGAACATTCCTTGGTTGCCAGCATCTGCAGCTGTTTGAGCTTGGAATCGTCGTTTTATCAATCATCGGCTACTACAACCGAAACTGGCACGATGTTCAGATTGGACTCGTCCTAGTTGGTCTTCCATTCCTCCCGCTTTATTTCTACCTTCCTTCTTCCTACAAATGGGTAAGCACTTCCCTCCCCCTTCTCTTTCTAGCTCTCTTATTCTAGCTTTACTCGAAAGGAAAGAATTCGGAAGCTCGGGCGACTTTGAAACTCATTTCCGCCAAAACTGGTGGAACTATTGACGATGAATGGATCAATGAATTTGAGCTGAAATCCTTGAACAATGAAGAAGAAAAGGCTGGAATCGCGGATTTGATCAAAAATCCGTACTTGAGATGGAAGACGGTGGTGATGTTTTTTAATTGGTTTGTTACCTCGATGGTTTACTATGGGAAAGGGTCGAAAAGAACCATGAAAAATTTCGAAAATGACCAAATTTTCAATTTTTTCGACCAAAGTTTTTAATTTTCGCCTCAAAATTTTGACAAAATTTATCGAAAAAGATCAAATTCTATCGAATTTCCTGACCATTTTTAAAAAGTCTTGGTTTGAACGCTGGAAGCCTTTCTGGAAACATCTTCGTAAACAATGCTCTTTGTGGAATTTTCGATGCTGTGGCAAAATTTTTATCGCCCTTCATGATCGGCTCGCGCTTTGGAAGAAGAGGAACGCTTTGCTTTTTATTCGTGGCCGGTGGTTTGGCTTGTATTGGGGCGATGGTGCTCAGTTTGATGTCCGGATGCGAGGAAATTCATAATGGGGATTGTTTTCTTCCCGAAAAGGTAGTTCATGTGCCTCTTCGTTTTTGCATATTTTAGGCGGAATGCAAAGAAATCTACCTGGAAATCGCAAAATGGCTCGCTCTCGCGGGCAAATTCTGCTCCTCCGCCACCTTCACCATCGTCTACATCTACACCGCCGAGCTCAACCCAACGTGCGTCCGCGCCACTGCCGTCGGTCTCAGCTCAGCGGGAGGCCGAATCGGTGGTGCTATCAGTCCACTCGTCTTTGGACTTGATAACACTTTCCCATGGTTTTCCAATACATTTTTTGGAATTTGTGGGCTGCTAGCGGGATGGGCGACATTATCATTGCCAGGTTTGAGAAAAAAGAAGAAATGTGCCTCAACCCTTTTTCTAGAGACGAAGGGACAACCAATGCTTCAAACAATGGAAGATGTGAACGACGTTTACCAGCGAGAATGCGAGCAGGAAGCTCTTCTCGAAGAAAAGAAAACGAAAGCTGAAGAAAACTAAAAAATTTCAATGATTTTTATTTTGATATTTTTGCCTAGAAGCATTGCCTGTTTATACCTTTTCAAGTTTCATAATAATTTATTATTTGAAAGTTGCTCTCAATAAAAAACAATATTGCATGAGAAAATATCGCCATTTCAATCTTTTTCATGAAAACTCATGATTTTTAAACGCCCCCGAATCGCATCATTTTTGACATGACGCTGCCCAGAAAATTGTGTCCGCTTGACATTTGGAATAAAACGCTTCCGAAACTCATTTACGAACATCACCAGTTTTTTTCGACTTCAAAAATTTTACAACGTCAGTTTCGATCGGCGGCCTTTGAAATTTTCAAAAGTGGCCACGAGTCGCTCGTTAAAACGTTCCAGAAATAGAAATTTCGAATGATGAAAGCGTAATTTCGCTTTCAAAAGATTATCTGACCTTATAAACCTTCGCGGCGAAAAAAGTTCAAAATCGAATTTTTATGGAAATAAGAATGAAAATTTTGGAAAAAGGAAAAATCGGGATAATGATCAATTTTACAACGATAATTCTTGATTTTATGGCAAAAAAATGAGGCTTCGAGGACCATGATTTTCCGATTCCATCAAATTGTGTCAAGGTTAATTGACTCCAAACAGTCGTGATTCAAGAATATTATTTATGCTGCTGTCAATCAAATTTTGCTTCCTCTCATTTAGAATCACTAGAATCATATAATCTAAACGGAAGATTGATCTTATGCATCAAATTTGTCCAAGAAAAGATTCTTTTAAAGAATTAAGAGGTTTTTTTCTCGATGTTAACAAAGAGACGCCCTTATTATTTCGCGTAAAATGTTAATTTCTCAATATCTTTCAAAAAAATAGGGTTAGGGCTTTCCTTGTCCAAATGGCTAACGAAATGTGAGGGCTTGAATAAGGGTTGAGGTCTAAGTAAGAGTAAGGGTAAATAAAGTTTCCTTCAATAATTATTTTAGGGGCTAGGCCTCATGAATCGTGATGATTTTCCTCAAAAATTTGAATTATTGTTAAATCTATCGAAACTCTGAACCCTTATTAATAATTTAAGGAGTCAAAAATTCAAAATTTTAGACGAATCTAAGCAGAACAAAATAATCATTTTTACAAAATCCGGAAACTGCACATGCCCACCTGAAAAACATCTGAAACCAGCCGCATCTTGCCTAATTGTTCCCACCTTCATCCTCGCCCCAATCTTTCAGATCCCCGCCCCGTGCAGCTGAACATGTTCAACTCGCAAGATGCACCTTATTCTTTCCCAGAGAACACATGATTATCGAAGTTTCAATCTCAATCGGGAATAGATTGAAAATTCGATAGTTATTTTTTCTTGACTCAACGCAGCTGGAAAAAAGGGCGCTAGACCCCATGGAGCGACAATAAAACCGACCGCCGAGTTGAACAACCATCAATTTACACAAAAAAAGCAATTTGAAATTTGAAAATAAAAAGAGAAAAAAGCCAAAGATGGTGAATCTTCTTTCAAACAAATCCCTCAGACTCCTGACAATCCTCCTCTCTATTTTTGGCATCGGAGCTTGCATCTCCCATTGCTTCGTCTTCATCATCCTTTTTTCGAGAATCGAGACCTTCGGACGCCTCTGGAACTTGGAAGCAGTTAGGGGAGAGGAAGAAACAAAACTGCCCTTGTCGATTTTGGGGCAAGGGCTTTGGTGTGGTGGAATGGCTCTGTGCACGGCTTGTGTTACTTTTAGCTATATTTCAGCGAGAATTCAGGTAAGAAAAAAGCATTTCTTATAAATAAACATAAAATAGCGGCAACTTTCCTCAATAACTCATTTTTTTCAGAACAATTTCGATCAATTCTGCTTCCGCGGAGAGCGTTTTGCCACCAACAATGTCGTCTTTCTCTTCATCCTCACTTTCCTCATCTCCCTCTTTGGCACTCTTACCGATGGTTACGGCCTGCTTACTCTCCTAAAATCGTCCTGGTTCTCGTCTCTCGGGGGGACGGCGCTTTTTTCCATGCTCCTGATCGAGGTTTTCTGCATTTTGGGCATCAACATCGTCGCCTTTATCTGCATTTCCTTCACTTCCAAGGACGACTTTCTCATCATCCAGGCTCGAAAAAACGCTCATCTTTACGATCATCTTCCTCGTCTTCAAGCGGGCGATGCTACCTCTTCATCCTCCAGGTCCTCCAGCTCTAGAAATAGCCGCACAGAAGTCCAGTACGCCCCGGTTTCGAAGAAAATGACTTCTGCTTGGGGACATTTTAACTCAGCCACAGACCTTTATCACGTAAAAGCGCTCCCCTACGATTCCCATTTTGTGGACAAAACTACTTCTGGCTACAGCAGCTCGATTTCAGTGGAGAGCGAAATGGACAAAGTCGGGATTGAAAACTGCGATTATTATTTGCCAAAAGCTCCTGTTGTCAGGCTTCAGTGAAAATACTCCTGCTACTTGTCGCTTGTACATTTATACTGTAATCAATTGTAAATAAAAACTATTGAAATTTTAGAGTTTCTGATTTATCATTGTTTATTGAATATCCGCAAAATAAAAAGATCGATGTCCAGTGCAGTTGTCCTTTTAGGCTTAAGAAGAGTGACAGAGAATTTTTTTAAATAGTTTTGAATTGAAGTTTTTCTGATTTCATACAAGTCAATTTGTGCTGCAAAAATTTCATGAGGCTGTATTTCGCTTTGATTTTTCGTTCTGAAGAGAATGATATTTTTAAACCGAGAAAAATTTTGCTACCTCAGAGCTTGTCCGGACCCAGAAAACGCGCTAAAACTCGGGCCAGCTTCTTCTTCCGCCTTTTTCGCTGGTTTGGCATGAATGTAGTGAAGAGTTCGCCCATCCCAATCGTAATTTGGTACGCCCCGTTTGTAGATTTTGTCCAAATCGATCGTTTTCTAGCGCAAATTATCAATAAACCGCCGAGATCATTAACGAACTCACCTTGACGCCTTTTGTTCCCTTTTTCTTGCCATCGATTCGGCCTCCTTTGCCCTGGAACGAGTGAAAGTTCGTTTGCTTTTCGTAATAATCGACTAGTTTCTTTTGAATATCCGGCGTTCCAAACGATCCAGGGGTTTCTTCTGGCGGCTGGACTCGCTCTGGCTCTAGAAATATGCTCTTATTGAAGGGAAGAGGGAAGGAAACGAACCTTTGTATCCAACGGGCGCTTCAAAATCGACGTTCATGTCGCACTCGATGATGTTAACCGCATCTTCAGGCTTTGTTTCGACGATTTGGACTTCAAACTCCCGTCCGATGTAGTCTAAAAGGCGTTTATACATTCCACTTACTTTATGAGGCCATGTACCTATTGAAATGATGTCTCCTTTTGATAGACACGCAAAACTACGAAGGTGCTTTTCCAGAACTGCTTTTGGGTTTGAAATTTCCAGAAAATCGCAAGATTGAGGCTTGAACTTCGAGTACGACGCTACAGGAAGAGAAGCGTAGGTGATCGCTACAAAAAGATGAGAAGGGTCTTTGAGTGGTGATCTTACCGATTCTGTCGCCTTCGTTCAGAAGAAGATTGCGCATCATCCAACCAGGGAGATAGACTTTTCCCTCTTCGGCGATGAATTCAAGAACTCCAGCGTGTGTTTGTCGCTCTTTTCCTCGGTTCTGAAAGCTTGGGTGGACTTTCAATTTAATCTGCCAGATTTACTATTGGATTTCCGGGAAAAGTTTCCATTAGACCCCCCAAGTATCATACCTTTTTAGAATCGTCTTGAGCTGCTCTTTTGTTTTATGGAAGCCGATTGTTGAATTTCGGACTTTTTATCGGTTTTTTATCGGTTTGAAGTTCAAATTGTCGGTTTTCTCTTATTTTTCGAAGAGAATTTCAATTCTCTTTCTTTGGCTAGCAATTTCAATCAAAAATATTTTGATGACTCACTATTCGATAAGGCTGAATATGAGTTTTTCCTGCCAATAAGAGGAGAAGCTTTATAAACGACTTCGAAAAAGAGAAAAAGACGATGAAAGAGAGAAAATAAAATGGAAAATGGAGAGAGAGAGCGAGAATTTGTAGTGAAACAAGAAGAAGATGTTGGAAACGCGATCCGTGAACATTCTAGGGATGGGATTATCGGCATTTCGTCGGTTTTTTCAAAGTTGAGCGAGATCTTTCTCTTTTTCTTCGGTTTTTTCAGTTTTTGGATTGTTTTGACAAGCAAATTCATATTTATTATAAATTAACCTCCAATTAGCAAAGAGTAGAAGTGGAGGAGCTGCTTCCGGTGATGATACAGAACGCCGAAAAGTCATTCAACGCGGTTTTTGAGCAAGATTTACGCAACTTACCTGACGAAAACGCCCGTATTGTTACTCGTGCACTGCAAGGTACTTTTGAACCAAAATTTATTATACATTAAATTAATATAGCGATATTTTGCGGTATCAAAGATCACCTTCCCGCATATTTTGATGAAGTTGACCTTCGCGAAATCAAACTGGAAGAGATGCGCTACTCTGAAGTCGGACATCATTTCAATAAACACCCAAAGCGAAACGTTGGAGAAAGACTGGACGGGTTATCAAGAACAAAAAAGAACAGATCCCTGACAAAAAATGAGGAAATTCGCGATGATTTGATCCGCTTTTTCGAAGAAAATTCGGTTTTGGATACTCGATGTAGAAACGAAGCGATAGTAGCTGGAGAAATGAAAAGAAAACGATTGCTTAAAAAGCCATTTTGGGTTTTACTTCTCAAATATGACGATGAAAAGAAACAACAAACTCTAGAAATGCGAGAAATCAACGAGGAAGTGCCGGATCCTCCCAGTATCAGCACTTATCGTCGGATCTATAAGGAAAACTTCACGAAATGGCTTCGCCTCGCCGATGACAACGCAATTCTCAACTGCTATTGCCCAGTGCACCTTCAAATGGAGCTTTATACTTCTGCGATCAACAGATTCTCGGCTACAGAGCCCATTACTGACTTCGATCTTGCTGAAATGTCTATATGTGTAAACTCGGGCCACCGGTTGAAGTGCATCGAAAATTCTTGCGAGTATTGTCAGGATACTGAAGCCGGATACGAGCATGTCAAAGCAAGACTCGAAGATCATTTCCACGGCATCGATCCTGAAACAGAAGTGACCTACGCACAACTTGTTGAAATCGAGCGCACAGATGCTAACCAGAATCCATATAAGAGAGAACAATTGGTGATGCAACTGGCGACCCGTGATGAGTTCATCAGCGTCGTCTGTGACTATCTTCAACGGGGCTGTCGCTACAGGAGCTCAACGGAAGACAATCAATCACTACGAGCTTTCAAGAGAATCCAAGGACTTCCGCAAGCAACACCTGGGCAACTGCACCTTTGACAAAGATTCCCTGCTTCTCGTCACTGACTATGGTAAATAATAAAGGGAGATTCTGAAGGATGGTCAGAACTATTCTAGAAGATCTGTAGGCACTAGAAATTCTTACAGGAAGATTCTTAAGGATGTTCCAGATAATCTTGAGACTCTAGAATGTCTTATAGGAAGACTCTGAAGGCTAGTCAGAACTATTCCAGAGGATCTGGAGGCTCTCAAATGTCTTACAGGAAGATTCTGAAGGCTAGTCAGAACTATTCCAGAGGATCTGGAGGCTCTAGAATATCTTATAGGAAGATTCTGAAGGCTAGTCAGAACTATTCCAGAGGAGCTGGAGGCTCTAGAATGTCTTATAGGAAGATTCTGAAGGCTAGTCAGAACTATTCCAGAGGATCTGGAGGCTCTCAAATGTCTTATAGGAATATAATTACTATCAAATCCTCTGGAATAGTTCTGACTAGCCTTCAGAATCTTCCGATAAGACATTCTAGAGCCTCTAGCTCCTCTGGAATAGTTCTGACTAGCCTTCAGAATCTTCCTATAAGACATTCTAGAGCCTCCAGATCCTCTGGAATAGTCCTGACTAGCCTTCAGAATCTTCCTATAAGAAATTCTAGAGCCTCCAGATCCTCTTGAATAGTCCTGACTAGCCTTCAGAATCTTCCGATAAGACATTTTAGAGCCTCCGGATCTTCTGGAATAGTTCTGACTAGCCTTCAGAATCTTCCGACAAGATATTCTAGAGCCTCCAGATCCTCTGGAACAGTTCTGACTTCAGAATATCTGATGTTTTTGAGAGATGACGAGGACTTTCTCTGATATTTCTTAAGCCATGGGAGTCTCCTGTCGCGAGATGGTCGAAACATCCAATATGCACTTTAAGAGGGACGCGTATCCGATGCTTTCGGTCATCAGCTATGGCGTTGACGACAACAACAACCCCAAAAAGGTGTACAACCATCTTCTCAGCGAAATACGCGTCGCAAAAGATGTCCAATTCAGCCTTGCTGGGATCAAATGCGCTCTTGAAACTGCCCGAGCAACTGTCGGTCCGAAGAAATGCTTGTGGGTCCAATCGGACGGAGCCGGTTTGTGAATATGGAGCGATATCGGTTAACACAATTCTAGAATCTCAATTCTGGTCGAAAGAGATGTTCCATTGCCTCCCACGGTTCATGAATAACCTCCCTGCCCACGATTACGACTCTATTGTATGGTTCAAAACAGTGTCCGGGCACGGAAAAGGTTGAAAAATATATAAATAGCCTTTAAAAATTTCATAGGGGAGATCGACTCCTCCCACGGATGCGTCAAACAAGATATTGTCCGACAATACAATCATCTTGGTGGCTGTGGATTCGATGGAGAGCGATTGGAGAACATTGGAGTTGTTGATTCTGCATCACAGCTCGTAAATTTTCTTCAAAATGAAAGAAAAGATCATTTTGGAACCCTGGAACACAAAAAAGAAGACAGTCTCGGCTACACTTTAGTTGGACGATACGTTTCCGAATACGTTGTTGACCCGAACTTTGATAAACAATCAGAAAAAATCTCTGGATCGAGATCCTATCATCTGGTGAAGCTCATCAAAGACGAGAACAATCAATGGGAAGAGCGAAAGCTTCTTTTCAAAAAAGGCCGACTACCGATCACTGTCCAAGAATTTTGACGAAACGAGAAGAAAAAACCCTGCCCAACCTGTAATATGCCTTCCTCGCTTCACTGGATCCTTCACGACCTTCAATAAGTTATATTATGTTCAAGTTATTACCTATTTATTGATAAAATTACCTCAAATCTTCGTAAAACGAAGACATCGTTTTATTTTGTAAAATTAACAGTTCAAAATATCCAACCCTGCCAAATAAATATGAACAGCTCCTAACAAATTTAAGAATTTATAAATTTAGATGTAAGTATTACTTTTCGGGACCGAAAATGGGTCCAACTCCGCCGCCGCGTAAGCGTACTTCCCTTCAAAAACGCTTGTCGCAGCGCCCGATCAAGGTTAGATTGTTAATTTTTCCAAAATGATCCATTTACTGAGAAAAACCGATAATTTTGCTTAAAACCGGCGTCAAAACCGACAAATACCGGTGAAATGACTCTCTCAACAAATATTTATCATTCTCTATTGATATTGATTGTGAAAACGTAAAAATGCCGATAATTTGACTTAAAACCGACAAAAACCGATAAAATGTCCGAAATTCAAAAATCGGCTTCCATAAAACAAAAGAGCAGCTCAAGACGATTCTAAAAGGTATGATACCTGGGGGTCTAATGGAAACTTTTCCCGGAAATCCAATAGTAAATCTGGCAGATTAAATTGAAAGTCCACCTTGGCTTGTAGTTCAAGTAAAAAACTTAATCCTGCTGTAAGAGCAGTGCTCTTTAATTTTCATGTCTAACCCCCTCCAGTCCCCTTGCTTTTATTCTTACCTCAAGTTTGAAGAGCATCGGATACGAAATATTCAACCTAGAGAGCGTCTCCAACGACGAAGGCGGCATAATGATCTTTCCTCCCTAGAAATAACTCGATTAAAAGTCCTCTTGATAGAGCCTCACCGCGTTCACATCAGGTCTTTCATTGCCAGGCATCATCATAACAGAATAAGCGGCGAATTCGCGCGAAAAAGTAGACCGCATTCCTCGAGGCATCGGCGCTCCACCAGCTCGTTGGTAGTAAAAATTTCCACTGTCGTCGAAGTTTCTCGTAAACATGGCGTTTTCTATTCAATCTAGAATTGAACAATTGAGTAAGCATTTGTGTTTTGGTTGTTTTGACCTAAGTCTGGGCTCAGACTCCGGGCTTCAGTTGAGACTTGAGGAACAAGAACATTATTTTCAAAAAAAACAAAACTTCATTGAATGAAGTTCATTCAATATACAGAAGCACTGGCAGGTAGAAAGCTTAAAATAGGCAGTAAAAAGCAAAAAAGAAGCATCAAATGAAATTAAAAAACTTTTTGCAGCAAAAAAATTGACCTATCCCTTTTGGGCTCTTAAAAAAGCCCAGAAAATTCTGATTCTAGTGATCTAGATTTGGCCAAAAAACTCCAGACAATGACGTCACACGTGACCTGAGAAGACAGCGAAAAGGGTCATTTTGGGCAAACTTTGAGTCACTTTTAATCGTAATATTCGTCGAGCTCGTCTTCGCCCGCGCTTGCTTGTTGCTGGATGGAAGGAAGCTCTTTTGTCGCTTTCATAAGTTCGCGGCGCTTTTTACCCGAGACGTCAAAAAGGTCTGTTTCAAGCTTCTTTTTCTCCTGAAATTAAATTATCAACTTAATCCCCACGAAATCTAGTAAAAAAGCTTACCATTTCTTTTCTGATGAATTCTGCATTTCGAACTCGATCTGCTGCTTGTTTCTTAGACATCTTCGCGGTAGGCGTTTCGATGTACTTTTTCTCCATGGAAAAATCAACGACGCTTGGTGTTTGAAATCGGCAGCCTAAATTTGTTCATAGAAAATGCTCTTAAAATAAGACAAACCTGTAGGAGAGCTAGCTGACGTGCTTGGAGCAGGAGTCGCGAAAGCGCTCATCTGTGGCGTCCGAAAGGCATGATTTGAAAGGCCTTGGTTCGCAGGTGTCGAAAATGGCTCTAGGTTTTCATCGGTGCCTTCTTCTGGTTCTGGGCGAAAGTCCTTCGGCTTTCGCACAGGTGTGATTACCTGCTTCTCGACCCTGTTGAGCTCGTGAAGTCGGTGAAGATGATCTCGTTTTTCTTTTTGGGTTGGTTTCGCTTTCTTCTGTTCAACAGTCTCCGTCGATCTGATGAGATCTTTCTCCTTTTCATCATCTTTTTTCGGGGCCTTTTTCTCGACATCTTCTTTTCTGCCATTTCTCTTTGCCGGCACGCTCTTGCTTCTTGGTTTTCTGCCTTTCCTCTTGGGCGACAACCTAAAATTTCCAAGCAGCGGGTCGTTTTTTGATCGTAACACTCTGTACCGGCTTCGCGCCTGAAGATTGGTCGTTCCGTCATTTAACGCCGCGCTAGAAAGTGCCCAGACGTTTTCTTCGTCTTTGTACACCTTAAGCGTCTCGATGAATCGTCGAGTTTCCGCCTAAATAATATTTAATCATAACTTATGAGTCATAAGAAGAAGAAGAAAAACTAGTATCAGAAAAACTTACCGAGTTCCATCTTTTTCTTCCTCTTTTTCGTCCTTTGTCTTCGACATTCATCGCTCGATTCGTCCAAAATTTTTAATTTTCCCGGACGAATGACGGACGAGGACCAAAGATCGTCCCCGGACGGAAGCAAAACCGTGGTATGGGGTGATTCTTCGGCAAGACCGAAGAATTGATGCTTTCACTAACACTGATTCTTCGGTTGATTGAGAATTGCCTTGAACCGAAGGATTAATGATAAAATTGACAGTGATTCTTCGGCAAATTTTCTAGAATCCACCCGAAGAATTAGGCCGTATCACCAGCAAAACGGACGAAAACGCGGACGAAAAAACTTATCAAGCTCGTCCTACCGAAAAACTGAAAAGAAAAACTTAGCGCACCCTGCTCATTTTTGTTTCTGTTCAAATTAACAAACGTTTTTCAACAGTTACTTTTCGTGTTTTATAGTGAGTTTATTTACGTGGGATTTGTGAACTTGAAAAACAGAAAAACTTCACGAATGTCGAAGTCAATAAATAATAAATAACTGGCCAAAGATGGCTTGAAAGGAGATAGTTTGAAGAAGGATGAATTTTTCAACTTTCAGGAGAATGAACGGGCAGAGATAATTTGACTTTGGGCGACTGCTGAAAGTGCTTCTAGGGCTTGCATGACTTCTAGGGAGAGACGGGCTTCTTTGAGCCAGTCGGCCACGATTCTTCGCGGCTCGCCAGTCAGCTGGTTCAGGACTCGTGTGACGGATTCGATGTCGCCCTCGCGATTGTAGTGGCTCGCAGCGGATAAGAGCTAAAAATAAGAGTTAAAATTGAAAACAAAAAGCCGCTTTTACCTTATCAAGTGTCAAGTCCGAGTCACTCTCAGAAATCGCAGCTGGCTTCGACCAGTTTGTGAATTTATTCGTTACAGAGCTTCTCAGTCGCGCAAATAGTCCATGAGCATCTTTTCCGATCATGTGCTGGCATTTAGCGGCCTCGAGTAATCTGAAACAACTAATCATTTTCTGTTAAAAAGGGCATAAGCAGTACCTAGGTAGGGTGCTTTCAAGAGCTTTGGGAGATAGAACGCCGGAATCGAGCGCTTCTGATGGAATTGAGTCGATGATTGCGTGGACACTTTGATCTTCGATGCCTTGTACAAGTTTTCTGACACAGGAAAGCGGCTTGAAAAGGAGGATGAGAGGAAAAGGAGGGGAAGAGCTTACTTTGAGAGGTAGTTCCATTACAGCTGATTGCATTTCTTCCACAGAGAGGACGAGATATTGAAGATTTGATACAGTTCTGAAAAGATAATCAAATATTGGAAGATAACTAATGATAAGATTGAAAAAGCAAATACTCAGCAACTCAACTGCGCACGTAACCTGAGTCAAGGATCCTGAAAGCAAAAACAACTCAGATAAATCATTTATCTCCATCAGAACCCCGACTCAGGTTCTCTTATCGGTTGCAAAGGCCAGATCTCCCGAAGTCTAGCCAATATAACTCCCAAATAATTCTTACTTACAATTCAATTTTTTGTCGATCATTCAAGGCGCTTTCTACGCCATTCGCATATCCTAAAAGCTGGCCTAAAGTCGCCGCGTATTCTTGCTGCTTTTTCTCCAAAGATTCGATGCTCGCGTTTCTCTCTACAAAACCTGGCTCCGACAGTTATTTTCACGCATTTTTACCTGTAAGAAGTTCTTCCAAAAAGCGAACTTCACTTTCTTCGAGTTGTTTTTGGATTGTTTCGTTCGCTTCAACTCTGAGTTTTTCGGCCTGCGAATCGAGTTCTTCTTTGATGTGTGTGGAATGAGCAGCGGTTTGGCGAGCAAGCTGCTTTCGTAGGTCGTTTTCGAACTCTTCTCTCAATTCTTCTGCAATTTCAACCCGTTTGCTAAGAGAAAAATTGAAGTTCCTTCAATTTGACGTCTACTAGGTTCCACAAACTGTGAACTAAACCAGAGACAGGGTCCAAAAGAAGCTTACAAGAAACCTGTCAAAAAGAAGCTTTTCATTAAGCTGTTTTCAAACCCCTACTCAGGCTTTCCGTACAGGAAAACATGACTTACTCTTTAAGCATTTGCTCCTGCAGCTCAATGGTTCTTTGGAGTTCGATTTCGGCTTGGGATCTGAGCTCATCTCGCTGCATTTCCAGCGCTTTCTCTATTTCTTCTTTTTGGACTTCCTTTAACTCTTTGAGTTCTCGAGCGACGGATTCAAGGCGTTTCTGAGCGATGAAAATAAGGCCCTTGAGATCGTTGTCGTTGAATGTACTGCACAGATTATCCACGCTTTCTGAATTTATTGGGTAAATTTTCAACGAACTTCTCAAATGCAAGCCGAACAATAATTTATTGTTCATCGATATTTGAACTCACCGTCGTTGTTGAGTTCTTGGCCAAAAAGCTCCTTGAATTTCTCTCTTCTTTCATTAACAGACTCTTGGATTTCATCCTCCACTTTACGGAAGTTAGCCATCGTCTCAGAAACAGTCGCCAATTTGCTTGTGGCGCTGGAGAATGCCTCGTTCAGTGACTCAATTTCGTCCTTGACAAGTTCCACGCAGTCGGGGTTCTCTTTCGCGAAATTGTTCAACTCGGCCAAGTTCGATTCAGCTTGAGCAATAACTGATTCAACGGTGGCTTCAGCTGCAGACATTCGTTTACCAGCTTCAGTGACTTGAAGCCAGAAAGCAGCCATTGTATCAGGCGCAGCATCGGACAGAAGAGCCGCTTTTAGTCGCGATGTAGTTTTCGATCGAAGAAGAGGAGGAGTTGAGCGCTTCGACAGCGGTTTTTGTTGATCGGGAGGCATTTTGGGCGAGTTTGAGGATTCTTTCTGTTGGGCTTTCCGGCTCAATTGGCTCAGCAGGGACGGCTTCAGTGATTTCTTCCGCGAGGGGCGCATCTTCGGGGAGGGTTTCGGTGTTTTCTGGTGTTGTGTCGGCTAAAAAATAGAGAGATAAGGCGATAACGTCCGTTATCTAAAGATTTTATGAAAGTCAGGGTTCTGAAAGAGCTTTCTTATGGCTTTATCCAAAAAAAGATTCCGGAAAACTGAGTGCGATGATAAATGAGCCTTTCTTTGATCGAAATTCGATCATCGAATAAATTGCTCTTACCTAATGGTTCAATTTCGATAGCAGAAACAGTTTCTTCGACTCGTTCTTCAGCAACTTGGTCTTCTTTCTCCTCAACCTTTTCACTGCTAGCAGCTGCCGTCTCTTCGATAACAACTGACTCAATTATTTCTTCAGCGGCCGGGGCTTCCTCTTCTTTGGCTAAAACGACTTCGGGTTCGGGTTCAGGCTCTTTTGGTTGAGACGAAAGCTCCTCCCGCGCCGCCTCCCGAACTTCGGGAGCTGGCGCTTGGGTGGAAGTTTCTGGCGACTCAACTTTTGCCAAGTTCTTTAGAAACGCTACAAAATTCAAGATGAAAAAACTGAAAGCAATCGACGACGAATCACGATAAATGATAAATGAGGAAGTAAAGGGCATGCGAATTGGTTTGATAAATGTTGAACCTGGGTTCCTTTGTGTTGCTTACGAGGTAGTTCTGGTGCTTTTGGCATGTACTTGGAGAAGCTCTGATCTGAAAGGAGAGGGTTAAAGGAGACATTTGATTTGGCCGCGTTTCCGCCTCAAATCCGCATCAAGTCTAATTACCATTAGATTCTGGAGCTTTGACGTAATTCTTGTAGACCCAATTTCCGCCAGCAGCTCCAGCAGCGACGCCGAGAATCAACTTGACTCCCCCACCGCCACCGCCGCCGGAGGAGACCTTTTGCTTCTGAATCCGAGTCAATGTCCTCGGATGCAAAAGACGATTCATACTAAAATCGAGAAAAACTGTACCGCGATATCGCAAATAATATCAAGGAAAAGCATCATTGTTTTTTGCTCGCTTCAGAAGTTGATAAATTAAGCCATTTCGTCTCAACAGAATTATCTTCTACAGTTTTTATCTTTTTTATTTCTTCTTCGGAAAGTTCTCCAATGACTAGTGGGGCCGAAGCAACGACCAAGTTCTGTATTCCGTAGTAGATTCCAACGACAAGGCAGATGACGAGGCTCCAGCCAAAGATGGTCTGGAAGTTGCGGAACGCGCGCTAGAACTTGGAATCAATATGGGAGAGTTTGAAAGAACGAAAAGTACTTTATATTATTGAATTACCATAAGTACCATATTTGTCGATAAAAAGTTTATTTATAACTGAATTTCTTCTACGAAATAATTCTTACCCCCTTTGTAGAAATAAGTTTTGCCGAGATCGCTTCATCCCTCAAATGCAGCGGCAGCCAATCTTCCGGAATTTCTCTCTTTTTCGCCAAAACAGTCGAAACTGCAAAATTCTTTGTATCAAATCTTCGTGCAGCCAATCGGGACAGGATCTTCGTATTTGCACGGTTCATTCTCTAGAAATTTCAAAAATGACGATTTTGCGTGAAAAAGAAATTTCGAAAAGAGCATTTTCACTTTTAGCCAGAGCGTGGGAAAACTCGCACATCTGGGCGCGGAGGACTTTTCTGCTGGAAGCGCGCGATCCTTGAAGAATTTCTCCAGGAAAATCATTCGCGATAGAAAAACTTCAGCTAAGCTAAAGTTTAGTCTTAGTACATATCCTGCTTCTACATTTAACTTTCTCACATTAAATATGTAATAGATTTATTTTCAGTAAAATAATTGAAAGTGAGATTCTTCCATGATTTCAGTCCCTCTTCCTCAGTTCTTCTTCAAGACATTGCAGAGCGAAATCATCAACTGCATCGAATTTGTTTGCGAAAAAATATGGAGATTTCAGCAACTAAAAGACTGATCAATCAAGGCAAAATTTTGTTGTCATACCCAGCCAACATCGCCACTTCCAAAGACGCAAATTCCTCGGCGGTAATATCCTCGGCAGCGGTGATTTTTAGCGTTGTTCTCCCATAAAACCAGTCGAGCTAGATATGGGGTCTTCTAGAAAGAAGTTAAAAAACAAGGAAATAGAAGAGACTTACCCCAACAAATTCATTCCCAGGAGCATTTTTCATCCTCAAAATCGTCGCCCAAATAAACTCATCTGGCGAAAAAGAATCTTTCGACCACTCGATCAATTCTCCAACCTCTTCATCTTCCCTGGCCCATTCGATAAACTCCCTCGTGAAGAAATTGTACGCCATTCCGGAAAATATCTCAATGTCACCGGGAGGTGGGATCTTGTCTTGATCCGTCATTCTCGGGTGCAAGCTGTATTCCGATTTGTCGGAGTAGTATTGTCGCAGTTCCCAATGCTTCTCGTATCGCTTTTTCTTTTTGGAATTCCAAGCCAAGGACATTGAGTAGCTTTCGATCGAGTTTCTTGGGTACAAGGATTTGAGATAATTGACGATTTCGGAGTTACTTTTCAGTGGAAAATCCTCGCTTATTTTGGCTCATTTAAATTTTTTTCTGAATTCTAAATTTGATAAATAAAAATTATGAATTTTGAGCCATTCCCGCAAAGATTGATCAAATATCTCCATTGAACTTCATGCTACCAATTGGTTGACAATTATTGTTTTAAAACTTTAAATTATCAAAAATAACAATGAGACAACCGACCTGAAGAAGCTCTTCAATGCAGTTCAGATCAGCTTGCAGTCGTTCATAGGATGCCCAGTAGACGCTCTCACGTTTCTTCGCCAAGAAAACATTCGGAAAACAGCTTGCTAGGGCTTCGAAATCTTCAAAAACATCTTCAGGTGCCTTTGCGTCGATATGAAGGCAGTAGACATTGTCAGGAGAGTAGATCGCTCTTAGAAGTCGCTCTGCTTGACCCGGATTTTTATGGAGTACCAAAGAGTACGCAAGGGGAAAATCAGCGTTGGAAGATAAAAAGCGGTAGTTGCGGGAATTGACAAATTCTGAGCAGCCTTTTGAATGAATAAAAGATGAGATTGCACCGTCTGGCAGACTGAGTGAATCGATTTTGTTCGAAGATTGGTATTTCTTTATTCGTAGCAGCTCATGCTCATCTTCCTATTTAAAAAATAAGGAGTTCATTCCCGATAAGAAACTTTTAACTTACGCGAATAAGAGCCTCACAGTTGGGAGTAAATTTTTCCGGCAACTTCTCTTTTTTCTCATGCTTATCTTCTTGTTGAACTTTCGTTGACAGGATCCTCAAATGCTCTCTTTTGCTCTCTTTGGAAGGGTCGCAATTTTTTCTCATGAAAAAAAAGAAAAAATCATGATTGACCCAGCCCTATTTCATTCGATTTTTTGATGAGAACAAACTCATTCTCTCTGGAAAAAAGAAACCCGACAAAAAGCCCAATGAAAAACAAGCTCAAGAAGCCGACTTTTTCGTAGCGTAACATTTCAATCGGTATCTTTTCTTTTTGACAGCTTTTTTCTCAATTTCTTTTCGACTTTTTGTTTTTGCAAAGCTTTTGATTAAATTTCATATGCAGATGTTTTTCTCAATAGCAAAGAAAATTTCCAAAAAAGGAGATTTTCGCGGGCTCGCTTGTTTTCAATTTTTCGAAGAAGATAATTTTAATTGTGTTTCTTATGGCTCGGTATTTTGGCTCTGGACCTGTCTTGGATCCTGAGTCAGGGTCGTGAAAGAGCTCCTATATAGAGACAGAGGATTCTTCGTTGATTCATTTTTCATTTTCGTAAGAAACAGTAAATACGCAAGTGAGCCGCAACTGGGAAAGCAGCTGTCAAATGAAGGAAGCCTTCTGAAGTCGGGACGCTCCTGGATGGCGTGGCGGCGCGTGCGACGAATTTACGACGATTTCGATTACACTCGAAGTCGAGTGCCCGGCTCGTCACAGCGCCCAATAGAACTGTCGCTATCAAGATCCCTTCTGTCATTCTGTTTTCTCGTAAAAAATTACCGCCACCCGTTCTGCCCATTTTTTTTCGTTGTTTTTGGCAAGAAATGGATTTTTTTCTTGATTTGGTTTCGGATTTCGGTGGCACCTGACGGGCTCAAGGTCACTTCCGTTGCGCTGATAAATGCATTATCGAGCCTCGGGCGAGTTTGTTTTGTGACCACATTCCGCCATGCACCTGGATTCTGAAATTCATTATACAGCTCGAATCCAAATAGTAGTTGAATAAATGCTTTATCTTATCGAGCAGAAATAGGTCAGAATTTCTTGTTCAAATCTCCTAATTCCTCCTTATTTCTACCATCGATTCAGACAGGATTCGAAAAGTTTGAGCTAAGTTAAGCAAAGCCTGATTTTTTTATGCTTTGCAAACTAAGCTCACACTTTTTTGACCATTTTATCCAAAATATCAAAGTTATTCAGCTTAGCCAAAATATCGCTAAGCTAAATTTGGCTTCTGCTAAGCTTAGCTCAGCTTAGCTTTTTTGAATTTTTAGTGCTTTTGCTTTTAAATTTTGATTCGATAAGTTTAGCCAGGAATATGATAGGCAGGCTTAGCTCAGCTTAGCCAAAGTTTGGTTCTTTTATTAGCTAAGCTAGCTTAGCCTCTTATTTATTGTCTTAAAAGAAGAATCTAAATATACCGAGAAGGGGAAAAATATCAATGTTTTTAAGGCTCAGTTTGCTTAGTCAAATTATAATTCGGTTAAGCTTAGAAAAATTGATTCATTTCATTTGTTAAATCTCATAAAAATTGTAAGAAGCCACTGAGCGCGTAACTTTTCGGCAAATTTTAAATGTTTAATCGCGCTCTGCCCCGAGTGTGTGCCTAATCGCAAACAAATCCTTGGGCACATTTAAACGACGAATGTCATTTTTGTCAAATTCGAAGAGCTCTAACATTTGGGCACTGCAATTGGCGCCAGAAGACCTTTTTTCTCGCGCCAAGGACAGAAATTTATTATTCAGAAAAATAAACACATGCCTAGTCAATCGTGAATTTTTATCGAAAATTTATTCAAGGAGAGAAATTTAAAAAAAAACGGAAAGAGAAAGGAGGAAAAATTCGCCGAAGGGCAAGAATAACCTGACCAAGAGAAAAGGTGCCTAAGAAGATAAATGGCCAGAGAAGATAATTTTACGAAGAGACTCAGTAGACTATTCAGGTATTAATAAAGAAAAAACGATAAAATATTAAATTTAAGGGAGTCATAACAATTATCTCCATGTTTAAACTAAAATATGAATATTTTTTAAGAAAAATTATTTTTCGATTTCCTGAAAACTTTAGATATCGGATCATATTAATGACAAACACTAAATTTGTATAATAAAAGAGTGACACCCTTAATTTAAAGCCTTTTTTATCAAAAATAACAGTAAATGAGCTTCTATTAAAAACGTTTAATAAGGGTAACACATGCTTAATAACGCAGAAAATAACCGCTTGAATGAATTATTTTTTGAAGTCTATCCCCTTAAAAATCTTCATAGGTCGCTCTTAATTTGTTCATTTCAGAAGCGTTCGAAAACGCCCAGAAAAAAACGATCTCAAAAATTCAGCACATCAACAACAAGCTGCTATAGAAGCAAGGAAAGCTCAAAATTGATTTTTGAATAGAAACTTTGAATAAAATTATTGAGCAAAATAGAACTTTATCGACCGCTGAGCAATTCCAACAAAACACGCAAAGTAAGTTTACCCACGCTTTGATTATTTGAGCAAAAGTCAGATTTGAGCGACAAAAATTTTCTTTTGATCGTCCGTGAATTTATTTAACGACCCAAAAAAATCCCTAGGAAATTCCTTTTCAATATTTGCTCGGGCCTTAAAATTGCCCCAGAAAAAAGCTCTGAGCTGGGAAGTGTTGACTTCCGGCCAGGACTTATAAAAAAGAACCGAGTGCTTGTGCAGCGAGTGTTGTTTTAAGAACTTGAAATTTTAGCGTGAAAAAGTTGAATATTTGACATTTTCGATTTTCAGCTGAGCAAATTTGGAAGCACTGAATACACTTTCCGGTCGCTTCTTTTCTTACGATCAAAGTTATATATTTCTGAATATTTATTTAAAAAGAAAGCTTTTTTAAGGGTGTCAACGACGATTTTGGCAAACTATTGGAAAAGGTCTATATCGATGTTGATACCCTTAATATCAATTTTTATCATGAAATCTCATTATTTGGACCTAAAAAAGTATTTTTCCATTGAAATAAGGGTGGCACCCTTATTCTTCATCAATGAAATTTTCTTTTGAAAAACTCAGAATTGAAGCTAATTTCTTATTTTTTTTTCTAGAGGAGCTGATCGACCGGCTGCGGGCCGAGATCCGGGACAAAGATGCAATCATAGAAGAAAAGAACGAGCAGATCAAAAAGCTGCAGGGTGAGTTGGAAAGATGCACTTGAGCTTGAAAGGTAATGGTTTCCTAGATGTTCTCATCGAATACGCGAAAAGCGATGACGAGACACAAATCGTCCAGTATGACGATTCCGACGCCAACTCGCCTTTGATCATCAAGGGCCAGGGACAGAAGGGCAAACAGGTATGCGTTCTAGCTTTTTTCAATGGAGATCTTTTGGGTCTCTTGAAAAACTGGCTTCAAATTGAAATTTCATCAAAAAATTTTATCAAAAATTTCCGCCCGGAAGCTGAGTAAAAGTTCAAAACTCCCCGTTTGACAAATCATAACACTATTAACGTTTCCGAAATCGTCAAAATGACGCCCGTTTCAGACAGCCTGCCGGAAGTATGGCCGCATGAGCGTGAGTTTGACCTCTTTAAACGAAAACTGCTACAGTAGCGATTTCCTACTGTAGCTCAGGGTGGAAACTTGGGCGTTTGTTTCTGTATTGAAATGCTCAAAAGCCCCCTTTAAAAATTTTTCTTGGACAAATTTTTCAAAATAGAGACGATTTTGATCAAAAAACTGATCAAAAATTGACATAAAAAATTAAGGCTCTCTCGGCGGAACCAGCATCAGCCGGAAACGAAGCTCCAGAGAAGCTAAAAACAAGTCCAAAAACTGAGGGTGAAAAGAAATTCATCAGAAATGCACTCTCTTCGAATTTGTTTCTCAAAGGCTTGTCTCTCAGACAGCTGGATTTGTTGGCCGATTATATGAAGCAGCAGTTCTTCAGTGATAATGAAAGTATTATTACTGAAGGAGAGCTCGGTAAGGGACAACTCTAAGGGTCAAAAAATTCGAATTAACGATGCTTACCCCCTTAATTTAAGGATCTTCAATGTACGTCCTCTCCGATGGCGTCCTAGAAGTCCGAAAAGACAACCGAATCCTAAAAGTCATCAACGAAGGAGAAGTTTTTGGCGAACTCGCGATCCTGTACCACTGCAAAAGAACAGCAAGCGTCATTACGAGAGAAAAATGCAGAATATGGAGGTGAGTTACAGTCGAATTGACAGATTCACTGCGCACAAATTTCAAAGAATGAAGAAGTCGTTGAAATTTTTGAACGAATTTATTGCACTGAGGGGGAAGTTGTAACTCAAAAGCTTCCTTTTCTATCGTTGGAATTTCTCGATAGCAGACGATTTTCAGCCAATCAGAAACCAGGATTTTGCGTGGCAGCCAATCAAAACCTTTCTTTTGCCTCTGCGCCAATCAAAACCATCTATTTTGGTTTTTGGCTTATCAAAAGTCTTAATTCCGAGAATAAGCCAATCAGAAGCTCGTATTTTTCTTTCTGCCCAATCATAAATTTCCCTTTGTTTAATTTATTTCTTCTTTATTTCAGTCTTTCGAGAACGGTATTCCAGCACATCATCAAAACCTCAGGCAAAGAGGAACTGGACAAGCGGCTAAAATATCTGTCGACCGTAGATCAGGTGATTTTTTGACAGCTAGAAAATGAATCAAGAGAGCTTCCACGTGCGTAAATTCTCGAGCACCGTCTCAATGACTGTATTTGCAGCTGAAATTCCTGTCAAAACGAAATTTACACAAAATCGTCGATTTATTGGAGGAGGAAACGTTCTCCGCAGGAGATACGATCATTCACCAGGGGGCGCATGGGAACACTTTCTACGTTATTTCAGAAGGAACTGTTAGGATAACCATAACTGATGATAAAGGTACAGTATTGAAGAAGAACAAGAAAATAGGATTTCGATAAGCTGATGAGAAAAAAGCTAGCCTAAGCGTGACATTTTTCTTAAAATAAAAACTCAGCTTAACTTAGCTAAGCTGATCTGAATTAAGACTAAGTTTGCCTAGCCAAAGTTATTCAATGCGAAATTCAAAAATCAAAGCTTAGTTAAAGCTGAGATTTAGCTTAGCTTTGCTTAGTCGACAACTAAGCTCAGTTTATCTTCTCCAGGAAGTCGCTGAGCTAAGCCGCTGGCTAAGCAATCTAAGCTTAGAAAATTTTCAATTTTCATCGCTACCTTTTTAGGCGAAGAAAAGACCTTGCGCGAAATGGGCAAAGGAAATTATTTCGGTGAAATGGCTCTTCTCAGCGAAACCACTGATAAGCGATCTGCCACTGTTTCCTGCGTCACTGCTGTTTCTTGCTATACTCTTGATCGGGAGCCCTTCCGAAAGCTCATCGGAAACGTCGCGGAAAAGGTAAAAAAGGGGATGAATTCGGTTCTGACTCTTTTTTTAGGACTGGAACAATCCGAGCTCTGGAAAAATGTCTGTCGATAGTCTTCAACACAAAGCTTCTCAGGAAAATATTTCAAGTACTTTTATTTTTAACAGTTTTTTCAGAAAATTTTGGACAAAAAAGTTTTCTTAAAAATTTTTTCAGTCGGATCTTTTTTGGCTTTTCATAACTTGAACATTTTGGCTTTTCTTCTATGATTTCTTCAAATAAAAAGCCATAAAGAAGCATTTCTTTTTTGAGAAATGATTCTCGCTGGCTTGGATTTTGACCCTTTTATGGTGCTGTTTTTTCGTGTGCATGATTTTGAATGTTTTAATAATTAGTGCTTTCTCGTCATGCTGACGCGGCTCTATTGAAGAGTCAGCGAATTCTTTTTTCAAGCATTTTTAATTATTGATAATTTGAGCTAGTAGAGTCAGTTAAGGGGGTAGAACTAGATTTTTCGAATATAAGTAATTTTCGAGAGCCAATTTAAACAAGAAAAATCTGTTTTTACTAATGATAAGGAAATTTCCTCTTAGATGTTGCGAGAAAAAGGGTTGAACTATCTTAAAATGGAATTTAAAAGATTTGGCTAGTCACGCGGCTCGAGAAATTTGAGGACGCAAATGAGCTAAAATCGCAATTTTTGAAGAGATGGGTTGACGTTTCGCTCTCTTCCGCAAAAATGTGTCGACGAAAAAATTTTTTAAGAGAAATGTTGTTAGATCTAGGTTTGTTATATCTTCAGCCGAAGAGAGAATTCGAAAATCTAAGCTCTCCTGCCTTTGAGCGCCGGTCTAGAATTGGCTATTTTCGAAAAACCTAGTTCTACCCCCTTAAGGGACCCCGCCGACCGAGCTCCGCGCGCGCTTCTCGCTATTTTTCTCTCTTAATCTTCAGCTGGATTTATTTTTTCGATTATGATAATTTTTTGTATACTAACTAAACTTTTTATGCTCTTTCATCTGCATTTCTTAAAATTTTCATAGCTTATTGCTACGCTGAGTAAGGGCGAAAACATTGGCGCTCGATTTCAAGTGTACATAAGTACTCGAAATATTCGGATTGACACTTCGAGACTGCCCTCACTGAAAAGCCCGTGCCTTCTTTCATAAGGCTTACTTATTGAAATTTAATTAAAACTTATGCAGCGCTCGTAATCGAGCGGTTTATGAAGGTTCTTCTGATCAGCGCAGCGGGAATCCCGCGCCAACAGTGTAAACTGGCCGTGTTTCACGCCGAGCGCTCTAGGTAACCCGCATTAATCCCACGATAATCAGATAAGTAAACGCTTCCGGGAAATCTCAATAAGTAAGCCTTATGAAAGAAGGCACGGGCTTTACAATGAGGGCAGTCTCGAAGTGTCAATCCGAATATTTCGAGTACTTATGTTCACTTAAAATCGAGCGCCAATGTTTTCGCCCTTACTCAGCGTAGCAATAAGCTATGAAAATTTAAAGAAATGCAGATGAAAGAGCATGAAAAGTTTAGTTTGTGTACAAAAAATCACGATAGTCGAAAAAATTAAACCAGCTAAAGAGTGAGAGTGAAAAGAGCGAGAGGCGCGCGCGGAGCTCGGTCGGCGGGGTCCCTTAACCGTATGCGGCTCGCGGGGGAACTTTTTTCCCCCGAGCCCCCTTTTTGCTAATTTCTCGGCCAATTTTCGCCCAAAGTCAAAAATTTAAAAAGAATAAGAATCTTTATGAAATTTTCTATCTCGTGAGATTGTAAAAATGATATGTTAGTATTTTACATCGATGAGTAAATTGTAAAAAAGCGTGAAAAAAGACCATTTTTTGTCTCGACAACATGTAATTTGTCTAGAGAATCGAAGGAACGAGCATAAAACTGGTGCGTATTCGTCTCCAGAACATGAAATATATTACATAACAATCTCTAGTTCATCTGAATAACACCAAAAATTGAAGATTTTCTGTCTCCGAGACTCTGAAAACACGAAAATCGGCCCATTTCGCTCCGAAGAAGCGTAAGAAAATGCATAAAATTGTTCTAGATGGGCGGGGGAAAAGAATTCCCCCGCGAGCCGCACAGGGGGTGCTCTGACCGAGACGCATAGGGTTAAAGAAGAATATCTTTGGCTTAATATTGACTTTGAAATTCAAAAAGCTTCATTCTTTCGGAAACTCCATCCATACTCAATACGAGCTGGACGAGTTGGAACTGATTACGACCATCGGAGTCGGTGCATTCGGAAGAGTAGAGCTCGTCCGCCCCGTTGGCGACGAAAACCACTCCTATGCCCTCAAGCGAATGACCAAATCAAGGTATTTTCCTCCTCCTTCCACCCTTTGACGGCTCTAGAATCGTGGAGCACGAGCAACAAGAACACATAAAAGCCGAGCGAGCTCTTTTGATGCGTCTCTCCAACGACTTTATCGTCAAGTGCTATCAATCATTTCGGTAAGCACTAAGGAAGGGAATTTTGTTTGACAGTTGATGTTCGATAGGGACAGAAAATATGTTTACCTGTTGCTGGATGCCTGTCTGGGAGGAGAAGTTTGGACGATGATTCAAAATCAAGGAAAGTGATTCGAACTCAAAACCCAAATAAAGAGGCTAAGTAATCTAAGCCAATGAGAATATTCGGCTTAGCCTAGCTAAGCTTGCCAAGTTTCTATGTAGCTAAGGTCGACTGAGCTGAGTTAAAATTTTCAGGCTAAGCTTCGGCTAAGCCAATCATTAATATTAAGTCAAAGCTTAGCTACGACTGTAACTTAGCCAAATTTCTTTCAAAATCACAAAAAGGCCCTTTTAATGAGCGCCAAGCCCAATTCGTCGTCGGCTGCGTGCTAGAAGCAATCGATTATCTGCACTCGTGGGGCATCGTTTACAGAGATCTCAAGCCCGAAAACTTAATGACAGACGACCAAGGTAGGATTGAAAGCTTAATCCCAATGTCAATCCGAGAATTGAAGGATACGTGAAACTTGTTGACTTTGGCTTTGCTAAACAAATTGGACACAAGAATAAGACCTGGACGTTCTGTGGTACTCCTGAAGTAACTATCATTCTTCGACTGAGCATCATCAAATAATCATTTTCCAGTACGTCTGCCCAGAAATCCTGCTCAATACAGGTCACGATCTCACCGCCGATCTTTGGGCAATGGGCTGTCTCATCTTCGAAATTCTCTCCGGGCGCCCGCCATTTTCCGTCAAAAGCGGCAACCAGCTCGAAATTTATCGAAATATTCTGAATGGAATTGATGCGCTTGAATTTCCCGATCGAATTTCAAGAACGCCGAGGCATTTTATCAAGAAGCTTTGTCGCAAAACGCCGAGAGAGAGGCTTGGAGCGGGAAAAGATGGAATTGAAGAAATCAAGAAGCAAAAATGGTAAAAAAATTCGACAATATTTTTGAAAAAAAAAAAATTCAGGCTTGCGGCAATGAACTGGAATGCGCTAAGAGGGAGGACTCTTATTTCTCCGATTCGACAACCGTACAATGGACCATCTGACGCTAGAAACTTCGATATGTTCAATCCCGAAACTGACGAACCGCCAGATGAGACTTCTGGCTGGGACGAAGACTTTTAGATAGTTTCTTCTGTTATGCACTGTAAATAAAAAAAATGAAAAGAGGAAAAACTCTAAGTAATTGTGATTTATTTAGGTATATAACGAGTTTTCTTGACACGAGTTTTCAGGAAAGATCGTGCTCGTAAATTTTGACATTTCGCCGAATATTAACATTGAACTTTATAAGAGAATATTAACCCGAGCAACGGAAAGTCGGTTCTCCAGTTGAAGAACGGCTCATTTTGCGTTATTTGTTATCCCCCAAAATTTTCGTCAATTTCGAAGATCAAGAAAAAGAAAGATATTTAAGACGAACTCATTTAAGAAATAACGAAGAGTTTAGATTTATTAATCAGTGATTGGCATAAATATCCAACGAGTCCCAAAATTCGCAAATATCCTTCTTCCAATTTTTCTCCTCGACAATCAGCTAGAAAATATTATTTATCAGAAACATGGCCATTTACTAACCTGATCGTCATTTCCAGTGTAGCCAGGGGTTCTTGTGTTGTAGCCGAGATGCAGAGTTGTCAGCTCGTTGCCAAACGCATCCCATTTCGGGAGAGACCCGTCTTTTTCGTATTGTGCTTTTTGCTCTTCGGAATATTGAGCGCCAGTGGAGTCATTTGGATCGCCAGTTCGGGCGAAATTCGCCCAGTAGCGGCTCATGAATCGCTCCAAAAGCTGCATGTTTTCTAGGAAAAATTCGAAAATGCATCAAATGAATACGTTACCAGAACGTAGTATGGTCTCAAAATTCGGCCACCCTCATTTTAGGTTAGTGTTAGGGGGGTTCCAAGGGGGCGAAGCCCCCTAGGTTAGGCCTTAGGGTTAGGAACTACGTACATTTACCCAGGGGGGTCCCGGGGGGCGAAGCCCCCGGGTTAAGAGTAGGGTTAGGAAAAATAAAAAATCAAATTATACTTGGCCGAATTTTGAGGTCATACTACCTACCAGAAGTCATTCCGTAAGGCAAAACATTGTTATTTTCATCACATTCGATAAATTTTTGGTCGTCGCCGTGAATTTCATCGAATTTTTTGCAGTCAAACTGTTCCTCAATTGCGAATATGTAACTTATGATTTGATCAAAACGATTCCAGCTAAAACGTATTCCATGTCGATATTTTGATCAATTTCCTGAGCTCAGCCGCATGGCAACTCATATATTTGCAATTTTCATACTCATCCGCTCCTGCTTCCCGATTCTGACCGCCGATTTTACCCAAAAGAGCGGACTTGAAAGATGGAACTCTTGATTCTGTGTCAGGAATTCCTTGAAAACCACCAACTTGGGAGATATCTGCAATCATTGGAGCTCGAAAGTGCCACCTTTAAAGAATCTTTCAAAGGTTGTTATTTGAAAAGGGTTACCGATAAGTTGGCTTGGATGCTTTTTGAAGAATCTGATTGGTCGGACAAGAGAAAATCCATTCAGTTCCGGGCTCTTCAAAGGTATCTCGCTCATCTGGGCCATCATCGCCAATGCAAGGAAGATTCGCTAAAATTTCATGAATTCTGATTTCTTATTAAAATTTCTAACTATTAACTGCTTCACAAAGTGTTGTCAAAGTGCCATCAACAGCTGAACAAGCAACTCCTTCGAGGCCGAGAGCATCACAAAGCCCCTTCTTGCAATCTTCAACTGAAATAGACTTCCCACTTGGCTTGTCTTCCTTGCAGGCAGCTGGATATTGTTCCAAAAATGCATCAGCAGTTTCGTTATGCTGGATGATCGCTCTTACTGCAAGTTCGTAGGTTGCACCATTGATTGGTCCTTTTGGCCAGATTGAACGGATGAAGATTTCTGTTTCATGCTCTGTATTTCCAATCATGATGTTCCGGGACTGGTCGTAGTCGCCTTCCATGAGCTTGATGTAAGGCTGCTTCTTGATGATCACGTGGTCGATGACGGGAGAAAACGGCATCGCAGCAAGGAGAAGGCGGGGAGAATGAATTGTGGGCATATTTGGGACGATATCGTGAGTGATGTTGTACATTGGAATCTTTCGAAGGCAGCCCATTCGATCGTCAGAATCGTAGCAGCCAGCGAGCTCCGCGAACTGCTGGAATTGCCGTTGTCCCTCCCAGTGTTCCTGGAAATTATTTAGAGTCTTGATTTTTGATAAAAATTTTTAGTGGATTCATTTTGACGTCAAGACAAACAAATTTTCAGAAAAAAATCGAACTATTTCGATTTGCGCAAATAATGAAAAATTCCAAGATAAGACCGACCTTGACGGGAATGGCGAGTGGATTTGAGTGGATGTTTACAGAGTTGATGCCCGGAGTCTCGAGTAGATGCAGCGTCGTGGACACTCCCCCAGCAGATTGACCAAATATCATAATTTTCTCGCTATCTCCTCCGAACTGCTCGATGTTTTGACGGACCCACTCGACGGCCAGCTGCTGATCGCCAAAGCCAACGTTCGCATGGCTTCGCTCGTCTTCGTTCATTTCGAGGGCCAAAAAGCCGAAAGCGCTGAGTCTGTAGTTGACTGTAACGACGACCATATCCATTCGTTCCGTGATGAACTTTCCATCGTACAGTGGCGAGCTTCCTGAACCCCAAGCAAAAGCCCCACCATGGAACCAAATCGCAACGGGAACTTTTCGTCCATCCCGAACATTCGCGCTCGGCAAAGTTCGTTTTTCGACATAGACGTTCAAATACAGACAATCTTCGCTGATGTCACAACTTCCCGGTGGACCATGGCATTTTTGTGGACAAATAGATCGGAAGTTCTTTGCTTCAATTGGCTTTTCCCAGGATTCAACGGGTCGTGGATGTCGCCATCGCAAGTTGCCGACGGGCGGCTGGGCGTATGGAATGCCCTTGAAGCTGACGGAATTGTGCTGTTTGTTTGCCCAGACGCCTTCCATTTTCTCATTGGGGTCCCACTCGAAACCGATAACAGGGCCATTTTCCGTTTCGACCTTGAATCCGCCCTCGCGCATTGGAGGATCTAGAACAGAATTTGAATTTTCAATAAAAAAAACTATTCTTAATTAAAAAAATTTTTTAATTTTAAATATTTTTATTTTTTTTTAATTTTTATGTTGATTAGAGGATTATCTACAGTAAATTGAAAATCTCAAAAATTTAATCATCAATATCTTATTTTTCATATCTTAAAACTTACCAGCTTCATCAGAACCGCCGCTGAGCCCAACCCCCAGGCCGATAGCCAAGCCAACTGCACAGGCACAGCCGATGCCGATCGCCCATTTTATCACGTTTCTCATTTCACTTATGAGATGTTAGCGTGGCGACCAGCTTCTGATAACTCTGCCGAATGCAAATTTGCGCTGCGACTTATCGACTTGTTTGAGTTCTTTTTTTTTTTCGTAGTGCCAGTTATTTTCGAATTCTTTTGCGATTATTGCGTAATGGATTCTCAGCATTTTTTTTCCTAATTGAACCTTGCCAAATAATTATCAAAGAAAAGCCGTCACAACCGGCTGCATCAGAAGATCAACGTCTTCCGGAGATATTTCGACAGTTGAAAATCAGTCACTACATAATTTTGCATGCGCTAATAATAGCTAATTACGCTGCGTCATGATGCAGAAAAATATAAATTCAAGCGCTGCGCCGGAAAAAAAATCAAAGTGATCTTCGCAGCGATGAAACTTTTTTCCTTTTTCGCCGGTTTTCAAGCAATCAGCGCTCAGACTTCTGACTGTACGTTGGAATCCTTCGATGTCTTGAAGAATGATACGACGACGGATTATGTCAATTGCGATGGGGGTATCCTTAAAGTCTCGATTCCTGAATGTCTTCTTGAGAATAGCGGACTTGACAAAACAAAAGTTTTACTCGGTAAGTCGTTGATCCCCAATGCTCTGATAATAATCGAAAATTAAGGTGACAAGAACTCTACAGCTCCCGATACAAGATGTAATGGCGCCGTTGAAAATGTCAATGGAACCGATACTGGCAACTTCATCTTTGACAACTGCGCTCATGTCGCCCCAACGCTGTTACCTGATCCAGAAAATGCAAATAAAACCGAACTCGTTTTTCAGACGAGTCTCTTTACAGATGAGCGAGCGGACAAAGTCATCGGGGATATTTCAAGAAAATATGGCCTGGTAAGAATCAGGCTTTAGGACCCCCCCGCCGCCTTAGCTTTTTCTTTCGAAGAATGAAAATTTTTAAAAACACCATATTTTTGGTCCTTAATGCGTCCTCAGGTTAAACTTGCTTTATAAAGACCCCCAAAAAATGAAGCCTCAAAATCGTTTTTGAGCCGTAGAATTCATTTCCGGGGTCAAAATTATAAAATTCCGAAATTTCATTTTTCGACAAAAACTGCCGGGGGGGGGGGTCCTTAAAAAGAAAAAATATTCATCACATTATTTAAGGATCTCGACTTGAAATGCATCGTCAAAACGGAGCAAACCCTCTCTCTCGGCGACAAGGCGATTCTTACAAAAGAAAACTACCACAGAGTTGTTCTCGAAGACAAGGTCGGCAACTTCGAGGTCAGCGTTGGTGTTTACGACGAAGAAGGGAGTGTCAGTTTTGATGCTCCCGTCGATGCGACTCATGTTTTTGTCATTCCGAAAGAAGTATTTTTGCAATTCGAAATCGAAAATGCCGGAACGGACTACGAATTGCTCGTTAAACAGTGCACTGCCACGTCCTTTGACAAGACTCACATGATTATCGACAATTACTGCCCGATAATGGACAATGGCGTGGTGGAGGACGATACAGTCGCTTTTCTCACACCAAGCCCTCCTTCCAAAACCCGACTGAAATTCGCGTCCTTCAAGTTCACTGACCAGGAGGACGAAATTCCGATCGACATCGAGTGCACAGTCGTCATCTGCGGTTCTTCAAGTGATTGTACCCTCAATACGGCCTGCGGTTCAACCAGCATTCGGCGACGACGATTTGCGCAGACGGAAATGGAAGTGACAGAAAGCCACATTGTCCAAGCACGAATCAATGTCTTCTGAAATTTCTGAAAAACTTGAAAATCTGACTTTTCTCATTTTTTTGTTTGGAATTTATTTAATGATTTTTGGACAAAAACTTGCTAAATTTGCGAGACTTTTTACGTTTAACTTTTTAAATGTTTTGTCACATGACTTGAACGGACTGGAACGACTTTTCTTTGCCAAACAAACACCTTTTCCTTATCTTTTTTCTGCAAACAAAACAAAAAAAATAAAAAATGTAGAAGTATAAAATCTCTTTTTCACCAAAAAATTAATAGTCAATCAATGACAAGTCAGAAAAAAAAGACTTGGAATTCAAAGATAAATTGTCAATAATCTATTCATTTTTGGTCAATTTTTGCAATTCTAAGCACCGCGTAGATAATTCAGGTAAAAACGAGGAATTTCTTCAAGATCTTTTGGTTCGTCGACTTTCTCAACTTTCATGAATTGGGCAAGAAAGCTCATCATTTCTTCGTCGCAGTTTCTGAAGCAGTGAACAATTACCGGCGATGCTTCACCAAGTTGGCTGTAAAACGTTCGGTAGTGGTGCTTTCTAGCGTTGTTCAACCCTCTGTTGAATGAAATTTTGTCGCCAAAAGCGGCTGGAAGAAGAAGAACACTAAGAAGCATTGAGAGCTGTTTTTCGATTTCTTGAAAGAGTTTTTTTTTTGTCGAAAAATACGTTGATGTGCACAGATAATTGAGAAAATCACGCTTATATATTGAATTAAATTAATTTATTCGGGATTTAGTAGGGCGTCAAGGAGCATTTCGGAATATGGCGCTACATCAAATGATTCATTCTCGTCATAGGCTCATCGCTGAAAATTTTCAGACAAACTAAATTAATTATTAATTGAATAAATTACTCAGACCGAACAGAACCGAGACATTAAATGAATTAAAAAGTCTCGATTGCCTCGAATAATTCCATTTATAATGAAAAATGAAGGTATTGAACAGGCGAATCTGAAATTGAAATGAATCGCCGGCTCAAATCCCGTCAGATTGACGGGTGTCAAACCTGTCTGTTCGCCAACGAACACAGTTAGACAATAGCGGATCCCTTTTCTTTATTTCTTTCGGGCAAAAATTATTTATGAACAGGTCTGAAAAGAGTAAGAAATTTAACAAAGTCGGTTATTGAGCCGAGAATCTTCAAATCCCCTTTTGCCAAATTCGCGACCGCAGTGGCTGGATGGGTTAACAAATCTTTGAATTTTTCCGAAGTTCCAATCAAGCCATTGTGAATTTCCTCGCATTTCTAGAGCTCCAATTTTTAGGACGATTTTCGACTTGTTTCTTACCTCTTCGATATTGACAAGAACGCCATTTCGAATCAGCAAATTGTATTCTTTCTCATCGATATTGAAATAGAAGCATTTTCGTTCATATTCGACAAGAGCTCTTGGGGCGTTCATTCTGGTTTCAAAGCTTCGAAGAATCAAGTCAACCGACAAGTTCGTCATGTGAGTTCGTCTTACTTCAGGGGTTATTGTCGGCACTAGAATTTTATTGATAAAAGTTTGAAGGGCCGGTTTCCTGAAAATTTGGGCAAAAAATCGAGGGTGAATTACCGTTGTTTGTCGCTAGAATATTCGCTTCGTTGAGGTACCAATTTCTTGCGGTCGGATTTGATTGGACCTCGGCGATGGCTTGGAGGATGAAGATTTTTGCTTTGAGGAACTCTTCTTTCGTCAGCTTTTTCGGGTGGAAATTCGATTCGGATTGAATTTTCACCTCTTCATCGATTTCTGAAATTTTCAGTCTTTTAAATCATGAAAAAGAAAACAGACAACCTGAGTAAATCATGATATCGACCAATTCTAGCGCCCACTGGAGATTTTTATGAGCACAATTTGGTTCTTTGCAGTTTAGCCCGGATTCGATGCTTTCATGAATTTCAGCAGCGATTTTGCTTTTGTCGGCGATTTTCAAGAGCTTTTTCGAAGTGATTTTTGGATGCAGCGGGCGGAGATTTCTGGGCAATCCATCGAACCAGCCAATGTATGCCGAGTAGACGCCCCTTACGCACCATTCTACTTTTCCGTACGTCTGTTCAAGCCATGGATGTTCCGCCAACAATTTCGGCAATTTGACAATTTCCACAATATCCTCAATCGTGTACAGATTTTCCATCAGTCTGACAGTCTGATCGTGGACAAATTTCATTCCATCGTGATACGTCACTAGAATTTCATCAATTTCTTTCGCTCCGTGAACAACAGGACTGTGCATGCCGACCATATGCTCTGCCTTCATCTTTCTGAAATTGGCGACGGTGTTGGCCCATTGTCTGACAGACCGAACGGGCGCTCCGCGAATCGGGTAGAGATTTGGGAAGTGGGGGTAGACGTTGTCTGCTGGGATCAGCACTTTTTCTTCGGGGATGAAAATGGAGATTTGATCGTCTGTTTCTCCAGGAGCGTGGAAAAGAGTGATGGTGAATTTTCCAAAGGGAATCGAAACTTCTTTTTCGAACGTTTTTGAGGGCCTGAAAAATGGCTTTTTGAGACGATTTTGAGTCGAATTTTTGTTTCAGAAATTTTTTTCAGAATTTTTTTTCAGATTTTTTTTTCAAAAAGTTTTTTTTCAGAAATTTTTTTTTAGAAATTTTTTTTCAGAATTATTTTTCAAAAATTTTTTAGTTCAAACTTACGGGACATAGCAGACTTCATTATCTCTATGCGTCAATCTGTGCCCAATGCCCGCATTAATCTGCCTCTCTTTCTCCAACTTGTGGCCAAATTGGCTGGTCGCTCTTCGAAAACCAAGGTAAGACAAATGAATAAACTTTTCGTTCTCGCTCTTGAATTTCTCATGCGCCCAGATGTCCGGAACCCTTTCTTGGTCAAGCGACTCGGCAAAGGCGAGAATTGATCCGGTTCCAAAACAATGGTCCGGGTGAAAGTGAGTGAGTGCGATGCCAGTGACTTCTTTTGGCCGACCGAGGAGCCTTTCAAAGTCCTCGATGATTGTTTCCATTACGTTGCAGTTTTCGGTGGAATCAAGGAAGAACCAGCGGTTTTCATCGACTATCAGAAGGCTTCAAGAATAAGTAAATAGATCTTCCTTTGTTACAAACCTAGAAGCGAGACTGTAATCAATCGCTGCATAAACGCCCGGCACCACTTCTTCAATCCTCTTCTTCGCCGGATATTCCTTCACTGTCCCTTCTAGCTCCTCCGAAAACAAGGGGCTTTGATCGATTCTGAGTCTCTTCGTTTTCTCATACTGTTGATAAGCAAAACGCGCAAGAAAAACGCCAAAAAGAGTGAGGCAGACTGTTTTCAGCTGTCCCATTTTTTCGAACTAGTTTCTTGCAGATTTTTTTTTAACCGAGGCGTGGCTCGGAATTTATCGATAAATATTTGGATACTGCGATTTTTAAAGTACTCTGCTAGTATTTCACCGACTGTTTTGCTATGTAAATCATTATTTCAAAGAATTAATAATAAATTCTCTAAATTTTTTCTTTTAATTAAATAATTCAGATTTTCCTCAATATTTTACTGATTTATTTGATAATTTTTCATTCAAGATTAAGAAAAAAAAGAGAATAAAGAGAATTCATAAATAATTGTGATCTTAAGAAAATTAATGTTTCATTTTAGTAAACAGTTCTTGAGAAAAATTATGAATGAAGTATACAGTATACTGTATACTCTTTGATGATAACAATTGGCTATACGAAAAGGAATTACAAGTTACATTTTCTGAGGATGAAATTTCATGGCAAATCAAAATTTTGCTCAAATTTATGAAAGAAAACAGCTGTTTCACATCTGACTTCTATGATCGCCGGAAAAAATGGATTATTCAGAAGTTTATCTTGATTCAAATCAGCGGCAATGCTTGCTTGATTCCAAGAAACAGCTTTTTGCAGAATAAACCATTTTAATAAAGAAAATAGAGTGACTATCTAAGATGGTAGAATGACGCTTCCGGGGGTTAATTATTTACTTTGAATATTTCAACTGCTTGTGCTGTTCAAACAGCTTTGAAACGCGGGAATTCTACGACCGACATTGTCTGATCTGCGCCTCGTGTTTGAAGAATCAAAGACAAAGAGACTGATTTTCAGAATAACGATTTTTTTCTTCTCAGAAGAACAAATTCATAATTCAGGTAAAAATGTAAGCTTTTGATTTTGAGTCAAAAATAACCATTTTTTGTCGATTCGTTCTTTAAAAATAATTCTGGTTTTCCAGTTTTGTGCAAAAATTTGAAAAATTATCCCAAAATTTTCAATTTTGAGATTATTTTTTGGACTTCGTCTCGAGTTTTTGATGATTTTGAGTCAAATCGAGCGGGAATTCTTGTTCAAAAAGGACAATAAAAAGCCCACACTATCAATAAAAAACTACCAATCTTCTGAAGATCACAGATATAAAACAAAAGAGCTTGGTTCCAGAAAATAATATGAATTATAAAATAATAAAATCGAAACTATGAGATAGTTCTCCCTTTTTCATTTTCAAATAGACGCCGCTATCGTTTCTTTTTTCCAATTCTTCATTTTGTGCATTTTATTCAACGCTTTTTCTGTTTAGCTAAGAACTTGACTGAGAGAAGCGGGCCTAAATAATCAAAACTGTATCAATAGATAATCAGCGTATTTCTTGCCGCGCTCAGAAAAAAAGAAGCTGCTCTCGAGCAAAGTTCAAGCAGTTAACCACCACCTGACGGAGACAAATTTTTCAGAAGAGAAGAAAGAATTTTTCGTTACGAAAACAGAAAGAAAAGCTCGAACTCAGAGAAGTGGAAATCAAGGAAGAAAAGTTTTTGCTGCTTTATTTTGGGAAATAATTTCTATGGCAGAAACTTTAACGTAAGAATTTTTTATTTATTTGACAACCAAAACGGTTTGTATAGCAGACTTCGTCATAACCCACAAGTTTTCATTTTGAAGTGATTTAAAAGTACAATTGGTACAAGAAATATCGAACACAACCTGTTAAAACTCCTTTTCGAGATCATTTTAAAATGATACTTTGAGTGCATTCGAAGCTACTTTTTATGTGCAAAAATCTACAGGCTATGATTTTAATCAGATCTAGAATGAACCAAGGCCTTCTGATGGCCATCTGATTTTTAAGAAAAAATTTTATCTACTTCATCTTTTGATTATTAATGTTCCAAATTTGATGTGTATTTTCACCCTTATCCTAACCCTAACCAAACATTACTTCATATCATTCTAGCCGAAATGAGTCAGACCTGACAGACCCCGATCCCGACGACATCTTCTCCTCCGCCGTCCTCGCCGCCAATTATTCCGACGACGACGAATCCACCGAAAGAATCGAGGAAGAAGAAAATGACCAAGACGACGAGGACGATTTCGGCGGCTTACTTGATAGATCCTTTGTCGAGTCAGGAAATGATGCTCTTTCGTGAAAAAAATGAAACAGAAAATGATTTCGTTTGATTTATGAGCGGATAAAATATTGACGATTGAAATTCAAACAGAAGAGAGCATTGTGCCAAAGATTTTCAAGAGGCGATTGGAGACAAGAATTTTTGCTTCGATTCTGAAGAAATAAGGGAGCGTTCTTTCTTTTTCAGCGTGAGAATGACATTTTTGAAGAGAGAAAAAATGAGAGCTTTACTAGCGAAATAACCTTTTCAAAAAGGGTTGTACTTTTTGAGGGAGAAAATGGCAATTTTTCGCTAGATTTTCAGCAGGAAGAAGAAAGGATGACTATCGGAGCAATTGTTTTTAATTTTTAATTAAATTTTTAAATTTATGATGATGACACCCTTATTTTTGAAAAAATATAACAAAAAAAAATTTAAATCTTTTTTTTATTAAGAGGGTAGAAACAGCTTTCTCGATTTTGGACTGTAGCTACATAATTAGGCTTGGCCGCTTTGATTGATTGTTTGGCTCAATAAAATACCCATATCGGAGGGTATTTATCATATATTGCACTTGACCACGTTTTACCACGTGTCTAACCACCCGGTTAATCGACGGTTCACTTTTATTTCATCACAGAACGATTTGATTTAGTATTCGGTTCAATAAAAAACCCATATCGAGGAGTTTTATGTAGTAATTGAAATTAACCGCGATAAACCGCGGCTTCAACCACCCGGTTCAACATCGGTTCAAAATTAAAATTCGTGATAAATCTATTTTTTTTTTATTTTTAGATCCCAAAAATCGATATTTGAGGCAAAAATCCAATTGTACCGGCTGGTTCATCGAAAATGACCGGTTGGTCAGTCAAAACATGGTCGACTCAACTCAGTGCATTACGAGCTTCAATTCTAGCTATCAAACATGTCTGTAGCACAGCTCTATCGGAAGTTGGAAATTTTGAAATTCCGTATCTGACACTTTTGCTCGACTTTGAAGCTCCGTGAAATCATGAAGGAGTACTCCGACCATAAAAATTTTACATCCTGGTGAAAGAGAAGACGCTCAGCTTTCATCTGGTGAGGTTGAAAATATCAAGATAGGGGTCGGAACACCCTTAAAAATCGATTTGATTGACTTTAGTGCTTTTTTTCTCTCTATTTATTGGCCGAAAAAGGTCAGAAGATTGGGTCTTTTTGAAAATCTGCTAGTGCAGGATTTTTTTGCGTGTCTTGATACATATGTTCACTGAGTTTCATGTCATTTGGCACAAGATCCTGCAAAATCGAAAATAGTGCGGGAAGCCTATACATAATTTATGTAACATAGAAGAAAACATCATATTTATTTATGTTTACAGAATTTCCTCATGGATGTTCCTTAGAAAGGGGTTCAGCTTCAGAAAAATGTGAATCAAATTTCTTTTCCTGTTACCTGACTCAAGATATTCGAAGTTGAAAATGTGCGAAAATCGAGAATTTTGGAGAGATGAGTTGCTTCTGAGCTCTATTTCTCAAAAATTTGATGACAAAAACAAATTTCGAGGGAGATGTTCGTAGGTCGTAGATGTTTCTATCTAAATATGAAGAGAAAAATTGAAAATCTAAGATTTTCTTGTCTGTAGCGCCAGTCAAAAATCGCCCCCTTAAATTAAAGAATTATACTAAAAAAAATTAACTTATTATTTTATTTATTATTAATAAAACCATTTTAATTGATTTTGAATATTTTTTTCTAATTAAATAAAATTTAATTAAAAAAATAAGATAACAGCTTTGTGACGAATGTTCAAAACAGGTTGCTTAACCTTAGGGAAATATCTTTAAGGTTCAATATTTTTCAAAACCAAGATTCGCAGCGCTGCGCATAATTATGTTTTGTGGGTTTAGTTTGCGGCGGTGTGATGAGCCACAAATTGCAGGTGAAAAATTTAAATTTCGCGAGATTGGCGAGGTGCAGTTGGTGCTCCGCCCCGGGCCACAGCAGTAGTTTTTTTGCTGCTCAGCTTGCCAAGCCTGTCAGCGCTTTTTTCTCAGCCCTTTTTTTATGAATTCTTGAATTCGAGAGTTGGAAAAAAACGCCAAAAAGTTTGGACGACTATTTTCATTCGGCGAATTTTGAATACTTCGAGAGCGGAACCTATTCATTGAGGACAATAGCCGAAGAAGACGAAGAAGAGCTAAGGAGAGAGCAGGAGGAAGAGGAGAAAAGCAGGAAAAAGGCAGCTAGAATGGAGAGGAAGATAAGCTCAGAAGGTACTGATTATTCGAGAAAATTATTATGAGCCTTTCATTTCGCTTTTCATTAAGGGTACTGCCTTTAATTTCCGCAACTTTACCGTTGAATAACTCGGAAAATGTTAATGATAAGGGGAATCAAATGGGCTTTCTTAATACCCTCTATCTTAGATTTTCAATTTGTCAGAAGAGTTTTTATATTGTTCCACAAGAAATTTGCTAAATTTAAGGTCAAAGTGGTCACTTTTTATAATTTTGAGTTTTATTTTTGAGAGCCTCTGATAGAGACAATTATCGAAAAAACCATAACTCGATTTTCAATTTGTAAATTTCAATTTTTTTGATCATAAAACTGAGCGATTCACCAAGTATAATATATTTGGACTTCTTCTGTCTCTCTCTCCCTCTAGCTAATTTTAACTTCCATTTCTGCCCGTCAAATAATCTAAACGCTCAGTTTGATAAATTGTTAATGCTTTTCAACGAAAAAATAATCATCAATTTTAAGAGCAAGGCCGAAAAATATCCAGCGCAAATCTTCTTGAATCAATGCTGAACGATTTGGACGACACCTGCGAGGCTCAATTTCAGGACGAGGAAGAAGAGTTCTTTGAATCCGAGACGAAAATCATGGCAGAAGAAATTGTCACCGAGACGATTAATTTCGCGATTGAGCTCCTTGCTGCCGAAATTCGAGAGGCTGAGATTGCTAGACGGTATCTTTTCTTTCAAGCCCGAAAATTCGCTTCATTTTTTTCAAACTTTTCACGATATTCTTCAGCCTCGAAGAATGCCAAGCCGAAATCTCGTCAGAAAATCTTGTTCGTCCTTCAGAAGTGCGCAAATCCCAGCGATTCTCGAAAAACTCCAAATCTCAAGCGAAAAAACCGCAGCCGGAAGCGTCGAATTTAATCAATCAAACCGCGAGTGGAGAACAGCCAGAATTAAAAGAAGAACCAGAACAGTCGAAAGATGTGGTTTCAAATACAGATGCTGCTGATTGTAAGAAGGAAGCGGTTTCGGAATGGAAGAAAGGAGAAAATGAAGAAAAAGAGGAGAAAACTGAATCTGGTAAGAAAATTCGCAATTTTTTCATTTTCATTTTTTTTTCTAGAAATCGAAGCCCTAGAATCATTTGAACAAGCATCAGCAGAAAGGACCACAACAAACAATTCTTCTTCAGAAATTCCCGATTCCGCGGAGAAAAAAGAACAATCCAAAACAGAAATCAACACAAACAAGGACGAAAAAGTACAAGGTTCTCCAAAATCCGAGGAACCAAAAACAACTGAAATCATCTCTTCCCCTGAAGCACCAAAAGTACAAGTCGAAACGAAGCCCGAGCAAGCGCCCATTCTAGCGCCTCGAAAAATCGACAATCCAGAAACAAATTCAACCAAGCTTGATTGTGCCTCAATTTCCAAATCTTCCGCAGCGGGGAGTTCTTTCACAAAATCCCAGCGCCGAAAATCTTTTCCTCGCTTTCATAAAAAAAGGGCGTCGAGGAAGTCTCAAGGAGTCCTCCTTGTTTTCGTGCATCATGCCGAAAGTCAAAGACACAGAGGACGCGAGTATAACGAGCTTGAAATCGGCCATTCCAAAGAGTTCCAGATACGAGGAGAAAAGTTCATGCCATATTATGTGAAGAAAAAAAATGAAAAAGTGTTATTTTCTTTAAAAACTTGAAAGAAATTTTGCCTTCTGTACTTTCAATTCTGCTTTGTAACGACTTCTATCCATGTCATTATTCATATAAAATAAATATACTTTAAAAATACAATAAGATAATAAATTATCAATGAAAATGAGTTACTACAGGCCGAAAATGAGTCCTTTTTTCAATCAGGCAGACAGAACAGGGTCCAAAAAATAGGAAACAGGCCCTGTCTCAGGTTTCTTTACAGGTAAGGTATCAAGCAAAACCTCTTGAAAAGGACAGGAAATGATTCAAAATAAAAAAAATGAGCCAACTTAGAGTCAAGCAATTTCAATTACCAGGAGATATTCCGGAGAAGATCAAAAAAGCATCAAAACGAGCCTCGATTTTAATAACAAACACATACTATGAAAGCCAAGCCAAAATTCAACAGGTCCAAAGGTACATTGTTTCTCTGCTAAAAGAAGATTTTCATGAATCATGCCCTAGAATGGCCCGAGGATCCCCGAAACGAGCATTAACCATCGCAGTTGTTCAAGTGATCGAGTGGTGCATTTTTGTTTACATAATTTTTCTCCTCTTTCTGCCAAAATCTCTCGACCATGCCTTCTGAAGCCGATCAAGTTACGTAACCGACCCTCTAGTCAAATAAAAATTCATCAAGTCCAAAATCTCATTCTCGTAAAAAAAATATAAGAAAAGAGAGCAGTAATGATTTCTTGGGAAAACGATTTGAAACCGCTGATTTTGTGTTTTTATGAAATTGTCAAGTCTATTTTGCTTTTTCCGCTCCCGAGCCCTAGAAAATCTTTGGACGGAGAAGTTGCACTTGTTACAGGTATTTTCATCAAAAATAATTTTTCCTTAAGGGATCCCCTCCCGATTTGAAAAATATCATCGAGAGCTTTTATGTGATATATTTTTGGAATCTCCGTTGTCTGGCGATCATTTTCATATATTATGTCAAAGGAAGTCCGTCACGTGGTAAGTCGTGACACAGCTTTGAAAATGCCTTATTTTAACGAAAAATTTTACTTAGAAAAAATTTGCAATATTTTCGACTTTTCAAAGTCGACATCATCAGATGAATAAGGGCTCTTTAGAAAGCTTGGAGAAAACTGAATTAGAAAAAAATAGATTTGATAAAATATCTAACCACTTACAGGCGCTAGAGAGCAAAGAAAGTCAAAAAAATGGCAAAAATCAGTTAAAAAACATCTTGTTAAGAAAAATTCTACAATCCTTGACGGAATCACATGCCTGTACTAGAGATTGTAGATCAGGGATCAAGGAAGACAGTTATTATTGATTTAGGGCTCTATCTAAGAGCAGGAAAAACAAGTTCGATTTTGAAAATGGCCCAAAATGGGGTTTTTCGCGAGTATCAATGTTTTCAGCCCGTCTTTTCAAGGTGTTTCCCCTTATGAAAATTAATTTCTGTACTAGAGTTTCTTCATTAAGAAATCCCTTAAAATAATTACAAAAAAAATATTGAAATTTGAAATTCGTAATTTTGCTTGAATTTCGAATTTGAAATTCGCGCGCATTCTCCAAATTGGCTAAAATCAATACAAAATAGATGATCCTAAATTTTGATTCAAAACTAAGGCGCTGGAAGTGGCCTAGGAGCAGGAGTTTCAAAACAACTCGCTGCTAAGGGAGTGACAGTCATTTGCTGGGATGTCAATGTCAAGGGAAACATTGAAACCGTCAACGAAATCAACAACTCTGGCGGAAAAGCCTTCGCCTTCAAATGCGACGTCAGCAACCGAGAAGAGGTCTACGCCGTCGCAAAGGAATCCGTCAAAGTCGCCGGAGATGTGACGATCTTGGTGAACAACGCAGGTGTTGTTGGAGGAAAGAGCTTGATCGACTCGGACGACAGGATGATTTTGAAGACTTTTGAGGTCAACGCGATTTCGCACTTTTGGACGACCAAGGCGTTCTTGCCCAAAATGATGGAGAAGAACAAGGGACATATTGGTAAGCGAGAAATCTTGAACTGAAAAACTTCATTCCCTTTTTTCTAGTTTCTATCGCCTCTGCCGCTGGATATTTCGCCGTTCCTGGTCTGACCGATTACTGCGCCAGTAAAGCTGCTGCTGCTCATTTTGCTGACGTAAGAGCTCGTTTCTTGCGCTAGAAATTGAAACCAAAAATTTCAGACTCTTTCGATGGAAATGTTTCGGGACAACAAAGACATCAAGGTCTCCTGGATCTGCCCCTACGCCATCAACACCGGTTTCTTCGACGGTTTCCAAGCAAATCGACCGCTGGTTTCTGCGATTCTAGAGCCGCAATCTGTCATTGACGACATTGTCAAAGCGATCGAAACTGACGCTGATAAGGTTCTTCTTCCCGGACGGCTAACTGCACTTGATGTAAATCCGATTGAAAATATTCTAGAGCTGATTTCTATCTTTTAGTTTTGCCAAGCTATTTTTCCGAGAAAAGCATTTTTGCACCTCTGCAAGTGGGGCGGGAACTTTGAGTCGATGAATACTGTAAGTAAAATTTAATTAATACGGTCGTTAATTTTTCTTTAGTTCCGCGGAAGACAGAAGACTCAATAAATTATTTTTACTGATTATTAATCAAAGATTATAAATAAAATGATACAGCCGTATTTCGCTGCGCCTACTTCAGAATTCCCCTTATTTTGAAAACCGTATTGCTGAATTTTCTTGGAGGTTTAAGTAAGTTGCGGGCAGGGGAGTTAATCCGAAACCGCTGCTGAGTTTTCCGGTTAACCGCTTCTTTCAAAATATCTATCTGAACTTTTGAATGCGACGTATGTATTTAATAGTTATGTATCGTATCGCGAGTTTGATGCTATCTAAAAGTTTCTTCGAAAAGTCAATTTAGATGATAAGATAATTTTAAAGATTAAAGAGACGAGGTTTAGCCTAAATCGTTTAAGCGACTCAAGAGCTTTTTTAAGAGCCTTAATTAGCGACGTATACTGATAAGATTCTCCCTCCTTGCGGAACTACTGCACAATTTTTTATTTGTAACAATAAAAAAAAGAATCCAAGTTGAATTGAAGTTTATCCAGAGATTTTTCCCTTGTCGAGGAGAGAAAAATAATTTGGATTTTTTTAGTTTAATTGTTAATACGCGTACTAAAGAAAAAAATATGCGCAATAATTATTTTCTCACATCATTTTCGCGACTTTCGCGTCTTTCGAGAGATGATAAGCCCAAAAATCGCGAAAAAAGCTCTTTCTCGAAAAAGACTTTTTCATCATCGACTTGGCGCACTCTCTCCGGAGAAGTTTCGCCGGAATAGCTTTTTGAGAATGATTGCAAAAATTTCGGTTTCGCGAATTCTGAGATTTCACTGTAATAAAGATTAGAACTTTTGATGCATATGACGTAGTCTGCGGCGGGGCGCGCTATACTTGATGGCGTATTTTACCCATTTGAATTGCTCTCTATCCCCGATCCTACTCCTATAAATACGAAATCTTCTCTTCTGATTGTCAGTAGCAGACCCTTTGCACTTAGGATGAAGAATTTACTTTTTTTCCTTCTTGACTTCTCACGTGGCGAGTCCTTGGTAAGAAGAGATAAAATTTATAACTTCAATTATTTTAACCATTCAGACATCTCCCCAACGATCATTTGTCGAACAACCAGAATGGGTAAAGAAAAATTTTTTTTTTTAATAAATTTATTAACTAGACTCCACCGATTCGGACGGCAACTTGCAAGGAAATTTTAATTGGCAGTACGCCAGTAACAGCGATTGACTCAAAGGAGTTCGATACTGTTTGTGGCGTAAAAACTGCGCAAGAATATGAGTTAAAAGTGAAAGTCGAATGCAGTTCCGCAAAACTCGCCGCACTTGGAAGGAAAGGGATATGAATTATCGCTTCGTTTTCATCAAAAGAGACGATTATTGTTGAGAGGACGTCTCTTTTAAATATTTTAATGGAAATGTTAGTCTCGTCCCTTACAAGTAAATGGTCATATATTCTGAGCAGCAGAGCGTTTTCTCTGAGAGCAATTTCAGGAAGAAGATACCAGGGTGTTGTTATGCCAGTAGATTGGCGAAATGACGAATTTCATATTGTCGAAGAGTATGATAACCCGAATAATGATGATGACTTTCTCTTCGATGATTGCACAGATGGAGAGTTCATGGAAATAACCGTTAATCAGGTATTTTTTTTTCATGAGTGTTTATAAAATCAAATCTAGTGGTTCGGCGAGAACAACAAAATTTACAGGAGAGCGGAAATCGATGGAATTTTGAGGGCTGTAATGGTTTCCGATGGACTTCCTGAGGACAAAGAGGACGAGGCTCTCCGATTCGTTCTTGGTGGAAAAACATTCAAAACTGTTGACACCGATTTTCTGGTCAAAGACCTAGAAATTCGATCGTTTGGAGAAGTTCCTCCTCCTGCGATGGTAAACAACAATAATCTGTTCCTGTTTAAGTATTTTTCTAGACCCCGCCGATTCGAGAGGCAACTTGCTCGGAAATTTTAATCGGAAGCACGCCAGTACCAGCGATTGACTCAAAGGAGTTCAGTACTGTTTGTGGCGTAAAATCTGCTGACGAATACGAAATCAAAGCTAAAGTCGAATGCAATTTCGCAAAAGTTCTAGCAGTTGGAAGGAAAGGGATATGAATAACGCTTGTTTTTTTCTCAAAAGAGACGATTTTTTTAGATGAAAGTCTCTTTTGACGTTTTTAATGAAACTCGTATTCTTATCCCTTGCAAGTTCCTGGTCATTTATTCTTAGCAGCAATGCATTTTCTTTGAGAGCAGTTTCCGGAAGACAATACCAGGGTGTTGTTTGGCCAGTAGATTGGCAGAATGACGAATTCTATATTAATGAAGAATATGATAACCCTAATAATGATGACGACTTTCTCTTCGATGATTGCACAGATGGAGAGTTCATGGAAATCACTGTTAATCAGGTAAAGATGAATGAAAATGACATTCTCGGGACCAAATCCAGACCCCCATGTTTTTTGTGCTCATCTAAAAGCCCGTGATCTGGGGAGTCGAATGGTATAGGTTTTGGGTCTTAGTCATCAGAAATGACGTCATAGGGTCTCTGTGATTGGTTGAAAACAACCGACACCTGTAACTTTTAAGTTTGCTGATAAAAGTATGCAGATTTTGGGCTCATTCGAAAGAGCAGGTCGAGATCTACGAGCGGGGATCATGCGGGAGGAAAAATTCCCAGGGGAAAAAATTCTAGAGCCACCTAACCACGTGGTCAAAAATTGAAAACCGGTTGGTTGACCCAGATTTGTAGGCCCGCTAGTAGATTTCGAGCTGCACTTTCGAATGAGCCCAAAATCAATATAGGTTCCTATATTCAATTAAAAATTAGCGGTAGCTATAGGTTAACCCCATACGGCCCTTCACTATCCAAAATGACGTCATTACCGATGAGTCAGCCCCAGAACTATATACCATTCGAATCCTCAGAGCACGGGCTCTCACATAAGGACAAGAAACCTGAGGGTTAGGATTTTGCCCCGAGAATGTTATTTACATTCATCTAAACTCCTTTCAATGAAAAATTTTTCAAATCAAATATAGTGGTTCGGCGAAAACAACAAAATATACAGGAGAGCGGAAGTCGATGGAATTTGGAGGGCTGTAATGGTTTCCGATGGACTTCCTGAGGACAAAGAAGAAGAAGATGTCCGATTCGTTCTTGGTGGAAAAACGTTCAAAACTGTTGACTCCGATTTTCTGGTCAAAGACCTGGAAATTCGATCGTTTGGAGAAGTTCCTCCGCCTGCTATGGTAAAGAACAATTATCACTTCCTTTTTATCATTTTTCTAGACCCCACCGGTTCGGGATGCAACTTGCGAAGAAACTTTGATCGGAAGCACGCCTGTTGTAGCGATTGACTCAAAAGAGTTTCAAACAGCCTGCCCAGCGAGATCTTCAAGCGAATACGAGGTGAAAGTCAAGGTCGAGTGCAATTTTTCAAAATTTAGTAAATTGAGAAGGACTGGGATTTATATTCTTTAGCTTTCAATAGCATTATTGATATTAAGTTTTGATATAATTTCACTGAGTATAGATTCTAATCCCATACAAGTTCATGGTCGTATATCATCTCCAGCCGTGCTCTTGGTATAAGAGCAGTGTCAGGAGGAATGTATCAGGGTGTGGTGTGGCCATTGGACTACTACAATGACAAAACTTACATCAATGAAGAGTTCGTGAACCCGAAAAATGAGGTTGATGATTACATCTTCAATGATTGCACGGATGGTGAATTTATGGAAATAACTGTTAATCAGGTGAGATCGGTATTGACAATTGTTCCCGAATTCACGACTTCGTAGTGGTTTGGTGAAGACGGTAAAATTTACAAGAGAACAGAAATTGATGGAATTTACAGAGCAGTTCTTGTTTCCGAGGGACTCGGGGAGAACATCGAAAATCTACCTATAGATTTTTTCCTTGGATCTCAGACCTTCAAAACTGTTGAGTCTGACTTCGAGGTCAAAGACTTGGTAGTCCGCACATTCGGCACGAATCTTCCGAAGAAATGCGCACGATTCGAATCTTTTCCGACAAATGTCAAAACCACTTGGAATTTGGCTAAAAAAATCTGTCGGCTAACTGGTGGAGAACTTGCTCATTTCGAGACAATGGTTAGTTTAAGCCATATTTTTCGCCGAAAGTCGAATAATTCTATTTCAGGAAGAATTTGACGATTTTAAATCTGCTCGCGATGGTCTTGATCGATCCGACTGGCTTGGAATGAAGCGAACAAAAAATGGCAGAAAATTCAAAGACTTGAAACGAAAAGATCTCCCATTTACTAGCTGGGACCAATTCGAGCCCAACAACGCTGACGGGATGGAGAACTGTGTCCAGGCGAATCCAAATAGCAATTGGAACGACGTTTCTTGTGATGGTCCCCTCGGTATCGTCTGCAGATACGAAGATGTGTGCTAAGAAAAAAATTCTCCCTGAATCTTCTTTCGCGGAAATGCTAAAACCTATAGCACTCGCGAGTTCAGATCTTACAATTTCAAATAAAAAACACTCTTTTTTTATCGTTATTTTTGATTTGCAAATGAGCTGTGATAAAAATTCTTAAGAAGATTTCTTGACGAAATCTTGTTCAAAGCTCTGACAGCTAAACAGCTTGCCGAATGTTTCTGGTTCGACAATGAGCAGTGTTTTGGGTGCCACGGGTGAATGATGTTTTCCACATTTCCTCGGAAAAAATCGATCTTAAGAATTTGTCATAGAGGTCAATCTTTATAATAAACCTTTGATTTGAGAATTTCTTCGGCAAAAAGAACATCTTCTCCTCCCCATCCAGTCAGATTCAAATTGAAACCAGGGGTCTCAAGATAAGTCTTTTTCGTCATCGCGACCATTCCATAAGCAGTCGATCTCCAGTAGCCTTGATTCTCCGCGATTGCTATTTTTTCTTCAAAAGATTTTTCATACTCACTAGAAAATCATTATTGTTTCATCGAAGCCATTGAACCTGAAGATGATTGGGAAGAAAATTCGATTTTCGCCAGTGAAACTTTTCACGATTTGGATTGCGTTTTCGCTCAGAATAAGATCGACATCGCAGATGAAGAAGAGATCAGATGATTCTAGAGCTTCGATTCCATTAGATACACATTCTTTCAAGATGCTCCTTATTTGATTAACATAAAATTAGTCTGATAAAGAAACATTTCCTGCGCGACTAAAAGGCTTTTGAAAACAGGGAACAACTTGTAAAATGCCTGATTCTAGCAACGATAAATATTTTTCTTCAAGAAAATTTTTCGTCGAAACCATCGTTTCCTCATGCACAGCAATCGTCATTTTCAGCTTCAGACTTTTCCTCATTTCTTCGAAATTAACGAGAAATCTCGATAATGCATCGCCTCTTCCTTTGACTGGGAGAATGATATTCAAAATTTTTTCTTCAGCTTTCTCTCTTATTTTTCGATCAAGCGCTTCTTCTTCTTTTAGGAACGCGAATTTCTCCAATTTCTTAAAAAAATTTAGGATGGACTCGAATAATTTCTAAAATACCTTGACGTGATATTCTGAGCTTTCTCCCTTGGTTATCAAACTGTTTGTTCCATACAGAACGGTAACTGTTCGCGTCTTATTTGGATAATTCTTCACTAAATTGTGGACAAGCGAGTTCGTCTTGATGACGAGAGGGCCTTCGAAATGGCATCGTTTTTCCCATTGAGTATGAACATTCAAAACGGCAAAATGAATCTGTCCGCTTGATTCTCTCAGATCTTCGAATGAAAATCTCGCTTGATCAACGAGATGAATATGTCTCTGCAGTTTCTCGATTTCTCGAAAAATTTCTTCATCGGAAAATTTTTTTTTGATTTTTCTTCCTTGAATTTTGAAGCTCTCGCCGAGGAGGAAACCAATAATCGTCCAAAAACCAATTTTTACAAAAAAATTTCTCATTGGCGATGAATGACAGAAGAGATCTTGATCCTCAAAATTGCCTTCAATCATTTCTTTCTCACAAAGCATTCTGGAGACAATTTTCGGCTCACTGGTATTCTTGAATATAAATGAACGACTTTTACTTTCAAATGAGCTAAGGACCGCCATCTGTAGTCTCAGGTAAAAATATTTTAGCAGTAAAAAATCAGATCAATTAACCTTTTATTTTAAAGAGTAATAGCGCCTTGGAGCCTTTTTCATTCAAAAAACGATTTTTTTATAAAAGGCAGAATTATGTTTCATTTACTTTATTTATGTTGCCATGCAATTATAAGTGTAGCTTATCTCAACAACGTGACTCACTCAAAATACACGCAAATTAACTCGTGCACGTTCTGGTGGCGCCAAATATACACTTGTTACTTGAAAAACTCTTGAAGTAAGAAAGTTTGTGACACAAACTAAAATGAAACTTATAAAGCTTTTATCAATTCTTCAGGTCTCTTTTGCTTGCAAAAAGCGGCCAAAAGAACCAGAAATAGAAACGACAACAGAAATTACAACAACAGAGAGCTTTGAAACAACAGAAGAAAACGAAATCTTCGAAGATTTGAGTCTTGACAATTATTTTCCTCGAAAAGTAATAAAAAAATTTTCAAAACCTTTCTTCAAAACCAATCTCGTATTTTAGGAGCAACGACCAGTGATTCCAACAAGCTATCCAGTTGACAACTATGATGAGGTATTGCCAACAACAACATCTATTGAAACAACATCAACGACAACTTGGCGAACTGAAACCACTCCCTTCAGTACCATCAGGTTTAATCTCGGCCCCGTTTTTTGTTTTAATTTCTGTTTTTTGTTGAATTGAAAATTTTCAGGCATCATTTTTTCAATGAGTTTTTTCAAATTTGACTTTAAGACACACGACTGAGAGAAGAGAAGCTCTTCGAGCAGCCCTTATTTCAAATGAGCAGCTTGCTGGATTGAAAACAACAGAACAAAAGACAATAACAACAACTTCCCCAGCAACAACAAGCACAACAACAACGACGACAACAACAACGACAAAAATGGCAAAAGAAACGACAATATCATCAACAACAACGACCACGACTTCCATCACAACCGAGATCCCCACGACCCTAACCAACGAGCCACCAGAAAAAATCCTTTACGACATTCCCCGAGCCGTCCCAGTCATCAATCCAAACGTACCGATCAGCTCTCGTCGATCCTGCTGGTCACCTGATTTCCGCTATTCTGGGACAGTCAATGTCACGAAAACCGGCCGAGCATGTCAGCAATGGAACGTTGGTTTTCCTCACATTCCCAAATATCAGCCAGTTGATCTTGGGGAAGGACACAGTTTTTGTCGAAACCCAGATGGGGATAAACAAGGTCCTTGGTGTTATACAGTCGATCCTGAGGTAAAGAATCCGATTTCTTTCTAATAATAAAGAATTCAAAGGTCCGTTTTGAATATTGCTCGATCCCAAAATGCGATGAAAACGGCGAGCCACCCTTAAAACAAGAAGACTGTTTCCCCGGCCAAATCGGCGAATACTCCCTGAAGCAAGAAAACCGACTAAGTCAAACCATCTCCGGTCTCGATTGCCAGCGCTGGGACGCTCGAAAACCGCACCGTCCAAAATCTGCGCCTGAGAACTCGTCGCACAACTTTTGCTCCGACCACGATGGGGACGCTGGTGGAGCATGGTGTTATACCACGGATCCAGACGTGAGATGGGAGTACTGTCCTGTCAAATACAATTGCGAAGGATGAATTTTTTGTATTTATGTATTTATAATCGATTGCTTTATTAAAAAAAAACATGAAATAATCAGGCAGTTTCAAGGAAAATTTGCTGGAGATCCTCCTTCTTCTCTTTTCCTTTCTCATATCTTGCGCCAGAAAAATATGTTTCTTCATAAACCTTGTTCGCTTCTGCCATCGTGAAAAACGGCATTTCAGGGGGAATTCGCGGAAGAATCAGATAAATAGAAGCTGAAGCGGCGCTGATGATGACGAGAGTTCCAAGCTGCATTTTCGGGGATAAATATTTCATAAAAGGGGGTGTCAAAATTGCTGATCTGGCTAAAAGAGAGCTTTTTTTGCGGATTTTTTCATCATTTTTGAACCATTTTTTGACCATTTTAGAATTTAAAAATGGTCGAATTTTGTCTTTAATCCGTTCCAGATGCTGCAAGAAATCGAGCGATTATTAACCGGAAAAGTAGCAGCAGCATCGTACGCATTAATATACGTCAGGCAAATCCAAAAGAACCCGAAAAAGCAGAGAATCGATGTCCACCAGTCATCGCCAATAATGAGTGCAAGGAAAATGACCCCGGAACAGGCGTAGAAAGAGAAGGCCACGATTTTTATCGAGGAGAAAATGTTGAGCAGGGGTTTTTGAAGAAGAGCTCCGATTGTTCCAAGAAGGCCGAGGTAGAAGACGTTGAGATAGGGGTTCGGAGAGAGGGAGCCGCCGTTCCAGAGGAGGCCGAAATAGATGAAGTTGCAGGCGAACATTGAAAAACTAAAAGAAATGACGGGGTGATTGTCGAAAAAGAGTTTACCTAAGAATACAAATGCTCAGGAAATAGAATCGATTTGGTCTGGTATCGTAAAACTTTGGCTTTTCTTCGGCCCTTGCTCGGCTTGCTTTGAAAACGGACGATTCTGGAATCAGAAACAAGCTTAAATTTTTAAAGATCTGAGTTATGAACTGATCTTACAAGATGAAATAAATTGCGGATAAAGTCAAGTTGACAGCCATTTGCGCTCTCCAATCTGGAAGAAAATAAGCAACAACAGAAGCCATCGCCGTCCCGGAGTAATAATACAGTGCCCAAATGATGTATGCGAAATTTTGGTTCTCCGCCATTTCAGATCCATACAAAACGGCTAGTAGCATCAATGCTATTCCACTTGTCCGGGTCTTTCCGGAAAAATTTTCGATAAAAAATTGAAAAAAAACATTGACCCCTTTTTCCTGAAATGAATAAAAAACCGCGCCGCTGAGAAAAAGACCAATCCTTGGCCAACAAACTGCAGCGCGATGGAAGCAAAAAAGATGCAGTTATAAAACAACAATGATTTTCGCCGTCCGAAGGTGTCCGAAATATAGCCTGAAAGAAAGATAGACGTGATTTCTCCAAAAGTTCCTTTCCAAAGTTGTCAGGGGGCGTCAATTGATAATTATATAACTAGCGCTAGAAAAGTGAGAAGTTACGTAACAACTTTCCTAAAGAGATCATGACCGCATTGTGGCTGTCTTTCTCGCAGACGAGCTTCAATTCTGTCGCCAAAGAATTCCACTCGTCGATGAAAAAGTCTTTTTTCAAGTTCAAAAGCGGGGAAAAAGCAATAAAAATCCTGGCAAGAAGCCATTTCGTTGTGAAAAGAAAAGTTTATCGTCTGATTTATGGTCGTTTCCGAACAAATTTCCTGAAGGCTGAACGGAAGAAAAATTGAAATTGAGGTCTTTTTCTTCGCATTTACAGGGATCAGACGAGTTATTAATACAGTTGATTTCCGGAACAAGCTGAAATTTTTAAAAAATCAGAAAAAAAGCTAAATTTTAGCGGCTTATTAGTCAATTTTTTTAAGAAAGCTCATTTTTATGTCAAAATTAAGCCTTTTTGAGTCGAAAACATATTTTAGAAAACTCAAGAAAAAAGAGGCTTACGTGTCCAAAAACGGGAAAAACAGTGATGAAAGCATACAGCATCGCTCCCAATTGCGACAAAACTATAATCGCTTCCTCTGGTAGTTTCTTCCTCATTCTGTAATTTTCTCTGAGTTCAAAGTTGATGTTTCTCAAATCTGCTGATTTTTTCGATTTTGCTTGTTCAAGTTTTAAGATGGCACGATTATTAAATTTAATGAAGTGAGGCAGGCTCAGATAGAGCTCAAAGACAAAAGTCCCAAACATTGCTCTCTTGAACAAACATTTTATTTCACGCCTCATTCTTTTCTACTGTCTAAAATGGTACAGTGCAGTAAGGAAAGGAAATAGAAAATTACCTTTTACGCTAATGATGATGATTAATGCTTTTCAGGATTCTTTTAAATTCGTTAAAATAAAATTATAAGACTAAAATGTAATAAAATGCCTGAGGCTTCGAAACGAACTCGCATATCTTTGCCCTGGACTGGGGTCGAAACCTGCCGAAAAAACCTGAGTCAGGGTCCTGAAAAAGCTTTTTTCCGGCAGAAAGGCTTTTTCATGACCCTGACTCAGCTTTTCTCCACGGGCGCTGGAGTTCAGGGATACAGTCTTGAGTTCTAAAAAGCGTCTCCAAAACCTGTCACTGAGAATCGCCGGATGCAAATTCGGCGGTTTTCCTCCACGCAACGTGAATTTAATGAATCCGTCTGACTATCCATTTTTGAAAAAAGGCAATTCAGTTGATGGCCGTTCAGATTGAGATTCAATTATGATCAGATTTATTTTACTTCTTTTTTCATTTTTTACTTCTATTTTTGCGAACCCAGCAATTTTGGAAGAAAATTTGAGATTCGCGAATGTGACGATTTTGGATTTCGATGAACAAGCAGTTTCGTTTGAAGACTTACAGAGAACACATGTGAGTACAATTAAGGGTGTAGACACTCTTAACTCCACTTTTCAATTTTCAAAGATAAATTTTTAATTTTTTTTTTAATTTTTTCACAAAAATAAATTCTGTTGCGAATTCATTCTTTATAATTTCGACCCTCTTAAATACTTTTTCAATAATCCAATCTTAAGGGTCTGCACTGCGATGAAGATCAATGCCAAAATAAGTGGGCGTGTCCGGCGAACTCAGAGTGCATCAATAAATGTGCCAAGTACGTTTGCCAATGCAAGGTAAACAAAAACCGCCCTGCCCTAGTTTTTCTCATTTTCCGCCTCTAGAAAGGATTTTTCAAAAGCGGTTCAACCTGCATCTCAGCAGAAAAATGCGACGCGGACCAGTGCCTCGCCAATCCTTGCCCAGCTGAATCTCGCTGTCAGAATCGCTGTTCTGGATTCGAATGTCTTTGCGAAAAGGGAAAATGGAACTTTGAAAGCTCTAGCTGCGAGCTTCAGTGCCCGGCGGGGAAAGAAGAAGTGAATGGAGAATGCGTTTACAAATGTGAAAAGACGAGATGCGATTGTGGAATGAATGAAATTTGCATCCGGGCGGTGGATTTTAGAAAATGCACCCTGAAGAAATGCAGATGCAGAAAAGGGTTTTCGCGAAAAGGGGAAGGAAGTCAATGCCAAAAGGTAAAATTGAAAAAAAAAATTAAAAATTTAATACTTCAAGATCAAAAAATTTTAATTTTGAATCAAAAATATGAAATTTAAAACTAAAATAAAAAAAAATAAATTTCATTTAAAATTTTTAATTTCAATTAAAAAATTAAAAAGAAATTTATCCTTTCCTTTTCATCGAAATTTTATTTTCAGGATTGCCCTGCTGGTCACAAACTAGAAGGAAAAATCTGCAAGAAAATCTGCAGCAAAAGCGCTGCAACTTGCTATTGCAGCGAAAACGAAAAATGCTCGATAATTTCCGACGAAAATGGATGCGATTTGGCGACCTGTTCGTGTAAAGATGGCTTTGAGTCGGAAAATGGCGTCTGTCGGAAAATTTGCTCGGAAGCGAAATGTTCGGATTTGGACTGTGGCTCGTTTAGTTTTTGTGAGGAGACTTGTGCTGGGCCGATTTGTGGATGCATGCCAGGGTACAGAATGGACGAGGGAGTTTGTGTCAGGAATTTTGCTAAGGACTACATCGAGACGAATTTTACTTACCATCAAGTGGAAACGCCAAGTTCCGAGCAGTTCAGTGCTGTTTACGGAGATCCGCATTTCCACATCTCAGGTGAGTCCGCTGACCTTTGTTTTGATCTTCAGCTGCGAATGGATTCCGTCGTTCTACTCGAGGATCTCTTTTCTGGATTCAAAGTGACGGCGGAATTGGACGAGAATCGCGAATTCTTCAAATCGTTCACTTTCGTTTTCGGGGAGAACGAGTTAAAAGTTGGTCAAGAAAACTGGAGAATGAAGGAAACAAAGGGAGAGCCTTATTTTGATGAAGAGACGGGAAATGTGTGGTATGAAGGAACTGGGCTCTAGACATGATGATAATTTGAGCGGTTTTCGAGCGAATATTTTCCGCTCATTTTTCGATCAAAAAATTTGAAAACCGCTCATAAATTTTTGACTCAAAAAAGCCGAGAGAAGAAATATCTATCGGAGAAGTCAAAAAAGGCGCAAAGTTCTACTTTTTCAATGTTGTCGTCGACGAGATCAAGTTTGAAATCAGCATTGGTTTCAAAAACAAAGACCTGAATCTCCGCGTTCTTGAAGTCGGCGAGTCCAAGCCGAGGCTGCTTACTGGGCTCATCGGAGAGCTCATGCGGCCGGGAAGCTATTCAGTGGAAAAATTGACCGATCGGCTTGGAATTTTTACTTTCAATGATCAGACGACGATTGTGAGCTACAAAACGCGCCACCAGAGAAATCATGATTGCTGGTTGATTCCCTCAAAAGAAGCGGAAATCATCCTTCTTGATAATGGCAATCAGATTTACAAATAATAACGTCTGTACAACAAAAAATGCTCTGTAAACTTGCCGCAATAAAATTATCATTATAATTTTTTTAAATAAAATTTTTCGTCTGAATTTCCAAAAGAATTATTTTCACAAATTTCAAATTTCCAAAAAAGGAAATTTTTTCTGCGTCGCCTTGTTTTTGATTTTCGCAGGTGTGCAAAAAATAAATAATAATTATTTGCAAAAGTCAGACAACTCATCGTTATAATGAGTTTTTACTGAATCACGACAATTTTTTGACAATAATATTTTTTCACGAGAAAAACGATAATTTGAAAAGGTAAATAAAAAACTCAAAAATAAAAGGAGACGTTATTTATAACATTGCCTTCCTACATCATGAATCCATCACAATTTTCGGGACATTATGAAGCGACCTTGGGTAAAAAACTAATCTAAAGGAATGATTGTAAAGGGAAAACGAGTGTTTGCTAGGAAACTAACAAAATCTCCTTCGAGTTTATTTTTATCAATTTAAAAATTTTCAGAAGAGCCGCCCATGGAAGAAAATAACAATAATCAAGGAAAGCGTTTTTATTAGCAATTATTTTTTGTCAAATCAAAAAGACTCGAAAAAAGTTTATTTAAAAAGAGATGACTGGATAAAAGAAAAGCGAAGCTGCTCTTTTGAGAAATATCGAATCAGCCTGATTGTTCTGACGGCGAGAAAAATCTTCCAAATTGCTTACTGGGCGCTTTTGGGATTTCTGATCGGTGAAAATTTCCGACTTGCCAATGTCAGAAAAACGACGGAAATCACGGTCAGCTTTTCTATCGAAGATTTTCGTCGAGAAATAGAGAAGCTACAGAAACATATTTCAATCGTCGACAATTCGAGATTTGGCTTTGATGATTTGAAAGAAGCAAACGGAGAGACCTTTTTCGCCGTTTTGAACGTCCATACTCAGTGGGAAAAGCAATGTCATTTCGAAGGCCCGCTGGTGATGAAGACAAATCCGTTGGTTCATGATTTGATGGAAGATTTTTCGAACGAAACGAGAACGGTGACAGTGCTTTATGGAAGAAACAGCTTGATAAGAAAAGGAGAAAGCAATGAATATTTGTACCAGGTTCGATAGTATTGGTTGAAAATCGTTGTTGACTTCAGAACTAGAAATTGGAGAAATTTGCTTTTGTTCGCGAAAAAGAGGAACTAACGCTGAAGATTGGAGAAAATCGCTTTTCACATGACAGAAATATTGTCAATCTAATTCTACCACTCAAAGGAAGAAGCTCAACTTTCTCGAGGTAATGGAAAGAACGTAACAATTAGCTTATTTTTTTGAAGATTTTTGAAGAACTTTGAAAAAATGCGACAGAATCAAACTGTGAAACTGACGCTTGCGATTCACGAAGATTCCCTTGAATCAACTCAACTTTTTCTTGAGAAAAACTATCACCCCTTCCTTAACTCTGGAATCATCAAAATCGTACCTTGCAAACTAGAGCCTTTCAGCCGCGCAGGAAATGTTCGTCTTCTCAGAAAATTTAAGAAAAAAAGCAAAAAAAGGAACATTTTAAAAGAATGTATTTCGAAAGGAATCGACACTCTTGAATTATCCGATCTTTTCTTCATCTGCGATGTGGACTTGATTCTCAACGAAAATGCGATTCAAGTTGTCAGAAGCTTTAGTGCTGAAAATCGAATTTTCTTCCCAATCATTTTCAGGTTTTACCGCCCAAATTGACAAATAACAATTTTCAGTGAGTATGAACAATCCTTCGAAGAAAGAAAAATAATCGCGGAGAATCAAGGCTACTGGAGATCGACTGCTTATGGAATGGTCGCGATGACAAAGCAAACTTATCTTCAAACGCCTGGTTTCAATTTGAATCTGACTGGATGGGGAGGAGAAGATGTTCTCTTTGCTGAAGAAATATTGAAATCAAAGGTAGATTGTAAAGATCGACCACTCTGACGAAATCTAAAGATCGAGTTCTTCCGAGGAAATGTCGTGGACATCGTCCACCCGTGGCACCCGAAAAACTGCTCATTATCGAACCAAAAGCACTCAGCAAGCTGCCTAGCTGTCCGAGCTTTGAATATGATGTCGTCAAAAAATCTTCTGAAGAAATATTATCAAAGTTCATTTATCAAAAATTGAATCTTATCTAAGTTTTAATAAATAACTTATTTGGCCTCTAAAAATAGTCATTTTAGTAGTTTATTAGTAATAAACATGTTTTTCGTTGTTTCAATGGGTTTTTTATTGTTCTTCAGGCAGAAATAAATCAAGCAGAAATTGAAAAAAGAAATATTTAACCCGAGGAAAAATTGTTAGCGCACATTTTACATATGCTTTGGGAGTCAATTGGATGAGCGGTAAGCTTTGTTAAAATACATATATAGGCAGGATGAAATGAAATTGGCAATCAAGCAATAAGCAAGCTGCTAGTTGTTTTTTAAGTGAAGTCAGAAGTTAGTTGTTGTGACCAGTCATTGGGGTCATGTCGTTGTTGTTGCCGGTCTTGAAGGCGGTGTTGTCGCTGAGGAGGAAGCTGAAAGGGTTGCTGAATGGGCTTGAAACTGGCTCCTGGACTTTTGGGGCGGCAACTGGCTCTTGGGCGACTGGAGCTTGGGCGACTGGAGCCTGGAACATGTTGGAGAAGATGTTCGTGCTAGGCTGGGCGACTGGCTCTGGCATCACTGGGTTGAAGGCTGGCTGAGCCTTGACCGACTGGTTGACTGGAGTGTAGACCATGTTGGGAGCAACTGGAGCTGGAGCAATGTTGACTGGAGCAACGTTAACTGGAGCATAGTTGACTGGAGCCTTGTTGATCACTTCAGCCTGGCTGATGACCTTGTGGGTGAGTGGATCTTCGTTGTATTTGTAGTCTTGGTAGACGACGTTTCGCTTCTTGTCGGGGTTGAGGAAGTCAACGATTTGGCTGTCGTCGTATTTGAACCAAGTGAGGGAGCCACCGTTTCTGACCATCTGGAGACTCGATTGCTGGAAGACAGAGCAGGATGGGTAGGTTTGTCTGAAATAAATCATAAGGCTTTTGAAAATTGGAAAAAGTCTCTTACCCTGGGTTGATCTTGTCAGCTTCGCAATCCTTCTGGATCTCTTCGACATCTTGTCCGCAGTTGTTTCCTCGGAATCGGAGTCGCTTGTTGGTCATTCCGGCGTTACAGCAGCCAGTCCATCCGGACCAGTCCCATTCGCAGCAATCACCCTTGATTTAAAAGTTAATATGAGGAAGGAAAACTCAATCTTACCATGTCGCAGCTGACAGTTTCGTCTCCAAGGAGATTGTCAGAACCACCGATGCAGAATCCGGAACCGACTGGACCACCGTGGCAGTATCGAGTTCGGGTCTTCTGACCGAGTCCGCAAGAGACAGTGCAAGCAGACCAGCTGGACCAGGCGCCGAAGTAGGGACAGGTTGGTGTTGGGCAAGCAACAGTCTCGACTTCATCGGCCTTCTCGCCGGCGCAAGTCCACGATCGCTGTCGAGTTTTGACTGGAGTTCGGTTATTGATGTTGCACTCGGTCGAGCACTGGGTGAAGGCAGACCAGGCTCCCCATTGGCCTTGAGTACCACACTGACCAGCTGGCTCTTGGACAACATCACCGGTGCAAGAGTGAGTCTTGGTGACGGTTCGGACGCCAGGGCAGGACATTGGGCTGAGCGAGCTGCAAGAGTCGCCAGTGACTCGCCATTCTCCCTTTTGGCATGGACAAGGGCGGGAGTCTTCGATTCGAGCGTATTTGACGGTGTTTCCGTCACTGTCAGTGCAGAATGGCTCTCGGGATCGGTACTCGCTGCCGCAGAGGCCGGAAACGTCACAGGTCTTGACGCATCCGCTGAATCCAGTCCAGGTTCCTGGGTTCTGAGTCCAAGATCCAAGGTCGAGGTTCTGGATGGCAGCCATCTCAGCTGGGGAAGGCTGTGGCAAGTTGTATTGAGTAGGGTTGACGAGAATGTTGGAGGTGCCAACACCGCAGGGGATCTGGAATCGGCTCTCACCGACGCATCCAACAGCTGGGTTACCGTTTCCGTCAATGCAGAATCGCTCGACAACGGCGGATCCTGGGTTGTTGCATGAGCATTTGGCGGTGACCTGGAAGCCAGACCATGCAGCGCAAGAAGGAACGGTGCAAAGCTGTTCTCGGATCTCCAATTTGCCGCACTGGTCGTATCGCTGAGAAGTGGTGATCTCCTGGGCTTCGCCAGAGTTCAAGCAAGATTTCTGGCATGGGGCCCACTGGCTCCATGGAGTTGGCTCAATTGGAGCAACAGTGCACTGCTCGTAGTCGTATTTGTCAGCGAATTGTGGGTACTGGCTGGCGAGGTCGGCGCACTCGTTTCGGACGATGAAAACTTGGACACCAGTCTGGCAAGCTTGAGCGGGCTCAGTGGGGCTCATCATGCAGCCGCCGGTAGCAGTTCGAGTGATAGCAAGGTCAGTCGGTTCGAAGCAGATTTGTTCAGCTCCGTATCGGATTTGTCCGCAAGCGTTCTTCTCAATTGGCATGTGTTTACCGACGACGCATCGGTTGCTTGTGCATTGAGTGAATCCAGCGGGGAGGAAGGGAGTTGGCTCAGGAGTGCACTTGACAGTGTTGGTCTCAACCTGGCTGCTGTCACAGATGTTGGTTCGAGTTCGGGTCATCTCACCTTCTTCGCAAGATCGGGAGCATGGACCGAATGCGCTCCACTCGCTCCAGGAAGCAACAACTGGGCAGAATCGCTCGGATTCGAAAGGAGTATCGAGGCAGTCGCACATTTCAGCGCCAAGTGGCTTGATGCACTGTCGGTTTCGAGAGACGGAAACGTCACAAACGGCGCAAGTTGGGAACTGCTCTTCTCGCCATTGTGGGCATTGTGGAAGCTGGCAGGCGACTTGCTCAGTTCGGATGTTGAATCGACCGCATTGTGGGAGGGTTGGGTACTCGTCCCAGGTAGTGACGGTCTTCAAGCCAGCACCAGTGTTGGAACACTTGCTGCAGTAGCCAGAAGAAAGACATTCTCCTTCTTCGGTGTAGGAAGTTGGGTTAGATGGTCCACACTGTTGCCACTGTCGGTTTCCAGTAAGTCGGGTCTGTCCAGCTTGATCGGGCAAGAACTCATTCTTACAGGTCTCGATTTCCTCTCGGTATTGGTAGCCAAGCTTGCACTCGTCAGAGCAAGCTCCGAATGGGCTCCAGTTTCTTTCGCACTCGATGCAGTTCTTTGGAAGAACGACGGTCTTGGAGCACTGGATGGCAGACCATTTTGGACAAACTGGCTGTCGGATGATGGAAACGACATCTTCGAAGATTCCGGTCTGGCAAGCTTCTTCCTGAGATCGAGTAGCGGGGAAGATGCACTCGCCCATATCGTCTCTCATGCAGTCGACGTACTGAGGGACGTTGTCAAGGCAAGTTTCGCTGTCAAGATTGTTGTATTGATCAAGCTCGATTTCAAGACCACATGGGATGAATCGGACCTCTTCGACTTCGCCTGGGCACATTGGTGGAAGGACTTGCTTTCGGGCACCTGAGCATGGAAGAGTCTCGCCATTGTAGTAGAATCGTGGAGAAGTTGCGTCAGAAGCGAGGCACTCGCCTGGGGCGCTCCAGTTTCGCTGAGCATACGGCTTGCAAGCCTGTTCTTCTTCGTAGTTGTCAGCTGGGTTACATTCGTAAGTGACAGATCGTCGCTGAGTGCAAGTTGCGGGGTCACAGGCAGACCACTGGCCGAAGACAGCTTCTGGAAGCTCAGTTGGACCGCATGGCAATTGCCAAGACTGCTCGGCAGAGCATTCATAGTTCTTGTCGACGCAGGCGCTTCGCTTGAAAAATTCGGTTCCTGGGCATTTGGGATTATTGTAGTTGTGGATGCATCCGGTAGTAGTCTCCTCGGGGACACAGCTGTAAGTGGATTGGCAGGCGACCATGGTCTCGGTTCCAGGGACGAGCATGTTGGTGCAGAGATCCTTCTGGTAGCATTTTTGTTGACCGTTTCCGCAGACGGTGTAGCATGGATCACAAGTGTAAGCGGTCTTGGCTGGGCACTCAGCGTATTCGTATTCGGGCTGTTGGCGGGCACCGGAAATGCCGATAGTGCAAGTAGGATCGTTGGCATTATCAGCGCAGACTGGGCATCGGAATCGAGAAGATTGCTTGGTGCAGACATCAGCTTCACAGCTGCTCCAGTTGCTCCATGGCTGGAGTGGGAGAGTTGGGACCTGGCAGCTATCGGACTCGACCTTTCCGGTGGGCTCGGGCTGCTTGTTGGGGCAGATCCAGACTTCGGATCGAGTTCTCAATCCAGCGCAAGTGCAATCGGACCAGTCGGACCATCCGAGCTCGCAGCAAGCTGGGACATTGCACTGCTCAGTCTTCTGATCGACGAGTTGTCCACAAGCATTGACGTATTGGATGTTTCGGAAGGAGTAGATCCCGTTTCGAGTGTCGTGGCATTGAGCAGAGCACTGACCGACGATCTCAGTTGGGGCGGGCATGACTGGTTTCTGGCAGATAGAGCTCTGGGAATCTTCGTAGACGAAGTTTCCAGCGGCGTCCATAACTCCACATCGAGAAGTTCGAACTCGCTTGGTGAAAGTGTCAGCACAGGCGTCTGGGTAGGAAGTAGCACAGGTAGCATCCCACTGTCCCCAAGCAGCCCATCCTTCGTCAAATCCGCAAGCTCGCTCTTCAACCTGATCGGCTTGTCCATTCCACTGGGCGCAGCTGTGCTTTCGGTATCGGGTTTCTTTCTCGCCGCAGTTTCGAGAGCATCCGGACCAAGCTGACCAGAGGTGCCAGTCGCCGTTGGTACCGCATTCTTGCATGCAAGTGGCATCGCCCTGCTGGCATGGAGTCTGAGTACCAGCGCAGTAGTCGATGAGAGTCTTGTATCGGAAAACTCCGGAGCCTCGGCAGACAGCAGCGCAGGAAGCATCATCGATGTCCCAGTCGCTTAACTGTGGCTGAGCATTTTGACCGCAAGCATCAACTCGAGTGAAATCAAGAGCGTTGCCGTATTTGTCGACGGTGTGGACTCCCTCCGTGTAGCAAGAGTGAGTTCGTCGAGAGACCTGCTTTCCAGCGCACTGCCAGACCTTGCTTTGGTTTGGTCCGTAGGTGAGCTGCTTTCCGTCGCAGGATTGGACCTCTTGCCAGGCACTGTATTGGCCATCTTGTCCTTTGATGGTCTGCTCCTGGGTTTCGGTCTGGGCCTTGTTGCAGACGTTGTATCGGGTTCTGTAGACGGACTGGTCCTTGCACTCGTCTCCAGCGAGTTTGTAGACTGGAGAAGACCACGAGGTCCAGGTGGAGTATTCTTCGCAGCAGGGGAGAGTGATTGGAGTTCGGTCAGTCATCACCTTGGCTTGGCACTGACCCTCCATGTAGCAGACTTTCTCGTTGCATTGTGGGTTGTTGTATGGGCAGCAAGAGGCTTGATTGGTTTCCACGCAGTAGGTTCGAATTGGCGCGGTCTAAAAAATATTCAATAAAATGAAATAAATAAAAAATTAGGGGTCCCACTGAAAAATCTAAAATTTTGATTTAATAGAGTGATACCCTTATTTGATTTTGGTTATTTTTAGTATATTATCATATATTATTATATAACAAATTTCATTTTTCTTTTGATAACTTACATCAAATTCTTCAATAGTCGTAGATCCCACACATTGGTCTGTGCTTCTTCCAAAGCAAGTTCTAGTCTTGACGCGTCGGAGCTTGTTGGGCTGGTTTTCAACGCAGGCCCAGCTCTCCCACTGTCCCCATCCGGACCAGTAGGAGCAGGTGTCGTCGACTGGGTTGTTACAGGCGCGCGAGTCGAGGGAGTCGCCTTCGCAGTCAACGCCAGCGACGCCGTTGAGACATCTTCGGAGTCGGTTGCTCACTCCAGAGCCACAGACACCGCGGCAGCTAGACCAGGCGCCCCATGGAAGCCAGAGTGGCTTGGCACTAGGCTGAGCCTTTGGCGCAGCTGGCTGGGGATTGATGGCACCGCCGGTCCACCACTGATTCGCGTTCATTGCCGAGGCCGAAGCCAGAAGAAAAGACACAGGTTTGACCATTGTTGACAGGAAATCTCCTTTGTGAGATTCAAGTCAATCTGAAAAATAAGTTAGAAAATGCGAAATTAATTAAAAAATCACGTCAAATTGATGATTTTGTCAATTTATTATTAAAAATATTTTATTTCTAATTTTTTTATTTAATTTTTTTCTCTTGTAAAAATTTATCAAATTTTTCTCTGATTTTCTGGAAACTGCCGCATCATCAATTTTTTCACCAAAAATCGCAAAAAAAAACTTACCAAATGGGAAAAATGTAAGTTGAAAGACGCGAGCGGGCATTTTTATATGGAACTTGGTGGAGCAGGGCCCGCGGCACTGCGGATGATAATCTTCTGAAAAGTGGTGGCAGCAGCAGTTAGGCGAAAGTGAATCGCTTCGTGGAACTTGAAATTGTTTTGTAATTTCCGCGCAGCAATTTTTGTCGAATTATTTCGATCATTTAAGCAATTTTAAAAGAATTTTTGCCAAAAAATTGGTGATTTTACAGTTTTTTTCTATAATATTTATTTAAAAAAATAATATTTAACAAATTCAAAGGCAACAATATTCAATCGACTGTCACCATTTTTTAACGAAAAGAAATTTTTTTTATCTAAAATTATTTTTTTCTGAAACCGAATCTGAAAACGGTCAGTGAAGTACATAACGACTTTCTCGCCCTACCAAACACTTGAAATCGCGGAGTCTAAGAGTCTAGAACTCATCTTCAAAAACGTGTTAAAGACTTGAGCGTAGAATTTTTTCATCTACGCTCGGAAATAGCTGAACAAGCAGGTTCTACGCAGTAAACATTGAAATTCTTGCGGTGACTTGAGTTGGCACTTATCCATAATCATTTGACGTTGTTCTCAAGTGCGTGATTAAGTTGGTAATTTTCGGAAAATTGGTGATTCAGTTTCAATTCGCTAAATTGCTTGTTCTTACGTATCATTTTTCTTGGCTATTTTTGAGCCAAAAATAGATTCTTGAGCTTCCAAAATCACAATTTCACTCGAATTTTTTTTAAATATGTCAGAAGAGACAATTTCACGTCTCTTTTACTCATTTTAACATATAAAATGACTATTTTACTACTCACAAAACGATTTTTCGAGGCAAAAGAGACGTTTTTTGACTAAAAAACCTGACTAAAAACGAATCATTTTTGCCTTGAAAGTTCAATGTAAAAAAAATTCTAGAGAAGCGTGAAACAAGCTCTTGAATAAATTTGATGGATCCGTCTGTGCCCGCGCGCGCTCTAGAATTCTCGCACGTGCAAATTTAAACTGCAGCTGCGCGTTCTATTCTCATTCCCTCCCGTTTCTCTTGTCACATTTTCAGCTTCACGTTCCTTTTTTCATTTTCCAAGGTCAATTTTTGAAAGAATAGGGGTTTCTCGGAAAGTATGAAAATAACGTGCTTTGTCAGAATGCTGTAATCTTGAGGGTTTTAAGTGAAGTGAGAAGTGATCCAGCGCTCTCGAATTTTAAGAGCATGAGCTTCAAAGATCCTGGTTTTGAACTCAAATACTCAGAGAAATCCTCTGGACTTTTATTTTTCTTACCAGCCAAACGATGAGCAAATCCTTCTTATCAATGATAAGTTATCATCTTTGAACATGAAATGAAATCTGTGCCTACTCAATTCTAGAGGTGCGAACAGCCTATTCATCGCTGGTGCCTTCTCACCGGTCGACTGATAAGAAGAAAGATGATTTCCAGTTCACTTCCTTATCTAAAGTGCGAAGCCTTTGAACATGACCTAGCCGGGCTAGCCCAAGAAAAACCGAGAGCTCATTTTTCTCAATTTTTAGATCAATTTTCTTCCTGTACGGATTATATATTCCCCGAAAAGGTGCCATTTTTAAGGATTAACAAATCTGAAGTCAAACTTATCAACAAAAATGACCTCAATGATTATAATTTTCGACCTAAAATTCCAGTTTTTATTCATAATAAACTCATTTTATTTAAAAAAAAGTCATCATTATTGCAAAAAAAATTATCACCTGTTAAATTAATAATACCGTGGTTTTCCATTTTAAGAGCGCCCACTTTAAGAGCGTTTTTGCCTATATTTTGAAAATGTTGTCATCTTCCAAAATTCCAGTTTAAGAGCGGTTTTGAAGATTTTTTTTTCAAAAAATTTTCAGACTTACAGTGAATCATTTATTAAAAAATTTTGTAATCTTTGACTGCTTTTCTGGCTATTTTGAAGTCGAAGGCTTCGCAGGGTCTCTATCTCTTGAACTTGAGGTTCTTCTTCAATCTCCATCGGGGTCGCGGATCGTGTTTCATCGATTTGAAGCGCCAGAAAATGCTCGACCAGCTCTTCCTCGTCTTCTTTCTCCAGCACACAAAACATCCAAATCCTCAAAATCTTCAACAGCTGCTTCGAATTCTTCTTCCTTGATCAGCCCAGTATTGATCGAATAGCGCTTGAAGATTGCTGGATTCATGTTCATGAAGATTTCGTTCGCTTTGTTCACGAGATCTTCTTCCTTGATGTTCAGATGATCATGATCGACGATGAAATCGTCAAGAAAACATCGGATCTTTTTTTAATTACAGAACACAAGGTTGTCACAAAAATTAAAAATCCCACTGTCATCCTACCTTGATTGAAAAATTTCCAATCTAAGAGCGATTTGAGCGAGACCTGTCATCCAAAAAACGCTCTTAAAATGGAAAACCACGGTATATTTTTAAAATAATAATTCAAATAATAACCATAATAACTTTTTATAATCATGATTGCCCTTATTTTTCATAAAATGAGTTTCTTCTGAATAAAAACTCGAATTTTAGGTCGAAAATTATCATCTAGGGGGTTATTTCTGATGAAAATTTCCTTCTATTAGAATCGACATAATAACGAATTTCCGGAAGTTTACTTTTTACGATAGTTTCCAAGGCTTATTTTGCCTAAAAAAATTAACGTGAGCATGTCCGCCGCTCGATGCCATAATATTTATGCTTCGCCTTTATTCTAAGACTCGATTTCGCAAGATTGGAAATGTCCAGAGTTGTTGATACAACCTTGCAAAAGAGCCACAACTTGTTTTTGCTCGGTCGAATTGAACGGTTTTTAAAAATGATGAGAAGAGGTGCTTCTCTTCTGATTTAATCCAATTAGACCGTGGACTCTCCGGTTTAACCCAATTTCGCTGGAATTTTATTTTTTCAGTAGAATGCCGCAGGCATTGGAGATAAAAGCTTGTGCAAGATTCCGCGGTCGGATTTTCGACATCTTATAATTTTTAAATTCGAAGGAGTCTATTTTTGAGTTTTACTGAAGAAACAAAAATTTTAAGGGACTGTCCTCAAAATTCTGGACTCTTTGTCGATCAAAAACTTTCAAATATCGAACGGATCTAGCTTTATCCTGAAAAAATTAAGGGTCTACCTCAATAAAAATTCTTTAAAAACCCGCTCCTAGCAACGCTACCTCCAACGGCCTGTATACTCTTAAATTGGCTCATCAAAAGGGGACTTTTTGCAGAAGAGAGTTTGATCTAAAAGTTCCAACTAAAATTAAGGGTGTATCTAAGATAGTTTTTTAGAAAAAATTGCTCCCAGGAGGCCTATTTTCTCGATGCTTGATTTGGGGGGGGGTCCTTAATATAATTATCCTTCTTCTTGGAAAGTCCTTAAGCATTATCAAGTCGTTCGGAAGGCTTATCAGTTGAGTAGTTGCGGTGCTTATGTTGAACCCGTTTTGGCGGCAATCTGCAGAAAACATGAAAAGTGGGTGAGGTCTAGCTCCAGGGCTAAAGAAATTGGGGCTCTCTCTATCCTTGTTTTCAACATTCTCCGCCGCTAATTCTCCGAAAGTAACGTGTAACATTGTTAAGCAAATTCATTCACTTGACATGGCGCATTTCGAAATCATTTTGGACTCAAAATAATTTTACAACTAACCGTAATTGACGTGATAATCGATTGATTATTGATCCCCTTATTTTTTGTTTTATTAAAAAAGGTTCAGAAAAATCGAGGTCAAAATTGTTAGTTCAAAAAAGAGCGGTTCCGATGAATGGACAAAGATGGATTGCCTATTCGAAAAACTCGCAAGCAACGATGCACCTGCCTAATCAATCAAATTATCTCGTTTTTCAGAATTTTGTGTTTCTGTAATTACTTAATGTTTTCCTTCTTACGCAAGTCTTGACGACTTAAGGAAGGCAAATAAAACATCTCACAATCGCGAAAAAAGAGAAACGAATTAACAAAAATGTGGGCCTATATAATTTGGGCTCACATTCAAACGATTCTACGGATTCCGATCCTTTTCTGGCTCGACATTTCCGGCCAGTTTCCTGGACTCTTTCGCAAAAGGTAGAGCTTCCTTTCTCATCCCTTTCAAACTAAATTCAAGCCCTATTCAATGCTACCTGGAACTCTACCGGGAGAGAATTCGTAACTCGACAATTCCCCTACCGATCAGAAAAGAAGTCCCAAATTTTCAAGTTCTCAATATCGAGACTTCTGGATTAGAGGAACTTGAAAAGTATCTTGGCGAAATAACCGTCCTCAACTTTGGCTCGTGCACGTGACCTCCGTTTATGGACTCGATAAAAGAGTTCAAGAAAATTTTGAAAAAATTTCCATCAGGTAATAGATTTTCATCAACAAGGAAATGTAAATATATATTTTTCAATCAAAGAGCTTCTGATATTCAGTTTTTGATTTGGGTTTCAATGAACCAAAGAAAGTCATCATTGTCGTCTTCGATTTGTTCGAACAAGAGCCAGTTGTCGCTAGACTCCATTTGGGAATGACTCGGATTCCGTTTCCAACCTGATTTTAAAGAATTATTCTTTGTTTTTCATCACCTTTATGAGGACGTTCTCCCGCTCTCACAATGTAAGGACATTTTTCTTCCATGCATTCTTGCTTGTCGAGAATCCAAGTGTCCCCAAACTCAGAATTATAATGGTTATTCGCGCCAAATGGTCGTTGAAGAACAAGCCCGAGTAGACTAGGATCTTCATGAAGAGGAAGGTCTTTATAGTACATCGCTCGCATCGGCGGGTCATCTTCAGAGACATGAGTATTGATGCAGTACTCGTTTTTTCTTTCCGTTGCTTCGAGAAATGTATGATGAATTTTGACTCCATCAGTTTCACAGGGAATCGCCGAATTTCCAGCAAGGCACTCATGTTTGACGAGCATTCTATCGACTGAGGTTTTTGTTGCGCATTTAACTGTGTGAGGTTTTACGAACCCTGAGGCCGGAGATTTTATCTGAGGCCACATCTTACTGCGCGCTACGCGTGCATCTCAGTCGTCTTGTAAATAAAACTCGAGCAACACCTTTTCCAGAGTTTCGTCTTTCATTCACCGCACTAGAGAATACGTAAAGTGGGGAACTATCAAGCAAGCCGCAGGATTTGCCAAAACCTTACAAGTGGTGTCATCGTAATTGTGCGAAGACAAGACGGCTCCTCGAGTACAACTTACCGGTAAAACTAAAATCTACAAGGATCCTCGAACAATCAACCGCTCTCCAATCAATTCTTCGTCGACGCTAAACCTGATTTCTTCCCGGAAGACGCCTTTTCCGTTCCAAGGCCGCGCATCCTTCTCCTGTGGAACCAACGGCGTAAAACTTTTCGCGCACTCCCGCTGATCGAATCAGCCCAACCGTCGCCACTAGCTCCCGCTCCGCAAGCCCCTAAAAGTGATCTCTATCTGAGTTCACTGGGGTCAGGCCAGGTACAACCGTTTTGCTGCTGATTTCTCGCGCATTCTAGTCCGGCCCGCGCTGCTGTTGCTACTTCGTTCTTCACCTCGCCGCACCCACCAGTCACTGGCCTCCTAAAATCTGGTTTGGGGATTTCCTGTCGCTCTCAGCTCGCCTATCATCCCTATAATTTGACCTAGACTTTAACTATCTAGCGTCAAAGGGATCGGTCCAGGTACAAGTCTTACCCAACAGATAACCAGTCGACTCAGTCCATTCGCAGCGTCTCGCCAGCATATCTCCGTCTTCATCGCTGAAAATGTCATTCAACCCGGACAGCATCAAAACTGTAAAAGAAGCCCTGGAGTTCGCCAGCACAACTCGAGCGCAGAAAGAAGCCCTTGAAAAGCTCCCAGCTACACTACGAGAAAACGAAGAGGTCAAAACCAGATCGGAGAGTACCAAGCGATCATCGATAAGTGCACTTCTCTCGTCATGTCTGGAAAGTTACCTCTTGGCGCTCCTGCTGCTCAGTCCACTGCTGGTAGCTCTGTCATCTCCGCTTCTGTCATCAACACGGCATTCACCCGCCACTTCGGCACTTCAAAGTTCCAAGGTACCAGCCCACAAGAAACTGATCACTTCCTCGGTCTCGCCGACTCCTTCCAAAAGAGTTACATCATCGACCGCGCCACCGGCAAGCCCGCCATGGACAAACAGCAGTTCTTTCTCAGCTGTTTGCGCGCCCATCTGGATGTTGCCCCGTCTCGCGCCATCGGTGATGCTCTTGATAAATGTGCAGACTACGAAGCCGCCCGTAAACTCATCAACAGACAGTTCGGCGGAAAGCTCAACCACCTTTTGATCATCGCTGAAGCTGCTGCTACCGACTGCGATGCTGATTTGCCGCTCCACGACTATGCCGGAAAGGTCCAACAAAAGCTAAACGAGGCGTATGAAGCTTGTCTACGTGAATTCAAACGCGTAAATCCTGATAAAGAGATGACCGCCCAAGATTGCTTCTATCTCTTTGGTACGCATCTCCTGTCAGAAAAGCTCCGTCTCCAGATGCCAGATCTTTACAACAAGTTGATCGACAAAATGTCCGACAGTTTCAGACCAGATGATTTAGCTGCTGTCGCTGAGACACTCCGCCGAAATATGACTCCGACCGACGCCAACTGCTACTACTTGGGAAAACGCCGCGATAACAAGTCGAAGCCCGACAACAAAACTAAAAACGGTAAACGAGGGGCTTACCGTACCAAAAATGGTGGTCAAAACAGCAAAGATTCTGAGACCGGTAATAATGACCAGCAAGTCAAGCAAGCCACAGCTCAACCAACCACCGACAATGCACACGAGGATGAATCGGCCATTACCCTTGCGTGCTGGCGAGCTGCTCCAGTGTACCAATCTTTGCCAAAGCTAGTGCCAGACCCCTACACCGCTAGCATCAAATTCACACGTGACAACTGCTCGTTCGTCACCGACGTAGAGATCGACTCCGGATCCTGCGCCACTATGCTGCCAAAGAAGGTAGTCCCTGAAAAGTTACTGTCGCAGCTGAAACCAGCTCCATTGACGATTTCTGGACTGTATGGTGCCGCCAAAAGCCCACTTGGCTATTTGGAGATGAAAATGATCTTCGACGCGGGCCCTGAATTAGAAGCAAAAGTCTACGTGCTGGAGGATTGCCCAAGCCTGCTAGGGCGCGACATCTTCCAATCTCCAGAAATTCGATCAGTCGAATTCGAGAAAACCTACCTTCGCCTGAACTTCGATGGCAGGTACAAGTCATTTTCACCGTTGAAGGTCCAGCTCAAGCGAAACTCGCGGGTTGGGATCGCCAAACCTGACGGTGGAAACGAGGTTCATCAGGTACCCGATGGAAGCCTGACTTTGTCGGTGAAGCAAAGTCTCGGCCACGATCTGCCTACACACGCGCCTTTGGAGCACCAAAATACGATCACAGCTGATCTTAAAGAGCTCAAGGCCGCATCTGCAACTTCTCCGCAGTCACTTGGCGAATTTCCGGAAGACGCAGAGTTGCACTCCGTGCCTGGCGAGGTACGAAACCGTGAGCAGAACTCGATTCCGCAGGCCCAATCTTCACTGGTAGTCGAGCCTACCGAAAAAGTGCTCACCGAAACCCCTGCATTTGATACTGGTCAGATCCAAGCTGCTAGTTTCAAAGCTGATTCGATGCCTTCTTCGTCTAAGGGGGATGTCTCTGGTAAAACGAAGAAAGATAGTTCTCTCAGCACAGAACATCAAACTACAATCGTCGAATCTCCAACTTCAACCGTCGCGAAAAATACTTCGTCGCAGAATCCTTCGGACCCCGCTACAGATCAACCTCAAGTCTACCTTGGACAGAATGCCACGTTTCTCTCGACAACGAATTCCCAGGAACGAGCAGAAAATTCTGCCCTTGAAAAGTCCGATTTGGGCAGATTGGCCGGAAATCTCGACCGACCAGCCAATCAGCGTCCGCCGCTGTCGACGACCCCGGTGAACTTTCCCACGATCCCGACGGAAATCTTGGATACGCCGCTCAAGTGTGTTGTTGCTCGTACATCGTCGCCGCCATCTACTCCCAAGAGAAATTGCCGCTCTCCAGTCAGTACTCAAAACTACTAGAGCAATTTCGAAAAGGTCTCGCCTGTCCGCCAACTACTTCTCAGAAGCCGACTTGCGATGCAATTCTTCTCTTACTGTACCCTCATACTAAACTCTAGGGGGGATGTGAGGTTTTACGAACCCTGAGGCCGGAGATTTTATCTGAGGCCACATCTTACTGCGCGCTACGCGTGCATCTCAGTCGTCTTGTAAATAAAACTCGAGCAACACCTTTTCCAGAGTTTCGTCTTTCATTCACCGCACTAGAGAATACGTAAAGTGGGGAACTATCAAGCAAGCCGCAGGATTTGCCAAAACCTTACAACTGTCATCTTAATCAAATTTTGAAATAAATGTTATCGATAGTATCATACATTTCTGTCCTCTTATGGGGTATGCAATTCAATCAGAAAATATCTTTATATTCTATTAAATATTTTTAACTTTTATTTTTAAGAGGGGGGTCGTCAATATGGATTTTCAGGGTTTATCAAAATCCCACTTCTACATATAGTGTGCATATAAAAATTATATTTTTGGAATCTACAAATTCTGACGAGTCTGTTGAGCCTAAAATTATTATATAAAAATAAGTTTTAGGGGGTAAAATCGATGAATTTGTGAAAAAATGATCATTTTTGGTGAATTTTCGCGAAATGGCCCTACTTTGGCGGCATTTCTAACCGATTTTTCTGGCCAAATTTTTTCTCGTTTGCGCCGATAGAATTTTACAACCCTTTTCTTTCCCCTGACAATTTTAGTTTTTTCTATCCAATCAGGTTTTTCCGCTTTTTTGCTCAAGAGAAACCCCGATATTGACGACCTCCCCCTTAATCCTTTTAAAATCATTAAATCTGACTGAAAAAGAGACCCCAGGTCGTAAGTGAGAAAACCAATTTTCACATCAGGGCTAAAACATGTTGCCTCGTCTTCAATCGGAAAACAAGAGCCTTTTTCCCCACAGTCGACTCCAAAGCAAGGATTCATATTAGAAACCGTTGTTGTTTTTCCTTTTGTTGTTGTCGAAACCGTGCTTGTTGAAGAGGTTGACGAGGTTGTAGAAGAACTTGAAATCGAGCTTGTTGGAGTTGTTGATTCTGAATCCATCGGAAAAGAGTTTGATGTCCATTGTTTTGTTCCATAAGATCCTGTCGTGTTTTTCTCTATATTTGGTAGTGTCTTATCAAAGTCGTGATCATGTCTTCTCAAGAAAACTGGCGTTGTAATGGATGATATAGCTGAGAGAAGAACCACTATTGATAAAATATATAGAATTTTTTTGTAATTTTCTATTTTCATTTTGAAGATTTGATCTTTTGTTTCCGTTGACGACGAATTTAATGCTCGATTTTATGCGTGTTTATTTTGATTTTTCGATAAAAGATTTCAAACTGTTTCTGATATGAATTTTTCGCCTGACAGATAAAAAGATTGCGACGTCGATCACTCATTGTAATCTTTTTCTTATCTTCGTTTTCAAATAATTTATTCCCAAATCATTAATTTTTTAGTAACCTTTCTCACGATCTACGTCCGCGAAGCTCACCCCACCGACGGCTGGGCAATCCAAAACTCCTACAATCTTCCCCAGGCAACTTCCAACTCCGACAGAATTCAATCCGCAAAAATCCTCCAAGCAGAAGCCGGCGAGATCGGAACAATTCTCGCCGACCCAATCGGCGACGAAATCGAGCAGTTTTTCTCAGCCCTTCCTGAAAGACTCGCGATTTTAAAAATAAAAAGGTCGAGTATGTTGGTGAACCTGGACCGTTTGGTTACGATTTGGACGAAATGGTGCGAAAACTGGAGGAAATTTTGAAAGAAAACTAATTTTTCGGACGAAACCAATTTATGGAAGTGAATTTTTGGATAACCAATAAGATTGCTGTATTCGGCCAACCGGCCAATCAAAACCCTGATTTATCAAACCACTTCCATAAATTGGTTCAACCTAATTTTTCTGCATTTTTTATTACTGCTCATGATGTTTTTCGAGAAAACCTATCTGGAAATCGAAAGATTGATAATTAAAAATTACAGTAATAACTCGAAACTCAAGTGTTTCGAAAATATGAGCTTGTTGAGCATAATTATTTTTACAAAAGCAGATAAGTGAAAAACTGTTTTGCTCCTTTATTTTTCTTTTTTAACAATTAGAAGATTGAGCAGGGAAGCAGTTCTTCTGAGAGCAATAAACATAAATTTATTGCTCCACAAAATTATTCGAAGCATTAAATTGAACGCAAATTTATTAGTTTTGAAAACAAAAGCGAGCTCGGCGGACGTGTGTGGGAGCTTACTCATCAGTCAGTCGCAATATCAATATTTTGTCACCTTGAAAATTTTAAGCTTCAGTTTTGCAGACTTTTATTCTCACGGAAATATCGCGTAAGCAAAGAAGAATACAGAAAGAGAGTTGCGAAAAAGATGGATATTTTGACGGTGATAGAAAAATATTATACAAAGTAAGTTATTCAAAAATCGTCGTTCTAGGGTTAGGGTTTTGATGTTTCTGTTATTTTAAGACTGAAGTTTCATTAAATTTGAGCTGAAAATCGCTCAATTTGTTGAGCGAAAAATCCGACTTTCTTGAGCCGAGATTGAGCTTAACCCCTATAAACGAAGTGTACAATTTTTGTCGATTTTGGGTTATTATCGCCTGCCAAACAGAACTGGTAGATCGGAACGATCTGAAAACTTAAATGAGTATTTGCACACGCATTACGCACCTCCCTAAAAAGTTTCAGTCTGATAAGACCCACGAGTACTGCGTGAGCACCGTTTTTCTCACCTCCACCTGCGCGCTTCAAAGGAACAAAAAATTCTATTTATCTTTTAGGCGTCTCTGAGCTATTGTTTTTAACTTATTTAAAGGTTTTTAAGTATGGAGAATTCGAATCTGGGATCTTTGAAAAGATTGGATGAAGATTTTTAATAATTTCGACATAATTAATTATAGAAGAAAAACAAATTCTAGTGCGTAGTATAGAAAATCTAAAAGTGTAGTTTGAAAGAAAATGTTCGTTTATGTATAATTTGTGATTTTCAGGAGATTATCTCAAGAGGAAGGCCAAATCGACAAAAATTGTACACTTCGTCTAAGGGGTTCTTTAGACTGCTTCGCTTATAGGGGTTAAACTAAGCCCTAGCTGAGCTGGGCTGAGCTTAGCTGGGCTGAGCAGAACTGGGCTGGGCTGGGCTGGGCTGGGCTGGGCTGGGTTGGGCTGGGCTGGGCTGGGCAGGGCTGGGCTGGGCTGGGCTGGGCTGGGCTGGGCTGGGTCGAGCTCAGCCGAGCTGAGCTGAGCTGAGCTGAGCAGAGCTCGGCTGAGCTGAGGTGAGCCAAGCTGAGGAGAGCAAATCGCCACGAATCTGCTCAAATTTTTGATTTTCGTTTTTTTTTCTACGAATTCTATTTCAAAGGTTCCTTGAGTCACATTTTCTTTGTATGGAAAGTGATTAACATGCTGCATCGCAGTGGGGTGGTGTGACGAATGGTCTCTCTGTTTCTATGAAACGCGTTTTTTGAGGCGCGTGTTTTCGAGTCCCAAGGTGTCACTTTTTCATTCAAAGCTACCAAATCCGTGCTTATCATTTTTTTTTCTCTGGCGACTCGCCAGTGGCGAGTGCAGATTTCGAGATCGCTGATATTTTTTATTATCAACAGAAAAAAGGGAAAAGTCAAGAAAAAATAAGATACAAAGGCTGTCAAAGTCAGAATGACTGTAAGCTCTCCCAGAGGAATCGCAAGATCAAGGTTTGAAATGAACATAAAAAGGATTTTTGAAGAAGATTTTCCTTGGAAAAAAAATTTTCATCAACCCTCTTTTAGGCACAAATCGCAGTCGCTCGATGACTCCGCAAATTTGGACAAGCAGTACTCGCCGTCACAATGGGCGACTCGCCTGACACCCGAAACAATTGTGGGAAATCATGTGGAAACCGTAAGTCCTTTTCAACCCCTTCTCCAAAATACTTTTTTTCAAAAGATGGTTTCTGCGACGAAAAACGCGCGGAGCAGCATCAACTGCGAAACCGGAGTGAAATACAGTGATCTCGGCCCGAACTGTCTGCTAGACATCTACAAGCCAGAAGAAGTGACGAAAGGAACGCCAGTTTTTGTCTACATCCACGGTGGTTACTGGCAAGAGTGCAGTAGAGATGTTTCGGGACATGCAGCAGAATCGGTGACGAAAATGGGCGCAATTTATGTCGGAATTGGTTATGATCTCTGTCCGAGGTGAGATTTCAATGAGATGTTTTCGTGAAATTTACAGAGTGACACCCTTAAAATTGCAAATAAAGCCATAAAAATGGATTTTTTCAAAAAAAAAATTAGTTTTTCGGGAATTTTCGGAAGAATTTGAAAATTTTTTTACCAAAAATAAGGATATCAATTTGTTAATTTTCAGAGGAAAGTCCTTTTTGCTTATTTTCAACAGTGGAATATTTTTTAACTCGCTGCTAATTCTTCTCTCGTGTCATCCCCTAAAAATAAAACCCTCCCTCGCCCTCTCCTTATTTAACCTCCTTGCGCAACAAACTCATCCTTTTCAGTGTTTCAATGTCTGAAATCGTCGCTCAAGTGCAAGCAGCATTTCAATTCATTCGCCACAAATTTCCTTACACTGTCGGAATTCACATTATGGGACACTCGGCTGGTGCTCATTTGGCGACGATGGTTTTGGCGCAGCATTCGCACGATTTTCCAAGCTTGCTGCCCGTGACGATTTATGCTGTTTCGGGGATTTTCGATTTGAGGTGAAAAAAGGGGCCAATTTTTCCTTAAAATAAATTTAGGCCGATTGTGGAAACTTCCGTCAATAATGCCTTGAAACTCACCATCGACGACGCCGAAGCCATGTCTCCAATGGACCCGACTAACTTCAAGAAAATCTACGCGAATTCAAGACAATCGACTCGTTTCATTATCTGCATCGCTGAAAATGACTCTCCAGCTTTCCACGATCAGTCTCTTCGGTAATCTTTTACTTTGGCTTTCTCTTTCATTTTTAAGCTTTTACGAAATGCTGAATGCAACTGGAGTTCGATGCGATTTCATTGAATTCGAAAATACCGATCATTTCAGTAAGAAAATTTTTTTTTCAAGAAAAGAATGATTCTTTTTAGACATTGTGGAAAAATCAACAGACCCAAATTACTTGATGAACGATGTTATCAAGAACCAGCTTTCCTCCTTGTCTTCCAACTGAACTGGCTTTAACTCTTTTTTCTCCTGTACAAATTCAATCAAGAATAAACATGTTTGTGCGATTCAAATTTTCGCCAGTTTAAGAGTAAAAGCAGTGGGCATCAAATACCAAGTGTTGGCTTCCATATTGTCGATAGATGGATGCTCGTTGACGACCTTTATTTTCATCCCGTCTTCTTCGAACTCTGCAGTTCTGGTGTCATTGTCAAAATAGAACCGCACGAAGTCAAACTTCTCGTAGTAAGGGTTTTTCAGGGGGATTCGCAGAGCTATAATTTTTTTATGGACCTCACCGTCAGCTTTTTTCGAAAAATCAAATTTCGGAATTTTAAAATTTTGACCCCGGAATTGAATTCTACAGGCCAAAAAACGATTTTAGGCTGCATTTTTTGGGGGTCTATCTCGACTCCTTCACCCCCAAAATCGCATTTGAAAATTAGACTATTCGCCAAAAATTGACGAATTTCCCCAAATTTTGGCAAATGTATTGAATTATCTTGGTCAAAACTTTCTCTCATCAAGATTTTGAAGCAAGTTTAACCTGAGGACGCGTTAAGAATCAAAAATATGGTGTTTTTAAAAAATTCCCTTTTCGGACATAAAAGCTCACGGGGGGTCCTTAAATTAATTTTCGATAAATAGAGAACCTACCTGGAGAGTGGTCCTTGAAGTCGGTGTTTTGGAGAACGTACTCGTCATTTTCAACTCGGTCGAGCGTCATTTGGTGGAAAAGAATTTCGCCAGAAGGAAATAAATATGCGCCAGTGACAGTTGCGGGGCGAGTGAAGGAGAAATTTTCGTTAAGAATTACTGAACTTGGCAAAATTTGATAAAAGGAATCTCTCCTTACCTTCTTGATATTCACAAGATGATGCGTGAATCTGAGGACTGAAGCTTTGAGTGCTAAGGTTTTTTATATTTTCCCAGCCACTTTCCATTAAATATGTTTTCTGGCAAAGTCGCTGAAGAAGAATCTCGATTTCATTTTGTTGAAATTGTTTTTCTTTCTCGTTTGGGTTCAAATTGAGTCCAGCCATGCTTTGTGGAAAAACAATCATCGTCAAAGTAGACAAAATTTTCTCGAAAGTGTATGAACAGTCCGCATCGTTGAAGCCAAGATCATTTTTTATTGCGTGTCGAAGAAGTGTCGTGACAGAAATTGGCACGCAAAGTTGCGAGTTTTTCTGGTCAAAGACGTTTTCGGTCAAGTTTTGCATTCCTTGCTCGACACATTTGCTCGCGCTTTGTCTCAGAATCGACATTTGACAGGACTCAGTCAAGTTTGGATTTTCCTGGCAAAAATCGTCAGACGCATTTTTGAGAGAGATTATTTTCGTGATTTCGGAAAATAAATTGCGTTGCTCGTCGAAATCATAAACATTTGCCCAAGTTGTAATTGAATGAGCGCCACAATTCTAAAAATATAAAAAAAATAAACAGTAAGGAACCCCCGTCAGCTTTTTCCTTCGAAAAATGGAAATTTTTATAAACACCATATTTTTGGTTTTTCATGCGTCCTCAGGTTAAACTTGCTTTAAAAACTTGGTCAGAGGAATTTTGGACCAATAAAAATCAATGTTTTGCCAAAATAAGGGAAATTCGTCAATTTTCGGCGAAAAGTCCAATTTTCAAATGCGATTTGGGGGTGAAGGAGTCAAGATTAGACCCTCAAAAATGCAGCCTAAAATCGTTTTTAACCCGCAGAATCTATTTCCCGGGTCAAAATTTCGAAATTCGAAACTAAATTTTTCGAAAAAAGCTGACGGGGAAGGGGGTCCTTAAAAACCTTTGCGATTTCATCGATTTCTTTGCGTTGCTCATCACTAATCGGCTGATAAAGAAGCGTCCACGACGTTTTCCAGTCGCAAAAAGAAAATAATATAAATTTGAAGCTTCATAACCTCCTCCAGTCGAAGTTGGTTTAGAATGCGTAAATCCTGGCGTCCCAGCAGCTTCGAAATTTAAAAGTACTTAGGTAATTAAAATGTTCAAAGACTTACCAAGAGCAATATAAGCTTTGTATTTAGATCCTCTTCTCACGTAACCCATATTTCGGTAGCTTTTTCGTCCAGTCTCGTCCATAACAAGCCCAAAGTCTATGAACTTTGGTACTCCGCCAATAATCAGAAAGTTTTCCGGTTTCTGATCCCAATGCGAAATTCCACAATTGTCATTCAAGTATTTATCTCCATCCAAAATTCCGTACGCAATCATTTTTCTTTCTTCCAAATCAATTTTTTCTTCCTGAAGCAAACTTCTCAAAGAAACTTCTCCTTTTTCTATGATGGTTATCCATCCCAAACAGTCTTCTTTCTCTTCGTCTTTTTCGTGAAATAATTCAATATTAACGTAGTTCTTGATAACATTCTTATCTGGGCTCGGCAACCTGACTAGAAAACCTGAGTCAGGGTCTGAAAGAGCTAAAATGAAAAGCCGCGTAGCGGCTTTTTCTAAAATTGAAGCCGCAGAGCGGCTTCGCCAAAATTAATAAATACACTAAGAAGGTAAAATATGCGAAGCCGCTTTGCGGCTTCGTTTTTAAAAAAAGCCGCTACGCGGCTTTTCATTTTAGCTCTTGCAGGCCCTGACTTAGGTTTTCTACTCAGACTTCCGAGCCCAGATTCTTATGGCATGGGATCTTCTTATCGTTGTCTTCGGATGATTCCTGGCTTTTTGCTGGCTCAAAATCTAAAAATAATTTCTTGAGCAAAAAATTCTCAAAACCTTATTAAACCTTTAGAAAAATTCACATCAAAAATAATCTCTTCGGCTCCGAATTCCTCGGTAAAAAGAAAGGGATCAAAAACCTGGACTCGCACCGCGGTCTCAAAACCATCGAAATTCTCAGCAAGAACGATTGCTTCTCCTCCTTTCGAAATAATCTTACTCTCCAAATCATCGGCTAGCTGCCATTCGCCAGTTTCTTCTTTGATATCCCATCGACTTATTGTCTCACCATAAAAGGAAGGGTTATTCTCAAGAAGCATTTTTTGGAATGTCGTCAGCTTCAATTCCCTTTGTGACCATTGCCGGCTGAAGAAAACATCTGCAAAGCCGTCCTTCCTGAAAATAATAAAGTACCACCAAACGCACCAGCCATCATCTTCAAAATAGCTTCTCGAAACTGATTCCACAAGTCGGCATTTCTGACTCCGCGAAGTTGTTCTCTTCAGTTTCGGAAGAAATTCCTTTAGCCAAGATTCAACTTTCTTTCTTTCCAGTTGACTTGGATGGCCAATATCTTGACCATTTTCAGGCTCTATTGTTTTTGCCATTTTTTTGTTTCAATTTTGGTATCTCAGATGAAAAAAATTCACAAAAAATGAAGGGTCATTATTAAACTCTGAACACTCACTTGTTTCAACATGTCTTTTTTACGAGAGTAAGATCAGAGTTTGCGAAGCAAATAAGTGAAAAGGCAAATATGCCTTCATATTCCAGGATCAAAGTAGGACGTTTTTGGCCTTTGAAACGTCGGAAGGATAAGTACCCTAAGGGGAAGTACCCAATTATCGGGGTTTACGAATACGCTGAATCTGACTAAAATGAAAGTAAAATGATTCAAAAAAATTAACTTGTTAATTTTGATTTTCTGTCCTTAGACCTAAAAACCATGAGGGGGGGTGCCGTCAATATCCGGATTACGGAAAAACAAAAAAAAAAGCGGTGAAACCTGATTGGATGGAGAAATTTAAAATGAGGATTGAATTGAAAAGGGTTGAAATAATTCATCGGCAAAAACAAGAAAAAATTTTGGCCAGAAAAAATCTGCTAAAATGTCCCCAAAGTAGGTTCATTTTCGTGAAAATTGCTCGAAAAGAAACCAAAAAAAAGCTCATCGATAAATATCCCTACGGATTCTTTCTTTTTCAAAGGCAATTTTTCCACCTCTGTCTCTGAGGAGGTGTTCGGTTAATCGAAAGTATTTAAAATCATCAAAAACAATTTAATTTTGCTGTAGAGACGATCAGATAAAATGGCAAAAAGAAATCACCTCTGTTTTTGCTGACAGAATTTAAAGGAACTTCGCTAACATCTCACATTGACTTTTGAGATTTCATCACGTCAAGGTGAAAGCTCTTTTTTTATACTTCCCATTTAGACGTTTCTGAGTTTTTTATCAGAACCAGAACACGCACAAAACGCTTGACCTATGTGCCGGACGATATGTTGAAAACAACAACGATTTACCAAAAGTTGGATTCGCGTTCTGATAGACAGTGTTTTCGAGTCGCTTGAAACGTAAATTTGCCTGCGGAAAATATTCTGTCGGACGCAAGTTGCGATGCTCGTCTTTCAGACTCGGCCGACTCAGCGCAAAATGCTCCAATAAAACAAGCGCATTGCCTCGCGCACACTCCGCCATCCGATCATCGCTCATCATTTCGAGAACGAGTGACCTGGCTTAGGACACATTTTTGAGAAATCGAAAATTTCTAATCCATCAATTTTCGGATCAAATTTTTTTTATTGGCAATTAACTAAACAGGGGAAAAATAAAACGATGGATAAAGAAAAAGAGAGACAGAGACAGAGAGATAGAGATACTAACAGTTTTGAGTAAACAGTTTTGATAGTGATTCTTCTAACAGTTTCTTAAGGGTATCCCCTTAATTTTCGCTTGGAAAAACGCTAAATCGTGATTCCTAAGGGGTTGAGTTAAGGGTCTGCCAAGGCAAAATTTGGAAAGAGGGGTTCCCTTAAGTTTTATGACGAAAAACTTAAGGGAATAGCCTTCGATATGCTAAAAGCGCCTGAAAAGACCCCAAAACCGCCCTTAAAATGCTCAAACCGAAAGATAGGGATACCCTTAAGTCAAAAATTCATTCAAAAGTTCAAGTTGTAAGTGAGACCCATTGTCAGTCAGGATTTGGGTTAATGGGATGATCCCGGATTCAGAAAATCGCGAATCGAAATCCAGTTTTGTTTCATTCAGTCGATTGAGGGTATATCATCCCGTTATCCAAAACTGGCAGCTGGTGGTTGTTCTCCCAATCGACGAATAAGGAGAGGCGGCGGCATGCTTTTTCTAGCGCTGGAATTTGGAGTCGCGAAATTGGCTGGTAAGATCGTTTCTCTCCGGCTCGCAGATCGAGTGTCTCTGAGACCGAGGCCGAGCGACGGGGAGAGAGCAGCAAGGCCAACGCCCGGCGACACGGCCAATCGAAAAGGGGAGCGAAACGCTGACAACGGCAACTTTGACCCTCGACGACTTGTGTCGAGTTGCGCAACGAGCACCATGTTGTTCAAGTTGGCTTTGAATATTTAACGACTTTGGACTCTTATGGACTTGAAAATAGAATGATGGACTTTGACTCTTCTGTTTGAAGAGGGATCATGTGATGATCAACTCGATTAGATTTAATGGGAATAAATTGATTTGTTAATGTTGTCAACAAAAAGATGTCAGTTATGATCTGACTTTTTTCTTGGCTCTTCGACCTGTGAAAAACCTGTGTCAGGTTTTGAACTGGGTTCGGCTACGTGTTCAGAAATCCTGAGTCAGGGTTTCAGAGTTTTAGTAAGAAAAGCCGCAAAGCAATTTTTTTTAAACGAAGCCGCAAAGCGGCTTCGCCAGAATTTGAATTTAAAGATTATCTTCGCGAAGCCGCTCCGCGGCTACTTTTCTAAAAAAAGCCGCTACGCGGCTTTTTAATTTAAAAAAATAGAAACCCTGACTCAGGATTTTTTTACACAGGTTGTCGAGCCAAGGTTTTGAAATGAAAATGCTTTTCGAAAAGTTCATCTGTGATTTCTAAAAAGAACATTTCTTTTTATTTATTATTAATTGAATAACGATTTTGGGCTGGAACGTGCGAAATCGGCGGTTGGGCATCGCGGCGCGCAGGCGCTCGCTCGCGGTCAAGATCGCGGACGGCGCGCGGACTCCGGCGCGTGTGGCTCACGTTTGCACCGCGCGCCTCCGCTCCAATTGGTCGAAGAAAAGACGCCAACTGCAACGGCATCAGACTTGGCAAAGTCGGAGCTCAACTTTAATTCTGAGCTCCCTTCTGAAGTGACCTTTCTCAGAAAAGACGTCTTTTTAATTGATTTTTTTCTTGATGGATTCTTCTTGAAGGAAAGAGACTTTTTTGAAGATCGGAAGACAGTTTTTCAACGAAATAAATAAAGGTTTGTGTTTTGGTCAGATCACGTGCTTCTTGAAATCTTTTGAAATTGGTCCAAAATGTGTCAAAAATGACCAAATGATCAATGTTTGCACTGATGCAGTTTCCGATACCAGACCACCAAATGATCTTAAGGTGAAAGGCTTTGTTGAGAAATATTAAATGCTCCTTTTTTACCAGCAAATTTGAGCGAGGAATGCGCCTGAAGAACTATTCATTTTGAATATTTGGACTCAGATTTGATAAGATATTAGTAATGACGCGACGGTTTATGAGGATGAATCGACTCTGACTATACTCGGATTTTTTTATAATTGACTCCATCATTGTAAGGAAGCGTCACATCAATTAAATAAATTAGCTCAAAAAAAGACGGAGGTACCCATCTGACCAAATAAGAAGGTCTGGAAAATGTCTGAGGATGAATTCTGGTGATAAAAAGGCAGCTCTAATTGCGAAAGACTTTCCACTTGTCATAACGAGTTTCTAAGGTTAAGAGCGGTTTAATAAATACCGGTAATAAATAGGCTATTTAAAATAGCGGTATAAAAATAGATAACTTCTAGTTGTATAGTTAACAAATCTTAAGATTTGACCAAGGCAAGACAAGTCGAACCCAGCAACTCTTATTCAAAAGATAAGAGTTGCTTGGTAGAGAAAGAATGAAGGTTATTTTTCTAGCAAAGCTTTCGTTTGCAAGCACTTACTTAGATCTTTGTTAAGTATTGAAACAAATTTACACCAAATCTTATATTAATTTTGGTTATCATGATGGTAGCTTCTACCGATTACTTTAGAAAAAATAAAGTACAAAACTGAAAGCTAAAATTCTTTATCTCAGGATTTTTGCGAAATTATTTCAAAAGGAATTTTTTTGCCAATGCTTTGCGATAAGTAATAAATCCCCTAAAAGCGTTTAATCATCCAGCTGGAAGGCAGAATCGCGGGCAATCCCCTTGTCGGGGGGTCCGAACGCCGCAGCGCGAGCAGCAGCTAGCTTCGTGCGCCGTTTTCAATTTCAAAAGGCTCTTGAGAAAGCGAACGCGTGAGGCGGCTCATTTATTCGTGAGCCAGAACTTACCTCTCAGCTCAATTTGATCAGCACAATTGACAGGCACGTTCGCACTCAGAAGGATTAAGGGTGGACCCACAAACAAAGCTAGATCAGTTGAACTTTTTCATATCGAGTTTTTTAAGATTTTATGTCAACATATTTAAGAATGCGACACCCTTATTTTTCTATACTCAAAAAATCCTTTCGGCGGAATCAAATAAGGGTGTCAGGGCCTTGTGAAAAGACAACAAAAGTGACGCCCTTATCAAACTCTTTCAAAAGAACGTTTTAAGTCAGATAGAATAAGGGTGTTGCTATAGCAAATATCCTTTTATGAAGTCTGAAAAATAATCCTGTAAATAATATTAACTACTTCGATAAAGGGTGACAGTATCGGTTGAGCTTGGGCTTGTCTTATCATGAGGTCTTACAGTATTTTTCTTCTCAATAAGACGACCTCTTCAGTATGAAATTCTCAGATCAAAAAGAATGAACTTCTTGCCAAAACCCCCGCGCTAACCCTAGCCCTAGCGGGTTCGTTGTGTGCGTGCTCTTGTTCTTGAGCCGGGCTTGTTCTGGCGCCCGTCGCTGGCTACATTGACTTTGACCGCGGCTCGCTTCCCGCTTTCAGAAGGACGCTGCGCGAGCGATCATCCGCGCCTCTCTCTCTATTTTTCCCTCGCCCTCCAAAGAGATTGCCATTGACGCTGAACTTTAAGTTAGAATAAAAATTGTCCGTTTTTTCTTTATTATTTTTCTCGTGCAACGCTTGAAAGGGGAAAAATGAGCTTGTAAGTTGACAAATTTATTATTTTTATTATTATAGAAAATTTTTAAATGTATTTTTTCAAAGTTTTCAAGGAGGAAATAAATCTTAATTTTGAAGAAATCGCTTCAAAGAACTGATTCATCAATTTGCTTTTTGACTCGAAAATCTTGATTTTTTTCTCGCTCAAAATAGCGTCAAGCGTTTTTTTGTTCTCTAATTCTAAAACTCTAGAACTGTCTAAATTTTAAGCTTGAAATGTAGCTTCTTCGTTATTTTACTGTCTGACAGACACTCCAAAAATATCTCGCTCTTTCGAAAGACCTTCTTCTTTCGTCAAATCAATATGTATTCTGCTCCAGAACCAGAATTACACATTGTTATGTCGCCAACTGATGCGTGACCGTAACTAAGAACTTCACCTTAATCAAATTCAAAAAATCACAAGTGCTTGATGAAAAGATCGAAATTTTCTCCCCCAAAAGTGATTTCTAAAAAAAGCAGAAAAAACTCACCGATTGACGGAAATTGCAATTTTTTGACCAAGAGGTTGACCAAAATCGCTTGATGCCCAATTTATTCCTGTTTTCAAACTTTTGTTTTCAGCCATTTGATGTATCAACAAAGCAACTTTCCTATCGAAACCTGGGGCGACCCGAGAAAGCTGGATGGCGAAAGATCAAACAACAAAATGCCTGTAAGTACAGATGGATTGTTTTAGCGCTTACTGGTGCACAGTTTTTTGCTTCAAAATTTTATAAAAAAAGGGATCATTACTATTCGAAAACAATCTTTTCCCAAAGTCGGGGCGGGGAGGTGTCAAGAACCGACAAAAAATTTCGACTAATTTTGTTTGAAATTTTAGGATGGTGTCTGGAACCGACAAAAAAATTTCGACAAATTTTGCGAGGGCGGCTACTCGGCTGCTAATTGGCCGGTATGCCAGATCAAGGCTTCTGATTGGTCGAAAATTTCCAAGCAAAATTCGTCGAAATTTTTTTGTCGGTCCAAGAAACCTCCCCGAAATTTTCAACCAATCAGAAGCCACGATTTGGCTCATCGGCCAATCCGCAGACGAGTAGCCGCCCACGCAAAATTTGTCGAAATTATTTTGTCGGTTCCTCACGCTACCCCGTCGGGGCCCCAAAAACCTTTCAGGTTGCCCATTATTGAATTTGTCATTTATTTTTTGTCCGTCCTTATATTCTTGATTCGCGTTCTGAAAGTGACAGATTTGCTTTCAGATTGCTTCGCTTCCAACTCAATCGCTTAATGCCGCTTCGCTCGCTTCCAATGCCTTTCCGGCGTCAAACTCCAACCGGTTAGAGAGACTAGCTTACGTAACACGCAATCAAGGGCGATTTCAGGGACACCGAGTGGCTCAAAGTCGAGGTCTGCCGCGAGTTCATGCGCGGCGCCTGCAAGCGATCCGAGGATGAGTGCAAATTCGCCCATCCGCAGTCCAAATGCATCGTCGTCGAAAATGGAAAAGTCACGGCTTGTTTCGACTCGTTGAAGGTAAATCAACCCCCATTCGATCTTGCTCATCCCTTTTTCTTTTAATACAGGGAAAATGCCACCGAGAGTTTTGCAAATATCTTCATCCCTCGCCACACATCAAAAATCAGCTGGAAATAAATGGAAGAAACGCGCAAATGAACAAGAAACTTCTTCAAAATACAACTCAAATGGTCAGTTAATAATCTCTCTGAAAAATAATGCGATATTAAGGGCGTCCTATCCGGAGTTCAACCTCTTTCAATCGTCCAAACTCCTGTTATGGTAAGCTCTTTCTCCCTAAAAACCACTCTCATCCCTCTTTTTAGATCCTTAACCAAGAGCAGCCGGCGACGATTAAGGGTATCCGCCCCGATCGGCTCGAAATTTGCCGCGACTACATTCGTTCCAACTGCGAACGAGGCATCGAAACTTGCAAGTTTGCGCATCCACCGGTAAGCTATATTTTTTCTATTTGATAAATTTATTAATAATTCACACTAAGCGCTTTATTTTCTTCACCGGCGCACGTAGAGAATAGCTGACGTTCAGTCGGATTTATATTTTATTCGTACGTGAGGGAAGATAAAGCCACAATCAAGGTTAAAAAAGAATGACTGTTTAATTCGTGCTTTTAGCTGGATATTCTGCAAAAAGGGGATCAGTCGATGATCGATACTTCTGACAACACTGTAATTGTCTGCATGGACGCGGTTAAAGGCAGATGTCAGCGGCCGCTTTGCAAGTACTTTCACCCGCCCAGCCATCTTATTGTAAGTGATACCCTTAGTTTTAAGCTCAAAAAAAAGTTGAATTCATAAAAATCTTTTCAGAGCGAGGTGAAACATCGACAAACCCTTGTTTCTCAACAAACGGACCAAACATCCAGATCGATTCTTCCAACAACTTTTGAGAGCAAACCCGTATGTACCCCCTTATCTTAAAACTTGGAACAGTATTATCTCAAAATTGTCGACTAGACTCATCCGTTGCAGAATCAAGATTTTCATGAAATAAATTAAGCTTATCTGACGGTATAATTAACGTAAATCCGCGATGTCTAGCAGACAAATTGTCTAGTAGACAATCTATTTAAGAACTTCATGTTCTCCTCCTTCATCCATTATTTTAGATGATCAACAGTGGTGTTTCCTCGCCCATGGCCAGCTTCCAGCTTCAGGTAATCCGAAACAAGCCCTTCTAGAACCAACGACCATTCTAGAGCCAGCAGTTGGAGAACAAATACAACATGAAATACGATTTGAACGGGCAACAACGCCGCCCCTCCGGAGTCCAGACTTTCGATCCAATCCAGTCCAGCCAGCAGCAGCGCGCTTCATCCGGCACCTCCCTTAATCGTAAGCGCCTTTTCCCGAAAGCCCGTTTTCATCCCTTTTTCAAAGTTCACGAAGAGTACAGCTCTCAAAACGGGGGTTTTCCAACAACATCGCTGGCGATGCCAATGATGACCTCCTACATGATGCCGATTTCGCAAGCTCATCACTCTTTAGCGCCCTTCGCCAACGGTAATGAAAGAAATTGATAGAGGAAGATTAAAATTGTGGTTAAGTCCAATTGCAGCAAAATAATTGGGCGGCGCAGCAGCAAGTTCGAAATGTCAAGTGAGTTAATTTTATTTAATTTAGTCGGAAAATCGTTGAAAAATTCCATTTACCAATTTTACCCCATTTTAAGTCCAATGACCATGCCAATCGGAACTTGGAGCGAACAAGAAGCCCAGAATATTGTAAGTTCTCTTCTTCGTTTCCCGAATTAACCCTCTTTTTTCAGCGAAATTGGTCGAACTAAACTTTGCACAGCAAAAAACAGCAGCAGCAGCCCACGTGGTGAAATCTAGAATATTTTCCGTAGACTAAAAAAAAAAACACCTTCCGAAGTTCCAAAAGTTCCTACTAGACGTCCGATTTAGTTCAAAACCCATTTATTCAATTCTATTTTTGTTCTTTCTTTTCTAGCAGCGGCCAAGGAAGTCAGTCCTCCCTGGTTTTTCTTCAAGCTCACAAAACTGACCCCTGCTTCTTTTAATTAATCCCTTTTCTTTTTTTTTAATTCCCCAACTTTTTAAATTTCTTATCCAAGATTTCAGCTCAATTAAACTCTCCTTATTTTGGGTAGGTGATTTTCTGTGAGGTAATGGGCTTTTGCGGCTTTTTCATTGGCTAAGACAAAGAGTACTAGTTTTTGATTGGCTAAGAACAAAAAAGCTCACTTCTTATTGGCTAGGAGATGAAATACTTGTCTCTGATTGGCTAAGAGAAAAGACCGACTTCTTATTGGCTGTGACAAGCAAAACTCGTCTCTGATTGGCTGAGAAAGCACGAAACCCTCAGAAATGATCCTTCTCTTTTCAGTCAACTTATTTTGTATTATTGCTGCTTTGAGCTTACTTTTTGGATTTCTTCATTTTCCCCAATTCTCATTTTTAGCTTTATTTTTTCGGCTTTATCGCTTCTTTTTATTTAATCTCATTTTTTTTCTTTATTTACAGTCCCACCAGAAGCCCAACATTTCCTACAGCTGCTTCGATTCGTTTTCTTTTTTTGAAACTAATTTTATCGATTTTACAAAAAGACAAGAAACATTCAACTAGATGAAATTTCATATTTTTTACCAACAGCCCAAAGCTAAGCCGCTTTTTGTATCCACGACAGGTCGAGTCTTCTTCGATTTCAAATTTTTGGAAGAAAAAGGGGGCTTTGACTTACGTGATGCTTGAGCAGAAGTTTGTTTTTGCTTTCGTGTGCGAAAATTTTAGTATTCTTTTTGGAATGATTTTGGCGCTATTTGTCAAACAGCGCCATCATGGAAGATTTTTTCTGACGAATCAAAGGACGAGAAGCTTTGACTTTGTATGTCAAATAACGCTTTCTGATTGGTCAGAATCGAGTTGGCGCAATTTTTCGATAGCGCCGCAAGTGACGAGGTTTTCGGCCAATCAGAGCGTCCGATACCATTTTTTGGGAATTGAAGCAATCTGATTGGCCGAAAACCCTTAGGAGGATGAAAAATACACGCACAATTACCAAATGCACACGATTACCGCGCAGCTTCGTCGCATTTTCAATAAGAACACGAATGCCCAGTCCGCTTAGCTTCTCAACTGTAATAGCTTCACGTTTATTTTCGAAACAACCGACTGATAAAATCCAGACTTAACATTTTTATTTTTTTGTTCTTTTCGCCGAAAACCCGTTCATTCATATCTGTTACTACTTTTATTTTTAATTTAACTGACTAAACAAACTGTTTCTGAAAAACAACGTTCAAAACAACATTATGCATGTCATGTTTTTATCAATTAATAAATTTACTCTTTAGATGAAAGTTTTCTTTCCGTGTTTTATTTCGCAGGTCTCTCGAACTCATTCAAACAATTAAAGCAAAAGCCATGGCCGCAAGGAACATACGCAACAGATATAGCTTCTTCGTGGCACGAATTGCATACCAGCTTCTTCATTTGATGAGTCAGAAAATGCAAGTTTTCAACTCTGCTCTCGAATTTCTTAACATCTTGCTGGAGTTGTCTATTCGCATTCTCCTAAGGATATTTATAATATTGAAAATATTTAATTTTCTTACGCAAAGTTTGAGTTTTTCCTTCGTTTCTTCAAACTCCAAAGAACTCTGATTGTTATTTTGCTGAGGAGGTTCCTCTAAAAATCTCAATGAAATAATGATTTTGGAAAAATTGAAAAGGTACCTCTTGGAGGAGATTCAACCGGAGAATCATCAGGCGAATTTTCAGGAGTACTTTCTCGCTGCTCTGGAATTAGTGGCCTGTTTTGTAAATGATTGTTCAAGAAACCTTCAAGTTCATCTCGAGCAAACGTATTGAGAGTATGTGGCCGGCGTCTTCTGGGACCCTGTCGCTGTCTCAATCTTACAGGTTCCTGTATTTAGGGCTCAGTCATCAAAACTATCCGTAAATTAAAGGTCTTAATTTAAGACTCTTAATGGCAAAGTGAATAGGTAAGAGCTTTTCCTGGGGTTTATTTGCAAGATTTTCAAATCTTGCCAGTCTCTCTTTTACTGAAAGGGGTCGTTCTTCCGACATTTGCACTTTAAAAATGAGTTAAATTCGCGCAATGCGAAATTGTCGCTAAAATTCTGAAGACAGTAAATATCACCCTGCTTTTATGTATTTGCTCTTCAATTTTTTGATGGAAAACAAGCGAGTTCTGAAAAATCTTGTTTCTATCTAGTACTCATTTAGTGTCAAAAATATTTAATTCAGCGACATCTGGCATCAGCATTATATTATGCAAAATGCACAAATTGCAACACATGTCTCCGGCTTTTAAAATTTGAAAGCACCTTTGTCCCGCCACTCAAGCATCGATAAAAACATCTTGACGCAAAAGATACAAGTCGCATCGCAAAAGAAGCTCAATCAGTCACAAAACGGGTTTTTCATCATTAGTGCTTTTTCGAGACGAGCCCGATTTTCCAGTGAATTTAATTCGCAATCCTTTAAAAGCTGCTGCGATTTGGGTGGAGATATTCTTTTTCGAAAGAGTGAAAATAAAAATTTGACAGAAAAAAAAGAAAATGAAATTTGTCAAGATTTTTGGACTTTTTGCTGCTTTCAACGCTGAAGAGGTAAGAAATTTGTTCATTAATATTTTTAAAATTGAATAATAACGCTAAAAGCATCAATTTTTTGGTATTCAAAGGCAATTTTTCGCTACGATCTACAAAAAATAGGCCTTTTTAATAAAAAAACATAGAAAATTTTGACCAATTAAAAAGTTTTGCATCATTTTAGGAGTCAAACTTCTTCCCAGCTCGAGAAACACGAGGCTGGACCCTTAATTCCATTGGCAACAATCGGGGATTAAATGGCGTTCTCCGACGAATGGTCGATTACAAGGTAAAAAATGTCCAAGGTTTTGGCCCAAATTCAATTTTTTTTTTCAGATGATGCACAAAAGAAGCCCTCGACTTGACTTTGGAATTCCCGAATTTGACTATTGATGTCGAAAAATACATGTTACATGTTTCCCTTTAATAAATTATCTCGATATTAATTTTTGACTCATTCACGATTCCATGGAAAATAAGCATGAGCAATTTTTGCAAATAAAAATTGGCGATGTTTGTCTAATGATTTTTTCGATCTTGTTATTAGTAATGCGCAAATACTGCAACTATAAAACCATCTTTAGAGAAGGGAAAACCTCAGAAATGCAAAATGAAAATTTTTCTGATTTTTATTTTCGCTGTTTTTGCGGAAGAATCGAGTGGGGAATCGAGCGGGGATGGCGAGGTCGAAAGAGATTCTTTGACTGATGATGATGATTTTTCCGCTTCTGATCGGTCTTCTCTTTTGGATAGGATCAAGGGTTTGGAGCAAGAAAATTGGTCAAAAGATTTAACGATCGAAAATTTGAAGGATGATTTGGAGAAAATGACTCGCAAGAAAAATGTGAGCATTCTTTTGCTTTTATTTTGATTCTCATAAAGTTTAACATGATTTTTAGCTTTTCAAAGGGAAATTGAGGAATGAAAAAGGAGAGAGTGAGAATCGTCAAATGAGACTTCAGCAATGCTATGAATCTTTCCAAATAAGAAGAACTTGCCCAACAACTACAACAGCAACAACGACAACAAAAACACCAATGAGAGCAACAACAACTTCAACAACAATCTCAACATCCAGAGCTCCAATAAAAATGGTCAAAAAGCAACAACCAATGACGAACTCGACAACAACGGCTCTTGATACATTACAAAAAGCGAAAATTGTACCGATTTCTCAAACAGAGTCATGCAAAAGCAACAACAAAGCACTTCTAAAAGATCTCAAAAAATTCAAAATCATAGCGGTCGTTTTCATCGTATTTTTGATCCTTTTTCTTCTTTTTATCATCTTTCTTATTCATCGTCAGAAGAAAAACAATCAAGAAAAAGCTCTTCGAGACAAAAATTCTCCATCGTCAAACAGAAGCGAGGCTGATCAATTTTTCGAAGCCCAAGCTATTCCATTTAATTTGATGGACATCACAACAATTCAAGCAACTAATCGAAGTTCTCCAGAACAACCGATTTATCCTGCGTATCCTCCATCAAGACACCAGCTCAGTTACAACTCTGAAATCATCTACGAATAATCGTCAAGTGAAATAAAAACGGATAAAACCTACATGAATGGGCTTAGCAATAATCATCATTTTCATCAATAATCCTGACAAAAACTTATAAATCGAACAAAATACAAGAATCATGTTTTCTTGATTTAGTTTATTTTTCTAAGGAAAACATCAGAGAATTTGTTTTGTCGGCAATTTTTCAATGATGATCTCATCCGTCTTCGTCGCTTTCAAAATCATCCCGACAATTTTAATCAGCAGGAGCAACACACTTAGGCCGACGAGAACGTTGATATATCCATTCGCTTTCTTCGAGTTTAAAAGCCGTCTTTCGATTTCTATTTTGTGATGAAAAACTCTTTCCTTGGTCGGCAAAAGATGTCTCGAGCGTTTGAATTTCGCCGTAGATTCCTGCTAGTTCTTTGACGCTTGGCTCTATTGATAGCATGACATTGCTGAATGTCTTTCAAGGGTATTGACAATTTATCGGAAAGAAAATAGCCTCATCAATACCCTTGCTTCATATGATCATCGAGGTCCTTCAACAAGTCTTTTGAGCATTCCTCTGAGCGCTCTGAAAACCATGAAATCAACAACGATCTTCATCAATTTCAAAAACTCACCGGGCGCTTTGCATTTCTTCATCGGATAGTAAATGTACTGAATCCGAAGTTTTCTATTAATCGGCTTGTAACTGCTCAAATCCATATAATAGCACCACCATCCCCAAGGGCATTCATACTTTGACCAGCCTTCAAGACCATCATCTTGGACAAGAGTCGAGTTTCCTTCGAGGCAGTCTTGATTAGCGAGAAAACAGCCGCCCTTTTCGTCAATGTCGAAGCCGAGGCAATCGTCTCGTTGGTCGCAAAGGTTGTAGCAGTCGCCGAGGCTGCGGACGGGAATGCGAGTTCGGTTTTCCGGATGATTGGCGGAACAGGAACCAAGGTGGTACTCCTCGCAAACGACTGTTCCTGAGAAAGAAGATCAACCATGGAGTCTAAAGCGCGAGAATCTACGGTACGAAGAAGCGAGGAAAAATCGCTAGATATAGCGCACCAGAGCTTTTATGCAAAAGCACTAGAGAAAAACTCTCTGTATTGGAATTTTCTGGATGCGTAAAAACGCGCTGATAATGCGATCGCGGCTCTTTTGCGCCACATCTAGAGACTTTTACAGAAGATTTGAATATCGTAGATCTTCGCTTTTTTACAAAATCTAGCCACTTTTGATGAATGGTAATTTATCATTGATAAATGATCTTACCGAGACATTTTTCATCCTTTTTGACACAATCGAAGTCATGAGAAATCTCATTAGTTTTAATCTTCTGCTGGCAGACCTCATCCTCTTGACAGGGATGTTGGTCAAGGCATGGATGGGCGATCCCACTACGGCATTTTTCAAATTCATCATAATCCCATCCAACATCGCAGCATTGGTACAGCGATTGCCCTTCTGGGACGCAAACTTCCTCGGGTTTGCAGTTGTTTTTCGAATAGCATGGATTTTCTTGAAGAAATAAGCTAATAAAGAAAACATGAAAAACTACCTTTGTAAGATTTTTCAGCGATCCAAGCCTCGACCTTGAAGAAATGAAGAAGAATTTTCAAAACAAGAATTTTCCTCATATTTTCTCCCCTCTTAGTTTTATAACTGATGGTTTTGAGAGATATTTTTCTCGCTCTGGCGAATCTGACATTTTTGATAATCCTGTCGTTAACTTGTTTCCTTGGTTTTTTTAGTACGAAAGAAGATGGCAATTATGCTTTTTGCAGGCGAATTTGATAATTTTTGGTTTTATTTTTTTTTATTTTCCTACTTTTTGATTGTCTTCATTCTCGCAGTCATTAAATGTAATTTATAAATAAGATTATGAAGATAAACAGGGAGAATGTTTCATAAGAGGCATTTGAAATCGAAGGATCCTTGACACAGTAATCTGAATCTGTTGAAAATAAAACAGGAATCGCATTCTCATACGAATGGTGGCCGATAATAGCTGCATCTATCACCTCACTTTCGTTGATTTTGATTCGTTGAAGTGAAAACCCAGGGCTTTTTCCCGGAACGAGGTAGACAAAATGCCCATTTCTGATTGAAGAGCCGAGAAAAAGTACTAAACGTAAGTTATATTTTAATCGCGAGGAGAATATCTTGTCGGTAAATGCATCTTACGGCCTACCTCTTGCCCAAAAGAAAAAGTTTAATTAAAAAGTACCTTTGCCAAATTTCCAATTTCTATCAATTGATTGTCCTCAATTTTGTAGACAGATTTCAAGTATGTGTCTTCATTGAATTTTCTTGTAGCTCCACCAAACAGGAAAAGTGAACCGCTTTCAAGTCCTATCAAAGAGTGCCCGTAAATTGTTCCATAAACTTGGCTAAAGTGGCCTTTTGTTATCCAGCCATTTTTTGTCCAGCTTTCAATATTCATTTTCGAATTCAAACCACCGATTGCTGTTGGTTTTCCCTCATAGTATCCAAGCTTGCCATAAACATGTTGGTATTTATAGGCATAACGTACAAAAAAATCAACTTTTTCCCTGTAAGAGATATCAATTTGAAACTTTGGGAGCAGCAAGAGTACCCAAAACGACTTTTCAAAATTTTTTGGAAAAAAAATTTTGGTACTTTTTAGTACTATTTTCATCCCTTTTCTCGCTACTTTTTGAGCAATCCAAGCTACGGGGTTGTAAGTATGCTCATTCGAAAGAGCGCAAAAAACTGAGTAAGAAACATCAATAAAAAGGGGTGCATTGGGGGTTCTCTGGATTCTAGGGATGAAAAACTCGGAATTCGATGAGTCATCACTGATTCCAAAAATCGGCATTTTTCAAAAATAACTTGATTTCCTTAAAACTTACAGGTATGGCATTAAAGATGACGAGGAATCCGATCACGTGATCGAAAATTCTGAAAAAGTTCATTTTGAGGTCATTCGAGGTCATCAAAGTTCAAAAATTTGATTTTTGAAAAAATACTGTATTGTCCTGAAACTTATTGGTTCAACATAAAAAATGTCGAGGATTCCGATCACGTGATCAAAAATTCTCACAAAGTTCATCTCGGGGTCATTCAAGGTCACAAAAGTTCAATTATTAATTTTTCGAACTTTTATGACAAATCTAGACTTACGTGAAATTTATTGGTTCCACGCTAAAAAATTGACATTTTCATTTAGTCACATAAAAAAGTTCAAATAGAGGTCATTCAAGGTCATTTAAGGTGAACAAGGCTTTTTGGTTTCAAAATTTTGAAATATATTAGAAAAAGATAATTTTGATAAGTCAGAGAAGAATTATTCTAGCACACAAAATCACGCAAAATTTCGTTGGTTTGTCGGCGGGCGAAGATTCTCAATGTAATAATTCCAGGCTTCTGAAGTAAATACAACCAGGTCGTCAATGTCGAGACCATGAATTGTCTTAAATATATTTTTTTATATTTACTTCAATGTGTTCCAGACCGATGGTTTCCATTTTGAGAAGAAATACTGAACTTCTTTACTCTCCAGTGCAGCACCGAATTTTTCTCGCCGTCTTTTCACTTCTTGCAAAGCCATATCCAATTCGTTCCAGGAAATAAACTCATTGTTGTCACTGTCAAAAACTTCCATCCATGTTTGCGCGAGCCAGACGACAGCCACACGGTACATGCGATGAAACTCATCATGGGAGCGAAAAGCACCATCTTCATCGAGCCGGACCATGGCTGCGAAGAACGTTTTGGAAAATCAGCGATATCAAGAACTTCAGGTGGAAACAAGAGGTGTCGTTTAGACGGATCGAAAATTCCACTGAAAAATTAGGTATTTAAAAATGACGAGTTCATTTTTTACTTATGAAGGTAATTGTTGATCTTCGAACTCCCTTTCGATCGATAGTAGGATGAGCATTTGATATAATCTCGCCATCTTTGTTTGTATCCTTGCTTGTAAAGAGAAACATTTTCGTTCCATTCATCTTCAGTTGTGACACCATTCGCAATAAGAATCTTCTTCACACTCTCTACAGTTAGCACACAAAAATCAGTCGAATGACTGATTGTATAAAATGTCGAAAAAAATAGTAAAAACAAAGATCTCATTTCGAAAAAAGCCAATGCGATCGGCAAGTGAAGTAACCGGCGTTCAAGAAGCGTTAAAAATGCGTGCTTGCAGAATACAAGGCGCCGTCTCAAAGACTTAATTTAGAGAAAAGGATTTTTTAATTTTTTGTTCTTCAAATTTGTGAGTTCTTGAACTACAGTGACCTTAGATGACCTCAATTTGAACTTTCGTGTGACTAGATAAAAAATGTCCACTTTTTTAACGTGGAACGCATAAATTTTACGTTAGTCATGATTTTTCCGAAAAGTTCAAAAAATTAAAAATTGAACTTTTATGACCTTGAATGACCCCAAGATGAACTTTTTAAAAATTTTCGATCATGTGATCGGAATCCTCGACATTTTTTATGTTGAACCAATAAGTTTCAGGTAAATACGGTATTTTTTTCAAAAATCAAATTTTTGAACTTTGATGACCTCGAGTGACCCCAAGATGAACTTTTTCAAAATTTTTGATCACGTGATCGGAATCCTGGACATCTTTTATGCCAAACCTATAAGTTTCAAAAAAATCATGTTATTTTTGAAAAAGGCCGATTTTTGAAATAAGTGATGACTCATCAGATTCCGAGTTTTTCATCCCTAGAATCCAGAGAACCCCCAATGCACCCCTTTTTATTGAAGTTTCTTACTCAGTTTTTTGCGCTCTTTCAAATGAGCATACTTACAACCCCGTAGCTTGGATTGCTCGAAAAATCAATTTTTTGACAACTTTGGGGTACTTAAAAAGTACTAAATTTGAAAATTTTGAAATTTTTTTTATTTGTAATGTTATCCGAGCACAAAAGTCTATATCATATCTGAAAATCAGCTTCCTGCGACGTTCAGATAAAAAGTCGATTTTTTGTGCGTTATGCCTAGGTATTTAACAGAGTGCGTCGTTTTAACATTGACTGTATCGAAAATCTCACATCTTAAATTCCATTTGTAACTGTCAAAACAAATAAGCGCTAAAATATCAATCTTAAACTAGAACGTATAAATTTCGTCTAACCTTGAGTGTTATTTTCAATCGCTAGAGCGGCAGCTCTTCCATCATATGGATAATTCAATCGAGTTCCCAATTGACTAAATCGACAACCGAATAATTTTGCTATCTATAGCAGGGGTGGATAATTTGAAATCAAATCATTATTCCATTTTTTTCAGCGCAAAACTGGCTTAATAAATCAGTCTGAGATTTTCAGAATTGATTCGAGTACAGTCTGAGTAAAAATAAGGGACACCAAGATAAGGGACTTTTTGACTCAAAATGCCGAAAATCAGCGGCAGAAAAAAATCCAATTTAAGGGGCTGTCTGAGATAAGTTAGCTTTTTCAGTCAGTTGAGAGCTGATAAAGGGTAATAATAGCCTTGATTACAATCAGTTTTGCGACAAACTGAAGTGATTTGCCGTTCAGAATATGTTTTCCTCTTTATAAAATGTCTTTAAAGACACAAAAACAATGCTTTTAGCTTATTTTGACGCAAAAAATATACTTCGAAAAAATTTGCTTGCGACATATTTTTTGGTTTGATGACCCAATTTAAGGGACTTTTTTCGAAAAATTTTGAGCAAAAAAAGTCCCTTATTTTGGACTCCGATTGTATATAAAAGATGATAACATGCGAAAATTCAAGCCGATTCATCAAGCCAAATTTGCTATAGAAAAAATGGAATTATGGTTGATTTCAAAATATCCACCTCTGATCTATATTTTTTTTGTAACATTAATACAATTTTTAAAGACACTTTTCGCTGATCTCCATATCTGCTTCCACCAAAAATATATAACTGATCCTTTAATAACGCATATGGAGAATTAGCAACGTAGTCATAAGATGTTGTAGGATACTCAAGAAGTCCTTTTATTGTTGGCGAAGTGATTGTTGAGCCGTCACCAGAGATAATGTATGAATTTGTTAAGTTGTTCATTAGGACAAGAATATTGAAATCGTTCTTGAAATTTAACGAATTTTTTAGATATTTTTTATGATTGGGTTACTTGCTCGTTTTCATCAACTGTCATTGTCGTGCTTGCTTGTGTTGGTTTTATATCATTTTCGTCAAGGAAGGTGATGCAATCAGTACAGTTTCTATCGGGAAGAGCTGCGAGAAAAGGGAGCAAAACAATTAGTCGTTTTCTTATCATCTTTCGAAAAAACTGCGACAAACTCTCATTGAAGCACATTTTTATTATTCTCATATTTACCGAGAAATAATTCTACGACGAATTTTTACGATGGAATTTTATAAAATTTCCTCGAATTCCTAGAGCAAGTACGAGACTATATCTCTTCAGAAACAAGTGCTTATTAGAAAGATAAAAATAGAATCATTCTTGGGAAGAGGGTATTAAAAGAACTTCACCTTCAACTTCAATGAAAAAAGAATTTGTAAGGTGCACCTAAAAGTGCACTTTTTCTGAAAATCACCTTACCTTTACGTCACTTTTTTGAAGATGATTAAGGATCCTTCATTATATTCAGTAGAAAGCTAGAACAACGGAAAAATAATCCCATCATGGTCCAAGAGGATCACAAATTAAGCCTGAGTGCACGAAATCGAGTGAAAAGAAAACATAACTTCAGCGCATGAATTTGCCCGGGGCAGTTTTGAAAGGTTCCATTTGGCCGGCCAATTCGTGTTGCCGCACCCAAATCTGCAGCTTGATCTCAACCTTCGTCTCTTTTCCTTTTTCTTATCATGCAGAGAAAATTGTAATCCTTACCTCAGCCCGGAAAACTCGCCATCTGATACATACATACCGCTTGCGCGATCGAACTTGAAAGAGCCATGGCACGTTGCGGCATAAGTTTAACATGCTTGTCGACAGGAAAGAGGTCAAAATGAACATTTTGTAATTTTGCGAAAATTGAGGGGCGAAATCTATCCTCGCGTATAAAAGATGCGAGATTAATTCATCGACGAGTTGGGTTCAATTCAATTTATTTTTCGTCCAGCGGCATTTTTTCAGATAAAAAAAATCAAAAAAATTTCAAAAAAAAAATTCCTTTTAATTTTCATTTTTTCGACCTCTGAAAAAGTCTTCCTCGGAATGATGCTCGGCTTCTCCATCCTCCTCATCCACTCGATGCTTCTCACCGAGCGACAACGCCTAGAAATCCTCGAAAACGAAATCCTAGACCAACAAGCAGATTGGAAAGCGCAATGGGAACAAGCTCGCGTTTCCGCCCAAGCTGCCCAGGATTCTGAAGCGACTTATCTTCACAATGAGCTTGAGCGATTCGAGAAAGAAGTTGAAAGCGAACTTGGCATTGCCGGTGGTGCCCGTCCCGCTGCTCTTGTTCAGGACGCTCCAGCTGGCCCTGTTGTCCCCGCTGCTCCTCAACTCCCTGCTCTTGCTGAAGCACCCGCTCCAGCATTTGAACAAGCTCCTGTCGCCCAAGCAGTTCCCGAAGCTCCTCAAGTTTCTCAAGGTGCTGCTGAAGTCCCCGAGCCTCTTGCCCCGATGGTTGATGACTACGCTGCTGCTGCTGCCGCTGCTCCCGCAGCCCCAGCTTTCGAAGCTGCCGCCCCTGCTCCCGCCTACGAACCTGCTGCCCCTGCCGCCCCAGTCTACGAGCCCGCTGCCCCAGCGTTTGAAGCAGCTCCACCTGCTCAAGAAGTGCCAGCTTATGGAGTGCCACCACAAGACGTCAATCCTGGCTATGGCGCTGCTGCTCCTGCTGCCCCTGCTGCCCCTGCTGTCCCTGGTTTTGGCGCTGCCCCGGCTTTTGGAAATGTCCCTGCTCCGCAAGGTGCTCTGCCCTACGGCGCGGTTTTGCCAGCTGGAGCGATCGGTGTTGGTCTTGATGGTCAGGAAATGGTTTCAATTCGAAGAACAACCTTTGTTTTCAAATATTTTTCAAGAAAAATCAAAAATGAACCATTGAAAAGCCCATCTACCAAATCCCGACATTCGATCCCGCGCCAAAGACAGTGGATCAGATCATGGTCGGCCTCCACGAGCGGATTAAGCGACGTAAGACGATGCCCAAGACCCAGCACTTGCCAAGCTTTATCATCATCGGTGTCAAGAAATGTGGAACTTCCGCCCTATCTCGTTTCCTCAAGGTACACCCTTATTTTTTCACTTTCTCAACGTCTTTCAGATTCACCCTGACCTTGCTTCTGCCGGAGAAACCTTCTTCTTCGCGAATAATTTCAAAGATGGACTCGATTACTACAAGTCCAAAATGCCCAATACGACCGACGATGTTCTCTCCTACGAAAAAACGCCAAATTACTACCGACTTCCTGTCGTTCCCGACCGAGTCCGAAACTTCCAAAGCCAAGTTTCCAAGCTCTCAGGCGTCAAAAAGGAGATCAAGATGATCTACGTCACGTGCGATCCAGTCAGAAGAACTCTTTCGGATTTTTTGCATTCAAGAACGTAAGAAACAAGCGAAATATTTGCTTTTCAAAAATTCAGCAGCTGTCAAAAATGCATTTTTAGCAACGACGCTGGATCTGAACCGAGCCCAGGGGAGTTCGAAGCTTTCATTGGCGAGCGATTCTCCAAGATGGAGACGGAAATGGCGGCGATCAAGGCGGAACAGGGCGATTTGTGGCACGATGAGGTCTACAAAATGTACAAGGAGCGACGGGATTGGTTCAATTATACTGATCCGATTTCGAACTTGATTGTAAATGGGTAAGAAATAAAAAGTGCCCCCGGGTTCTCTTGAATTTTCCTTAAAAACAAAAAAAGATGCATATTTTACGATTTCTAGCGCCTATTCCGTCTTTTACAAACGATGGCTTGAAAATTTCGACCAGCGACAACTTTTGGTCGTCGATGGAACTGAAATGATCTCCAATCCCGGAGGCGTTGTTGTCCAAACACAGGTAAAAACCTCAACTTTTAACGAGAATCCTCATTTTTCTAGCAATTTTTGAACATCGAGCGAATCATCGACGAGAAAAATTTCATCTTCGACGAAGAACGCGGCTACTACTGCTACACTAGAACCGGCGACGATACCAAATACTGCATCAAGTAAGAACTCCTCCCTTTTTTGTCCCCTTTTAACGATTTTCCGCCACTAGGGGTCAACAAAAATCACCATCAAAGACGATGAGCGAAGACATGCGCCAGCGACTTTTCAATTTCTTCGAACCATTTTCTCAAAAACTCGCTGGCGATTTAGGACGGGAGCCGTTCAACTGGAACTGGAATCCTGCATTATAAATCGTATTTTATTTTATTTATATTTCTGTATTTAGTCCATATTTTTCAATACTGCCAGTCTTAATTATTTATCCACCAGATGCCGTATCAACACATATTTTAATTAATATTTGTATACTTTATGTTAAAATATATTATGAAACATATTCTACAAGCCAGAACTGATCTCTTTGTTGATGCTGGACATTGTTGTCAGCAGCATGTTGTGACCCTTTTCGGCTGCGGAAACGATGTTCATCAGCATTGCATTTTGCTTTTTGTATGGAGCCATTTCAGCGTTCATTTTCTGAAAAAAAATGATCAATAAAATAATGAGCTTAAAATTTCAATGGAAACTTAAGGGTATCTCTTTGTTATTTTCAAAATAAAAAAAAAACTTACATCTGTCTCAGTTTTCTGCATTTGAGCATATTCTTCTAGCGATTTTTTCTCCGCCCTCAGATTCGAAATCTAAAACGCCTTTTTTCCAGCAAAATTTGTGATTTTCAACCTTTTGATTGCATTGTCTCTTGTGTGCTTCCAGTTCCTCGACATTTTCTTTATGGACATTGAAGGTCAGCTTCAAATCCTTGCTCTTTTTGTTCAAATCGACCACGTGTTTCTTATGATCGTTTACTTGGTCCTCGAGTTTGGTTATCATCAAAACAGCTTTTTACAAGACTCAAAACGTACTCCTCTTGTTTTTTCGCTAATTTTTCTTTGAGCCTTTCCCATAAGAACTTTGTCCATCAGCTGTTTTCGGATGTCCTTTTGGCTTGGATCAGAAAATCGGGCTTCTTCATCGACTGCCGCGTGGAGCTCTTTTCGAAGGGAGAGGATGTTGTGCTCGCCAAATCGCAAAAGCTGACCTCTGAAAAAGGAAATTGAGTCGAAAAAAATCAAAAATGCAAGAAAGAGGACATATCTCATTCATTCCTTTTTTTGGGCGTCGATTGGATAAAATTGGAAAAACTCGCTTTTTATTGGCTAAAAATTTCGATAACTCACTTGAGACCATCCATAGTGACTGGCTTATCTTCTTCATTTCCCTTTTTCGCTGATTTTTTATCAGCCATTTTCTCGATCTTCTTTGTAAATTCGAGGTTTTTGCTCTTTGGAAAAAGTAAACAGAAGAGTAGATGCTGATAATCACCCACGGAGTCAAGCGTTTATCACCTTGCTCATTTTTCAATCCCTTTTTTTCGTTTTGACTTCTTTTCATATATTAATTTTGCGGATCTTTCTGCATTGCTTCATTCTGCATTGCATATTTGCTTCATACATGGTTCACTGTCTCGGCGGGTGACTCGGCAATTTTGACAAAACTTCAATTTTTCTTTTCCCTGAACAATATGCAGACTAATATAAACTTGCCTTTTACATTTTTTTAATAACAATATATATTTTCAAATAAAGCAAATATGATGAGTTGGGAAAAAATGCAATCTAAAAGAACAGGAATACAAGCATCAAGACAATGTTGAATGTAAAAATTTGCTCTTTTGAAGCTGAAGTCGTGTTCGTGGCTGTTGTTGTCTTCAAAGCAGGGCCAACAGTTTCTCTTATCCATTCGTATGAACTCGGATATGCTACCGATGAGTAAATGCCCGGTAGTCCTTCTACAGCGCATCTTTTTCGCCATGAAACAACGCCAACAAGTGCTGCTTTCCCCTCGATGTCACAGATTAACGGCCCTCCCGAATCTCTTGTGCAAGTATCGACACCGCCATCAGTAAGCCCGTTTCCGTCATTATCAAGCCTTCCAGCGCAGATCACTTCCGGTCCAAGCTCTGACGATGAATAGCCAGAGTGAGCCAGACAGTAGCTTCTTTCCAACAGAGTAACACTCGCTTGTTTCAAGGAATCGGCCATAAAATCGGTAAAATGTTCTGCTCCCCAGCCTGCAATCCAGCATTTTGATCCATGGTCTGGAACGGTTTCTGAAAGACACGCCATTCGAACATCTTTGTCGGGGTCTTTTGCAATGATATCTTCGCGAAACTTTATCAAGCAGAGATCGAAATCCAAAGTCTCGGGTATAATGTTGAGTTTAATAAAGTTTTAAAAGGAAACGCACTTCAAGTATTTTCGGGAACAAGATTAAAAACTGTATAATAAACTCTTGATTTACTCTTGTGATAAACTCTTCCTGTACGACGGATGCTTAATCCAGTCATCAGATGTTAAATAATATTCACCCGGAGTGTCGAATAATTCAAGAGCACTGAAATCCGCAAAAACCTTAGTCGCATCATCGCAGCAATGCGCGGCACTTAATTTTTATAAATAATAACTCTTATAATCTTACGTTAGCACCCAGAAGTTGTCGATAATAGTTCCTACACAAGAATGAAATTCGATGCCTCCTCCCTCTCTACGAAATGCAAGATCGGCAATAAACGGCCACTGGTTTTCCTTTGCTTCGATTCCACCAACAATCCTTGTTGAATATTGAGACCGGTAACCATAATTTGACTCGTGGGTGCAGGTTTTGAGACTCGGCAAATTGTCGTTAGCGTAGACAATGACTGCAAATAAAAATGCATAGAATTTAGTCATTGTTTTCTTGAACAAATCCTTAGGAATTTTTCACCTTTATATTCACTTTTTCAACAATCGACTTGTTGATCCGGAAGACACCGCTTTTGTCAAGGTGGAAGCAACACATAAGGTGCTATTCATAAATCGAGAGAATTCGACAGTCTGGTGTTAGTTTTTTAACCGCAATAAAAGAGAAGGCGGATTTCCATCCTATGCTAGGATCGTCGGAATTTTCCTACAGTATTTCGAGGAATTCTCCGGAAGTTGAAAGTGAAAAGTCGATTAAAAAGCATGTCGACATTTGGCTCATCCGATTTTAGCTGGAACACGCCAGCCATGAGCATTAAAGGTCGTCTACTCTTTTGGAAAATAGTATCTTCAAGGTGATTTTTCTCAAAAACCAACTGGCGTGCAGATTTCTGTCTTCGTCAATTTAGACAAAAGAAAATGCTAGAAAGCCGATTTTCTTGAAGAGCAAAACTTGTCTCGCCTCCAAAACCGTTACACGTCTGAACCTATCCGCGAATTTTTACGCTTGTCGCATCATCTCAAGAAATTCCGACTCGGATTTTTATTTCTCCAAAATCAGCACTTATTTTCAACTTTCAAAGAAAAAAACCAGCTTTTCTGTGATTTTTTTGATAACAGCATTTATTTACAGTAAGAAGACAGAACGACAGTATTTCATTATATCCAGCAGTAGAATTTCAGATTACTATCTTTTCATATCCAGCAGCGGAAAATGTCCTTTTCGCTGAAATAAGCACTTTCACGCACTTAGAGTCTTGGACTTTTTTCAGCGAACAGGGACGAAAATAACGATTTCGACCAACTAAATTTCGCTTCGTTTTCTGTCTTTGATCATGTGAGACAAAAATAAGGGGCGATCAAAAGAGAAAAGAAGGAAATTTTGGAGGTGATTTTGTGTGAAAAAAATTTCGCAGTTTTGAACAAGTTTTTTTACAAAAAAATTCTACAAAAGTAGATCAATAGATGAGAAGTCGAAATTGAGGACTCTGATTGGATAAAAGTAAGAGAGGCGATTTCTTATTGGCAGAAGACGTTGAATCGTTTTGGCCACCATTTTCCCTTTCTTGGATTGCAAGTGATTTTTTCACGAGTTGGCTGAATAGAAATTATTAATTTTTTCAATAAAAAAATAAAAATTGAAATAAAAAAAGTTTTTTTATTCGTTCAAAAAATATTGAAATTTTATTTTTTTGACTAACCTTGAGATCGTCGGTAGGGCAAAAGAAATTGCACTGCATTCCCTCGCAAAAATAATCCACCGGATCTGAGGTTCTCACTGGCATATATCCACATGTTTCCTCTGCTTCTGAACCAACGTGGCGCATCGCTAAAAAGGATGAATAAAAACATTGATTTCGCAGCTGGTTGAGCATTTTCCAAAAAGCTGAGTAATTAACAAGCCAAGTTATTTATCTTACCTCTGGATCCTTCCTTCACGACGCACTTCACTTTTGCTTTTTTCGGGGCAGTTTTCTTTTTCTTTCCTTTTACATTGCAGGTGATTTTGTTCAGAGTTGGTCGCATGTTGTCATCGATACACTTAGCGAATTTCTAAGTCAAAGAAAAAGGGTTGTTTTCTTACTGTTAATTTGCAGATGTCATTTTCGCAGTCGACAGAAAGGGCGGATGTATCAAGTCGGAATTTTTTGACGATGTTTCCACATTTTGTCATTGCATTTCCTAAAGCTCAGATTAAGGGTGTCCTTGACTTTGGACCTGACCTGTATTGAGTTCAGCAGCAACGTCAGCAGAAGGATTCGAGTTGAAGCCCCCTGAAGAGCTTTGAACTGGCGGTTCTGATGGTTTGTCGCTGATACAATGAATCGTTTTCTTGAAAAAATGGTGAAAAAAGGGGCCTAGGTTTGGATTTACCTTGAATTTTTTCGGAGCAAATTGTCGTTTCTTGAAATTACAAACAGCTTTTGCAAGAGACGGTCGCATTCCATCCGGACATTTGAAATCGCATTGGCTGCTGTGGCAAGAGACCAGGACGTTGTTGGCGATCTTGAAACCCTTTTTCGTTGGATCACCGCATCGAGGATGGATCGGACTTGTGCCAGAAGGAATTGTTGTCTTGGGAGGAGTAGATGGAGCTTGTGTTGTGGGAGGATTGCTGATGAGATCGCCGAAGGTTTGGTCGTTTGGATTGACGGTGCTTTTGATCCAGTCGATGTACGAGGAAGTTCTAGTGTAAACGCCATAGAGGCCGACTCTTGCGCAGCCGATTCCCCAAGAAACGACGCCGCGGAGAACTGGCTGATCGTTTTCGACGCAGATCATTGGCCCGCCGGAGTCGCCTTGGCAAGCATCGATGCCGCCTTCTGCATAGCCAGCGCACATCATCTCGTTTTCGTGTACCTTGTTTCGGGCATATGCCGCGTCGCAGACTTTATTTGGAATAATTGGCACCTAAAAAGATATTTAAAAAAATAGAGAATTTTTCCTCATAATAAATTTTTACTCAAGTGTCGACTCAAAAATTCTTGATTGAATCAAAATGGATTTTTCGGGAGAGATTGCAATAAAAATTTCTAAGATCAAACATAAAAAAAAACCATAATTGAGCTGCGATTTTTGGGTACTTAGAATTTTTTTCAATATAACAATTTGATTTAAATGTGAGAACATCAACCTTACTGCCTTCAAACCAATTTTTATACTACTAGTGAACGCTTCTTCTCTCAAAATAAATCTCCTCCAAACCTGGGTCTCTTGAAGAATTCGCGCGGTTCCTTCTGTTTCTCCAACCCGTCCCCAACCGGCGACATAGCAAAGTGGCCCTTCACCCAGTTTCACTTTATCTATTCGAGAGTTCTTTTCTGGCAGGCAAACTGGCTGCGCGTGCACTTGAAGAAACACGTGAACAATCCCTCTTTTAAAACAAATCTTACTGTTGAATTCAATTGGCGATTTGAGCTTGAGCAAGCAGATGTCGTTCAAAAGCGTGGCAGGGACGAATTTGGGATGGATGACGACTTTGTCGACTTGGATGGTTTGTGCGTCTTTATCGATTCCAGCGCGATCGTATTCAGAAACCGTCACGTCCAAAAATCGCAAGTTTGAGACTCGGCAGCTGAAAGATAGATAGGAGATCCTTCAAAAAATAGCTTACCAATGAGCAGCAGTAACAATCCACTGAGGACTGACAATCGTCCCTCCACAACCGATCCTTATCTTCACAATAAACGGCCAAGCTTCTCTTTGTGCATCGTATCCTCCAACGATTCTAGAATCCACAACTCCTCGAACTAGCGGATTTCTGCATCGTAGCGGCGACGGCATTCTGTTGTCCAAATCAAGATCAGCCACGCTTAGACCTGGTTCGGCGAAATTTCGATCGACATCTTGAGCTGCGAAAACATCTCGGCCGCCTTGACTCATACCGAAAATGGCATTTGGTCGACGAGATTGAAGACCTGCAGTTCCTGGTGCTGTGATGTTTACGTAGCCTTTTTTGGAATCGATAAAATTTGATCCTAAAATTTGATTTTTGTTTTTCATGGACAATTTTTGGGCTTATAATTTGGTCAGGTAAAAGATTTAATTTGATTGGTTTGAATTTATCAAAGCAATATCTTATTGACTTGATTTTTTTAATTGAAATACCTGAATTAGCTTTTGCTAGCGTCAGAAAAGGGAGCAAAAGCTTCATTTTTCTTGTTGTTCTTCTTTTTTTTTCTGTGATTTATGCTTCTCTTGTCTTCTGGAAAGAATGTTGAAAAAACTCAAGTAATTAAAAATTCTTATAGACAAGGACCGCTGGAATTCAAGAACCGAAACAAGATTGCGCCGGACATTGAGGGCGCCAACGAGCGAACACGACCGATTTCATGATATTTGATTTTTGCAGCTTTTAACAGGCTTTGATTCTTTTGCTATTTTCTCAACGAAATGAAGAAACTCACAGATTTACTTCTGTAGAAATGATTTTTCGATGAAAAAATTTTTCTAAGAAATCCTTTTTTTCAAAGTCTTATTTGAAAATAAATATTTTTATTGAACTTTTAATTGTCTCATTTTATATGCGTGTCTTTCATTTTAGCATTAAAAAAGAAAATATATTCATTTTCATCTTAGTTAAGAAAACCACGCCATCAACTCTAAAAAACCAACATTCACTCTCAGATAAAAAACCGTATCTTTATGATAATGACACTTGCATTGTTTTTGTTCGTGGCCGCCACTGGCCGGGGTCATTTTGGTTTCACTTGCAGACGCAATTTCTTTTATTTATCATTTTTCAATCAAAACCATAGAAAATTGCATAAGAAAATTGCATTTCTAGTTTCGCGAATAATAATGCGCTCCGCCCTTGCTGGACTTGTCAAAGTGGTCGGAAAAGGGATGTTCGCCCCCTAATCTATAAGATTTCAAATTAAACAAGACATAATGGCCCATTTTTGCAGCGAACTTGGCACGTAATTTGCACCCAATTTTTCAAGGGACGTTATTTTATGATGAAATTTTCTAGAATTTTCGTGAAAAGAAACATTTTCGGGAGATTCATTGAAATTTATTGTTCACCCTTGAGTGGAGCAAAACCGACTCGGTTGGTGTCAAAGTCGAAGACAGTGTATTTCATGCCCATAAAGGCGTCTCCGAGAATCCAGAGAGGACCAGCTGGTGGGGGAATGTCAAGACCCATGAAGGCGGAAATGCACTGGGTTTGTCCCTGATCCTCAATCGTCAAAACGTAGTCGTCTAAATGCGACATTTATTAGCTAAAATTCCCTTTTTAAATCTTACCAGGAGTCATTCGGTATCGAACATCATCAATGTAAATGTCGATTGTCGGCATTCTTGGTTTGTTTCGGCAAACAACGAGCCATTCTCCAGCAATGAATTCGATCGCTCCGATAGCCTTGTTGATTTGGTCGGTGATTTCGGTTGGGCCTGTGATCAAAGAGGTGCCAGAATCGACGATTCCTTGGCAGCCACCCTGGCACTCGACGAGAGGCTGGTCGGAAACGAAACCATCCCCGTTGACAGTGACGGTTCCCATGTTGACTTGCCAGTAAGCTTGTCGGCTCACATCGTGCCAGGTGAACGATTCTGGGTAGGTTCCTTCGAATCGTTCTGGATTGACGCCTCCCCAAGCGATTTCGCCGCCGATGTCGGACTGGCCGGGCTTGGAGCTATCCCGATGGATGTAGAAGGCGAAGACGCCGTTGACCTGGCCGTCTTCCATCAGTTGGTTGTAGATGGGAGTAGCGCCGTTGACGGAGATGGAAGGGTAGGCAAGACCCATGATTCCATCAAACCTGGCAGCGAGGAAGGTGACGCCAGGCTCCTCAACAGCTTCGGCAAAGGTAGCCTGCTTGGCGACAAGGCCACCAGAGCCAGGAGCAATGTCGACGTCATCGATGGACTGGAAGCCGACCATGGAGCCGGTTCCGTATTGGATCTCGAACTTGGTTCCATCCTCGGTCCAGGTGCTGGAGTCATCGCTGTTGTACTTGTTGTGGTTCAAACAAGCGAAACCAGTGCCGATGTGAGGATCGCACTTGGAGGAAGGAACCCAGAGGTTGGAGGAGCCAGTGTCGAAGATGACCGTGAAGTTTTGAGGGGGAGTTCCAATTGTCAAAGGGCCAAAGTACTGGGCGTCGAAGTAGTTGGTCAATTCGTTGGTGGGGACGTCGGCTCGGTACTTGGAGTGGAGATTTCCGATTCCTCGGGTCATGGGGGTCTTTTTCAAAGGAATGCTTAATGAATGAGAAAGTGACGATGAAATGACTTACAGAACTTACAGAATTGGATCGGCGAGGGCCATGCCAAGGAGAGCACTGGTCAGCATCATTCTCTTGAGTCTTTTTGTAACTGAGGAGTTTTGGTTGAGTTGAGCGGTCTTTTTCGAGCATGAGAACGGGCAGATGTAAAGTTGAACATTGCTAGCGTCAATTTAAAGACGGATAATTTCGCAAATGCAATCTCTTTTCTCAATAAAGAAAAAAGCGATAACTTGCGGAAGGGGTAATCCCCGGATATGTGTCAGTCTAAATCGGTTTCCTCGCACTTTACTCGGCAAAAAAAAAGATGAAAATAAGAAAAAATGAAAATTTATCGTGTTTTCAAAAAAGAAATTGCTGAAATTTATAGAGGCCTTACAAATAAGAAATATCGACAAGAACTTAATTCTCGTAAAAAGGATGTTTATCGCAAAAGTCATCCAAAAATATTCGAGAAAAAATCACCCAAAATTACGAGGGAAGTCACCCCGCTAGGGATGATTCTAGAGGCGGAAGAGGAAGAAGAGGAAGCTTCTGGATCATCTTCTTCAATCAGTTTGGAAGTTTAAAAGGGCTGCTTTTCTTTATTTTAGATATGGAGGATTCTTGCTCGGAAAATGGCGAGATTGAAATAACTCAAGAGTAAATATATCATTCGATTTTTTCTCAAAGATAATTCTAGTGTCGAAATCGCGGAGGAAGAAGAGGACGGTGAAAACAACAACGAACAAGCAGAAAATCTAGCCGAGGAAGAGGAAGAATTCGCAATGGTAATGGAAGAAGAAATTCAAAATCTTCGAAAAGAGATCGTTTATGTTTACATAGATGACTTTGAAAACCAAAATCAGCGAAACAACAATTCCGATTTTTCGATTTTCGAAAGCGAAAGCGAGGAAATGTCCAATTTCTCTGATTTTGAAACCTTTTCTCTTATTTCTAGTCATCATGATTAATTTCTTTTATTAAAAAATTTTCATACAAATAAATTTTCTTTTGTAAAAAGTTATCTTCTTCTTCGATCGTGTTCTCGTCGAATCTGGACGTCCATCATGCTGAAGGCAGTCGTAATCGTTGTCATCATTAGACCTAGAAAAATCATTAAAAGTGGCCATTCTTTTTCTTATTACAAATTTTCATGTCGATGCTCAAATCACGAGGAAATGTCACTTCAACGTTCGTGTCAGAAACATTCATGTACGACTTCAGTCGGCAGATTTCATTGTCAGTTCCGTACTCGCTGATGATCCACTCGTGATTGCTCATGTGTTGGTTGCAGCAGCCGCCGAAGGGTTGAGCGAGGGAGAAAATCTTCTTTCCATTGCTGTCGGAAATTCCCATGTCGTATTTGAGGCACTGCCCGTCAGCGCTAGAGAAAAGTTATTTTCGGGCAAAAAAGGAGATTTTTACAATGCACTTCCTTGATGACAGCCTCCAGCTTCGATGTACAGTCCTCCTTCAACCTAAAATTTGAGATAAAAACTGATTGTAATGGCAAGTTGAGAGACACCCTTATTTTTCTATGAAACAGACCTTGCAGATACAAAGCCGTAAGCAAAAATTCGCCTCATTTTTCCCAGTAGCCTTCAAAATCACATTGCCTTTTTCATTTTTCTTCAAAAATCACTCTCCAAAATTTTCTTGAAGAAAAACAGTCCTGAAGTATCGTAGCCCATGTAGTCATAACCAGCAGATCCTCGAATTCGTTTTGCAGTCATTACTTCTTGTCTCGATCTGGCGAAAAACTCCTATCAAATCAAAGAAATCATGATTTTCAAACCCATTCATGACGCTTGCCGCCCCATATCTTGGCAATAGGCAGTGAATTTCCGTTTCTTTAAATCGCTCAAATCATGAAAAAGACGGCACGAACTAAAATAGGGAAGTAATAAGCTAGGAAGTGACAGCGTAGGAGCGAACAAGAAAGTATCATACACGAAAGGATCAAATAAGAAAGTATCATACATGAAAGTATCAAATTAAATAGGATCATGCATTAAAGGATCGAATTTTTTTGGAACCAATAAGATTGCCGTATAAGGCCTACCGGCCTATAAGAAACCCATCCTCAATCATTTTCAAATGTATGCCCGATCCAATCTTGCACGATACTGGCTTGGATCTTCCATTATAATTTGATCCTTTCGTGTATGATACTTTCTTGTTCGCTCCTACGCTGTCACTTCCTAGCTTATTACTTCCTTATTTTGGTTCGGCCCAAAAAGACAAGAAGCAAACCGTGTTGTAAAAAATTAAGGGTATCCATCGGATCGCCAGACATAGCCTCCCCGGCTAACGGACCAACTTGATTCATCGTCATTTTTTCTCGACCTCTTTCTCGCTCTTTTGAGCGTTCCTTTCGAAATTTTTGTTGCGTGATCTTTTTTATTCAGACAATAGAGAATGCATTCGCGCTTCAATTTCTTCGGTCAAGTTTAGTTTTCACTATGGTGACCTGAATAACAAAACATTCAGAAAGAAAGCTGCTTCGGTAAAAATTTATTTACAGGAAAATTCAGAGTTTTCATAGTTCAGAGGCCGGTTGTAGTAGCTGGTACAGTAGGACTTTGAGTCGTTGATGTAACGTAACTCGGCTGTTTACAACCATTTGTTCCCGGACTGCCGGTCCAAACCCATTGTTTCTGAAGAATATGAATTTGAGGTCTTGTTATTTTGCCTTACTTTTTTATATCTGCAGTAGGCTTTCCGTTGTCTCCTGCCGCAAGTTGCAATGATGCAAGTTTTTCCATCATTTGAACAGTTCCACCAGGTTGGGTTTGGGAGAATAGGGCATTTGAAGTAGGGAGCATCGCCGATATAAGAACTTGCAATCGTAGTGGTCGTCGATGTCGGGTTCGCTGAAACTGACGACGATGTCGAAGATGTCGGAGATGTGGGATTTTGAGGAGAATTTGTGGTTGCAGGAAGAGTAACTGCAGTAGTAGAGGAAGCGACAGATTGATCCGTTGATTCTTGAACATAACCAGGCTTATCACAGCCATTTGTGCTTGGACTACCAGCCCAAAAGAAATTTCCTTTTTTCACCCTGCACATTGCCTTTCTCTTTCTTCTCCCGCATGTGAACAAGTAGCATGTGTTTCCGTTGTTTTCGCAATTCCACCAAGTAGCATTTGGCAAAGTAGGGCATTTTGGATTTGGTTTGTCGCCTTTGTAGGTGATTGTTGATGTCGTGGTTGTTGTTGTTGTTTTTGCCGTCGTGGTTGTTGTTGTCGTTGGTGTTGTCGGCGGACCAGTCCAGGGAGTTGTTGTGGTTGTTGTAGATGTGGTTGTAGTCGTGGTTGTTGATTTTGCTGTTGTTGTTGTAGCATAACCAGGAATAGTACACCCGTCTGTATTGGATATTCCTTTCCAGAAGAACTTCCCATTCTTCACTCTGCAATGAGCTTGCCTCTTCCTCTTTCCACATGTGAACAGAATACAGGTATTGCCATTATTGGAGCAAGTCCACCATGTTGGATTTTGCAATTCGGGGCATTTCGGATTTGGTTCGTCGCCTTTGTAAGTGACAGCTGTTGTTGTTGTTGTTGTTGTTGTTGCTTTTGTTGTTGTGGTTTTGATGGTAGTTGTTGACGTTGGCGGACCTGAAAAGAGATGTAAAAAAATCGTTATTTTTTTCAGAATTGTCAGTTTAACCTGTCCAGGGAGTGTTCGGTGTTGATGTAGTAGTGGTTGATGTCGTCGTTGTTATTTGAGAAGAAGTCATTGTAGTAGTTGTCGCCTTTGTTGTTGTTGTTTGATGATCAGGGATCGTGCAACCTGTTGTGGACGAATTTCCTTTCCAGCTCCCTCTTCTGCAGACTGCTTTTCTTGGCTTACTACCGCCACATGTGCTCAAATAGCAAATTATACCGTCTCTCTGACAACTCCACCAGTACGGATTTTCTAAAGGCGGGCATTTGCCAGTAGGTTCATCGCCCTTGTATGTTTTTGTGGTTGTTGTCGTCGTGGTAATTGTTGTTGTGCTAGGTTTTGTTGTCGTCGTGGTTGTCGATTTTGTCGTGGTTGTTGTGGTTGATGGTTTCGTTGATGATGATGCTGATGTGCTTGTTGTTGTCGATTTCGTTGTAGATTTCGTCGTTGAAGTCGTAGAAGAAGGAGTCGGATCTGGATTCTGCGTCCTATCAAAAATCGTCGTGGTCGTAAATGGCTCCTGGGTCGTTGTTCCTTCCCCATCCCAAGGATCAATTGGCTTTCCTGGCTCTTCCGGATCCTTGACCTTCATTCCGAGCTCCAAAGTTCTGACCTCCGCCTTGAATGGTTTATTACTCCCATGACTCGGAAAAACAGAAAACGCGCCACCAAACTTTTTTGGCTTCATTTTCTCGCTCACTGCTCCCATTTGTCTGACAGAAGTCGACGAAGAGAACCCATTGAATGGAGAAAGTCGACCTTGCCAACTCGTCCTCCAAGAGGATTTTTTCTCAAATTGAGTTTTTGCAAAATTTTTTGCTTTTTCTTTCCGTTTTTTTCTCTCCCGAATTATTTTTTCGAGAAAGTCAATTTCGTCTTCGATTTCTTCTTCCTCTTCCAAAATTTCTCCAAAAGCATCGCTTTGCATTTCCGGGTATTCTTCCATTTCAATTTCGGCGCTTTTTTCGACGAGATTTTGAAGCTTGATTTTGTATTCTTCCAGCGCTAGGGAAAGGGCTTTGAGGGGAGATCGCTCGTACTCTTGTTTGAATTTTTTGTTCATTGAGTTGATGTTTTCTCGTAGCATGGTTGGGAAGGGACAAGACATGTGCTTTGGCTGCACGGCTTGTTGGAGCTCTTCGAAATCTGGAAACTGGACGCGAGGGCAGAGGGAGGAGATTGAACCAGCGAGATTTTCGATTCTTCGGACAAGGGTGCATGCATGCTGAAAATATTTTGAGCGGTCTGATAAATTAAGAGACTAACCTCTTCTCTATCAATTTTCAAAAAATCGCAATTGAACATTTTTTCCTCGCAATCGCCATCTATTCCATGCGCGATATCCGACATTCTAGTCATGATTCCCCGAAAAATTTCTTTCGCCCTTTCTCGGTCAAAGATATCATAAGATCGAGCGTGGAAAGCAACGATGGATTTTTCGGCAAAATGTTTGAATTCGCAGAGTTGAATTGGTTCTTCGGTTGTTGGAGGAAGAGTTGTGAGAGGAGAGTTGTTTGTTTGAAAGAAAGAGCTTCAAAAACGATTAAAAATTGAAGTTCGAAAAATATTTTGAAAATCTGATTTTCCGCCTTTTTCATTTTGAATAAAGATATTCTCAATTTTACTAGAAATTTTCCTCTTTAATTTCAATCTCTTCCTGAAAAAAGATTCTCCAGTTTTATTAATTTCTTCCTCGAATTCTTCATTCTCGTATTCATATTCTCTCTCCTCCGACTCTTCTGGCAAATAAAATCTCTCACTCATCTCGCTCGTTTCATATTCATAATCATAAAAAACCTCAAAATCTGAGCCGTAGTCTTTATATTCCCCTCTTACGCCGAGAATGAGGAAAAACTCTCTTATTCTCATTTTTTAATTTTGAAAATTTTTGATGCAAACGTGAAATGGCCAAGAAGACCCGGGAAAGTTATGTTTATCATGTTTTTGGTTGAAACATGTTCGTTGAACAAAGCGAGTTTGGGGCGAAAATAGTACCGTTCTTATTAGACAATTGTATTTTAGGTGATTGCAAAAATCATAATTTTTTATTTTTAATAATCGAAAAATATTTTTTTACTTTAATTTTTTTTTCGAAAAACCAATCAAAGTCGGTAGTAAAAATTTATGAAAACGACTACGGAAGTAAAATTTCTGCACCTGTGCCGAAAAAATTGGATCAATTTTGAAAGTTTTTCGATCAAAACTCGATTCCGCAAAATTAAAGATAAGCTGGAATTGACCTTTGTAGCTCTTCCCTCTTTTGACATTTGCTGCAGCTGCTAGAATTTCCAGCGCATGATCAAATTCATCAAAAAGCTCAAAGTTTTCTATTTTTATTTTTATTCGATAGTTTTTTATTTTTACAACAGGAAATAAACAAAAGATACAGACTGCAACTTAAAAATGAATGGTTTTGTGTGTTTGTCGTCGTTTTGTACAGTTTTTTGAAATACAGTAAGGTTGATTCTTTTTAGCGAAAGTTGAAAGTTGAAGGGTTGACTATAGTCTATTGCGAGTTTTTGATTGAAAGATGAAGGTTCAAAGAGAAAAAAGATCATGCAAGATCCTAACTGCTCCGTGTTTTTCAGCCAGCGAAATAAATATCTGAAAGGAAATAGTTAGTTTTGAAATCAAGGAAGAGAATTTTTGAATTGCCGATTAAATTTGAATTATTTTTTAAAGATTTTTTGTTGAAAAAGAATAAATTTTGTCCAACTTACAATTTAATACAACAGCTCATTTCTCCATTTTGAATTTTCTCAAATTCTAGAGCTCCGTCTTGACAACTTCGTTCGAGTCATAACCCGAGTCTCTCGGACTTATCGAGCATCTGCTCCCGCTTTCCGGCGAATTGTTCAAACTCGTGTTCTTTCCGCTCATTCCCGCTGGATTTTGCGGCGTCGTTGTTGTTGGCAATGGCGCATTCGGTATTGCCGGATTTGCTGGAAGAGGATTTGAGGAGGTTATCGGAGTCGGAGTTGTTGAAATGATCGGTTTTAGCAAGCCAGGGCCGGGGATGTTGAGTTGGGGCTGGTCTGGCGTGCTGCTGCTGATGGGAGGATGACTCATCATCGGCAGGGGCAAGGGGAGACTTTGCGGCAGCGATGAAACCATCGAAATCGGCGGCAGAGGCATTTCTCCACCTGGCCCTGGGAAGAAGGGGGCGGACAAATGCGGCAGATGATGGGGATGATGAGGAGCAGGGGGAAGATGATGGGGATTCGTCATTGGGGTCAATCCTTCTTCGCTAACCAGGGTTCGGTAATTTGAGCTCACGCTAAAACTCAAGGAAACAAAGCTTGAGACTCACGTTTTTTAATTTGAGTTTTGAGAACTCAGAGATGAGAGCTCAAGTGAGAAATCAATTCGGGCGATCCATGAGCCAATCAAGGAAGCGCTCGCTTAATTTGAGTTTTGAAAACTCAAAACTCTCAAATCTCCCAAAAACTCAAAACTCTCTAAACTCTCAAATTTTCTCAAAATGATTTCTCAAGTCACTTTGAGTTCTCAATTTGAGGAAATTTGAGCGTCTAGCCAAAATGAGTTTTAGCTTGAGCTCAAATTACCGAACCCTGTCGCTAACAGGAGGCAATTGATTCGAACCGAGCGGTGTGATTTGAGGATTACTCTGCGGCTGTGGAGATGATGAATCGTTCGACGAGTTCAAATTCTGAGGATTGTTGTTCGCCATGAATGCAGGATGGTGAGGCGAGTTCTCGTCAAAAGGCATCATTTCTCCAGGAGGTGGGTAAAATGGCGGCGGATGCGGGCCATTCGGATCCAAGGCTGGACCTGGGCCGCCAGGACCGAGGGGATGTGGTGGGAGGCCGGGGCCATGGGGGCCTGGACCGTCCCAAGATGGAGGAACGGGGCCGAGCATGCCAGGGTGAGGAGGCATCATGTGCGGTGGAAGACCCATCATCGGAGGAGGGAGGTTCCCGTCACGATCTAAGTATAATGGTTAGCGATCAATGAAGTTTTTCGAAAATAAGGTGCTCCCGGACGATAAATAAAGATGAAAAAGTCTGACTTACCAGGCATTCCAGGCATTAGACCATCTCCAAAGGGCATCATTTGCGGCGGTCTCATTCCATCTCGCTCCGAAAACGGCGACTAAAATCGACAAAATAAGTTACTGTATCTATCTTTCCTTCCATTTCATTATTTTAAAAGGGTCTTAGTCGGTCATCTTTATTGTCTATTTGAGCTCTGAAGCCAGTCGGGCTAAGCGGCTTCTCAGAATCCATCAATTATTTGGTTTGCCTTTCAATCCAATTAGGATTTGCGCGATTTTGAGATTTCAAATTTGAAATCGACATTGATTATTTTTGTGATGATAAATCTCATCCTCCTTTTTTTCAAATGGAAATATATCCATATTTCTTCTCAAAACAAATTTGGCGCAAAAAAGTTTTCAGAAAATTTCGAAAAAATGGCGATTTTTCTTTTTGAAAGAAAGAAAACTATATCTCCAAGAAAAATAAACGCAATCGCTCTTTTTAACTCGTTTTCTTGAACGAGCGCCAGTGAAGAATGGGAATGTTTGCACGAGTTGATTGAGTTTGAAATTTTCAATTAGGCAGAATTGAGAATTTTTTTTTTGTTGAGTCATGAAATCAAAACTTTTAATTACGATTTTCATGGCATAAGAAAATGGGGTGCGTTCCAGGTTTTTTGAATTAAGGGGGTGAGCATCGATTTTTCGAATAATCGTTGTTGATACCCTTAAATCAAGCGGATCGGAAAGATATTTTAAAACCTGAATCAGGTTTTCCGAATTAAGGGAGTGAGCTTCGAATTTCAAAAATCGTTGTTGATACCCTTAAATCAAGCGAGTCGAAAACCTGTTTCGAAACCTGAGTCAGGGTTTCGAAAAGCCGCTGGAAAAGCCGCGTGGAAGCTTCGCGGCTTTGTTTTAAGCGGCTTTTCTTAAGAGCTGATTGAAAACCCTGACTCAGGGTTTTTTTGCAGGTTTCCGAGTCGAGAGTTGTTTTGCTGCGGAAAAAGTTATTTTCATAGTTGTATGTCAATTTCCTTGAAATCTCAAAAAGCCACCGGGGAAGATGGTGGTTGTGTATTTTCGAGCTAAAGTAATAATTTGTTTGGTAGAAGGTGTTTATGTAAAATTATGGGCTCGGTGGTGCTCATTACCGAGTAGCTGAACAAATACGCCCCAACAGACGAGCGAGGATACGTTAGAATAACACCACCGCATTAGTAAATAAACAAGATAACGCCACCTCGATACACACAGGGGCGCGACTTGGAGCAGTGTTAAATTACAGCGAAAAATGTATATCTGATTTCTTCATCCAGCCAGCTCGAAAAGGGAAAAAATCGGGACAGGGAAAAAAGGAAAATGTCAAAGGTATCAGTTTAGCCCGGAAAAAGGGTTGACTTCCTAAGCGCATTAGAGCGAGTGCGCCCGCGCGCGTAGATTAATTAGTGATATCATTTGCTCTCTTTCTCCTTGACAAAGAAATTTCAAAAAATTTCGCGAAAAAATAAATATCGAGAGGGAAAGTGAAGATAACAGGTGCACAATGACCTCGGTGATCTTATCGAGCTGCCACTCTCCACTTTCTTTTTTTTTTGTGGAGGGAAGAGGACTTATGGCTTTTATGTTACTTTGTGGGTTTTTCGGGCACTTGAAGATTTCTAGTGATAAAAATTGAGGACTTTCTCATTCAAAGAATCGAAGAAAATCGAGAAAAGGGCTTCACTTTAAGGGTGTCACCAACGATTTTAGCGGTCGAATGAGATCGTTGAGGATACCCTTAACCATTCAAATTTTGTTAAGTTTCGTTTGGATACCCATAATATTTTATGCTTTTTTCGAGTCGAAATCTCCTCAAAATCGAAAGTCTCAGTTTTCTTTGGGAAGCCCTTAGTAATTTTTGCTTCTCTCGAGTCGAAATCTTCGAAAATCGAAAATCTCAGTTTTCGGTGGGAAGCCCTTAATAATCTTTGCTTTTTTCGAGTCGAAATCTTCTTCCAAAGTTCAAATTCCTGCGTCAGTTAGACCCACTTTCCTCTATTTACCCTGGCTTCAGATTCCTATCGACATGGAAAAAGAAATATTCGCAATTGAATCCCTTAATTTGCCGCCTAATCAACCCTCCGAGAAAAACTGTCGGTGTCTCCTTACCTTGTGACCGTTGCTTCTGTCGTCTTTGTCGTCATCTTTGTCGAATTTCGAAGCCTGAAAAATACAGTTACTTTTTTTGCTTGTTGTCGATTCTGCGTAGTATTAGGTTTGGTTAATTAGAGCGATTATGTGCCGCCGCGGTTAACTTCATTTGTGGTCCCTGCTTTATGCAAAATCGAAAGCGACGGCGAGTACTTTTGAATTTTCCAACTCTTGTGGTCAAGCCTAAGAACCGCCTCTGATCCGATTCATTATTTTTTTCTTTTTCCATTTTGCAGATTTTGCCAGAAAAATGGTTATGTGTCGAAAAATGACTCAAAAAAACGATTATTCGACAGATCTCAATTTCGACTCGAAAAAGTGGTTTTCTACGTTGAATTCTTCGTTTTGAGCAAAAAAAAAACACTTTTTCGAGCCGAAATTTGAAAATATAGAGGAGTTATTTTGAGTGATTCAGAATCACTGATTCTTCAATAAATCCAAATTTCGAGTCGAAACTCTTTTTCGACAAGAAAATCATTAGGTTCTTGAGGATGTTTTTGAGAATTTTCGACTCGAAAACGAAACTTTGCTTTTCTTCTTTCTTGAAACTTCCAAAATTGCCTGTATAAGCAAAACGAAAGGGACATATTCGGGCTGAATTTGATGCATTAAATAAGCATTTTGCCCTTTTGAGTTTAAAATTTCAATATTTATAAATTTTGAGGAGCCCGCTCGGGCACTTTGCTCAAGCGATAAAAATGTGAATCGAGATGGACATGCATTCCGGCACTCGAATGCACATACCGGCTTCTTCTTTTTTAAAATCGTGCTGATACAGAGAGGGTTAAACAGAATTTTAGAAGTCAAACTGGCGCTCGAAATTTCGGCTCGAAAAATTAATTCAAGTCGAAAAGAATTTCGAGTCAAAAAATTTTGAGTCGAAAAAAATTTCGAGAAAAAGAATTTCGAGTCGAAAAAAATTCCGAGTGAAAAAATTTCGAGTCGAAATTCAACCCCCCCAATCGGATCAATCAGTTTTTTTGGGAAGAAAGTGTATCTATCACGAACCCTTTCTTCCCGAAAAAACTGGCAAAGAAAAAACATGGAGTCACTAATGAGTTAACATTGCGTGCCCAAATCTGCCAAATCTGTGCTCTAATGCATTATAAACGAGCGGCGGGTGTGTCAACTAAATTGCACTTTTGAATTAAAAAAAATGAAATGAATTCAACTCGCAACAGCGCCGCCGCCGGCCGAGATTTTCAGCCATTAGAAAGTGGCCGCTTACCTTTTTCTTGAGAGCGTCGCATTTCCTGTGGATGCAGATTTGTTTGCCTTTTGCTCGGTTGACGCAGTTCAGGCATGTGCCGCAGTTGTCTTTTCGCTGGCAGGGTACGCATTTTCCGCACGCTTTTCTCTTCTGAAGCTGATTTTATTTTTTAAGAAACATAATTATAAAAATGAAAAATATAAGATATCTAAGGGTATACCTCTCAAAACGAGTCATATGATCATTTATGCTTGAGCCTTTTTTGAGTCAAAAATAATTAAGGGCATCCCAACGATATTTTCAAAAGATATCTTGTTGTTTAATATTGTTGGGATACTCTTAATTTTTTGAGTCAAAAATGCATCAAATATAAGTTCGAACATAAATTGACAAAATGACTTAATTTGAAAGGGATACCCTTAAGAATATCTGAGTTTTTTGACTCGAAAACGTTCTTTGTGCCTTTTAATAAATGTCAAACAGAAGGAGGAGCCTTAAATTCGTTTTTTTTTTGGAATTTTCTTTTACCTTTCTATAATTGCCATCTAAACCACCAGGCATTCCATAAAAGTCCAAGAACGGCGGCGGCGGAATCGGCAGTCCAAGTCTCGGTCCACAGGGCATTCCCGGAGGAAATCCAAGTCGATGGCTAAAAATAAAATTACTCTCTCTTCCTTGTTGCTTCGGCCTAAGCACCAGCTGCGTAAAACTAATTTAAACTAGTTTGCCAAAAATATATTCCTGGCGCAGGTGCGCTGAGAAAATCGGAAACGGAAGTGACTTGAGGTTTTGGGGGGTTCAAAATTGCACCTGTGACTAGAAAAAATCGTGGAGTCTTTTTCTTGACACCTGTTTTTTCAAGAAAATAAATAAAAAAAAAATCGAAAATCAAATACGTTTTTTATGACAAAAATTCGTTTATAAGGGGACCCCCTATACTATGTCGGTTAAATTGGTAACAAGTCGTTTAATTTTCTTAAGGGTATCCCATCTTTACATTTTTGACTTCGATTTTTAAAGAGCTTTATTTATAAATGATAAAATACTGGTTTATCGTTTTGATACCCTTATTTTTGATTCGTTGATTGAATTTTTTAAGGAAAAAAATTCGATGATGCCTCGTTTTTTCGAGTCAAAACTCAGCGGATTAACCTTTCTCCCCCAATTTTTGAGAAAGTTTGAGCCGAAAAATGTCGACTTTTTGATAAGAAAACTCAATTTCGGTCCGAAAATTAATTTGTGATCAGCAGATGGGTGGCATTTCGAGTCGAGAAATTTGATTTCGACTCAGCTCTTTTTTTTTCTAGCGCCACGATCATTGGGCTGGGTGTTTTTTGGAAAACAATCGTGTTCCTTCTTAATTTAATTAATTCAGAATCAAAATTGGCGCCGCAAACAGCTGATTACCCAACATTCTTGGCATTTCACGCTAAAATTTCAAATTCAAAAAATCTCAAAAGAAAAGTGCCAAAATGCTAATTTCTGTAAACATTCTCAAGTAGCCCCCATACGCGCGCTCTTCCAGGGGCGTGGGCCTTTGATATTCGCTAATTTAGCGTGTAAGTTTTCTTTCAAGAAAGACATTTTCGCGAAATTTGAAAATTTTGAATTTTGGACAAGAGAGTGAGCTCTTGAGCCGATGAGAGGGACCCGCGACTGGATTCTAGCGCCGGAGTTGAATATTTTTCTTTTGATTTTAGCGCGCGAGTTTTTATGATGAGTTTTCATGATTTTCGGCTCAAAAGGTTTTCTCAAAAGCGCATCATTTTTTCACGAGTTATTGTGACTTTCGACTCGAAAAGTTGTATGTTCTATATTATATAGCTTCCTTCTAAGATGAGTTTTCACGATTTTTGGCTCGAAAATTTTCTCAAAATGATTCCTTTTTTTCATAAGTTTTCATGAATTTCGGCTCGAAAAGGTTCTCAAAAATTTTTTTTTTCATGAGTTTTCATGAAAATACTTGAGACTCATCGAATGTGGAACTTTTCTAAGGCTTTTCAAATTATTCGTCAATCCCCAAATTATTATTTGTATAGAAAGGCAGGCTTCCTCCATAATCCCTGGCAAAAACAAGTGTTGCCCAAATTGACTCGCGGGATTAGGAGAAAAATACTGCAAATTTACGCCTCGAAAAGCAGCGACCAAAACGTGCAATTCCGCTTAAAAAATTAAAACAAAGAAAAAGAACTAGTGTTTTAAGCCTTGTGCTGAAGCAGGACGTAGCGGTTAACCCGCCCTGATCCCATTTTTTATCCGGAAGCCACGATGGGTTGGGGTCAAAAATTGATGCAATACTTCTTTCCTTTCCTTTTGGCGGAGATTCAAAAAAGTATTTTTTCAAATTGATCTATTGCATGTGCATTTTTGGGAATTGTCGATTTTGAGGGAATATTGTTGTCACTCACAGGTGCCGAATTTGTCGGATCATAGCCTGGATCATCCGCCGCGAGCAATTAGATCAAGCCGACATTTGGGAAATGAACCGAATGAAAAAGCTTCGCGAAAGATGGAAAATACGAATCTAAGATAGGGATACCCTTAATTGCTTTTTATCAATTCCAACCCCGCCCTTTTTGCCACTTCCCATCCCTTTTTTTAATCATTACTGATTAAATCCGGAGTGGAAGAGGCGAAGAAAATTTAATCCGGAAAAGTAAATAGCCGATTTTAGTCCGATTGTCCGGAGGCGTCAAAATCCGGCATTTGAGGACTGAAAGGAACACGCGTCAAAAAAGTACCTGAACAAAGCTAAATTAAACAGCGAAATTTGCTCAAAATTGTTCCTCAATAGAAACAGCTGGGCCATTTTTCGCGTGTTTGGGGAGCATATTATATCTTCGAAAAAAGCATATTAAATTTGGAACTCGAAAAATTTTGAAAAGAAAAAGTTCTCTTTTCTTGTTATGGATGATGACTATCTGTGATCACCATTTTGCTGGGCTGTCAGTAGAGCTATTCTTTGCTTATCCAAGGCGAGTGATAAGAAAATGTGATAAGAATCGCTTGCCATTTTCATAAGGAAGCGCCTTGTCACAGCACCTGCAAAAAAAGAGGGCGACTCCGTAGTCGTCTTATGACTTGGGCTAAAATAACGAACCAAAAAACTCACTTTCAAAGTGACATAACGGACTGTATCCCCTTAATTCCTACTAGGGCTGTCATAAAAAAACTCGGGCCACAGAAAGAGCTTAAGGGTGTACCTCCGACTATTTCGACTTTCGACGAAAAATTGATTTTTCGGGGGCGATACCCTTAAATTTCTCAAAAACATATTACTGCTCAGCTTTTCTTTTGACTTTGACACCCATAAAATTCTCATTTTTCCCAAACACAAAAAAAGGAATCTTCCTGTTTAGTTAAGATAACCCCCAGCGTTTGGTTTATCAAAGACTAGATTTCTCCTCGCATGTCAAAATGTTAATGTCCTGATAAAAAAAAGCAGGAATCTACTATTTTCACCAGTGCTTCTACTTTCTAGTTCACTACCACTTCTCGTCGCCCCACCCTTAAGGGCGTCTACAGGCTAAATGATACCTTTGATCAATGTAAACGACATATTGACTTTCATCAATATTTTCAGACCTGAAAATTTTTTTGAAATTTTGATTCTTGAAATTTTTAAATTTTCAAATTTGGAAAGAAATTTTATTAAAATTCTGTGGATGAGTGTGTATGTTCTTGATCAGTGGGTGCTCCCGGTGCGCGCGAATTCCACTGGCCACTCGTGTAATTGACATTCCAATATCAAGCACCTCGGCCGCCAAATTCTAGAGGAAAATTTCTCCCTTTTTCATTCGACCTTGATTTTTTCGCAAAAGCAGATGTTCAAATTCGATTGAAAATGATTTAATAAGGGAGTAACCTTTCAATTTTCGAATTTTGGAATAAAAAAAATATGCCCTTGAATTTATCTTTTTTCCGGCTGCGCTTTGGGGGGATGCGCCTTAAAATGGTGAAGATTTGGGATTTAAAGGTTATCACCAAGCGGGCTAAATAGGATAATCCGGGTCGCGCGCGTGCCACTGTAAACAGGAAATTGCGATGACAAACACAATGCAGTAGGAAGTACCCTAACTACCCTTGAAATAATTTTCTACATTTCCGACAAGGTTTTCCGACACGCGCGAGAAGCAGAATTTCCTTCCGGGATACATTTTTCGGGAGCAAGTGGTTTTAGGAATTGAATAAAACGAATATTGGCGAAATAAGGGTATACCTATCGATATACGAAAATTATAATTCAGTCGAAAATCTTTATTTTCTGCTCCGAAAACGATCATTTTTTTTAAAAAATATCAATAAACACAAATTTAAAAAAACATTAAAGTCGGCCCTAAAGTCGGCCAAATCGACGACTTTACCCTTAAGGGTATACCCTTCGACATCCAAAGAACAAAATAAAGTTAAAAATTTACATTTCTTTTAGATTTTTGTGCTCCAAAATGAGAAATTTTGAGTAAAAATAAATAGAAAACCAATTTTTAGAAGGATAAACTTAAGGGTATATCCTACGATTTATGAAAAATGCAGGAAATTATAAATTATTTGAAATCTCAATAGACAAACTCATTAATCCGTTTTCGACATGCGCGAGTCGCAAAAATTAATGAATCGAATTCAATAATTGAGAGCGCGAGGGTTGATACCCTTAAAGTAGGCACAGATTTTCGTGCACTTGATGGCACTTGACGCACGGCACATATGCCCTGTTTGATCAAGAATCGCATCAAACTTTAGAATCGTCAAATTATTGTGCTCAAATGTTAAGAATTAGGACTTGGCCGGGCTGTCACGTGGGTGACAAACTAATAAAATATGGGGATTTACAGAGGGAGCGGAAATAATTCACAACAATCTGCTATTTTCAGAAAGTGAAAATTAAAGCGGTATTTATGAATCTAAAAAGATGACTGGCCCTGGGAACTGACATATTGAGTTAGGTTTTCATTTTCTCGGTTTTCGCCTCTTTTTGGTGGGACCAGGTGGTGCGCCGGTGGTTGCACTGGCGGGCGCACCTGGCCCAAACCGGACTCCACCAGGTCGCAGTCCACCCGCTGCGAGATATTATATACATTATAAAATTTGTATACCACTGAAAAATGAGCAGATTTTCCCACGCCATCTGCTTCAAACATATTTTCCGCGCCGCTATTCCAAAATTTTCAATTAAATTTTTTTAGTTAAGAATCTCAGGATCACTATTTTCTTAAGGGTGTAGCCTCTCCTATCACCTGAAAACTAAAAACTCACCCAAAAGGCGGTCCATGAGGCGGCATTCCCGGTCCAAACGGTCCAGGGGAAAGGGACCAGCGCCCATTTGAGGTGGTCCACCAGGACCAGCAAGCTCATCGTGCGGGCCAGAGAGGGTCTGGAGAAAGCTGGAATCGTGTGACGAGGAACTGGTGACTATATCTGGTGAGCCGAGCATGTGACTCCCTGGTGGCGGTGGGAGCTGAAATTCCATAGGGCCCAAGCGGTGCGGCCCTGGCGGTGGCGACGCGAATCGCGGGTCTGAAAAGGTGATTGGAGGATGTCTGTTTGTTTTTTGCTTGAGTTTCGATTTTAAGGAGGTAGATATCAAGAAAAAAATTTTCCATTTTTCCGCCTCAAACTTTTTCTACGTATAGTTTCAAGGTTGAGGAGAAAACTTGTAAGCAAAAATTTTTTGATTGGACCACGTGATTTTTCACAAAATCGCCTCTAAAATCTCGAAAATTTGCCCGTTTGATAATAGATCGACAAATTTTTCGTAATTAAATAAGTAATTACTTAGCTTTCGTCCGAAAAACATTAACAAAAACCCCTGGGAACATTTAAAGAATGATTTTAATACTCCTGAATAAAAATTCAAAATTTTATATTTTCATTGAAAATCGTGAAAAACAGGAAATCGATTTTTTTCTTAAAAAAATTTTTGAAATTTTAAAATCTGGCCCTCATAGGATCTAGACATGGGTCTTATCTAACTTCTTAGAAGAAAATAAATTCCGCCCTATTTAAGGGTTTCGAGAAAAGTCTGCCAAGAAAATGGTCATTTTTAGCGATTTCCGAGTTTTCAACGCCATTTTTACCGATTTTTTTTCTGGAAATTTAGAAATCGGCCGTCCATAGGCACGAGATAAGGGCCTTAACTTTTTATTAAAACAAAAAAAATCATAGGTCACTATGTTAGGATTGGGAGAAAAGTCTGCCAGAAAATCCCGATTCTTGATATCTACCTCCTTAAGGAGAGCTTTACTATTATTCTGATGACAAATCGAAAACTCGTATTTTCTCCGAAAAGCTTAAATTTTAAATTTCACAATTATCGTTTGGTAGACCCTTAAGCCATGAAAATAAGCAGTATTGGTGGTTTTCAGATGTAAGGACTTTTAGTTGGCTTCACGGGCTCAAGGTTTTTCATAATGGTGTCAAAATTGCCGCCCTAATCGCCTCCATTACTTGAGGCAGTTGTGTACTTAGTACCAAAGTGTCAAAATTATCGGCCATTTGGAAACGACCAAACATGCTCTCAGCGGGCCGCCTTGATTTTCTGTACTTTATCTTTGGAAAAATATCATTTCAAATGACCATTTACGCTTTATTTACTAGCTAGCTTCATCCATTTTACAGCTAGAAAATCTCGTTTTTGTACCTTCAAGGAGAAAACCATAAGTTAAATAAGTGATTCCTTACTGTCTAAAACGGTTAATTTGCCCAATTTTTACCAAAAGAATAATCAGTGATGATATCCTTAAATTCCCATCGATAAAAAAATAATTAGTGAATTTACCCACTTTAAATTGGAATTCAATTATCTGAAATATCCGAGCTATAGAAAATCAGAAAGTGAAATCAATGAAAGTTACTCCCTTAAAAATGGTCCTAGAAGATCTTGACTCAAAAAAGATGATAAAGGAAATCAAATTTGCAAAGTAAAATAATCGAAACCACCTGACTTTTGTCTATTTTCTTACCTGCTAGACAGCTCATTGTCTCTAGAATCTTGTAGCTAAAATCCGAAAAGACTGCTTTCTATTTTTTCTCGTCGACTTTCTTTCAGTCTCTCATTATGAAGGACGTCAGCGGGTTAAATCTCTTCTTCAAGTCTCTTTCTGAGGGTTTTTTTTCTTCGTTGATTTCACTCTATGGCTCTTTTTGATTGGTCAATTGTGGTTTTTAAAAACTGTTTTTGGAGAAATTGTTTTGTCGGAGATTTCTTTTCTTTTGGTAAAGGAATAAGTAGCAACGAAGCTAGGTAGGAATAAGGGTAGCGGATAAGGGCTGCGGCGCTTTCGTGGTCTTAGAGAGAGGGTTCCACCAGCGGAGGAGTCGAACAGCGCCGCCCAGTGCCGGGGCGAGGGAGCTCAAGCGCCGCGCTCCCTTTTCTTTTCGCAAAGGAAAGGATTTGACGAAGCAACTTGCCACGCTCCGAAACGCCGCATGAGGGAGTACACGAGCGCCGAGGCAAAATACTTTATGAAGTTTTGATATTTTTTATAGAAATTTTCATTAGTTTCATAAAAGAAAAAGTCATAATAGAAAAATATATTTTACAATATTCCTCACCAATTGTAACGTTTGTGTTTAGCCGTGGCGTTTTAAGGTTGTACCGCCTTGTAGATGAGACGCGGCTTAGACGCGGATCGGGGATTGTAATGCCATTAGGGTTGATAATAGAGCACGCGCCGCGCCAAAATCAGTAATAGTGTATTCTCATTTCTTCAAAAATCAATGCTAAAAACTTTATAAATTACAACTTTTTCGCGCTTCTTTTTTTTGGCGAGTGATACATCAAACTCGCCGTCGTTCAGAGCTGAGTAAATATTCTTGATTATGCTTTGAACGCGCCGCCAATAGAACAATGATACATTCGACAACTCACGCCATCTCGAAAAAAATGACGTTCCAAAAACTAGAACTTTTCTAATAAGGGAGTTTTCGAACCCGGGGGTGAGCCATCCCCTCAAATTTTTTTGTCATCCCTTCTGCAATTTTTGGCTCAAGGGGCGCCCCACCGAGCTTGCATGAAACTTTAGAAATGTCGATTGTAATCAATCGTTCCAGTTCATTATTGTTGATTTGCAAATAGACAAATTGCTGAGGATAATAAACCCCCAGTGAGGGATATCACCCACTCCCTGACCCAGAAAACCACCAACTGAGCTACCTGTAAATTTCGACCTGATCGACGATCGCTATCATGGGAAGCAAAAAAATTAGATGCAGCAGAGTCAATTACAGAAATAGGTCTGTAATGATTAGCCGATCAAGTTGAACTTCGATTTTATGGGCTTTTAGAGGGAGCTGGGACCAGCTACCTGGGAGAAAACCTGAGTCAGGGTCCTGACTTTTGAAAGAATCTGAGTCAGGGTCCTGACTTTCGAAGAAGCCTGAGTCAGGGTCCTGACTATCGAAGAAGCCTGAGTCAGAATCCTGACTTTTGATAGAACCTGAGTCAGGGTCCTGTTTTTTGAAAGAACTTGACTCAGGACTCCTGACTTTTGAAAGAACCTGAGTCTGGGTCCTGACTTTTGAGAAAACCTGAGTCAGGGTCCTGACTTTTGAAAGAACCTGAGTCAGGGTCCTGACTTTTGGAAGAACCTGAGTCAGGTTTCTGACTTTGAACGAACCTGAGTCAGGGTCCTCACTTTTGAGAAAACCTGAGTCAGGGACCTGACTTTGGAAGAATCTGAGTCAGGGTCCTGACTTTCGAAGAAGCCTGAGTCAGGGTCCTGATTTTTGAAAGACTCTGACTCAGGGTCCTGACTTTTCGATGAATCAATTAATTTTTCGAAGTAGCTTACCAAAAATTTTGGCATCGATTACATTATTCCCCAAATAAAGGAGCGCTTCAATGTCTCCCAAAATCGGAAATCAGATAAAACTCTTTATTTATTGAATAAATTCTAAGTACTTTCTCTGGCGAGATAAGCGATTAGCGCCGCGCTTTGATCCTTTTGGAGCTTTATTTTTTTCAATGAGGAAAACTCCTTCTTTATTGGCTCTGACTAAATTTGCTTTAAAAATTGAATTAGATTCAAACTAAGAGATTTCCTTTGATTGCGCCGCCAATTGTTGCAAAAATGGGAATTTAGAACTTGTAAATATTTGACAAATTTTAATTTCATGATCAGGCGAAAAACGCAATATTTGAAAAACTGAATTTGCATTTTCAGAAAATATCAAGCTCCAAATATTATTTATCAAATAATGCAATTGTAACCTCAAAATTATAAGAAGCTCAGTTAATAAAAATTTTAAGGGGGGAAGACCTTATTAACAAAAAATAAGATTTCATTTCAGAGGCGATGATACCCTTATTTTATGAAAAAAATTTAAGAAATAAGGGTGTCATTGCGTTAAAACAATTATTTTGAACTGAAGTCTTCCGAAGATTAAGGATGTCACAACAGTAATTGCATTTGAAATAAAAAATTGAAACCCTTGATTTTTAACCCATAAAACCCAAAATTTTTAACCCAATCTCAGATAAAACAAAAGATAAAGCTCGTATGTTTCCCATTTCAGATTATTTCTAATGAAGAGACACCCTTACTATTTGGAACATTTTTCAAAAGACTGAAATTTTGAGAGCTGCAAAAACAAGTCTAGCTGTCGGATCCTTAGACAGCGCCGATAACGATTATTTTGACGGATCATTATTTCCCCATTCACGGGTTACTGATTCTCGGTGAACCTAGCTCCTGTTTTCTTTCTGAATTTCGCTGTTTCAGGTGCTCGATGAAAATAAGACAGAAATTTTTGAAAATAATGGAAATTTTTAGTTTCGAAAATTTTTTTGAAAAACCGCGGGTTTGGACCTTATTTTAACGGAGAAAAGAGTACTTCCGGAATAGGGAGATTGGGTTTAAAGGTTTTCTTGGAAAGGGCGGGTACTTGTATCGAAACCGCAACATTTGATGGATACTCGCTGACCGTGAAGTTCTGTAAAATGATAGGTTTAATCACAACCGGTTAATTGGCGCCCGGCGCCGGTCAGGAGAAGGGGCCTGACCGCCCAAACGTCATCTAATAATTGATTTAACTGTACGAGAGGTCTTTTCTTTAACCCACTGAGCCCCTAAAGACCCGAACCGCGCTATCTTTCTTTAGGGCACTAAAAGGCGCTTTGGTGATAAATTGATAAGTTAGAAAAGTCCCCATAACATAACAGTGGCTTTCCAAGGAGTTCTTTTATTGAACTGGGCGGCCATAAACAACCAATAACAATCGAATATTTGTTCCTGTTGTGTAGTGCTTGTTTACCCCCGCGCGATTATTTCATCCCCCATAAACCCCAATAACCCAGATCAATGTTACAGTATGTTTCCAAATTTCCGGACTAATTTTGTCCCCAGATTTCCGAAAAATGTCCGGAAATTTGGCCTCCCTATGAAAAATAATGTCCCACCAAGCATCCTTAAAATTTTTCGAAATATGGTCACTTACCCGTGTAGAAGTCGTCTAAACGTAAAAAGACGACGACAAAGTGGGTTTGATAGGAGAACTCAAGGATAAACACAAAAAGTCGATGTATTAAACCTTTTGTACCTTATTTCGAAGAAAAATATGAGCTACCGTCAATTTTTTCTTAATTTGAAAAAAGTCCGGAAATTTGGGTCATCGTCAATTTGTTAGTGTCCCACTAAAACCCCTTAAAATCTGAAAAGTGTCCGGAAATTTGGACTCCGGAAATTTGGCAACAAACTGTATCTGATCGGGACTTCTCCAACCGAGCCAGAAAAAAATATTTTAAGGGGGTAGAACTAGGTTTTTCGAAAATAGCCGATTCTAGACCGGCGCTCAAAGCCAGGAGAGCTTAGATTTTCAAATTATCTCTTCGGCTGGAGGTAGAGCAAACTTAGATCTAACAACATTTTTCTTAAAATTTTTTTGTCAACACATTTTGGCGTTAGAGAGCGAAACTTCAACCTTACTCTTCGAAAATCGCAATTTTAGCGTATTCGCGTCCTCAAATTTCTCGAGAAACGTGACTAACCAAATTTTTTATATCTCATTTTAAGATAGCTTAACTCTTTATCTAGCAACATTTTTGAGGAAATTGCGTAATCAAAAGTAAAAACAGGTATTTTTTATTTAAAGTGCCTCCCGAAAATCTCGGTTTTTCGGAAAATCTAGTTCTACCCCCTTAACTCTTAGAAAAATAAGGGTATCCGTCTGCTAAAAAATGGGCAGATTATCTTTAAACACATTAAGGGTATCACTCCTATAAATCATATTTACAAATAAAATCGAGATTTTTAAAAGCTACAAAAATGTATCGAAAAGATGATTTATCAAAGTGATACCCTTAATAAAATTGAAAATTCATGCTCGACAACGAGTTAAGGGTATCACTTTGTTAAATCATATTCACAAAGAATCGAGATTTTGAAAAGCAAATTAAAATAACTTGGAAAGATGATTTACCAAAGTGATACCCTTAATAAAATTGAAAATTCATGCTCGACAACGAGTTAAGGGTATCACTTTGTTAAATCATATTCACAAAGAATCGAGATTTTGAAAAGCAAATACAAATAACTTGGAAAGATGATTTACCAAAGTGATACCCTTATTGAAATTGTAAGAATAAAGATATTTTGAATACCGTATTCCCTCAGTTGTTAATGTTGTTCTCGCAAAATTTTGTCGAGAGCAATAAATTATTGCCAATAATTCAATCACTGGTTTATTCAGAAGATAGAAGCCTTTCTCTGTTGAGCCAATTCAAAACCGGTTGTTTTGGCAACGCGAAATTAAAATAATTTTCAGCTTCTTCCAATTTTCCCACGCCTGGCCAAAGTCATTTCGCATAATTAAAACAACGCCAACTCAGAGGCTAAAACAAACCAGGACCTAACTCGTAGCAGTACCGGTAGTTGACTTTTGCCAATTATAATCCGCCTCCTATCCAAGGTATGATACGGGTTAATCCCCACCTGCTCAGCCACACAATCCCGAAGATTAGTTATCGCCTATTTCTTCCG